AGGTATACTAGGCTCCTTGTACTAGGCAGAGAGGTGGTGCTTGCTAGAGAAGATAATGAAGGGTGGGATAGACCAGCCCTTCGCGCAGATGCCTTAGATAATGCTGGTCCACTCTCAGTCGCCCTGCTGCACTGCCTTTGGTCTCCCTTAACGCTTAGAGCCTGTGACAACAGCTCCTGTTAATATAACGCCTATTATAAAGCTAGACTTGTTAAAGTTGTGGGTGTCTTTATCTTGTATACTATACTTAGCTTTAGTATTCTCTACTAGTTAGAACTAGTCCCTAATTACCTTAGGGTTCTCACATAGAGCTCTCTTATAGTTGTACTTGCAATTAAATTTGACTTTAAGCTCTGGCTGACGTTTGACAAAGTTGGCAGCCTAGTTCTTGCCAACGTGGGGCTGGTGGCGCTCAGCAAGCAGAGAATTGGCCATATCCTCCACATTAGCAAGCCAGGGCGAGTATCCTCGCTCGTCTAGCTTTAATACATGCTGGACAATTACCTCCTCTTTAGTACTAGTCATCCTTATCATGTTGGGCTTGCAATCGCGTTAAGAGAGCTTTCCGTTGCGTCGTCGTTGTAGGGTGCTTTCTAACACCTTATAGATAGCTGCAGCGCGTGGCACAGTAAGATTCGCGTCTTGTTGGATAGCCTGGAGAGCAAGCTGTATGTCTGCTTCATTTGACAGCCTCTTCATGTTATTTTGTTGAGGTATAATAGGCAGAGTGAAGTTTGGTGTGGTCTTGGCAAAACCCGGTCACTCGCTTGTGCCGGTCACTCGCTTGTGGAGTACGTTACATTTTGCCTCTATTTTGGCTGCAACACAAATCAGCAGTCGAAGGAGAATTCATGTGGCTGTTGCTGAGTGAGTTAGCCCAATGAGAGATTCTTTTCAATTTTGTGGTCAGCGAGGAGGCCATGGTGGGAGATTGCGATCGACCTGCTTCTAAAGGCAGCAACGAGTGAATTGACAGCACAACATCTCGTATCTTGATCAATATAAGTACCTTGCTCTAGGTCCCTAGGATCTCATTCTCACAAAGTCGCGGGGCCACTTTGGAAGCCACCTTCACGCACGAAGGAGCGCGACTGACCAGGCCAGACCAATACGCCTTACGCGGCTCAAGGTCTGCAGACACGACCGCACGTCTGTACAAGGCGCCAGGGCATCCGGATATGCCGCCTGATCCTCAGTTGAGATATTGCGAAGATCGAATCGGTCTCCTGTGGTCTAAACTTGCGGCTAGCGGAACCGAAGCGGATTCCGGAACCCCAGCGGAGCGATGCCCTTGATAAGTTGGGGAAGGAGTCCTCCACGCCGGCCGCTACGCCTTCATCTCTCAGATCTGGAAATTTGTAACCTTGGGGAGGCCCAACATCTTCGAAGTCTTTACTTCCGCTGCCATTATCGCATCCACGTACGCGGGGAAACATCCTTTTAACACTGAATGTTGCGGTACAAGTCGGTTCTATAGCCTTGATCGTCACCTCTGTAGACTACCTTGGACTATCGTGTCTCAGGACATGTATATATGGTCGCCTCCTAGCTAGCAAGCAACTCAGCCCAGTTTTCCATCAATACATACAGCGGCTACATCTGCCGCAACACTGAAGATCATCCGGACGCGAGATCTCCCACAGGGCTATAAGCCTACTCAATTACTCGCTTGCTTGTGCCGATAGTAGCATGTGAATAGCGCTGGGAATCGAGGCCTGAGACGTTCAAGGCATTGTTAGTCGAAGGGGTGCGATCGTGCGACACGGTTGCAGTTGGCTTTTGCATCAAGCCTCTGCCAGCGTACTAGAATACTGTTACCGCCTACCTGTAGACACGCGATCACGTTGTTTCACTGTACATTACAGGTGTAGGCCATGAAATACGTCGATGCAAGTCGAGTGAAAGCTACACCCCGATTGGGTGGTAGCGGTGTCGTCAGCCGTGACGAATATTTATTGCATCAGCGCGACGCAGCTTCACCGCAGTTGCAAATATGATTCGACCGACGACTGGGCTACTTAAAAACATAAATTGCACGGCCTTCCGATTACGCGCAAATCAGTCGCAATACGGAAATATGACTACAATCGTAGATAGTGGTGGCGCAGCCATGAGCGTTCACAGGTATATTTCCCACGCAAGCTTGCAAGACTGCGCTGACAACATTCGCATATAGCTCTCTGTTCTATCAGAACAACTCCCACTTTCTGCGTCTACCAGCTGAGATCCGCAACATGGTATACGCCTATGCACTCGGCGGGAACACATGGTCCATGAAGACGACTCAGCATCCGGCCGGCGCGTTCAAAGCGCGCGCCGAAAATGGTGTCAAGCACGCGCTCTCTCTCCTGAGAGTTAATCGCCAGATCTACGCCGAGGCCTACCTCTTTCCTTATCTCTACAACACCTTCGCAGGTGTCCACAACGGACACCTCCACGAATGGGTCAAGTCCCTCACCGATACGCAGCGCACATCCATCAAGACTATCAAGCGCTATCACAGCGGCTACGTTATCTATATTACGGATAGTCAGGGCGTCTCCATCAGTCCCGGTTTCTGGATGGATATGCCACGGATAGCAGACTGGGGGCTGGACGGTCTGAAGCAGATCGACGTCGAGGTTACGTTGCGAAAGTGGGGCTGGGACACCGACAAGGATGATATGAAAAGAGTCTTGGAGGAGTCGATGACTAAATTGCGCAAGTTGGTGGAGTTCGGGCATCCAGGTGTTGTTGTGGATGTCTTCCTGCAGCGCAGGTATTGAAGGAACTAGTTTATGCGTTCCAGTAGCGAAGCACCCCTCTCCTCGGAACTACCTATTGGGTATTCGATATCCGCTTTCGGTTCATGAATTGGACAGCTGTTTAGATAATCGGAAGGCTGAAAGTCGAGCTTTGGAGTACTGAGTCAGCGCTGCTCCAAGGACCAGGTAAAGGCGGCAAGCGGCATCTGCTGCGATTCGAGGAAATTATCTTAAAAGGAAGTGAGCCTCAAGGCCTATGCTGGTTCCGTACGAATGATCTTGCGCTATGTTGTGATGGCAGATGGTGAGGCTGAAAGGCAAGCGTGTGTGAAGAAGGCAAGGGCGAAAGAATACATTTGAATGGAACGCGGTTTCCACCAGTGGATGTTTTGGGTGAAAGAATAGGCTGTGGCTTATGTATGGCGCAAACTGTAGTTGTAAACTGGGGGCAATCAACATTGGATAGGACGAGACATCTATACCAACGCTCAGGTGGAATGCATCCACAGTGTGATGCTTGTATCTCTGTATTAGACACTTCTGGGCCAGAATGACTATATTCAGCCATGAGAAATCCATGGCTACTTGTGCTGCAGTAATTTGCTTTGGCCTTAGCTTTAACGGAAGTGTCAGTATACCATAGACTAGGGATCCGGCACTCCTGAATCAAACCCTGATCAGCATTGTATACAAGGGCATCTAGTCATGCTGAGAAGTTTCGATGCGCTTATCTACAATCCAACACCATTCCTTCATATCACAACTTGTTGCCCCAGCACATCGAAATACTGAGCAATCGAGATCTCATTGCTTTCATTCCTCCTACCCTGGTTTGCGCTGGCGATTGATCAGGTCGGCATCTTCGAAAAGCAGGAATAGTGAAACGGTGCGCGTGATCGGCACTTCGGTGCTTGCGCATCGACAACGTAAATTGACATTCGGCTATCCAACAGAAGATCCTTACGCCAACACGTATCTGTTTGTCTTCTCGAGCGGCAGAAATGCAAAGTGCTGATATTTTCGCATAGACGCTAGTATCGTCCCTAAGGTAAAGAAAACGACCGTATGTGATATTAGAAAGGAATGATAGATTCGCAGATTTCCCCCGAATTCATTACGGAGCCGAACCTCTGATCTTTTGCGTCCCACTCAAGAAGCCATCTAGCCCGAGCAGCTGGTGAATGGTCCAGCCACACCAGGCGCAGGTGGCGCGCCCTAGAGAACAATGTCAGCCTTGCGCCCTTCTGATGCTCAGCTATCACCTACCTCGTGGGTCATCAGTCCACAGTAGACAGCCTTGTTCTTGCCCTTGATCTTGATGACAATTCGGTCTGGAACAGTTGCAACATCGCCACCGGTGTATTTGCCTCTCATGATCGGAAACTCCTGTAGGTTGTCGGTTGCCTTGCACTGAGACGAGAGCTTGACAGTTGGATCGCGGTATCCGTAGCGATGAGGGTAGTTCTGGGCGCCTTAAACATGTCAGTAGGAGATTTGTGTGAGGATCACGCAGCCTACCAAGCTGTTTGCCTTCGTCTACAAGGTCCAGGGCTTGCTCGGCAGCTACCTTGATCTGAGCTGCCTTAAAGGTCTGCTCTCGTGGGTGTTTAGCGCCACACTTAACAGACTTCGTGGGAAGTCCAGTGATCTGGTTCCCCTGCGCAGTCGGTACTTCAGCCGGAAAAGCAACGACCATGCCTGCGAAAGCAAAAGGAACGAAAAGCTGGGAGAGATGCATCTTGAAGATCAGGGATAGAGTGCTTTGTTAGGTAGGAAGAAAGATGAAGAGTGCGGCTGGAGCGTGTTGAGGATATTGAGAGAATGAGTCGACGTCTTCTCCCTTAAATATCTCCCTTTGTAATATCCTATCGTCGCAAGGTGAGCTTGGACTGATGGATCGCACATGTTCATTTCCAGAGAATGCCAATACGGAGAAGGTATCTGACTGTATTTCAACATTGCTGTGCGACTGCAGCAGAGCAAATGGACTCCATGTCAGACGAGGAGTATCAAGAACGGTATCACCAGGTCAGAATCCATCAGCGCAAAGGGTCATGGTTATGGCTAGTGTTGTGAGCTTAACGGTGATGATGTACGCGATCCTTTGAACCAGGTACGCAGGTCGTACGGAGCTACTCCGCCATTTCATCAGCTCTCACCGGTCGTCAGCATGTTTCCATGCATCTGCTTGCACCTGATCACCGCGAACCATGGCCAGTATTACGTCTGTCGTCAAGTTTACACAAGCCCAATCAGCTAACGCGCTAGCGCGCCGCTGTGTGTCGTGGCACAGCCTTCAGGTCCTGACTCTGAGCTAACGCACTTGCACTTTGTTCGTCGAGTCAGCAACTATCGTCAGCATAATCACTTGTTTGTGCCTGCCTCGTTGTAACCGCATAACACAACAACGGCTGCCCCCAGTCCTACCAAGCATACACCCGCACAGCATTTCTTCCCCCTTCTTACAGCCAGAATTCATCAAGAAGACAGCATGACAACCGGCTTCACCGCTTTCTTCGCTCGATTAAGAGTTGAGAACTCCAAAGCTTCCTACCCGGACGCTGAGTGCTCAACTCTTACGTCTTACCTGAACGGCGACATCGACGTGCAGCAATGCGCAACAGAGCTCACAGAATACACCGACAGACGTCTCCCAGTCAGCTCAAAGCTCGTTATTTGGGGTCTGATCATTCAGCTGGGCCTCAACTTCGCCGAGACACACGAGGATCTTGTTGCTCTCAGCAAGGAAGTACTTTGTATTCCAGCAAGCAAGGCAACGGGCGGTATCGACTGGACAAACGAGACACAGTCACTCGGTCAAGCATTTCGCAGCTTCTACGATAGCACTCGTGGCCCCACGCTCGATGCTGACAACGCAGGTGCGCAGAAGCCAACGACTGGTCAGTCAACCGCTAGCCGGCAATGGTCCAACATCAACGAGTTCGGCGCGAGACTGCAGCATGCAGGGTTATTAGATGACTCGCTGAATGGTTTGCTTTTGATTGTCAAGCTCCTGGAGATGAAGCCGAGCGAAGCACAGGTGCAGATGAATCTGGGCGCGGCAGCAGCATGGCTGGAATTCGCGAGCAAGGAGATCAGGGAAGGCGCTGCAGGCGTTGGAGCACACACAAATTGGGCTCAGAGTAGCGATTACAAGAAGGAGCCTCAGGTGGATGGCAAGAGATTGGTGTTGTGGAAGGAGCGGCTGGCAGAGCTTAGTGGTCTACCCTACGTCAGCGAGGAACTGGCGGTCAGCTGTGAGAGAGCTACGACTGCGATCGAGCAGGCACTTTGGGAGAGGAAGAATTGATGCACATAATCGCGTAGCCTATTTAGTCTGAATAGCTAGATTAATGTACATTGAGCTTTCAGAGCCTTGCAGATATGCATTGGGTCGACGGTACCTCAATAGGTCTGAACGTCATTAAAGCAATTCCCTGAATTCTCCTTTCGCCTTCCTGCATTTTCTACCAGAACCAAGCCTGACGCTTCTTAGGAGCCTTCAACACAGGTCCAACATAGAAGATCAAGCACGGATCGCCTCCATCGTCCTCGCAAGTGACGACCTTGACCTTATTGATCGACTTAGCGCTTCCGAGTTGCTTATGGTGCTGGAGAAGAAAGTAAGCGGCTCCCAGACCGTTCGGTGAACCTTGAATTTGTCAGTACAGCCTGGAGGCATCCACGGAATTTGAACTTACCAAGCAAGGCCTTACCTGCATCTGTAGTCGTATCGAAATCTGTACCAGGCCATCCTTCGACTTCATCGACATTGACCTTCTTCAGTGCGCGTTTGATGATTTCATCGGCGTCCTCGTTAACAATGTTGACGGACATGAACTTCTCAATCTTCTGCCCGTTGGGAGCTGGGACACGATTCCAAAGACCGAATGCCAGATCAGAGCTTGAGCGGAGCTTGGGCAGAGCAGCAGGAGCAGGTTTAGGATCGTCCCAAAGGATTTCGGCGCCCTTCTCCGGGCTTCGACGGTGAAGGAAGTAGACGATGCCGTCTTGGCGATTGATACCAACTCGGCTGTATGCGCCAGTCACCTGGAAGGAAGTCAGTATGGAGCATATCAACATATTTCAGGGTGGTCTACTCGGTACTCCTTGTTGTCAGCATCGTACTTCTGCTCAGCCTCGGCAGGCAGAGATCCATCGCTGTTCGTCTTGACTGTAGGACCGTTCTTGTGCTCGATGTAGAAGCAATGATTCGGACCACCCATCTCCGCCGACTTGCCATTGACTTTCAGGCCCTTGAACATGTTGCCCATCTCTTCCTCGAAGTTACAGAAGTAGTCAGCGTTCTTATGGTTCTCATCAGTATCAAGCCAGCCCCATGTTCTAAGCTCGTTCTTGAGGTCGCCGTCCCACGGGCTCTGTAGATAGGGCCAGCCGAGCGTCCACGCAGCGTCCAGCTCGCCCAAAGTCATGGCATGAAGTAGTCTCTCACCACGACAGAGAGCATCATTCCATATCTTGTCGTAAGGGTCTTCCCATTCCGGATCATTTTCAGGTGGTGGGGTGTCTTGTCGGGCGAAAAGGCTGAGGCGTGCAGCTGCTGACAGCTCGAATGTGTCTGGCGACGTGAAGTTGAGCGGAGGCTTGACCGGCAGAACCTTGCCCAGAGCAAGCTGCGTCAGAAGCGCTGCAGTGACAAGTAGGATTCGCATCGTGTAGGAGGGGGTGGGTAATAAGAAATTTAAGGGCTGCCGCGATCTACAGGTTTATAGCTGCTCTCGCTCTTGGCACCGTGACGAGTGAGGCACTTTGCGCATGCCCAAGGTGAAAGGTGACCAAGGCACTGTCCTCGCTCGCCTGTAGCGCGGGGATTTCACTGTCTGACTGTATATGCACGATTTCTAAAGGGAGAGGCACCCACCATGTTCATTGGATTGCACGGAGGGATTGATGTGCATGTGGCACATTACAATATCTTGATAGTCCCTTCCACATTAGCCTATCGCACTTGCAACAAACAAACACACCACGACGTTGCACCATTTCGCTGTACGACTTTCGTTAAGCACCATATAGGGCTACGATGCAACCTCCAACAGAACATCGAACTTGGTCTCTACTCCAGGACATGGATCACAAGCTCCGTCAACGCAAACTCGCGTAAGTAGCGGCACAAAGCGATAGGACTTGACTGACTGAAATGCGTAGAGAGGCCCAAACTTACGAGCATCGCACTTTGTCCGCTCACCTGCTGAGCTACGCAGCAAATTCTATGACCAGATCGATATGGACGAGCGGGAGACGTTTGGATAAAAAGCTCATAGCAAACTCTTTGACTACCCTCGCCCGCTCGCTGCAACCTGCCGACTCTCTCACCGCGAGACGACCGGTCTTCCTTACACACTAAGCTACCAGCAGCAGTGGCGTTTGACAAACTATCAGGAGAAGGGAGGTCCGAGCCCAGAAGCTATTCGCATTCTGTCTGGCCCGTACGGATTCAATTGCATGCGAGCCAGAACTGCCGTCCCGCTGGCTTCAAATGCTAGAGCGCATTCGTGGAGTCAAAATAATACACTTGTGCATATTGCTGGAAACTGGCATGGTATCTGCGTGACTCGGAAGCGTGGATCAGGCCTCCCGGGGGACGATATGCGAATCAGAGTTGCATATGTCCTGCCGCATGTCGAGGTTGGATTCGAATGGGAGGTCGCGGGGCCCAGCAAGCCAGCAAAGACCTGGGTAGACATTGTACAAGCTGAAGGCTCGAAGCCGAGCAACGACCCGTTGCAAACGGTCGTGGAAAAGATGAGAGGACTGAACGTGGAGGGGCAACGTGCATTGCAGCGGCCAGCTGGAAGAGCAGAATATCACGAGGCATCGGCGACAAGCCTTCCCAAACGGAACTTAGTAGGTCAATCAGAGATGCAATACGAGAAAGTTCAGATACTGAGAAAGGAGGCACGTCGGGAGAAGTCAAGAGACTCACCAACGCTAGGCCAAGTCAATCGTAGCGCTCTCACCTTCCTCGGACCAGGCCGTCTCCCGTCATTTCCACCTCTCCCACAACGGCCACTCCATGACGCTCACAGGTCGTCTGGAGTGAGTCCAATCTCCAATTTCTGAATCACGAGACAAACATGTCGTGTCCCGTACGATTGTACCCTTTGCGCAAGCCCAAGAATCACCGTTTGCCTGTGCCGAGGTACACACTCTCACTGCCAACCAGGGTGAAGCACATCTATACAACCTACGTGGGTGTTCAGCAACATTCCAACGATACCGCAAGCACAGAGGCGAAGACTGAAGTGTGTCGAGATATCGAGTCATGGTTTAGATTCAACAACCGGCCAACGACACTTGAATCGTTTGCACTTATTGACGGCCGTGAAGCATCCGGCACGACCATCTGGGTAGGCTACTGGACCGATGCAACTCGGCACGCCAAAGCTCTGGAAACCCTGCGCCTGCAATCCATCTTCGCCCGTCAGCCAAAGGAGCGTCGCTCGTCACTTGGTCTGTGGCACGAAAGCTTTGCAACCGATGTTGCACGCCTGGAGACGAATTACTCTGGGCTAGACTACCTTCCAGGCCTGGGTCAGATCCCAAACAGCAGCGCTGCTGAACATGATCTAGCGACCTACTGGGGCGCTGCTCGAGACCGCATCCCAGACTCGGCGCAGGACTTGTTCCCTCGTCCGGCCGCAAAGCCCAATCGTCCTGCGGAAAAGCCAAGGGGAGTGGGACAACACCTCACCGGAACTAGTCATCACAACCTCGTACACATTCGCTCCGGGCAGTGGTGGAAGAACTGCGACCGACCCGAGACCGAAGCCTACGTGCAGAAGCTGGAACCCACGCTTCGCAAGGGCCTGCGGTACCTCAACGACAATGCCAAGGATACGGGTGCGATGGGCCTTCGATACTTGCGCAACACAGACGTGAATGAGCCGTTGAGCGACTATGGCAGGGAGGAAACGTGTGGCGCTGGCTTCTTCGCGAACCTCGAGGATTTGGAGAGCTGGGCGAAGACGCACAGCTCGCATCTAGCAATCTGGCGCGGCGCTATGGCGCATTACAAAGCATTTCCTAACAACAGGAAGTTCCGGACGTGGCATGAGGTCAGCGTCATCAGCGAGGGTGACGCTCGGTTCGAGTACGTCAATTGTACGCCGGGCACTGGTGTTATGGGTGCAACGCAGCTGGAAGAGCACGAGCTGGAGGCGTAAAGGCTAATCGTTTTGCTTGGTCCACCTCGTCCAATTCGATGTGCTCAACAAGCATGTCGATCGCCTGCATCGGTCGTTGCATGGGCCGCTCGGGTTCGGATTTCGCATCCGCCCGGACCAATTTCGGAGCGGATGACGAGATGGATCTCCACATACAAAACTACCGCGATCCCATCAACAAGACATCAAAAATAGTCAGTCCGATCATGTCACGCCCAAAAGTTCTCATTGTGGGCTGCGGTGCCGTCGGCCTGTCTCAAGGCTACCATCTCTCCGCTGGTGCAGACATCACCTACCTGGTCCGGCCAGGCCGCAAATCCGCCTTCGCAGCGCCAAAGCACCTCTACTCGTACAAAGAGGATGAGCTGCACACATTTGCGTCGTACCGCGTGATCGAGTCCGTGGCCGAAGTCACAGGGGAGACTTTCGTGCTCGTCTTCGACACGCTGGACGGCCACACGGCACGCTCCGAGGGCGGCGTCGCGACGCTCACGGCCGAGGGCGATCTGCTCAACGAGCCGCAGAACAAAGAGTGCTTCCTCGTATACGATGCCGTCGGCCTGGACATGGACGAGCACTACCTGCGGCTCACGCGCATCGCGCCGTCGCGACTCCTTCTTGCGTTCAGCATGCTTGCACACCAGCGCACACCCGCCATCTCCGTTCCTGCATCGGCGACCAAGGAGCTCGTCGCCAAAGCAGATATTCTGTACGTCTCCTCGCCGCCGAACACGGGCCTGCTCGTGTTCAACACGCAGCCGGCGCTGCGGAAGAAACTCGAAGCACTCTACAACGCCAACGGCACGCTGGTCATCGGCTCGATGCCGGCGTTTGTAACGCCCTGGGCGCCGCTGCTCATGATGCTGCACCTCATGACGTGGGACGTGAACGGATGGGGTCCGTTTTCGCAGCTCGTCGAAAACGCACCGCTGTGGACGCTGATGCTGCGGGCGCAGTCGGAGATGCTGAATTTGCCGCGCTTCGGGTGGACGGGGTGGGTCTTGTCGTGGGTGCTGGGCGGGTGGGCGACGAGGCAGATCCACGAGCCGGTTGCCGAGGGCGCGAAGCCGCTTGCATACGAGGAGTTTAATGCGTTTCACCACGGGGAGAAGGTGGCGCGGCAGGATTGCGAGGCGCTGGAGCATGTGCTGAGGGAGGGCGAGAGGGCGGGCAGGAAAATGGTGGCGTTGAGGGAGATTGTCGCGAGGGCGAGGGCGAAGCACGCTTAGCGACAAGCGCAGGCTGGGTACGACTCTATTCTTACCATGGAGGCGGTGTGTACTGCAGGAGATTGATGCCCGTTCCTGTGTGGAATCGCAGAAATGAATTTTGTCCTTTTGGAATTGCGGGAATGAATACTGTCCTTTTGGAATCGCAGAAATGAATAGTCCTTTTGGAATCGCAGAAATGCATAGTCCTTTTGGAATCGCAGAAATGAATAGTCCTTTTGGAATCGCAGAAATGAATATTGTCCTTTTGGAATCGCAGAAATGAATATTGTCCTTTTGGTTCTCTCAAGTCGTCGAGTCGGGAAGGCATGACGTATCTCAGGGTGCTCGATATTCGACTCCACGGCAGGCCTTGGCTCAGAGAAAGCTGCCGCTCGAGAAGCGGTCTCCAAAGCCCTTGCTCTTGCTCAGCACATCGCGCTTCTGCTTGTGATTCAGATTCCCCTGCACGGCCATGTCCTTCTCGTAGTCAAAGACGCGCTTGCTCGGGTCGTCCTCCTCGATCTTCGCCTTACTCTGGTGCTGCTCGACCAGACTCTTCCCCCTAGCCGCATCGATCTTCTCACGCATCTTGCGCGCTCGGCGCTCGTCGTCTCTGCTCTTCGCATGCCCTGACGACGGACCTGCGTTGGACGACGCGGACGCAGTCGTGATGCCCATGGCCTCGTCTTGCAGGCGCTTGAGCTTCTGCTCTGGCGTCTCGGTCCACGCGCTGCTCATGCCTCCGCCGCCGGCCGCGCTCTTGCCTGAGTTGAACTTTCGCGCGCGCTGCTTTGTGGGGTCCAGGCGCGCGGCGAGGTCGTCCTGCGTCGGCGGCATGGTCATCCAGTCGTCTCTCTGCGCCTTCTTCGGCGCTTCTGCAAAGTGCGGGTCCGTGTCGAATGCGCTCTTGGCAGGCTTGTCGTCCTGGTGTGCGCTGGCATTGCATGTAGCGCCTGCGGGAGGAGGCGCAGGCCCAAAGTCGTCGCTGCTGTCCGAGTCGTCGTCGCTGCTGTCCGAGTCGTGCGGGAGCTGGTCGAGAGGGGCGGGCGGTGCTGCAGGCCCCATGACGCGTGCTGGCCTTGCTGCGCGCGGGGGCCGAGGCGACGCTGGTCCGGCTACGCGGCGGCGCTTCTCGCTGGCGTCTGGGCTGGGCGCGCGGTCGTCTTGGTCGTCGCGACTGCGCTTCGAGGGCTGTGGAGGCATTGCTGGTCCGACGGGAGGCATTGCTGGTCCGACAGGAGACGTTGCTGGTCCGACGGGAGACGTTGCTGGTCCGACGGGAGACGTTGCTGGTCCGACGGGAGGCGTTGCTGGTCCGACGGGAGGCATTGCTGGTCCGACGGGAAGCATTGCGGGCGGTTCTGTGGTCGAGTGTGGTCGAGTGCGGTCGAGTGTGGTCGAGTGTGGCCGACGTGTGAGAGCCGACAAACGCTCGTGCGCAAGCTTGGGACGGCCCGCCGTTGCCGACCAACGACACTCCCGCGGGGGGCAGATCAGATGACAGGCACCTCCGCAGCAGAGCTCCGAACAGCTACACGAAACGAAACACGTCCTTGCGCGGAGCGATGCGCCACTGTGGACGGGCCTCATGAGCTCAGAACCGGGGTCGGGCGACGCGGGCGCTCCCAACGACCCCGACGACACGACCGACACAGGCCATGGCCTCCAGGACGCGCCCAAGGTCGGGCGCATACAAGACGAGCACGCACAGCACGACAGCGACGGCGCGACCGCCAGACTGCCCTCGCGCCCCACGGCAGGCAGGCCCGCGAGCCTCGAATCGGCCTCCACCCCCGATGATACCCCGTCGGCGCAGGGCTCCATGGTCTCCTCGCCGCGGAGCAGCGTCGCCTACTCGTACAACTCGCCGCGCGCAAACCGACCGGCCCTGCAGCCCTTTGACCGTCGCTTCTCCTCGCGCCTGTCGCCCTCGCCGCTGGCGACCCCGCGCGGCGCCTCGCCCGGCTTTCTGTCCGCCCACTCGCGCCAGTCGTCGGTCTCTAGCAACCTGCTCTTCCGCCAGATACCCGATGACGGCACAGACACCCCGCCGGCCCCCTGGGACGTTGTGCGCTGGACCAAGCTGAAGATGATCACCGCACAGGTCTTCTCCGAGGTGGGCAAGCGCAACTTCGGCAGGCCCACCTGTCTGCATGTGGCAGCCTCGCTGGTCATTGGCACGTCCAAAGGCTTCATCCTGGTGTTCGACTACCAGCAAGTCCTCAAGTCAATCATCGGCCCCGGCACCAAGGGTAACACGTGCCACATCACCGTGAACCAGGAGCCCGCCTGCTGACGAGACTGCAGCTGTCGAGTGCGGCGCCATCACGGCGCTCGCCATCTCCGCCGACCACTCGACCATTGCCGGCGGCCATGCAACAGGGCACCTGTTCACCTGGGAGGTTGCCAAGCCCGCCAAGCCCTTCCTGCATATCCCCCCACTGGACCGCGCCAGCGTGGACGACAGGAAGTCGGACGGTCACGTCTCAGGCGTGGCCATCCTGCATCTCGGCTTCCTTGGCACGCGGCACACTGCACTTGTCTCTGCCGATGATGGGGGCATGGCTTTTTCGCATCTGGCCACCCGTGGACTCGGCGCGCTTGCGAGGAACGTCAACATCACACGAATCTTGGGCAGGTACCCTCTCTCAGCCAGGTCGCAGGAGAAGCCCAGGAAGCCGAGCTCTGTGCTTGCCTTTGCGCCCCTGCCCCTAGGCAATGTCGAGCAACCGACGGATGTCATGGGGTTGACGGCGCTGCTCACGCCCTATCTGCTGGTCATTGTGTCGACGACGCCTGTCGCGCAAACACAGCACAAGGCTCCGCGGCCAAAGGAGGTGGCGTTGCACAGCGCCATGAGTGGTTGTCTGGCCTGGTTTCCTGCCGTGAAACTCAAGCACGCAAGCCAAGACTCGACAAAAACAGTCTCCAAGACAAAGCTGGTCTACTGCTGGTCCAATGTCCTGACCATTCTAGATGTGGCAAGCTTCGTCGCACCTCCGACCGAGAAGGAAAAGCCCACGGAACTGGCGTTCAAGCCGCGGAGTCGCTGGAAGGCAGACGAAGCCATAGTCGCAGTGCAGTGGCTCAGCAGATCCGTGCTCGGTGTACTGACCATCAGCCAGCGGCTGCTTATCCTCGAGGATACCACGCTGCGGACCACCGACTCGTTCGACTTGCTGCAGAAACACATATATCACTCGGACCTGTTCTCGAGACAGCTACGTCCCGTGGTAGAAGACCACGATGAGGAAGATGCGTCGCTGCATGGCGTCGTCGCCGATGCCTTCTACATGAGCTTTAGAGCCTACAAGGGGCGATTGTTCCTGCTCGGATTCAACGACGTCTCCATCGGCACACTCTCCAACTGGGCCGATCGCCTGCTGGCCCTCATGGAAGACGGCGATTTCATCGCCGCTATCCGTCTCGCGACATCCTACTACGTTGGCGATGCGGACAAGCTCACCGTTGGCCTCCCAGAGAACGACGAAGCGCGACATGCACTTGTTCGCGACAAGTTGCTTGAAATGATCACGGCATCACTCCAGTATGCATTCGCCCAGAGCGACGACAGCGAGGACGCCAAGGATGCGCGGCTCAAGGAGCTTGCTGAAGTCTGCTTCGCAGCTCTGTTCAGCATGGAGGACATGGGCTTTCTCTTCGAGAACGTCTACGAAGCTTTCGAGGCCGCGTCCACGGGCAAGCCGTTCTTCGAGACGCTGGAGCCTTATATTCTGGATGGGCAGATCGAAGAGGTGCCCCCGGACGTGCTCAAGGATCTGATCACATTCTACGCTTCAGTTGGTCGCGGTGCCCGGGTCGAAGAGATGATCTGTCGTCTGAGCACTGAGACTTTGGACATGAACGACGTCACCACCATCTGCCAGCAGTACATGCTGCACGATGCGCTGATTCACGTCTGGACTCGGACCATTGGCGATTTCATCACGCCACTGACCAACATCCTGGACCTTATCAAGCTGATTGATTTCAGCCTGGATGACTCTGACAACGTATTGGTGGTCTCGGCTAGGAAGATCTTTCCCTATCTGTCATACACATTCACTGGGCGCTACTATCCTGGCGGCACCTCTATGGACGACGAGCAAGCCTACAGCGCCAAGAAAGACATGTACAGATTCTTGTTCGCGAGCAAGAACATCCAGTGGCCCCCAGGTTCAGGATCCGTGTGCTTGACGCGTAACGACAACAGCCCGGAGCCCTCCTTCCCGTACCTGCATCTCATCCTCGAATTTGACGCCTCGAGCTTCATGAGTATGTTGAACGAGGCCTTTGAGGACAGCTTCCTGAATGGCGATGCGGAAACAACCAATGGCATTCAGACAGACGGCAAGACGCACACGCCGACTCGGCAGTACATTGTCAACATACTGCTTGGGATCATGACGCCTGCAGACTTCAGTGCCGAGGATATCATTTACTTCTACATGTTTATTGCGCGGAATCTACCAAAGTACCCGCAGTACATGATGCTTCCTGGAAGTTCGCTTCATCGGATCCTCATTGGTCTGTGCAGCTATCCGACAGAGGTTGTGAAGGACGACTGCCAGCTTTCTGTCGAGTATCTCCTAACCATCTATCACCCACCGAATGTGCAAAGCCTGGTACCGACATTCGAGGCAGCCGGCTTCCATCGCGTTTTGAAGTCTGTGTATCGCAGTGCGCATCAGTACGCGAAGCTGCTGGAAACCTATCTGGTCGATGACGAAGACGAAGAGGCTGTCTTTGGCTGCATAGGTGACATTCTCCGACCAAGCAAAGGCCTTCCCAAGAGGCAGATCGGCGAAGTCAAGCAAGTCATTGTCGGCCGTGCTGGAGATCTCGTCGCAGTTGATGCAGAGCAGACGGCCATCACGATGAAGGCCTACGCGCCTGACCTCCTGGAACCCATCTTGAACGCCATCGAAGACGATCGCGATGCGCAGTACCATTATCTGAGGGCCTTGATTGAGCCTGAGCAGACGCAGTCAGGCGAGACTGCCGCCATCGACGAGAGTCTGCCACCTGGCTTTGTTGAGAAGTATGTCGAGCTCATGTGCACCTACAACAGCGGTCACGTCGCAGACTTTGTCGGTCTTCTCAAGTCTGGCGATCTGAAGCTCGACCCTGTACTGCCTGCGCTGGAGAAGAGCGGTGTCATCGATGCTGCTGTTGTGCTTCTAGCACGCGATGGCCTAGTCAAAGAGGCCATGGACCGTCTCGTGAAGCACCTGGGCACATTGGAGACTGCGCTCACGGGCCTCATACCTGCTGCTGCGGAGAGCCCTGACGTCGCCAATGCCGAAGAAGCCGCGCGCGGCCTTCTCGAAGATATCCAGAAATACGTCAAAGTCGGTATCTGGCTCAGCCAAGGTCAGACAAGGTCGGCTGCACACACTGCGCCAGTGATGGACAGACGAAAGTCAGCCTACGGAGAAGTCAAAGAAGGAGATCTTGCACTTGACGAGCTGCTCTGGCTCGACCTCATCTCCACAGTCGTCAAGCTGATCAAAGAAACATCCACGGCCATGGCCGACACCGACCTCCCCACAACCACGGAAGGCCTCGACACCGCAAACATCGCAAAGCACCTTCGCGACTCTGTGCAGCAAACCTTCTCCGCTCTGCTGGCATCCACCACCATCCCCCCAACAAAGTCCACAGCCCACCCCTCACCGTCCAGCCGCCCTTCCCTGAGTCGCGCAACCAGCCAACCCCAGACGAACCCGTCCTTCCTCCGCATCCTCCGCGCCTTCCTCCAGCGCGCATCAGCCACCTATTCGCCCTCCCTAACGCACCTACGCTCCGTGCTCGCCGACATCTTCGCCGCCTACACCTTCGAAGCGCGCATCCTGCAGCTCGCAAACAGCTTCCTCGACAAAGAAGGCTTCGCGCACGTCGAGCACATCGCCGCCCGCCGCGCCCGCGGATGGCGCCCGCGCGGCCAGATCTGCGAGCGCTGTCGGGCACGCACGTGGGGTCCCGGCGCGGGCGCCGGTGTGTGGGACGCGTGGGAGAAGGCGGAAGAGGCGCGTGCGAGGAAGAGAGCGGATGGGGAGGATGCGCGGGGCCGGGCCGAGAGAAGGGGGGGGCAGAAGGGCAAGGGGAAGAGCGCTAGTCAGAGCGGCGACGAGGGGGACGAGGGCGGAGAGGTAAAGGCCAAGGGCCCGTTGGTGGTGTTTGCGTGCCGGCATTTGTGGCATAAGGCGTGTGTCGAGGCTGAGGTTGGCGTTGGACAGCGGTTGACTTGTCCGCTTTGTATAAATGGCGAGTGATGTAGAATCAAGTCCGTGGTGCCGCGGATACATACACCACCGCCCTCTTCTCAGCCACCACCCTCTTCTTCTCAACTACCGCCCTCTTCTCAGCCACCGCCCTCTTCTTCTCAGCCACCACCCTCTTCTTCTCAGCCACCACCCTCTTCTTCTCAGCCACCACCCTCTTCTTCTCAGCCACCGCCCTCATTTTGCTCATGCCACCCTTCTCCCGTCGTTCGGCCCGAGCCGAAAGCTCTCGTCCGTCACCTACACCACTGCCCGCTCACCCCAGTATCTAGCTCCTCCCTTCCCAGACTCGCCATTGCCCAGGGAAAACTTCGTGGGGACGGATTCGTGAGTCGTGAGTTCTAGCTCATGGGCCATCTGTCGTTGTAGCACACAGTTCCATCGAAGTCGCGTGAACATCGTCCCGGATTCCGCCTTCGATCTCGCTTGCCATGCAAGCTAGTTACTGTACATACACCACACCGTGCCAGACGTGATTGCTCTGTGTGGGGCTTCATCGCGCAGTCACGTGGGGGCTCATCGCGCAGTCCCGTGACATCGCGACAGGCTGTATCCCTGCTCTTCACCCCACGAAGGAACGTGCGGTGTTCTTCTCTATCTATCCGACGCCCCCGACGGACCTGCGATACCCCGCACAGAGCTGTGAGTCTACTCAAGACGCCCCAAAATTCCACCGGTGTCTCCTCGAGCTCCGACAGCAGCGACTACACCGCGACCAGCTCTGGCCCTACTAACTCCGTAACACAACCTTTCCACCACAACTCGCTCTGACTGACGCCGGCTTAGAGCAGCTCCGGCGCGTGGAACCCCAGCGCTTACCTAGTATCTAACAGCGGGTCTTCGTACAACAGCGGTTCTGGCATGACTACATCTTCGACACGTGGGCGTTACTGACTTTGTAGGGCGTGTCTTCCCACGGCTCTGCGAGCGCAAGGTATACTTCTCGCGCGTAGGTCTTAAATGTAGATAGTAGCATGCGCTCGCAACCCTCTGAAGCGGGTGTGTAAGGAGCAGAAGAGATTGACGAGAGGCGGGGCAATGGAGATATCAATCAATAGCCGACAAAGCGCAGTATTGCCCTGAAAAGCTTCGCGGGATGGTTGGGAGTCGTTGTTCTAGCTCATGGGCTAGTTGTCGCTGTAACGTACCTATACTTACATCGAAGCGCCTGTCTGCTTCCGCTAGATTTTCGAGGTCGCGATTTGAGTGGTGCGGTGGCGTGGACTTGGTGCGGAAATTAGTTCGGGATAGCTGTGGGATAGTATCGCGCTGGATGGTTGAAATGGAAGGAGGGCTATCTGCCTTTGTTTGAATACGCATGGGATTAGATGGTGTGCGAAGAGGTGAGATTCTCTTAGCTTGTAATCCTCTGCTGATCTTAAAGGTGTATTTGTAGGACAAGGCTGTGTGTAGAGAATGAAGATTGTGGGATTTCTGTAATAGTCTTTGGAGTGTTGCAAGAAAATTGAATTTGTGTAGGAGGAAATTAGAAACTTAGTGCGCTACACTATATCTCAATGGTAATAGGAGACTTAAGGCTTATTTGTCGCGGCAGACGTAGCCGCGGTGTGTATTGATGGAAACCTAGGCTGAGTTGCTTGCCAGCTAGGAGGCGACCATATATACATGCCCTGAGACGTGCTAGTCCAAGGTAGTCAACAGAGGTGACGATCAAGGCCTATAGGACCGACTTGCACCGCAACATTATTTGTCTTAGGCCCTGCGGGGCGTGTGGACTTGGCCACCTCTGAGTTGATGGGGTCACGATGATGTGTACTGTTCTAGCTACGTGCTCACTATCTGAGTGAGTATTTGTTGCGGTATCAAGGGCAAATGTATATAACGAGTGTATTGTGTTCTGTGTGTTGTCGTGTTGCTTGCATCTTTGCTCTCCAAGGCTCTCTGCGGGGTCTGTTTTGATGACGTCTTTGTGATGCAGCTGAGGTAAGAGGTGCTCAACAACATGAGGAAGCAGCACCAGACCACCGCCAACAACACGTGATCCGCTTCTCCTCTCAACCGTTACAGTATTGATACCTTTTGGTTGGCATGACCAAGTGGGCTGAAACTCTGTCCTGACAGTTTACTAGTATAGGGCCTATATTTTAAAAAACAAAAGGTGAAAGTAAGTAGTCTATTGGTTAATAATTTGACAAAAAAACCTAGGAAATCAGAAAATTGGCACGATAATGGGCAGGCCCGAAGTTATGTAAAGAGCGTCCAAGATTTGAAACTTCGATCTTGCTTGCCAAGTTGTTATGCGAGTCAGTTACTCCGCAACGTGCCGGACGTGATTGCTCTATACTGTGTGGGGCTTCAGACCGACCACGACACCCCGCACTTCGCTGCGACTCTTTCAATCACTCCAAACACTAGATACTTCCAGTGCCAATAAGTCACAACCACAGTTGCGAAGTTCTCCCATCCTAATCAGTCAGTCAATATGCCTCAAAGCTCCAACTCCTCCTCCTCGAGCTCCGGCTCCAGCTCCAGCGGCACCGGCTACACCACGACCAGCTCTGGAACCAACGATTCGGTGACATCACCCTCCCAGTGCGCCACTCGCTTTGACTAAAGGCGGTACAGGGCAACCACTACTGCTCGCGCGACTACGGCTCCGGCGCGTCGAACTCCAACTCTTACCACTACTCCAACACCGATGGGTCTTACTACTACAGCAACCCTGACGTGAGTACATTCTCTCAACACCGTGGGCTTTGCTGAATCTATCGTGTAGGGCTCGACTTACTACAACTCTGGTGATGGGCACGCGAAGTACACTTCTGGCAAGTAGGTGGCGAGCGCAGACTGCATGCAGCATGCCATCACATGACCAAAGCCGAGGAGGTTAAGTAGCAGAGGATATTTCGGCCTGAGGCAATGTAAACAACTTCAATCACGGGTCGTACCTTCATTGCTACACAATCAAGACGGCTATTCATCTTACTGCAAACGGTGTATAGCAGGCACTGCAATCATCTCAGAAATGATCTTTGAAGCGCCCACCTCAGCTGCTCACCTACTTCCCTCCTTTCGGCGGGGTACAAGTGGCACTGCCCTTACCATCGTTGTGATACGTCGAGCCGCCAGAGTTGGAGTAGTAGTACGAGCCATCCCTACGCACGTTTCGGCATCTTCGTACCTGAACGAGAAGCAGCACCTACGTGTTGGAATAGTGGTACGAGTTCTGGTTGGCAGCATCTGGTCCGGGGTCGCAGCGGCACCAGTGATTTCCGGCTTTGTTCGTGCCGGAGCTGGTCACTTCGTATCCGCCGCTGTTGGAAGCCGCCAGACGCAGAGTTGGTGGGGCTGTTGTTGTTTGATGTTTTGTGCTGAGTCGGAGAGCGGTGGGTACGCATGCTATCCCTCACGATTGGATGGTGCTATTGTCGGAGCTGATTGATCGTGACAGGCCGGAAGTGTCGAGCAAGATGTGATCAGATACCTTTGCCGAGCTGTTCACGAAGACCGCCGACCTCATCTACTCCTGAATCCTAACTGGACTAGCTTACTCCAAACTTCGATCCGGAGCGATCCACTGCCCATCTCAATCCGCATCTGCTGCGACAGCTATGGAGCACTCTGGTGGTTTGCTGTTTGGGTCACGAACCAGATGTACGTGTTTGTCGGGTCACAACAAGCCTCAGAAGCACACTAGGTAGGACTGTCGTTGAAGCCTCGGAAAGTGGCGAACCGAGCATTTCGCGTGTTACCCCACGATTTGTAAGAGTGACCAGGGTCCGTTGCAGTTGTTGAGAAGCGAAGCTGCTTGCGGTACTCCTCCCGGCTTCTGCGGATTGGCGGAATCTCAACAATGGCCGAGCTCGGGCCGTTGCGCAGCCGGCGTTTGGCAGGCCGTGAAGCACTCAACAGCTTCCTTCGTCACGCTTGACATCTGCAGTTGAGATCGTAACTCTGCGTTGAACCGAGTACAGGCATCAAGTGAGAGTCATCGCACTCTCGAAGCCGCCCTGACATCGCTGAATGTCCAAAACGGTCATTCCGTCTAATATGCAGATGTTCATAGTATGCAGTGATATCGGGCACCGGGTAGAGTAGCGACGTGCCTTGTCTAGTATCCGTGGCCGCGGATAAAGGCGGACGATTGAACGCTAGCTGCCGTACAGACCGAAGAGAAGAGCGACGGCAGTCGCGGAGTTGAGCCTGGATCGCCACTGCAAGACGGAATGACTTGGCATTCCATTGCCTGCGACAGCATGCACGCAATCATTTCGAGCATGTGATGCAGCTAGGCAATCATATTACAGCTGTCAAACAACCTGCGGTACATGTTCGTTGTGGAGTGTTCGGGTGCAGAGACCGCGTCGCCCATCCTGCGTTGGTCAGCCAAGCAGACTTGGCGTTAAACAAAGGCAATCAGTCGATGGTACCCGGTCATCAATGATACCGTTGCGGCATCTCCACTCCAACGGCTACGATGCAAGCTGTCATCATGGTGTGATGTCGACCTGGAAGCCTCTATCAAGTCTTGGCATATCACGCCTGTTTCATCTTCGGAGAGAGTTCGTGTGACTTTGTCCAGACAATCCCACGGATGCCTTTCGGTTCGTAGCGTTGAGGCTCCGTCAGTTTCCACGTTTGGAACGCCATACACAGGATCGTGGTAGGGTGAGCATCAGCAAACTGCCGAGCGAATGCGCTTGCTCCATGTGAACACTTCACACTGACCCCCACGTAAGAGTGCAACCTCGTGCCCTTGCCACCGACAACGACTTTCATGGCCGTCGATTCACTGGTCTTTATCCAGAAATGCATGGTCAGCGGCGCAGTAGGGTACGGACACGACGAGTTGTACGACATCAGTGTCCCTGTGACCAGAAAACAAGTTCTACGAATTGCTTCCAGCATTAGCAACTCAGGAATTGAGCATCGGTGAAGATGTCTTAAACACTCTGTGGCCAGACGTAAACGTTGACCAACGCTTCCACATCCGATGTGCGCTTTAGGGATCTGCCCACACCACTGTGGACCCGGCAAGGTTTCCGACAGCGCAGTCACGTCGCCTTTGTTGGCTTCGTGGTCGTCACCAGCGCCGGTTCTCGAGATGGAAGTCTGCCTGTAGTCGCCTTTTCTGGCGATAAAGGTCAGCATCCCTCGTTCTCGGCAGAGTTGTAGCGTTGACCAATCTTATCTGGAGTGCAGCCTGACGGCAGACTCATGCACGTCACAGCCAGCGGCAAGCAGATGGTGGAGGTTGTGCAGGGATAAAGCGGGAAGCATTCCGCGGAGCGCCAATTTGTGGGGTAATACCTTGCAGGAGTGGCATGCTTGGTCGGTTCAAGTTCGGTATTGACTTCCACTACAAGGCTGAGCAAACGAACGACTGACAGACCCTACGGACATGAGACCCAACGACCATTCAGGCACACGTCGAGGTTTGGCCTCTCTTACTTCAAGCTTATTTCGTCATGTCGTCGAGGGTTGCGTTGATACCTCGGTGATAAGTCTGCACTTTAGTAAGTTTCCTGGAGGTTGAGCTTGACATGCGCTATACAACATCGGCATTTGAGATGCACAGCATGAGGTGCTGCACTTGAGCATCGGCATCGCGAAGATCCACAGCGGAAAAGCTGTTATAGTTTCCCTTCTTGATCTACCTCGGCTACTGGCGTGGGGGGCGACAGCAAGATCCACCGAGGATCAGGCACCTTACATGAGGTTGTGCAAGCATGGTCTGGCCTGTCTGACCTCAGTATCGGTATCAAAATCGATGTGATTCCAGAGCTTCGGGCTGCATGTCGAACTGTTGATGCCGAGTTACTTGCTGTATCGAGGTGAAAGGCCTAGGGCCTCGTGTACCGCGCGCCACGTTGTCTCCTTGCGTTGTACGCTGCCATTTGGCCAGAAGCCTCGTCTCGATGTCATGCAGACCATCCCCACATCTGCTCCTGACAATGCGTGAGCTAAGAGCGGTGTAGCCATGCGCACAGGTGGAGCAGAGGTATCGTGGTTCATGTCGAAGTGACATGAGGTCGAGAAAGGCTCCAAGGCTAAAGCGAGCTTGGGCCAGGAACGCCACTTGAGGTAAGAACGTGGGGGTGCCTCGTGAAAGCTTCGCAAGCTGACAGAGCCTGTCACGACAAGGCGCTCGTATCGATGCGAATCAGGGGCCTGGCTGTCGATACCGTGCGTGGCTGCTCAGACCGCGACAATGTTGTTGCAGATGGTCTTGTGATCCGGCCCCTTTCTAGCTTCCGCCACATTCGACAATATCTCCCTCCACCCCGCATTTGTTTCTCCGCCTCAGCGCTTTGCTCCTCACTGCAGCATGACTGGGACCACGATGGACGATGGAATTGCGGGGGCCGACGAGTGCGGAATCAGATGATACGAAGAGGCGAAGCTTGGCTGCCACCATTCCCCACCCCCACACTAAGATCCCCGAACGGTATCCACCAACGCTCTTTCCAGCTCGCCAACATTTCGGATCGCGCGAGCAGTGGCCAACGATTGACCAGTAATCGCACAGTATGCGACCCAAAGATCGTCACAGGGCGCTCACCCTTGCCGTTCACCACCGGCCAAGATCCGACCTCACGCGGCCTGTTCATCGTGCAGTGGCAGCGAGACAGCAAATTTTGCTGCAGTTAATGCCATCCACCTTCTCGATTGGCGCAAACAGCCGTGCCTGACGTCGGTTACGGCAAACACCGCCTCCTCGGCCTGTGTCTTTGACCTTCCTACTGCACGAAAGCCTGACTCTTGCAGAAGCACCTCTTGGCATCTCCCTTCGCCTGTTCAACCCGAGATCCTAGACTAAGCCGTCAGCTGAACCCCCACACTCGCACTGGCGTTGTTGACCGGACATGGTTCCATCCCCCGTTTGCATTATTTAAGTACTTGAACTATCCTCAATAGCTGGGTAGACTATCACCGTTGACGTATTCGTTCCGTTCATCGCTCTACTTTCCGAATTGTTCTTTGTCAAACGTCTCCGCTCTGATCTGCAACCCATTTAACATATAAGTCAACAAAAGTTTCGTCTCGACAGCCCTTTTGGTTACCATGTCACCGCTCCTTGACGCACCTTCGACTCCGGACAGCTACTCTTACTCAAACGGGTCCTACCAGCCTGTTCAATCTGCTTACGCCATGACCAACAACTCCGGAGACCGGGCCCTCGTGCCTGGAATATACGTGCCCACAGTAGCATTCTTCGACCCTGCTACAGATGATGTAGATGTCGAGACTGTTGCCAACCATGCCGTTCGTCTCGCGAAAGCTGGCGTTGCCGGCATCACAACCCAAGGATCCAACGGCGAGGCTGTCCATCTATCCCACAAGGAGCGCAATCTCATCACCAGCACAACTCGCCAATCTCTCGACGCAGCTGGGTTCTCAAATATGCCCGTGATCGTTGGCTGTGGTGTTCAATCGACCCGGGAATGCATCGAGCTCTGCGAAGAAGCAGCCTCCGCTGGCGGAGACTACGCATTGGTGCTCCCCCCCGCCTACTACCAGGGCCTCTTCTCTAAGGACACGGTCAAAGAGTTCTTCCGCGATGTTGCAGATGCCTCACCGATCCCAATCCTGATCTACAACTACCCCGGCGCTGTCTCTGGTCTCGATCTCAACTCCGATGTCATCATTGAGCTGGCTCAGCACCCCAACATCGCTGGCTGCAAGCTGACCTGCGGCAACACTGGCAAGCTCAACCGCATTGCCGCTGCCACAGATGCCGTGACTGTATCGAGCTCTGGATCTGGGTTCATGTGTATGGGCGGCTCTGTCGACTTCACTCTGCAGACTCTCGTGGGCGGTGGCTCTGGCATCATCGGCGGCATGGCGAACATTGCACCCAAGACCTGCGTCAAGCTGGTTGAACTGTTCAAGTCCGGCAAGTTGTCCGAGGCTCAGAAGCTGCAGGCTATTGTTGCGCGTGGAGATTGGGCTGCGATCCAGGGCGGTATCATCGGCACCAAGGCTGGCCTTGTTGCACACTTTGGATACGGAGGGTATGCTCGTAAGCCACTTCCCAGGCCATCAAAAGAGGAGACAAACAAGTGGAGGGAGGCCTTTGATGAACTCGTCAAGACCGAGAACTCGTTGTAAAAGCTGTGCAGCGGTTGTTTATACCAGTGTTGGCTCGGCGTAGCCATGTTTGAGCGTCATGCATGTGTGTCAGATTGCTTTTGCATAGCAGCGGCGGGCGGTCTTTTGTAGCACTTTAGCGTCTTTCAATCGTACTTTTGTCAACTATGGAAACTCTATATGCCCCGTTCAGCAAGTGCTGAGTGAAGTTCTCGATGCATTTCGCCTCTCTGTGAAACAGTCATTTGCCAGGCAACGAAGCGCCCAGCGCGAAAGAATACGCCTGGCCACCACGGTTCCTCCGCATTTCTGTTTAGATGCCTCAGTTTTCGAATATTATCTTATGCCCGGCTTCTATCCACCACTCGAGACAATCCACTAGCCATGTACGCAATTACTCCTGGTCCCAGCCAACGGCTGTGGGCACCTCACGCCAGTCCAATATCACAGATTACAAAGCTATGGGCTTTATCGCGATATTGCAGATATTTGGCCACATTTGCAAGATACGTAATTGAGAGATGTCGTGGACAGCTGTTATGTCGTAGAGTGCGCCGAGCGCAGGTTTGATGGTGGTAATTGTTCTTCTTTGTACCGCCTTCAATCGTGCCATCGGATGCGATTTGGTGCTCCAGACTTCATCGCATACGAAGGCGTTCGCCTTGTTCGAGGTCAGTACGGCGTCTGCGTAGATCTGTTGACAGACTTCAGGCAGATGGAAGGCCGAAGAAATTCGAGTTGCAGAGTTGTATCATGCGGATAACTTTACCCCTAAGGAGACATTGCTCGCATTCAGGTTCGGACCGTCCTTTGTCGGGAATCTGACGGCTCTACCTTTCTCACCTGTCTTCCACTGCGTGGGAAGCATGACTTACTGGCCACCACAGGCGTAGTTCCATGTCATGTTTCGATTTTCGGCGGGAAGGCGTAGAAGAGGTGAGTTCGCATTAGCTTGAACACTATGAGAATAATCAGCGACCTTGATAGCACATCCTTGAGCCAGTGGTTTCTTCTTACGTAGCGACCAAGTGAGGGGATGCTTTCTCGAGGATCAGCAGGCTGTTTTTGTAGCACTTCCTGCGGTAGCCGGGGCGTTTTTTGACCGACTTCGCTGACCCTGTCGCTGAGGCTTTTGCCTTGTTCGTCTTTGCCCTGCGCACTTTCGTGGGCGTGAAGGACACTTCGTGAGCCGGTCCCGGCTTCGGTTAGCGGGGCGCCATGCTGATCGTGATTGTTAGTGTGAGGGTGGCGGCTTGTGGAGGTAACACTAGTGAGTTGCGGTTTCAAAAGCAGGTGAAGGTAGGAGTGAGGCACAGGCAGAGGAAGCTGCACAGCCATCTCGCTTCCAACTCTCAATTTAAAAAGGTCCTCGTAATCGTGGCACTGTGGCTTTGGCGCAAAAAGATCTGGAACCAGCTTCTTATATTCTGTGCTCTGACAGGAGCTTGACACAGCTCATCTTGAAAGCACGCATATAGCGAGTACAGCTTTCGAGCATATTTTATGCCCTATGTGTGTTCTCAATAGTCGAGAAGTATGAGATATACTCTCAGGACAACATGTGTTTGATTACTCAAATTTGATCTCCACTCCCTGGCCGTGCAGCTTCCTAAGCTTTTCCGACACCCATGCCTGCCACCTCTCCTCGCCGTGAAGTTTTGCTGTTTCTAACACGTGGGACAAATTCCTCAGGTAAGAGCTCACCGGTTCGGAAATCCACATAGTCTTCAAATTTGGCAGTACCCTCGTCACCGACATTTGGCAGGGATGCCAAGCCGTGTACAAGTAGTAGTTGAGCAGCTCAGAATCGATCTGGACGTCTCTGATGGCTCTCTTCTGAAACGCCCTCAGTCGTGTCAGCGGATTTGTCTTTCCATTCACGTGTCCCATGAACAGAAAGAATTGACTGTGCGAGTACGAGATCAACGCTGCTTCAGAATATACCTGTCGACAGACTTCTGGCAGGTGGAATGCCGCAGGCAGCTTTTCGATCTCGAAAGCATGAGTCTTGAGGCGGGGGTTTGCGGGTGTCCAGGACCCACTCTCCGGCTTCAGCTTGTACTGCCCTGCACAGCCTTTAGAAAAGGTATCTTCGGCTAGAAACACAAGCTGGCCACCCATAGCGAGGATCCAAATGATGTTTCTGATCTCGGCAGGAAGGCGAAGGAGGGGAGAGCTCGTAGCGTTGCGCTGTACTCTTGTTATAATGTTAGCACTAGTAGTTATTGGACCTTTGAACCATGACACACATTTCCATTAAGTGTGTAGGCATCTTTTCGAGGTCAAGAAGCCCGTTTCTTTGTCTCTTCGGGCGGGGGGTTCTGGTTGTTGGCGCGCTTCGCGTGGGACTGCCGTTGTCTGTTTGTGTGTCTGAATTCTTCTTTGATCTCGTCTTGATGACCCTCGCTGGAGAGTTGGGCGGCTGTGCGCTCTTTGGCGCAATTCGAGGTTTTTGGGGTGCCATCGTGTTGCGCGTTCCTTTGAGTCTTGGGTGTCGGTGGGTATCAGTGGATGTGGTCAGCGCTATTTTTGAAGGGAAAGAGGTGCGGGCCAGAGTGGGGCATATGCCTTTTCAAGAAGGTCAAGTGAAAGACGGGACTAGCATCGAGGATCAGGGTCCACTATAGAGAGTGAAAAACGAATGTGAAGACTAATGGAAGTGTCCAAGAGTGTTGCGGAAAAATGAGGAAGTGTGTAACCCTCTTGAGAATCTATGCACCGAACTTCCGCAACCTATTGGATCGTAGCTTCACTACACCATAACATTAATAGATGAATCCAAAGCCATCGCCTCAACCCTTGGCCATCAACTCATCTTCTCGCCATGGAGACCTTTCCACGCCGCGCTTAGACTCCGACACATATGCTTAGGTTGTTGATGGTGGGGTCTTTGGTACTACCTTGACGCGCACGAACGCCATACGCACATCAGGCTTCACCTTACGCAAGTGCAGGGCGATTCGGAGCTCTTGAGCGGCGATGAGCAATTCGGCCAGCAGTGCCAGAGTCTGCTGAGCTGCCGGTCTCTTTTCGTCGTACTGGAAAGTTTCAAGAACATCGAACGAGATGAGCTTAAGCCCTGGGAAGCGGTCAAAGTGTAAGGCATCCGGCAGCAGAGAACGTCGCTGAGATACTTGATCTGCGGCAAGCATGCGATTTGCACCGATGGTGGCGACGTGTATTTCGGCAATGATGTTCTGCTGGACGGGTCGAAGGCTTACTGCCCAATCGAAGGCGTCTTCGGAAGCGAAGCAGAAAGCGTTGTGCTTGTATGGGATGAGCGCTGTCTCGGCGTAGATCTGGCGACAGACTCGAAGCAAGGCGAAAGTGTTGATGGGCAGGTCCCAGGCTTTTGCCTTGTCGATTCTCTTCCTCTGCTTGAATACCTTGCGAGTGGTGATATCGAAGGCATGGCCACCGAGTGCGTACTCCCAAATCTGGTTCCTAAGCTCTGGCGGCAGGCGGAGCAGTCGGGATTGCGAGTTGGTTCTGATGCTTTGTGCTGTCAGCGTTTGCCGTCTTTCCAACCAGAGGTTGCGTTGACTTACGTCCTTACGTGTTTACCTGACTTGCGAGTCACATCAAGCATGCCGTTCTCAAGCCGTCGAACTGGGCCAGTCCTTCGCTTGCTTGGCGCTGTGCGAGTCCCTGGGTATTTGTCCATGAATGCTGAGCGTGATCTTTGCTGTGTGGGGTATCAAGATTCAGGAGGTCGTCGTTTTGAATGTGAACAGAATGGTATGGGAGAGCGATGAAAGAATGGTACAGGAGAGTGATGATAAAGAAACCAGGCTTATAGAAGTCTTACCTAGTGCTTTACTTGCCCGTGACTCTGATCAGTGAGACAGATTGACCTGTAGCCAGTCTCTCATTCACCAACGCGCTAGAGACCCATCAGATCGCAACCTTCTCAAACCTGATCTCCAACCTCGGATGTTCCTTTTTCAACCTCAATCGCAATCTCCCCTCTGCTTCCACCGTGTCCACGTCCTCCAACTCACTGCCACCACACGCCCAATTCTCATCCTCCCTCACCATTCCTGCACACTTCACTTCGACCTCTACCCTCCTCAATCCCTTGAACTTCTCAACTGGAAACACATCTACCAACCTCCTCGGCGCAAATCCACGGCTCTCAACCATGTGTTTCGCCTTCCATGTGACAAGCATGACATGCTGGATCGCCGCTTGTTGGGCACGATCAAAGTTCGCCAGCCAAGGCTTAAAAGCGTCCTCGGACTTGAACTGGAAGATGTTGAGTGTGAAAGGCAGCAGTCGAGTTTCGGCGTGGATCTGGCGGCAAGTCTGCAGCAAGGCGAGGCTGTGTGGTGATATTGTCGTGTTGGAGACTGTGACACCCCAGGGGATCCGGACGGAGCATTTTATGTTGAACGTATTCCCTTTGAGGACATGGGACCAGATCGTGTTGCGGAGTTCTGCGGGGAGGGAGAGCAGAGGGGACGCTGTCGATTTCCGTAGTCGTTCCATCTTGCTCATGATATGAGATGTACACAGCGATAAGTCAAGATTGGAGATGTATGGAACAGACTGAATAAGAGAAAGGAAAGTGCCGATTTTGGAAGACTTCAAGAAATTTACTCGAGCTTTGAACCTATTCATGGCGCTATCAGCGGGTCTGATGGCAGATTCTTTGACCAATCCGTGCATGCCAAGTTGGTGAGGCTAATGACTGGCGCAGATGAGACACAGACGAGAGAGACATGCTGATGGAGGGCGACAGCTGAGCGTAGGAGTCGCCAATCGGTTGCTGAGAGAGGCGACCGTGCAGCTTGCACCTTCCAGCCGCAATCTGACAGGTGTTGTGTGAGTCGACAACCCTGAGAGCTCACATGGGTATGCGCTATTCGTAGAGATATATCTGACGTCCATGGAAGTCTAGACCTTAACAGGCCTCGCTGAATGCTCACCGCGATATGCCTTTCTTTTTTTTAGAGTTTACATTGGCGAGCTGGGCCGCGCCCTCCCCTACGTCGTCCAGATCGCGACTCGTAGGAACTTCCAACCTTTCCAATTTTACGGCTGATGATGTGACAAGTAAAGAAGGCCATGCCATAGACACAAGCTGCGATGTCGAAGGAGTTGGGCATGTGTGGAAGAAACGTTGGTACGTGCTTTACGCGTGTGGAGAAGGGACCCCTGTTCCACAGGGCCCACTCCGCAACTTCCATGTTTCGTGGTCAACATCAACATCAACATCCCGAGACTTCCAGCTGACACGTTCAATAACGCTGCAAACATGACAAATTTCGACATCCTGCTGCTGAAGGGCGGTACGAACGGCATGACAGAAGAAAACCTCGCCGAACTGCGCTACACAATCCTGACAAAGGGCATTCCCGCCAACAGTGAGGGCATGGTAAGATCCCGTCCCCACTCCACGGTCCTGGCAGGCGTCACAGAAGCCTTTCCTACCGCAGCGTATAACGCGTGTATATTTTCACGCTCTCGATTCCAGAAAACCTCAAAACTAACCACCCACAGTCCGAACTACGCATCTACATCTGGCTGATCCTACTCAATGCGCCTCCCCTCCGCACCGACGTGTACCTCGACCTCGTCCGACAAGGCGCCTCCCCCGCGCACGCCAAAATCCAAAACGACACCTTCCGCACCTTCCAAGGCGACCCGCTATTCCGGCGCCGCGTGACGCAAAACAGCATAACCCGGGTGCTGAACGCTGTCGCATGGCGGCTCAACGACGCGCACGAGGCGCGCGTCAACGGCTGGCAGTCGCCGCCCACTTTGAGCGAATTTGGCGGGTCGCCGGATACGAGCATTGCGAGCCGGCACAGTTTCAGCACCGTGGGCGGCCGCGAGAAGGGGACGAGCACGACAACGGACGCCGAGCAGATTGGGTACGTGCAGGGCATGAACGTGCTGTGCGGGCCGTTCCTGTACGCGGCGAAGGGCGAGGTGGAGGCCTTCACCGGCTTCGAGACGCTGATTACGCGCGAGTGTCCCGGGTACGTGCGCGGCAGTATGGAGGGTGTGCACAAGGGGCTTGCGCTCGTGGACCGCGTGCTGGAAGTCGTGGATCCGAAGCTGTACGGCCATTTGATGGCGCACCGCATGGAGGCTAAGATCTATGCGTTTGCGAGCGTCCTGACCATGTGTGCGTGCACCCCGCCGCTGCCCGAGGTGCTGCTGCTGTGGGACTTTTTGTTTGCGTATGGCCCGCATTTGAACATTTTGTGTATCGTGGCGCAGTTGGTGCTGATACGGAGCGAGATTCTGAACAGCCCGAGGTGAGTCCTAGTCTGCGGCGGATCGGGGGGTGTCTACTAACAAGGAACAGTCCCAATCAGATCTTGAGGAGTTTGCCGGGGCTGCAGGCCAGGAGGATCATCGACATGGCGGTTAGCTTCTCCGACAAGATACCGGAGGACATGTACGCGGAGATCGTCGCGCACGCAAAGTAGGAGCGTGCGTAGTACAGCGAGCGCCCCAACACCCACCAGCTACGACTTACGACACACGACTTCACGATACCCCGACAAATAAAAAGCCCTCTGGGCAAGCATGAAGAATGAATTGCATCAACCCTCTCAAAGACCTTACGACTGCCTTCGGTCTACACCCAACCACGCGCCTAATTCCTAATTCCCCTTCCTCTTTCTCTTCTCCCGCTCGTAAACATTCTTCTCGTACCCCTCCTCGCCCTGGATCTCGGCCACAAGCCTCTTGTACTTGACCTCGTACGCAGCATCCTTCTCCTTCTTCTCGCGCAGCGTCTCGCGCGCAATGAAACTTGCGTCCTTGCGCAGCTCGCGCAGCGCGCCCTTGCGCTCGCGCTTGTACTCCTTCTGCAGCTTGGCGGCGTCGGAGCGCTCGCGGTCCGCGTCGTAGTGCTTAGTCGGGTCGAAGGACTCTTCGAACTTGGGGATGCGGCTGGGGATCGGGAGCGGGCGGTGGAAGTGCAGCGTCTGCGGGCGGCGCGCCAGCTTGGCGTTGTGCAGGCGGGCGCGCAGGTTCTGCAGCGTCGCGGTCTGGTGGGTGAGGCTCAGCGGCGCGAGGAGCGGCGTGAAGATCTCCGTGAAGGCGGGCGAGGCGTTCCACAGATCGGCCGCGGAGAGCACGTTGCGTGTGTGCGCGCGCAGCTGCGCTTTTGTGGCGTGCGGCGAGCGCAGACAGAGCGCTGTGTAGCGGATGAACTCGGGGATGTAGCGCTTGGACAGCGCCTGGTATTGCAGACACAGCGCACCGATGAAGGCGCCAGTTGCGACGTCGCTGCTGCTCGACGGGGTCGTGAGACCCATCCAGCGCGCCATCAGGGTCACGGCTGGAGTGACGACTTGGTGGAAGTGGTCCGAGGTGGGGTATATGGAGCCGATAGCCGTCAGCAGCGCGAGGTCGCCCGGCGTGGGCTGGTTGGAAAGCTGGAGCGCTTTCAGGTGCTTGCGGAACTGCGTGGCGATCTGCACGGGGTAAGAGCGCGAGATGGAGTGGATGTGGCGGATGACGGACTCGACGACCGCCAGCGGTGCCGCGGGGGTCTGGTTCGAGAGGTGCGAGACGTGGTCGATCAGTGCACATGCAAAGTCGGCGAGCTTGTGCTTGTTGTCTTCCTTCAGGCCGGCGTGGTAGAGTGCTCGTATCCTTTGAATTACGGTCGAGGTATCTTTGAGCTCGACCTTGTTGAAGACCTCGAGAAGCTCTTGGTGCGATCGCGGGCATGGGTATGTGTACGCCAACTTGGGCGACGTCGTGTCGGCGCCGAGTGTGAGCACGCCCTTCACAGCCTTGGGTTGCGATTTGGGCTGCTCTACGACGTCTTTCAGGAAGTCTGCATCGTCGTCGTCCATGGCCATTGTGTCGTCCACTTCGGCTTCACTGTCCGACTCTTCGTCTGAAATGTCGGCTTCCGAGTCTGTGGCGACGAGGTCGTCGTCGAGTATGAAGTCGTCTTCGTCGTCGACACCGATGGGTCTGCTTTGCCCCGGTGCTGGAGGTGCAGCAAGACCGAACTCAGCAGCGTCGTCGTTGACGTCGGACATGTTGTCGTCGTCGTCGTCATCGTCTTGCTGCTGCTGCCGCTTGGGGGGCTCTTCATCGTCACTGACGGGCTCGCCTCTCATGCGCTTCTGACGCTTCTCTTCGAGCTGCTTCAGGCGATCAGCCTCCTCCTTGGCTCTCTCCTCGGCCGTCTTTGTTCGCTCAGTGGGCTTCGATCGCTCGTCGTTGAACAGCTCGCGCACACGCCGGTCGTACTCCTTGTCCTTGCCGGCCTGCGATAGGGTCGCGAGCAGCGCCGCACGGTCAGCGTTCATGCCAAAGTCGTTCTGCGCCACCTCCTTGACCTTCTCCGGCTCCGGTCTCTTGTTGATATGGCCCCGCAGCGCGGCGAGGACCTCGCTCAAGTCCTTGTCGAGCTCCTCCCTCAACTCCTCGTCGTCCTCCTTCGCCTGCTGCCGCTCGTACTTGTGCAGCTTACTCTTCGCAATGACCTCTTTCATGACCTCCGCCTTGGTCTTCTTCCTCTCCGGCTGCTCCTCATCTTCGCCCTCCTCGCCAACCTCGCCAGCCTCGCCGTCCTCGCCCCTCCTCCTCTTCTTCTTCAAGAACCCATCCTCGCCCTCACTATCGCTGCCAGCAACACTTGCAGCATCATAATCTTCTTCGCCAATCTCATCGTCAAATCGCAGCGTCTGTCCACCGTGCGTGAGCTCGACCTCCTCATCCCCATCCTCGAGATCAAAGACATTCCCGCCCCGCTTCCGCAGCTGCTCGCGCTCGAAGCGCGCCATCATGCGGTCGTCCAGACTCATCGTGGGGTCGTTCTCGCCGATGCGGCGATCCAGAATGCCGCCCGTCTTGTTCTTGCGGTTCATCTCCGGCAGCAGCGTCTTGCGGCGCGTCTCCTCGCCCGCGCTCTTGGTGACGCCGGGGCGTCCGAGGACCTTTGGCTTGCCATGTGTGGTCGCGTACTCGAACTTCTGCGGCCGCGAGAGGTGCTTGAACTCGAAGGGATTGAAGGATTCGCGGATCGAGGCGAGCGCGGAGGCTTTGTGGGCGTGCTGCGCGGCCGTCTTGGTGTGCGCTTTCTTTTCTTTTTTCGACTTTTGCGGGCCCGTTATGCCTTGGTCGCGCAGCGAGGCTTTCAGGCGCTTGAGCTGCGAGGGCGGCATGGCGGCGGCGGGTCGAGAAAACGGCGATACTGACTGCGGCGCGCTGCGAGTTGGATGTGGTTTGTTACAACTTTTCTGCCCGCGAGTGGGGCTTCACCGCCCGAGAGAGAGAGAGAGAGAGAGCCGCATACGCGACCCATGTCCCAAATGCGTCTCTATCTGTCTATCAATCACACACGATCACACAATGATACCACGCCCCGTTCCATAGTCCAACATGGCCGCCAACATCCCCGACCACTACCTCTGGCTCGGCCTAGGTAACGCAGCCCCCGCCCATCTCAGCCCATCCTAACAACCACAGGCGTCTTCACCTTCCTCGCCATCCAGCACGTCGCCCAGGGTCTGCGCCACATGCGCACGCTGACCGAAGTGCACCGTCCCGCGCCCCACCCACCAAGCACCCACGCCAGCCGCTCCTCAGACGCGATCAAGACCGCCTCGTTGCTCACGCTCGCGCACAGCCACAACATCGAGCTCAGCCTCAGCGCCACAACGCTGCTGTGCGAGCGCTTCTACGCCAGCCACTCCGCGCGGCAGCTGCTGCTGCGCGACCTGGGTAGCGCGAACGAGCGCGTCCGGCGCCGCGCCCGCCTGGCATTTCGCGTCCTGCGCGACCACGGCGTGTTTGGGGGACGCGGGATGGCGCATGTGTTTCCAGGACTTGAGCCGCCGGACTGGGAGCATGTCGACGTTCTGCCTGCGGTGCCGCGGGGCGGGCTGAGGGAAGCGGTGCAGCAGGAGGAGGAGGAGCGGGATGCGCGGCGGCGGCGGCGCGAGGCAGTTGTTATTCACGAGGGGGAGGGGAGGGTGGGGGAGCGCGATGTGTGGATGCGGGATCGCGCGGGCGTGGTGGGGTTGGATGTGGATGCGGATTTGGAGCGCGGGGAGCTGGTAGTCGACGGGGTTGTGCGTTGATGCTTGCTTCTATTTCTCCGCGTAAATGATACCCGTGGCATGATGCTGGCGTTGGAATTTCAGGTTGGTTTATTGTATATGTACAGTCTATGCGACCCGCAGAGGCGGGAATGGGTATTTTTGTAGATCCAAGTCCTAAAAGACTTTGGATCGAGTTGGCTCTATTCACACATGTAAAGAACGGAATACATGGCGCCTCTACGCCTTCTTGGGCTCAGCAGCCTTCTCCTCGTTGACGGCGGGCATCTCGTCCTTGCGTGCGCGCTGATCTTGCTCGGCGCGCTCGGCGCTGCCCTCAGTCGCGTTCGAATCGCCGCTGCTGGCTTCGGCCTCTGTGCTCTCCTCTGCGGCCTTGGCATCGACCTTCTTGGGCTTGTCGTCTTCGTCAATGTCTTCGTGGTCCTTGGGAGAAGCGTTGGCCTTGTTCTCGAGAGACTGTGCCTGTGCAGTCTCCTCCTCGATGAGCTCTTGCTGCTCCTTGAGCACTTCCAGACGCTGCTTGTTGGTCGCGGCGCCCTCGGTGCTGTTGACCTCGAGCTCAATCTCGTGGTACAGCTCTTCGGGGACACTGGAGAGGACAGCCTCGAGGGCGTCAATCTGCGATGTGGCGTCTGCCTCTTTACCCTGAACGTAGACGAATGCGTTGGAGAGAACGAGGATCGTCGAGGGAACACCGTGCTTGAGACGGAGGTCGAGCCAGGTCTGAAGGTCATCCCGGAGACGACCAGGAGAGACACCGTATGTGCGGAGACCACGGCTTGCGCAGGCGGTCTGGAGCTCTGGGACAGAGAGCGAGTCTACGCCTTCGTAGGCAATCGCCCTGTCGTCACGCTTGATCTGCCTCATACGGACGCGGACCTGGTAGCGGAGGAAGTTGTCTGTGCCAAACGAAGTAATGTTCATGTAGCGGCAGATCGAGACGAGCTGTGGGCGAGACAGGTTGTCGAGGGTGAGATCATCCTTGAAGATCTTGCAGACCTTGACAATCTCTGCCGACGTGGGCTTCTCGCCAGTAGTGCGGACCTGTGTGTCGTTAGTATCGAATTCTCGGTTCGCGTCCAAGCAAGCACATACCTTGCGGAAGAACTCAGCAAACTCGGCCCGCTGCGCGCTCTCGACAGAGATGGGCAGACCAGTCTCCTTCAGAGTTGTGCGCAGGAACTCGCTGACTTCCTTTCTTGTCGACCGCAGGTGCTTGGCCTTGGCGTCTTTCGAAGACTGGCCCTCGTATGTGCTGGGAAGCATGTTGGGAAACAGCTTCAGGGCAACGGGAAGCAGCAGCTCAGCGAAGGGGACGATGACGAAGGGCAGAAAGGGAATCAGACGACCCAGATCCTGCACGGTACGTTGCAGCTGCATGTCTGTCAGCGACTGAAGTCGACGTGGGGGGACTCGTCATACCTGACGTCGCTCACGCCTTGTGAGCTCGTAGCCAGCAGCCATCTTGAGGGCCAGTTTTGAGCTGATCTTGATCTCGAATCCGAGAAGCTTGGTACCGTCCCAGTAGTGGGCCGCCTCGTGCTTGACCTTCTCCCAGATTGTGAGCTTCTTCTTGGCTTCTTCCTTCTTTGCAATCGCCTTCTTCTCAGCATTGGTGTCTGCGTTTGCCTTCTCCGAGGCGAGCTCGGTCATGGTCTGCGCATCCTGGGCAACAGTCTTCGGGATGGCGGTAGGCCCGGTCTTGGGGACAATTGTGTCTTTCTCGAGAGGTGTGGCGGATTTCTGTTGGATGGCGTCCTGCTCCTTCTGGGGGATTGGGTTGCTCGACTGGTTGGCGTTGAAGCCTGGTGGAGGGTAGGTGCCATGTGTGCTGGTCTGCGATGTCTCGGTCTGGAAGCTGCGGTATGGCAAGAGAATGGCGATGGCGGACACATTCTTGGGCATAGGGCGGTGGTACGGTCGTCCAGCAGTCCTCATGCCTGCCCTGAAGACAGCGGGCGCTGCCCGGGTGGCAGATCGAGCAACATACATTGCGCCGGAAGCAATGGCAGGGGTGTAGAGAGCGACGGGGCGGTTCAGGTGTTGTACAATGGTACAGCAGAGGAGGGAAAAAAAAAGAACAGTGCACGGGCAGGCGAAAGCAGCAGTCGATGGAGGCGACGTGCTGATGCGGAATGCAACGGTGAGAATGGATGAACACGCCCTGAGAAAAGCGCTAGAATTGGGAAAAGGCTCCCAGGAACAGATCGCTGCGGCCGTTCGCGTCCCCGAAAGCTTGGCCCCGTATAGGGCTGAGCTGGACACGCCGGCTTTGGACCGCGAAGCCCGTGACAGCGGGCATGGAAGAACTCGGGTGTAATTTAGGCAGACGTCAACGGTCAGTGGGCGCAGGCCAACCGTGACGCCTGCAGCCGAGGCAACGCGTCAGCGGCCAGGCTGTCGCTCGCCGCCTGTCCACTCCTAGGGTTGATGAGGAACACGCGCGGGGGTGCGGCCATGCTTCGGCTCCGCACTCGGAGTGCCTTGGATTCTTGGACTCCCATTAGCAACTGCTTCTGGTAGGTAGCCGGGGCTCCATCATCGTCGGCTGCCGGCGGCCCCTCCGACTTTTCACCACACACTTCGCTCCTTCAGTGTGTCCAGTGTGTTTGGTGTGTTCAGGCCTGCTTCGCGACCCCGTCCCCGTCAATCTCTTCCACAGACACTCACGATGGTCTTCTGCTGAGGGAGAATCTGCCTGTTGGAGCCCTGCGCTTCCCTCCGCCGCGCCATATCTATATCCTCAACAACATACCTATCTCCATATCCCCTAGCCCCTCCATATCGAATCGCACACCATGGCTGCTCAAAATCTGTCAAGAGCGGCGCGCATTATTCTGGTCGGCGCACCAGGCGTGGGAAAAGGCACCCAGACTGAGCGCTTGATGAACAAGTTCCCAGAGCTGTCCTCGATCAGTTCTGGCGACCTGCTGAGGAAGAATGTCAGAGAGGGCACCCCGCTCGGTTCGTAGATTGGGTTGGCGACGATGCGCCCGCTAACGTGACCCAGGCATCCAGGCCGAATCCAAGATGAAGGCTGGCGCGCTCGTCCCGGACAGCATGATTCTGCGACTCATCGTCAATGAGCTCTCGATGCGCGGGTGGATCAGAGATAGCACGTTGCGGCCATACGCCGTGTATGCGAGCCCCGTCGCCGTCGAGGAGCACACAGTCGACTCGGTTTCAATCCCATCTGCGATCAAGACAGCCAAGTACACGTACTCGGACCGCCCCGAGGCGTCGTTTATCTTGGATGGCTTCCCTCGCACGGCGACCCAGGCAGTCCAGCTGAACGACATCGTGCCTATCAATATGGTCGTCAGCATCAACACGCCGAGCGAGATCATCATCGACCGCATCTGCAACCGGTGGGTACACGCGCCCTCAGGACGTGTCTACAACACCACATTCAATGCGCCCAAGGTTGAAGGCAAGGACGACATTACAGGCGAGCCGCTCACCCGCCGAGCTGACGACGATCCTGAGGTGTGGAAGCAGCGGCTCCGGAGCTTCAAGGAGAACAACGAGCCGCTGCTCGAGCACTACGACAAGGCGGGCCTGCTCTGGACCGTAAACGGTGACAGCAGTGACGAGATCACGCCCCAGATATTCAAGGAGTTTGGCAAGCGATTTGGCATACCGGCTCCGGAGGTAGTTGGAGGACTGTAATCGTGTTATATACCATTTTGTCTACTTTTGGTTGACGGCAAACATCTATCTGGAGACGTCGTGGCAACGGTATCAGCGGCTTTCTGCATGTTCGGCCACTTCAAAGTGTTGTATGGTTGGGCAGGCACGGCTCTCATTCACTGTACATATAGACCGCCACCCGTACGCGCGGTCATCTCCCTGTAGACGCTCGTAATGCGCGTGTACGAGCGACCAATCTGCTGCCTTGACATCTTTCCTGCCAGAAAGTCCACATGAAGCACAATCAGCCAAACGTTGCGCAACACGCAGCCCTGCACGATCCGGCCGCATTGTGGCGCCCCGCTAGCTCGAGCCCCAGCTCAGATCAAGCCGACGTCACAGCCTCAACTCCACCAACCCCAAGCTCGAGCCTCGACACAGCGAACTTCGAGGTAATCTCTTCCAACAGCGCCTCCGACCACTCATACGACTGGTCCGACGTCGCGCAAGACTCTCACGCTGTCTAAGAGAGTCCGTCTGCCCTCGTCGCGCGCGCAATGGCCGAGGACTTCAGCGAAGGGCGCCTACAGACATGCGTAGGCAGCCCACAGAAGGAGCTGGCCGGCACCCAGAACGCCTATGTCTCATATCTGGTCACGACAAAGGTACAGCCCAGCACGTGCTCCACAACGGCTCTGTGCATGACTACCTTGATACTCACGCCATCGACAGTCTGACTATCAGTCCTTCCAGAAGCCCGACTTCTCCGTCCGCCGCCGCTTCACCGACTTCGTCTTCCTCTGGAAACAGCTCTCGAAAGAGTACCCACAATGCGCCGTCCCCCCGCTGCCCGATAAGCACAAGATGGAGTATGTTCGCGGAGACCGCTTCGGTCCGGACTTCACCCAGCGGCGCGCACACTCCCTGCACCGCTTCCTGAAGCGCTTATCGTTGCACCCGGTGCTGCGAAGAGCCATGCTGGTGATTACGTTTCTCGAGAGCCCAGACTGGAACCAGCACATGAAGGGGCGGGTTTCGAGAGCCGCAAGTGGGTCGGAGCCTGGCGGGGGTGGCATTGTAGACGCAATCGCAGAGAGCTTCGTCAACACATTCACCAAGGTCCACAAGCCAGACAAGCGCTTCATCGAGGTCAGCGAAAGGGCCGGCAAGCTCACAGAGGACTTGAACAACGTTGAAAAGGTCACTGTCCGCGTCGCCAGGCGGCAGGCCGATCTCGAGCAAGACTATGCCGACCTCGCAATACAGTGCCAGAAGCTCACGACCCTCGAACCCACCGTGGAGAGCACGCTGACGTCTTTCGCCGCCTCCGTAACCACCACATCACAAGGCTTCAAGTCTATCAAGGAGCACACAGACCAGAACTACCTCACCTCTCTACGAGACATGGACGCCTACATCCTTGCGCTACGCAATCTCCTACGCACACGTGAGGGTAAGCAACTCGACTTTGAAGCCCTCTCTGAATATCTCGCCAAATCCGCCGCCGACCGCGACTCGCTCGCCTCCCAGCACGGCGCTGGCATGGGCGCATCAGGCTTCCTGCGCAGCAAAGTCGAAGACTTCCGCGGCATCGACCACGACCAGGCACGGCGCCAGCGCGTGCGCAAACTCGAGGTTGAAATCGAGCGGTTGACGGGAGAGGTCGAGAACAGCAAGAAGGCGACCGAGGCGTTCGATGAGCACACGGTGAAGGAGGTCGCGGATTTTGAGCGCATCAAGACAGCCGAGTTCAAGGACACGCTGGGCGATTTGGCCGATGCGCATGTGGACTTCTTCCAAGGCACGATTGAGACATGGGAGAAGTTCTTGGAGGACATGAGGGAGGAGGAAGATGAGAGGAAGGCAGCGACGTCATAGAGTGACGCTGTCAGGAGTGCCTCCCAGAACGGTGTTGGAAGGCGTATTTGGGGGGCTTGCGAAGATGTGGACGCGCGGGTGGATGCCCCACGAGAGCGGCTTAGTGCTGATGAGTTGGAGTCGACTGGTCTGCTGGAGTCGTTCCAGGAGCACTATTACCAGTAAGCAGTGGCGACAGCAGTTGGGCGGTTTAGTTGATCAGTAGATCATTAATATCACGATTCAAGTTGACTGGCACTGCTCTCGCTATGTGACCTTGTGAGCTGTCCGTCACATGCCGCCCCTCTCCTCAGTTTCTCACGGGATATCAGCATCGCTATCATCCCCCGCGAACCCAAAGCTAAACCCTCCTCCTCCTCTCTCCTCCTCCGCGCCCTTCGTCAACGCCTCCCACTTCCCACGGCCCTGCTTACTTTTCCTCTCCAGCCTCTCCAACCCCTCCTGCAGAATCTCAGGATGCAGCGCCCCTAGCTTCTCCACAAAAAGCTCATACGCCCGCTCCGCAACATCCTCCCTAAACCCGCTGACCTGCTCACGCTGATCCCGCAGGAACCCCAGCACATCCGCGACCCGAGCCTGCGGCACGAAATTCTGCGTCAGCGCCAGACTCTCGTCCAGATTCAGCACGAGATGAAACCAGCCGCTGGGCACATGCAGGACCTCTCCCGCGCGGCAGATGCCCTCTTTGGCGCCGGGCGTGGCGCGCGCCAGCTCGTGGAAGGTCAGCAGGTACTCTGCGATGGACAGCGGGGCGGTGATCTCGCTGTGGTCGGGGCTGAGTATGATGCCTGGGGGCGGCGCGGCGCCGCCGCTCGATGGGAACATGAGCCAGTACTTTGACCCTGTGAGCACTGCATTCCACGCCGATGTCGCGTTGGGGTCTTTGTGGAATGTGCTGCCGGAGCGTGCGGGGCCCAGGATCAGCCATCTGCAGTCCGGGCGCGCGCCGCCGAGCACGGAGAACAGGTCGGGCCCGAAGCATTCGGGTGTCCAGTATGCGGCGTCGGGGTGGTGCGGGGGCAGCGTTGTGTCGATGTTCGTCTTGGGCGCGAAGGCGCGGTCGAAGAGGTACAGCGGCGATTCGTCCGTGTTGTTGTTGATGTAGCTGATGTACGTTGACATGGGCCAGTCGACGGCTTCGGCGGTGAATTTGGTGGCGGGGAAGTTCCCGAGCAGGTACGCCGATGTCCACTTGCCGTAGACGGGCCACGCTTTCACGGGCTCGGTTAGGATGAAGGGCTTGTCGGTCCATTTAGCCGAGTACTCTTCTGGGGTCAGGTCAGGGAGGCGGGCGATGGCGTTGCAGGCGGGAATGTTGGTGACGTAGGGTTTGAGGGAGGTGTTTGCGCATTGGAAGGGCCGGTAGAGAACGTCTGAGAAGAGGTTGTGGCAGGGGACGTTTGTGATGTTTTTGGGTGGCGTGTTGAGGTAGGTTGCTCGCCATGTGCCACGCCATGTGAAGTTCTCGGGTGAGGATCTGGGGGTTGTTAGTGTTTGTCAAGTAGGGATTTGGTGATGATATGGATTGTGTTTGCTGAAGTCAAAGACATTGTATTGATGCGGCTTTGATGTACAGCGTTTTTCGGCACAAAGGTATCAACAGAAAAGGAGATGATAAATATCACATCCACCTCCGGAGCGTGCGAACAATGTCATCCTCAAAGGGCCGCACTCCGAGGACTGCAGGGTGCTGCTCAGCGTGCAAATCTCCAAGATATGCTGCTCTAAGCGCCTCGCAGCACTGATACTCGCAGTACAAAAGTGAGTCACAACGAGACACCTCGCCCCTGAGAGATGGCCTGATGCTAGATCCAACTCTTTCATTCGGTGTGACTAATATGAGGCTGACAGAAAAAGCAAGAGTCAACGCAGTCGTACTCACCCTACAAACAAGGCCCTCCACAGCTCGTCTAATCGAGTAAAAGCGTACAACGCTCGACACGTACTCCCCAGCCGTATCAGAGCGTCAGCATCGAATGACTCGAGTATGTGGTTCAACAGCTCGTCAGGCAGCCGGGCGAAGGATCCACATCTCGATTTGATGTTCTCGGTCGCTGTGTAGGCATTGCCAGCCGGCTTGATCCCCAGTGGATGCGAGGGCACAGCAGTTGCCACCTCTTCGTCGTCTTGCTGGACATGCACTGGGACTGTGAGCCTTCTCTTTTTGGCGGGCTGAGATTCGGCAGAGGCAAAACCGGAGTCCTGTAGAATGCCGGGCGCCATGGTCAAAGGGGACAAGAACAATGCTTTGCGAAATCCGAACCAGTGGCCTATCGTGTGTCTCCGACAAATCAAGGCAAATGTAAAGCGGTGGGGAGTCACAGTCTAAACAACGTACGTGCGAAGGCAAAACTTGGGTGTTGGATGTCGCCCGCCCCAGTTCGGATTGTACGCTAGCGGTAGCGCACTGTTACAAAGTCTTTTCATTTTTTGCCCCGCCCAACTCTGCCCTCACCCACCAAACAACTTTTTCAAATATCACACATAAAACGACAGCGGCTACCTTGCGGTCCCTCTGTCACTCCAACACAACCAGCACTTTCTACGACTACAGGCAACGCCAGTAGTCTTCCGCAAAAGCAACCGCAATCATGGCTGACAAGGGTCTTGAGGACGTGCCTGAGAGTGAGTGCCTCTGCAATGTTTGCGCTGCACGATGGCGACCCCTGCGATAAGCAGAGGCTGCTTGCAGTTGCAGCGCAAAGAACCAACGAGCGCAGACTGACATTCTGCAGGCCAGATCGAGTCCAACTACGATGAGACCACCGACTCCTTCGACAACATGAACCTGAAGGCTGAGCTCCTCCGTGGTGTCTACGCCTACGGTTTTGAGCGCCCTTCTGCCATCCAGCAGCGCGCCATCATGCCCGTCATCAAGGGTGAGTTTGTCCGGCGTAACAAAAATCCCAACACCAGCAGCTAACGTCTGCAGGCCACGATGTCATCGCGCAGGCTCAGTCTGGTACGGGTAAAACCGCTACCTTCTCGATCTCCACCCTCCAGAAGATCGACTCCTCCGTCAAGGCCTGCCAGGCCCTCATCCTCGCCCCCACCCGCGAGTTGGCCCAACAGATCCAGAAGGTCGTCATCGCCATCGGTGACTTCATGGACATCTCGTGCCACGCCTGCATTGGTGGTACCTCCGTCCGTGACGACATGAAGGCCCTCCAGGACGGTCCCCAGGTCGTTGTCGGTACTCCCGGCCGTGTCCAAGACATGATCCAGCGCCGTGTCCTCAAGACCGACCACATGAAGATGTTCGTTCTCGACGAGGCTGACGAGATGCTGTCCCGCGGTTTCACCGAGCAGATCTACGACATTTTCCAGCTTCTGCCCCAGTCCACCCAGGTCGTTCTCCTGTCTGCTACCATGCCCCAGGACGTCCTCGAGGTTACCACCAAGTTCATGCGCGACCCCATCCGTATCCTTGTCAAGAAGGACGAGCTTACCCTCGAAGGTATCAAGCAGTTCTACATTGCCGTCGAAAAGGAGGATTGGAAGCTCGACACTCTCTCCGACTTGTACGAGACCGTCACCATCACCCAGGCTGTCATCTTCTGCAACACCCGCAGGAAGGTCGACTGGCTCACCGACAAGCTCACTGCCCGTGACTTCACCGTCTCCGCCATGCACGGTGACATGGACCAGGCACAGCGTGATGTTATCATGAAGGAGTTCCGTTCCGGATCTTCCCGCGTCCTCATCGCCACTGACCTCCTCGCCCGTGGTATCGATGTCCAGCAGGTTTCTCTCGTCATCAACTACGACCTTCCCGCCAACCGCGAGAACTACATCCACCGCATCGGTCGTGGTGGACGTTTCGGACGTAAGGGTGTTGCCATCAACTTCGTCACCGCTGACGATGTCCGCATGATGCGCGAGATTGAGCAGTTCTACAGCACACAGATCGAGGAGATGCCCATGAACGTGGCTGGTAAGTTTGCAGCTCTAGAGCGCAAGAAGCATACACTAACACTTCTCAGACCTCATCTAAGCGGGTGTCCCCTGCGTTCCAATCATCGTCTCTTCTCAGCTATATATCCTAGTGGTGCAGTTGGAATAGAAGCGGTGGTGATCTAATTCAGGCACGCTTGCGAGATCAAGCGTGCTTTGTTGATTCGGCACAAAAGCGATACTGGGACGAGCGGTCGTCCATCCATCGCGGCATCTTGGCGTTTGTCCTTTTCATGTGCGAAATGATTTCCCCAAAAGAATGTTTCCTGCAGATGATAGAGACGTCAGTTGGCTGGGATGTTTTTCCACGCAATCTACTGTTTCTTAGCTACTTCTCATGGGCTTTCTTGTTCTCCGAGGATGTGCTACGTTGCATCGAGGCATGCCCGCGGGATGGAATACGCTTCCCATGGTCACGCATGTCTACGATAACGATGATGAGTTTTCTTTCATATAGAGATGCGGTTCAATTGCATGATATTTACTGAACGTTTCCTCCAGCAACACATTGAACAACTTTACACCTGCGTCACCGTTCCATGCATAGTGACGACTCAATTATATAGCTTCGACAGCTTTGAGATGCATGTAGTTATCTTCACACCGAGTCTCGAGTAGCGAGTCTGAAACCGGTGACGTCACTACTCGCTTATCGATTGCCTCGGTCCCCCTCGTGAAGCCGCGCCTTTGAGAGCCTTAATGACTGAGCATCTTTCTCATGAGGCCGACAGCATGGCTCGCGCAAAGCAGAGCCTTTGCGACCATGGTGCTTTCCCCGACCTCGACAGTACGTCATGTGCCGGTGCACAATTGGTGCATCGCTTCAAAGATCATCTAATCATACTGACGGCCTTGTAGCGAGTGCTCGAACGATTGCGCGCATACACTCCACCGCCAACGAATTACTACAACTGCCCACTAAGCCGGCGCGCTGCCGTGCTAATTGTCCTCTTTCCCGACCACCATGGCGACCTCAAGGTCGTCCTCACAATGCGCAGTGCCTCTTTGAGGAACTATGCAGGCCAAGCAGCACTTCCTGGAGGAAAGGCAGACTCGCTCTCAGAGACGCCTTGGGACACTGCGCGGAGGGAAGCAGATGAAGAGATCGGACTTCCTATGGACGACAGCAAGTTGAAAGGCTTCACGGTCGAGCACCTCTGCGAACTGCCCGCGAACCTCGCAAAGACAGAGCTTGGTGTGCGGCCCTGCATAGCATACCTGTCGCCAATTACTTCTAGTACCAACGAGGCGCCATCCAGCGCAACCGACAGCAACTTCGAACACCGTCTGATTCCCCGTCTCGACCCTAAAGAAGTAGCTGCCGTCTTCACCGCCCCATTCCACGCCTTCCTGCGCAAAGACTGGCCCGGTCCTGGTCCAGCGCCTATGCAGAAGAACGGCAAGCCCGAGAAATGGTACCGAGGAAGCTGGACGGACTGGCACGAAAGCCGCTGGCGTATGCACAACTTCTACATCCCCAAGCCGCCGCCCTTGTCCCAGGAGATGCGCAGGAACGCCGCAAATTCCCAGCCACCGTCTGGGTCTTCGGATCATGGCAGCGGTTCACCTGAGGGCGATGATCCGAGGCCGGAACCGAGTGCGTTGGATGATCTGACGACGTTCAGGGTGTTTGGTATGACGGCGAGGATCCTGGTGGATGCCGCTAGGGTTGCATATGGAGAGGAGCCGGAGTTCGAGCATAACAGCCATTTTGGTGATGAGGGGATGATTGGGAGACTGTTGAAGATGGGCAGGCTGAGTGAGGAGAGGAAGAAGGGGGAGGTGCTGACGAAGGATGTGCTAAGGCAGGCTAGTAAGATGTAGAAAATCTTTAGCACAAGGAGGCATGTACGTCTAAAAAGCGTTTCGGCTGACTGTGCACGCCTATGGTCTACTGACGCCCTGCTCAGTTGACGGCAATCACTTTCACTTGAGCCCTGCCTGTGAATAGGCCTAGCCCAACGCCCGGTTGGCAAATTCGGATTTTCTTACCTGACCGCAGCACACATCAACCTGCACTTTGGCACCTTCTCTACACTCAACGCTAGACGTACGATCAACAATGGCGTCGGTATCACCAACATCATGCGCTCAAGACGCAATGTGAGTGCCTTTTGTTGGCAAGACACTAAACATGACTGACGCCCTCACAGCTCTGTTCGGAATCAGCAGCAATCACCACTTCATCGTCATCCTTCAGAGCTGCGCAACGACATCCGCCACCTTGTCTGCTACCACCCAGGAAATCTCATCCCTATTATGCTGCACGCTCCCGGTAGCTCTGATCTCAGCTAACGCGTCACATCGATCTGGCTTATGTGTGACAGCTACATCGCGAGACTGCTATACTTCCTTTTCAGCTTAACACTTTTCTCTTGAGTATTGGCTTGAGCGGCCTTAGCATATACCACGAGTTTATGGAAGCCTGTCGCTCACTCAGCGCTGCGCCATCAAGGCTACTGCGGTCGGACTTGAGAGCACTGGTCCCATCTTGTCTGCGTATGGGAAACGCTTCGACACAAACATGGCCGACACAGCTGTTGAGGATTGGATTGCCCCTTTCCAGGGCTTGAAAGGTCTGCGCAGCATATTAGTGGCCGTGGAAGATAACGTGGGCGAGGCTCAAGCACTCTCGTGTGGGCACATCATCAGAGCTGCGCTTGGAGCTTCTGCTGAAGTAGAGGTCACTTTCACCTGGCCCTGGATTAGCTAGGCTTTATACGATGACAGACCCCAAATTCCCAATGGAAGTGGGCTGGAGGTCCGCAAGAGACCAAGTCCCAGATCCCTTCGCAGTTCCAGGGCTCCGCGTCTTCTTTCACTTCACTAGCGGCCACTAGCGGCTTTACGCACCTTACATAAAGATCTTCTAGTAGCAATCAATCAATTCTCTTTCTCTACACTCCCACTTCCGCAACACCACGGCTCACCATGGCTCATCGTAAACCAAAGCTTGCAGTACCCGCAAAGACGCCTTCGACTGAGCCCAAGGTCACCAAGCTCAGGCGTTACGAGAATGGCTTGAACGACTCGAGAAGACATCAGCCCACCTTCTAGACATGTATGTTGCAACGACAGATTGTGGGGTACAGATGCTGACGCAGAAAAGTGCAAAGCGCAACGGAGCCGAATCGCCCTTCTCCGCGTACAGCCAGAAATCAGGAACAAGATCTGGAGCTTTGCTACAAGCGGCCAGCTTTTGATGGTTCCAAAAGACAAGAATGGCAAGGGTCATGCACAGCAGATCGACTTATGAGAAGGCAAATCCTCAGAACCAATTGGTGGGAGCTTCCCGTTTTATTATATTGGGAACAGAAACGCAACGCTCACCAAGCTCCCTGCAGCTTTCCGTCCACCAGAGGTCTGCCGTCAGATCTATACTGAAAAAGCTCTCACCGCATACCAGCAGAATGTCTTCCTCCACGACGAGTTTGTTCGGGGGCATCGGGGGCATCGGGGGCACCGGAGGCATCGGGGTCACTTCCTAATGAGTCGCTTCAAAGCAGCACAGCGAAAGGCCATTACAAGCATTGAAATTGCCCCACTCCAACTGTTCATCCATACGGCGACAGGACTCGAGCCCTGTACCCGTGACCACGGTTCTGCCGAACGTCAAAACTATCTGGCTTTCTACACTGACTACGAAGCTATTCAGGTCCGTCCACGATGCTGATCTGGATATCGATTCGATGGATAATGTGACCTGGCAAGCGTGGGTTCGAAGGAAGCTTTCAGAGGTGTATGGAGACAGGATAGAGGTTCGATTCGAAGACGAGAATTTCAAGTGAGAGAAAGATGGAATATTGTGATGTTGAAGAAGCTTCACATGGAACTTGACGGAGTGGATATCACTGCTCCAGCACTAAAGGTTACGCACTGAATGTCTGCAAGGTGAAATTCGGTTTTTCGGAGGCGGAGATACAGGCACTGTCTGGTTGTATGTAGTCTCCGGTTCGGGATTTTCTTCAACCATTCCAATTGCCGAGGGTCCTGCCATGAGCCATAGATTAGGACAACTGGAATTTCACTGCATCATAAAATAATCATCACTTTCGTATGAGGTAATTGAAAAATGTGCACCGTCTTCGTAAACAACTCGAGGAACAGCTTTTCATATTCCGAAGTGTCGTCATTGTCAACAGCCATCGCTATGTATGTGCTTTTCCCGACACAGAAGCTCAGGACTGACATCTCCATGTTACCTATGTAATCAATAATCATCTCCGCTCCTTCTTCTGCCCACAGTTTCGTAATGAGATTTACCACCGCGTTTCAAGATTGCAACTGGGTGACTGATGGAATTCACCCGTGTCACTTGTACATAGCTATTATGCGCTGTCAGCTACACTGAGAGACCTCTTTGCTTCCTTTCAAAGTCAATTACTTTACCTACGTAACCGACGGTGCGAAAAAATGAAGCCGCGGGCAGGAAGTTCACGAAAATCCTGACGCGCACGCAGCGCAACGCCATCCTTCAAAACAATTCACCGCTCTTGTCAGTCGGCTGGATCTTGGCTGCTGAAGCCGGGCAGTACAAGTCTTTCAGGGCGGAAGATGGCGCTGTCAGGGAGATATTTGTGCCCTCGAAGATTTAGGGGCGTACGACAGGTGTTTGTTGGGTAGCCAGTGCACGACACCGTCAAGGTTGTACTGCGTGAACAATTGATTCAACTTGCGCTTAGGATATACTCTGATATAGAGCTTTATTGTTCCAAATGACGAGAGCAGACATTGCCGGGTCTTCTTCGGTTGGAACCAGTTATGTGTTCTAGGCATAGGCTGTCCCGTTGTCATTTTCACAACCTCCTAGGGGAAGTTGATGAATCTACCGGCTGACGTCACTGCACGAGATTGAGTCCTTTCACTTCCTTTTCTCGTACCTCCTATCTATCCACAACATGATGTAGCGCCTGCCTAGCTATCTCACACGCACAAACTCGGCAACTGTCGCAGGGCCATAAAGTTTGCCCTTCGTCCGCTCTACCAACTATACTTCCCCTTCCAATATGAGCGCACAATCATTATTCACAAAGAAGCGCGCAGCATCAGCAGCAGGCAAATAAGACGAAGTCAACGATGGAAAACGGCAGAAGACTAGTGTGAGCGGCAAGGACGCCATGTACACATTTCTCCGAATGATTGAAGTAAGGTCTGATGGTGGTAGCTCCATCCGAAACCAACAGCAGTCACCTCTGCTCTTTTTCCCCTCCGAATTATGCAATAGGATATACAGCTATGTGTACGGCTGCAATGTTCACGTCAAGAACTCAATCCGCCTTTCGAACCCCACCCAGAAATTCATAGTACGCAATCATCCGCACTCTGTGTTGTACTGCGCACCCGACCTTTCACAGACCTGCGAGCTACAGGCCGAGACTGCATCCTTACTTCCACGGAGAGTGAATTCATCTTAAGCGACTACGGAAACACAAGGCGTTGTAAGAACTGCCACCTCGTCATTCACGGCTTCCTTGAAGCGTTGTCGCCTGCGCAATGCAACGCAATTCGCTGCGTACGAATCAGTCTGGCAAGTATTGGGTTTGTGATACGAGCACTCGAGATTCACTGGCTAGAACTCAATCGATATCCTGCAACAGGCAACGATAATTACGGTAGCATGTACTCATTCAAAAAGCTAAAAGGCTTAAGGCGTGTAGTGGTGCACATTACGGGCAACAATCGCATGGCTGTTTACAAAAATGTCGAGGCGTTCAGCCGGGTCATGGGTTCACCTGAGGGTGTCGAGATTGACGTGGATGAAGTCGTCCCGTACTGAAGCACCAGAGCTCGGGATAAAAGAGAGACACATCTAGAGCGGCATCAAACATGTGATCATGTCTGCAACGAAGGGGTGATTCATCAAGTGGAATAGTATAGAGTGTGGAAGAACATTTCGATTAACCAAAGTTTGCTACTGCGTGGAGATCGTACCTGCGCTTTTGCGCCAGTGAATGATTGTTGCCAAAGCCACCAGCAGACTGAGATGCTGCTTCCCCATTGCGCAATCAATTGGACCACCATACAATGGTGAGAATTGTCGATATCCTGCTGCTCCGCCTTGAGCGCCAGAAATACCTGTAATTCGAAAAAGATCAGAACTGTCACACAACGCCCCCGCCAGACCATGTGACCAAGAAGAATGATCACGAGAAATAGCTGAGGTTATGATGATGACGACATGTTAGAAGACGATACAAGCCAACTCGTTGTGATATCCAGATCGTAGGAACCAATGAACTTTGCGTCGATGTGCATTCGCCAGGCTTTCAGCGAATGATGGTGCACAGCTCTTGATAATACACACCTCAGGATGGTGAAGACCTAAACCTCCTCCTCCTCGGCCTCAGCCCCAGCCTCGGGCTTGAGGTCGTTGGAGTCGGTGGAGTCAGGCTCAGCCTTGGCCTTTGCTGCCAAACAATCAGTCACCTCCGGTAAACATCAGAATTAAGCAACTCACCATCCTCATCCTCAGGCTCTTGCCTGGGCTTGGCCTTAGCGGGACGACCCTTCTTCTTGGGAGAAGCGTCGCCATCCTCAGCCTCCTTGGCGGCGCGCTTACGAGGCGTCTTCTTAGGAGTGGTCTCACCGTCCTCTCCGTCGGCCTCCTTCTTCTTGCGACCACCGCCGCGCTTGGGAGTAGGAGGGGGGGGGGCATTGGGGTCAGCAGGCGCCATGAGCTTCTTCTTGAGGGCGGCCCAGGCGTTGCTAGCGGAGCGAGGGTTGGTCATGCCAGCGAACTCTGCAAGTTTCTCGTTGTCGATCTTTACCTGTCAGTCATAGTGTTTGAGGTGGGGATGTATAAAGACCATACCTCAGGAGGACCAGACTTCAGGGACTGCATCGCCCAGCTGAGAATCTGGAGCTCGCGCTCGCTGAACTTGGCAGTCGGCGCCGCGACGGAAGAGCTGGGGGCTGGAGACTTAGTGGAGTCGGACATGGCTACTGGTAGGATGTTGAAGATTGAGAGTGTTGGTGTGCTAGGGTAAGGAGTGAGCTGTAGCAATCGCAGGTTGTAGGAAGATGAGCCCGCCAATCAAGAATAGCGGGGTGTCGGTGGTATTTATGCACGAAGGTACCCTGATTCATTGATGCTCGTGAACTGAGAGTGAAGGTGAATTGCGCTCGAATGCTACCGAATGGCGGCGAATGCCTGCTCGTCCCTGCTTCACCTGCTCTCCGCAAATGAGCATTTTCCAGACCTAGTACAAACTGCATGCATCCAAAGAGATGTGTCGAACAGAGACCTGCTATCGAGGTGGACAAACGGTGTGATGGCAGCAGCCATATTGCAGTAATTCCTTGATGAACCTTTGTAAGCATGTAGTCGAGCCTGTCGGAGGCTTGCAATATGTCCAGATGTAGGCTTATAGGGTGATCAGGTTTGACCATCGTTCGCGCTTAGAAGCATCGTGAAACGCGACGTAGAATTGGCAGGGAGTGTTTCTTCGCGAGAGGTGGCGCTTGTCAGCCGGTTGAATAGCAGTGCCTGGATTGTTGCGAGCAATACGCAGAGAAGGCGTATCGACTCCCTAAATTTATGTGATGTAGGTGTTGCTACGAGCCAAAGCAGTCCTTATAGCTTCTCCAGGGCAAGAGCGATGTAGGTGAAGGGCCATGGCAGCAAACAACAGGCAGGCAAGGCAGGAGCATTGGGAGCGCAATTACGAATGCAGAGCTCATTCCTACCTACACCTCCATTCACGTCACTGTACTGTACCCGCATCGTTTTTAGATATTCACGTTGAGAGTGGAAGAGGTGAGGTCAGCTCAACCTGACACGAAACGCAATGGGCGACTTCAAACCTGACTCGCGCACCACCGAAACCCCGACCTTGGAAGCATTAGGCACAGGAGCTCCTCCCGCCGCCAGCCACATCGCAGCACCCGGGACTCGATTGCTTGTCCCCAGATCTCCGCTCCAGACGACATTTTTCGAACGCATACCGTCCCGCAAAATGGCCGACCCCCTAGACAGCGCGCTGTAAGCTGCTTCCCCTCCTCTCGACGTAAACAACCCCACTAACACCGCCCAGCGACCTCCTTCGGCGCCTTAATCCCAAGGACGTCAAGCAGAACGTTGAGCGAATTATTAGCCTGAACCCCTCGCTCGAAGAGGACCTGCTCGAATCCGTTGATGTCCCGCTTACCGCGAAGAAGTGCTCTAAAACAAAGCGCGACTTCCTGTGCTGCGACTACAACCGCGACGGTGATAGCTGGCGGAGTCCGTGGAGCAACGAGTTCGAGCCGCCGATTGAGGATGGCGTGGCACCGAGTGAGAGGATCAGGAAGATGGAGATCAAGGCCAATGAGGCGTTTGACGTGTACCGAGAGCTGTAAGTGCAATGCTGAGGGTAGGAGAGGGCGTGGGCTGACATGAACAGGTACTTCGAGGGCGGTATATCGAGTGTCTACCTCTGGGACGTGGATGAAGGCTTTGCTGGCTGTGTGCTACTAAAAAAGAGTAGGTCGACGCTGTAGTATTGCGAGGGCTCCGCTAATACAGACAGCCGTCAACCCCACAAACCGCAGCTGTGGCAGCTGGGACAGCATCCACGTTTTTGATGCGCAGGACCGCGCCCGTACCGCCCACTACAAGTTGACCTCGACCGTCATCCTCTCCCTCGGCACCGACTCCGAAGCGCTCGGTGGTCTGGACCTGTCTGGTAACATGGTTCGCCAGGTGGAGGCTGATATGGCTGTTGAGGACGACACATCACACGTTGCGAACATTGGCAAGATGGTCGAGGATATGGAGCTGAAGATGCGCAACTTGCTGCAAGAGGTGTATTTTGGCAAGGCGAAGGACGTTGTTGGTGACCTGAGGAGCATCCCGCCACTAAGCCAGACGAACAAGGACAGGGCGACACAGAGAGAGATGATCAGCAGCATGGGCAGGTAGTCTTCTCACGCTGACGGGATAGAAAACAATGAAAGTAAGCAATAAACGCTGACGCTGAAGATCAATGACTGAATTTGCGTCCGATATTCCTCATCACCGAAGCACAGTCTTTAACGGACCAAGTCGCATCGTCGCAGTCGTTTTAGCCAGTCAAGCGCTCATGTGCGCTCAGAAGCATAGTCGTCTTCAAAAAAAAGTCACCAGGTATCACGTGCTACCTCAGTAGTAGTAACCCTCACTCATCTCCGACCAGGGTCCCTCATCTTCCGTACTCAAATAGTTCCGCTCGCTTCTTCAGCTGCTTTGTACCCATGCTTGTAAAGGCGCTATAACGCCAGCCGTTTTCGTATTCCTGGTCAGCGAGCAAAGATTTCGACAAGAAATGTCTTTGAGCTGCTGCAACACGTCCGCTCGTTCCTCGTCATCTTCCTCGTCGAGAAGCTCGAGGTGCTTGATGGCCTCAAGCCGAGCTGGCAGACGCTTGGACAGCCACTTCGACATCGCATAATGCGTCGCAAACGAGAACCTGTTGATTGTGTAGATCAAGGTTACGGTCTCAGCGTAAATCTGACGGCAGACTTGAGGTAGGCTGAAGGCGATAGGCTCGTGCCATCTCTTGTAAACGTGGCTAGAGAAGCCACTCCTAAAAATCTCAATGTGAGAGTTGTAATACAGCCGCATCTTGTTGGGCCGGTATACAGCACATGCGAAGATTATGTTTGAGATCTCAGGCGGCAAGCGAAGTAGAGGTGAGTCGGCATTTGCAACTGTACTGCACGTTCTGTTAGATGCTCCCTCCAGAACCCAAAGGGTTCCATCGCCGTCACTTACACATGCTGCAGGCGCTTCAACTTCTTGAAGCTGACCAGACCCTCGGTCCTTCGATAGCACTTGTTGCGAGGGACCCATTTCTCGGGAGCTTGCTACCCGGATTCGCGAGTAGGTATTGCCTGCTTCGTTCGCAGCATCTGCACTGGCCTTCGTATTGTCTTGATTGCTTCTGCGCATTGTCGGCGCCATCTTGACGTGGTGACTGTATCAAAGGGTACAGCCAGATGCTGAGGTGGGGACAGGTGACTGAGGTGAGTCGAGAGCTCCTTCCTCCGACGCGTCTACGAACGCGCTAGCAAGTGAGCAACGGAAACAAAAACAATCAAAATCACTCGTGCAGAGGTCGTTCAGACGAGCAAGGAGGGTAATGTTGATGTTGACAGAGATATGGAGAGCAAACGCGAAGGGAATGGGACAGAGCAAGGGCTTTTCCAATTTGGTCAGGGTTGCAAGCTAAGAGCCAGGCGCTCCGCATCAACTGCACTTCACGACTAAAAAATTCTTCAAGTCTTCCTCAGCCCTTTCTTGAATAAAGGACTCTCCTTGATTCTCTCCCAGTCGTGCAACATCCCAGTGTTCGCTGTACCATCTCTGACTTCTGTGCCGCCCCGCTTGATCATCTCCTTCTCAAACTCCCTCATAACCTCCGCTTGGTCTCCGTTTTCTTGAATTTTTACAAGTGCATCCCTCAGCTTCCCTGCATCGGTGACACTATGATTCAAACCCTGGCCCCTCTGATAAGTCATGGGGTGACACGCATCACCCACCAGCGTTACCAGCCCATTGTAGTTATCCCAGCAATGCCCCTCAGCACCGGGGTCCCAGTCTGTCAGACCAAGATACCATGCACTTGCGTCGTCCGGAGTCCACTCGAGTGCGCTCTTCCAGGGGTCGCAAAAGTGCTTTGCTAGCTCTTTCTGCTGCTTAACGCGCTGAGCATCGGTCCAGTGCTTGGTTGCATCCTGCTCTTCTAGCGATGAGCGCCAAGACACGTAGAAGAAGAACGTCCAGCTCGATGGATCGTTGGGGTCTGGCGCATCGTGCATGCCGAAGAAGGCGAATGTGTTGTTCGGGTGCGCTGAGGCAAGGAACAGAGGGTGGAAGGAACGCAGGAAGAGAGCCTGTTCTGAAGTGAAGCGTTGCTGGATGAAGGTGGCGCAATATGGGATATGATTTATGGCGCCTAGCTCAGCACCCAGTAGCAGGCTTCGAGTCGTTGACCGCGCACCGTCGGCGCCAACCAACAGCGACCCAGTGGCAGAGCTACCATCTGTGAAGTGCGCGGTGACGGACTGCTTGCCCTCTGCATACGTGATTCTCTGGAGGTGTTTGCCATACTGAATGTCGAGATCCTGGGATAGGAGGTCTCGTAGCTTGCTCCTTCTCAAGCGGTAGAAGGGACCAAATGTGATGGTTGCAAGACGCTCACCAGTGTCACCTTTTAGCCAGGTCAGATCATCGAGCTCTTTGGTAGGCACATAAGGATCGACCTGGAGGCTCTGCACTTTCTCGTCGAACTGGCCATCTGGCATGAGACTCTTCAGGACAGGCGCACCCCAATGCAGGCCCATGTTCCAGTCTCTTTCTCCATGATGGTGGGCATTCTTTTCGAAGACAGTGCACGGTATGCTAGCCTGACGTTATCAGCTCGTGCCTGAGTTTTCCGCTACGGTGAATCAGATGGCATAATGCTGCATCGTGAAGTCGCACAGCAAGGCTGGCTGACAATGTCGCGTCTTACTTACTTTCCGCAGGCCCTGCGCAAGAGCAAGTCCTGTGCTACCTGCAGCTCTAGTCAGTCACAGTTGCAGAGCATGATCAACAAGCTTTGAGCACGCACCGGACCCAATGACCAGCACAGGCAGCTGGTATGGGGCGCTACTAGTTGGAGATCCTCCTGCCATTGCGCCTCTTGGTAAGACTCCTGTCGATTCCCACGGAGATGCGCAACAAGTTTAACTTCTAGTTGGGCACCCAGTGACGTTGACAGATGCTTTGCGGGCGCCTGGCGATGGTACCGCATCCAACGCTGCTCGGTCCATCATCCCAGCGAACGGCCCCATTCTCGGAGCTTCTCTCGACGGCCAAAAGTTAACGGCGCATCCTCCTCTGCATCCCTGGAGCACCGGACGAGGGCGCCACCCAACAGAAAACCTGGGCCGGCGGCCTCTAGCGAGATGGCGAGACTGTTGCGCAGCCGCGACTGGTTGCTTGAAACACTTCAAAGCGGAGACTCTCCGCCTAGCGCCCGTCATGGGCGAGCGATGCTGTCAAGCTGCGGCGCAGCCAGCAGCTGTCCGCCAGCCCGCTTGTTGCCGTTTAATATAACCAGACAGGTCCCACGGATGGAAACGATAATATCGACGAAGACGCGCTTGCTGATCGGCAGCTCATAATGTGATTGTTGTTCCCAGGCGGCCTGAGACAACAGCAGTCCATTTCCTCTCCACCGCGATCGCTCTACCCACCGGAACCATATCTCCGAGCCTATAATGGCTACCACGAGCAGCAGGCAGCACCCCAGCAACCAGGACAGCGACGTCGACCTGCACGCGCCTGTCGATTCATCACGGCTGGGCCAGCATGCCGATGAGACTTCGCCCGGAAACGACGAGCAGGTCTATGACTTTGCCTCTGATTCAGGCTTCGACAGCGGCAGCCTTGTGGGCGACGAGACCGACTCGCTCGCCACCAATATACTCAACCACCGCATAGAGAACGGACGGCAGTACCATGCATATCGAGATGGCGCATACTGGGGTCCCAACGACGAGCCTGCCAAAGAGATCCTCGACTTCGCCCACCACATGTATCTCCTCACGCTCGACCAAAAGCTTCATTTGGCACCCATATCGAAGAACCCGCAACAGATCCTCGATGTCGGCACGGGCACTGGCATCTGGGCAATAGACATGGCAGACCAGCACCCCTCTGCATCCGTCACCGGCATCGACCTCTCGCCCATCCAGCCAGAATGGGTGCCGCCGAACTGCCACTTCGAAATCGACGATGTGTCTCAAGATTGGACGTTTCCGGAAGACCACTTCGACTTCATACACATCCGCGAGCTGTTTGGCTGCATATCAGACTGGGATTTCTTCTTTCAGGAAGCGTACAAGCATACAAAACCTGGCGGCTGGATCGAAATCGTAGAGCACTCTGTTCAGCCTATGGCAGACGACGGGACAATGGGACCAGACCACTTCTACCACACTTGGGGCAAAACAGTGATCGAGATGGGCGATCGATTCGGCAAGAGCTTTACAATCTGGGAAGAGGCGAAGTTGATAATGGAAAGAGCTGGGTTTGTTGACGTTGTCGAAGTGGAGTACAAATGGCCCATGAACGGCTGGCCGACTGACAAGACGATGAAGAACATTGGAAGGTGGAACCAGCTCAGGTTACATGATGGCATTGAGGGCTTCATGCTCAGGCTGCTCACCCAGGTTGGTGGCTGGAGCTTGTCAAGAGCGCAGTTGCATCTGGCGCAGATGCGCAAAGAGCTGAAGAGCTACAGAACGCATGCGTATCTGCCCGGCACCGTCGTCTACGGAAGGAAGCCGCCCAAAACATGATCGAAGTCATTGGCACAGTCAGTCCTTTTGCGAGACGATTTTCAGCACCCATGTACGATTCTGCAGGCGATGATACCCACTTTTACCTTTCGATGTGTCGCAGCCAAAAAGGAGGCAAAATGTACATACATTAGCACCCCTGAATTGGCTGATAAATAGGCATTATATCTGCTGCGACACGATGAATAGACGATCTCAATGAATCCTTTTCACACAACTCAGTCATGGATATCCCATGGTCTTCTAGTCACCAGTTACAAGTCACCTATAATACCTAATTTCCTAATTTTTGGTGCTAAACACCGTGTATTTGTGCCGTTTACAGTCAGGAGTAACCCCCGGAGTCTGCTACACTTTAGTCGTAGCCGACTTTATCAGTAACAAAAGAGCCTAGCTCCCGCTCTGCTGTACACAGGGTCCAACAAACAGTTTAGAGACACGCTGCTTCACCAACATCTCATGAGCATAGTCACTTCTTATGTCTAGACTTACCGTAGCAGATCGGAAGTCTGCACCAATCTAGTGAATGACTCCACTGTGTTGACACATTCCAACTGATCAGTCCTTAGCTTTATCACCTTGCCAATCAGGCACACAGACATCCAAACAGCTATAGCCAAGATCGCTGAGCAGACTCAGTGCGACTCCGCATCTATGATCGGCATTGCAACTATGACGCTGTTCTTCCTTCACGGCGCATTCGTCTCGTCGATCGCGAGTACTGTGTTCTTCAACTGCACCAGGGACGGTCTACAGGTCTCTCGAAGAAGGTGGATCCTAGCTCCCGCGATCGTCCCCTTGATGCTGCTTGTTCTCGGTCTGTGGCTTGCTTGGCTATATGGGAGCAGACGGTCTGCTTTCGATAAGGCCGTGAGTTGGTTCCAGAGAAGGGCGATACGAAACAGTCCTCCAGGTGCGTGGACCCAGTTTTTACCGCACACGGTAACAGAGCGATCGGAATTGGCAAGGACTGGACGCGTTCACATCACTCGTCGACAACAGTTGAGTCGCATTGCAGTGGATTCTGTGTAAGCAATGTAGACCTACTTCAACTCTTCCTCGGTTTGTCCAAGTAACTCGTCCTCACCAACTCAACAGTCTAGCTACGACTAGAGCAGTCGTGGAGTAATTCAAGACTATGGGCCAAATGTCTTCAACATATTCCCAGATCATTAATCATGACACTCCGTCTAATTAGCAACGCACTTCTTCAGATAGCGCGACCTGCATTATCGACTTCAAATATTGGTCTATTACATCAGAATGTATCAGATCCATTTGCACAATCAGCTCACCTCCTTTACCATCTGCTCAGGCAACTTGTTAACTCCAACGCCACTATCTCCACTCTGCCTTCCATGGACAGCACACTCGATGTATCCTGCCACATCCTTGACATCAGCCGGTCCGATTAGCTTTATACTCTGCTTGAGCTTCTCGTTCCTGGCATACTTCAGCGATTTCTTCCATGTATCACGGGCATTCTTTGCCTTCTCAAACAGATTCAGCTTATAGATTATGCCCTCTTCCCCGTCGATCTGACGCTCAATCGCATACGAATGTGATGACGGAGGTACCGTAAGTGGCGATCCAACGTTGTGCGAGCGGCGGCGGGGCTGAGGTGGACTGTATAGCGATAAGGGATCCTCTTGCGGTTGTGAAGTGGCAAGCGACGTTGTTGAGTAGGAAAAGGAGCGAAGGACTAGAGATGAGCCCATGGATGACGAGGATTTATGTTTGATGGCAGCAAAAGGGTTATTGCTCTGTTGTTTCTGTTGATGAGAGGTCGCACTATGACATGAACTACGACGCGAGTAGTCGCGGCGGAACGGCGACGAGACAGGGAAGTCGGGCCAGGATAAATCTGAGAAGGGTGATGAGGGTAAATCGCCAGCAGTTTGCGGTCTTGGAGTAGGCAAAGGTGACTGTCGCACTATCGCAAGGCCACCTGGGAGGCGGAATACAGGCGTTGCCATTTCAAACGGGGCAGTAGATATCAAAGGCTCCTGTGGTGCTGAACCGAATTGTTGTGACTGTGACAGCGAGATGACAATAGGCTTTCTGGGCGTGGAGTCTTTGCGCAAAGTCCTGCGAGACAGGAGATCTTTACCGTGTTGAACGATGTTTGCAAGACTGGCGTCGTGCCTCACGTATCGATCAACCTCAGACTCAAGGACCTGCTTATGTGATCGGACTCCAGGATCGCTTGTGGATCTTTGGTTGATATCAGCTTGAAACTCTTTCCCCAAATGATGATTGACCCAGGAGCTCATCTTTCTGATATTTTTGTATCGCCCCAACGACGCTGTAGGTGGCAACTGGGGCCTTTGCAGAGATTCACCAGTAGGCGAGCCAACTGGTTTATTCCATGTCAGTGGTTCCGGAGTCAGATCTCGGTCTTTTGGTGGTGTTCTTGGCAGCACAAGCTCCTCACGGCCATCAAATGAACAATCCGCAAGAACGCTGCGACAGTCTTGAGCAAAGTCCAAGGCTTGCATTTTTTCGCTCATTTCGGGCCCTTCCGGACTAGCAGGGCTATCGTCTAATAAGAAGCCGCCTTTCTGGAACATCGTAAGCTTGTGGACTTACCGATCTAGAGGAGAGTCTTCCTCGCGTTTCACAGAGTCTGAGCGTTGATGCGGGCCGTCCCATACGATTCCCTGATCTCTTGGCGAGCCTAAATCAAGCCAGTTGAACGCTCTCTCTTTCATCGTTACATCTGAAAGTGCAGAGACAAGACCAAGAGGCGAGGGTAGGTCGGTATCATCGAAGCGCTCCTCTGGCCGTCCATCATCATTTGTGTTGGTTGAATATCTTGAGCTGGTTGATGGCAGAGTGTCTTTGGAGTTATTTTTCGTCGAAGATGGGTCTGACAATGACAGTGATAACCTCGAGGGATTACGAGGTGGTATGTCAGGGGTTGCAGCGCTTTGTTCGTGTATGGGATCTAGCGGAGTTTGTTGAAAAGAACCATTACTCTGCTGCCACAGAACAGGATCCGCTTGCATAGCTGCAATATCTTCTGGCGGCTCGGGTATGATGGGAGAGTATTTTCGAAGGGCGAGAGGGGGTGTAGACTGAGCTTGTGAGCCTTCGCCGTTGTCCCAATTTGAGGGTGACTCCCACAAAGACAAGCCGGTACTTCGAGACTGAACAGTGATTATCGAAGACGAAGATGTGTGCTTCTGCAGCGGTGGCTTCACAAGTACTGGTGATAACGGCTTATCAGGAGCCCGAGGAGTCACGCGGATAAAAGACTTGAAAAATTGCACTGGGCGCTCCATTCCGTGTAGATGGGAAGAATATAGCATGGTCTGCCTGTCCGGAGACGGTGGTGTCGATAAGTTCATTCCTCGATTTTCGCGAACGGTGCTGATGAAGACTACAAATGATCTTATCGGGGCAGCTTTCCAGAATATTGCCTGACAAAGGGGGTCATTGACGCCATTGCATGTGGCTGAGTACCTGTGCTCGATACTGTCCGTATGTCAAGTGGAGAACAAAGACTCAAAAAAATCAGACCCGCTAGGTTGCATTGCCGCACGCAGCTCGAACCCTCTTCGCTCGTTAGTTTCTCGAGTCTGAGATTCCCCATTTAGATGGGTGTCAGGTCTGATCGACCCAGCCTCGTTTTCCTGTGGAATGGACGGCTCAGAGCTCGCCCACTGTTGCGCGTAGCCCCTTCTTGACACTTGCGAGTATTAATTATCATCTTCGAGCATCTCGAAGTATGTGTCAACATCTTAAAGAGGTACTGTGCGCTTTGTTTGATTGGCGCCAGAAGTTCGAGGGGATGAAAGAGTGGATTGTTCGAGGGACGAGGAACGGCCGCCGCTTCCAGCGAGGACAGGGGCGCTAAGCGGACGTCTGCGGCCATGCCCAAGTCGAGACTGTCAGCAGCATACCAAATCGACAGGAGCGATCAACAGCTTGGGATCAGAAACTATGAGATAGTCTCGACGATGCAAAATGATCGAACAGGTCTCCCTGAGCTTTTTTAGCCAGTTCTGGACCCAGCAAGTCAAACATCAAGGTGACCGTACCGTCCGGCAATGAAAGCAACTCAGATAGGTATGTGCATTTATCTTCGACGCGTATCTCATGAGCTGAAATCACAGATTGATTTTACCATGCACGACCGTTATGATCCACTGTCGCGGTGTATACCTAATAGTTTACAGAGTGAAAAATGTCTTTTGCTCCGACATCCACGAATGTGAATGAGGGGGGATAGGGCCTCTGGCTTATCCTACTTGAACAGGCTGCACGCTCCTCCATGATGTGAGCAAATGCGGCTGACAGATGGAATCACACGATCGGTCCTCAATTGTTGAAAATGTGCAAATAATGTGTAGACGCATGACGCTCAGCTTGACCACCGTATTCGCTAGCCTAACTCCTCGTCCATGACGTAGCCAATTTATGCCCCTCCAAACAACCTCGACCTTCACTGCCAAGTACCATCAAAGCTTATGTCGCATCCCTACCTCATCAAAATCCAATCTACAACTCTCTAGACATAATCCAAGATGGGCTACGATCAGTCAGGCGTCACCCGCTCTCTTAACACCATTCAGAATGAGCTACAATACCTAGCGTCACAAGGTGTCATTGCTCCTCCACAACTGCAATCGATCCAAGCACAACTGCCAGTCAGTTCCAATTCAATCTAGCACAACCGCCAACTACTAACAAAGTGACAGCGACCTGATGGCCAGCCAGCCCAATACATCGACCCGCGCTATGTCAACGGCAACCAGCAATTCAATCCGGCACTGATCGCCCAGCAAGCACAGGACCCTAACAACCCTGCGCATCCGCAGAACCCGAAGGTATGTACTGTTGTTCGACTTGGGGCGCGGTGATAGACTGACTGGGTTTCAGCATCACGAGTGGGCTGGCAAGCTGGCGCACAAGTTTGGCAATGCGGCCGTGTACGGTGCTGGAGCAACGTTTGGTGCTGATTTAGTGAACGATGTCATGAGAAAGTTTTAGAGGCTTTAACGAGGACTTAGGTAAGAAACGAAATGTAGAATCGAATTACGACTGGATTGGGTATAAAACTTTGGTAACGCATCTACTCTTTGCTCAATATGATTTCCTGCCTTGGAAGTAGTTGCAGCCACCATCTGCGCGACTAAAATGGCTTCCATCGAAACGAATTACCTTCTCTGCTGCTGTGGGATCGGCCCTTGTACTGATGTTGATATGAGGCACGTATACGCCAAGGCGAGTCGAGTCGAGCGGCCTTGTGGGTAAGAGGTCATTGTGACTTACACTCCGAGCAGAATGTTTCCTCGACGCTCCTAGCTCTTCTAGATTCGAGTGTGGTTTCGACCATCCCTGAACGTGGTGCCCTGGTTTAGGCCCAGGGCTTTCCTCACATGTTCAACGATAAAGACAAGAGTTCGATCAGTGATCACCCCGCCCTCTACCTCGTGCTCTGCCTCCGCGCTTGTTACCTCTCCACCCACCCCTGCCGCCTCTGCCGCCGCGGAACCCCCGTTCCTCACCGCGCTCTCGCTCCTCTTCTTCTCTCCTCATCATCTCTCGCTCTCGTTCTGCACGTTCTGCATCAAGCTCCTCTTGTGTCTTTTCAATGCGCACCTTTGGCTTCTCGAGATCAGTGGGGAACCTTGGGTGCGCGCCGTCCTTGCACTGTGGTCCTACAGGACAGAAGCCACATAAATAAAACGGACATATCCTCTCCTTCTTGTTATGTTTAAGCGCACAGTATGGTCCGAGCGGACAGAAACCGCGGTCGTAGTGTGCACATGAGGGTCGCTTCGCTTCAGGGTCGATGTGCAAGTACAAACAGTCGTCTCCGTTGGAGCATGTCTGCGTTCGTGCGTAGTATGAGCACTCGGGCATTCGTCGCAGGTTGTATTCGTGCAAGAATTCGCAAGTTTCGCCCTTCTTGCACAGGCCGCGAAGCCAATGCTTACAAACTAGACTGAGACGCGTCAGTATGAGCCGCTGTTACATCTAGGGAGAAGGAACGGAGCGCACTTGTTGTATGAGGAAGAGACATGGTGTTTGTCAGGACAGCGGCTTCCCAAAGGACAATGCCCTTGTTGGTAGGCTCTACATAGTGGGCGATTGGGATCGAAGCCAAATCTGTATTCTCGCCGCAGAAAATCGCTGAAGTTGAAGCTGTACGGGGCTTTGGGGGTGTCCTCGAGTTGCTGATCAGGTGCCACCGGGGTCTGCACCTCCGTCATGGCGGACTGTCGATTGTGGCTGATAGCTTCGAAGCTCTGTGGACCTGGCGTGGGAAGAGTTGAGATCAAGGTGGAAGCTTTCCGGTACCGGTGCTTAGGTAACAAAAGAAATGTAAGCTTATGCGGGTAGTGTGCGGGTTAGTCGTGGTCGTGATGGCGGACATCTTCGGTGAAAGCGCGTCGGCGTCCACTAGCGCGCCTGCCGTGCCAAGATCTGCACTCCAACACCCATCGTCGGACCCTTCCTGCTTCACACCATCTATAGCTTCCACACAGATCTTGTCTTCGTATTCTAGTTTCCTGGGCTCCGTTTGCCTAGAGCACGTTCAGAATTCCACACTCAGTGCCCACGCAAGTGCCTTGTCAGTCTCTTTGGTAAAGTGAGTTTGCAAACCAGATGTATTCGAACGTCCAGAGCCGCGTCCTTCACATTAAATCGGACGCTTGCTTGTATAAGTCCATCCTGTCGCGAATGAGCATCTATACTTGAGCTTGAGGGGTTGCATTCGTAACCTTTCGCAGTGCACAAGATTTCTGCTGAAACTTCGCAACGCCGCACGCGCCCATCGCTTGTCAAGCGCCATGATTGAGCCATAATTTATGGACTGGGGAAGAGCTGGAAGTCCCCGCAAAGCACTCATCTTGTCATTTGTTGTTGTTCACACCCTCCGAATGAGCCTTGATATTGGCTTCGTAGATCCGAAGCCACAACCGACGCGCACTGCGATGAACAGGGGCGGTGTGGACGCTCCCAGCTTACCAGATGGTGGTAGACTGAAGGGGCTCGAGCTTCCTGCGCCACCTCAGGCTTAAACATGTTTGAGAGCTGAAGAACGAGCGAACACGCTGGTGTCACTTTGCCCCTGCGGAACTATGCTGCAGGTTTCTAGTAGCTCACTAGTTGTGCGTGCTGTCACGTCTGTCAATACCTTGTGATATATATATCTAGCTCTCCAACCTCTGAGCAAGCCAACAGCATGTTATTCGCCCTCACTTATAACTGTCTACTTTTGTCGTGTATAATCAATAGCCATCCTCGCGGAAGAGAGTCTCACCTATCCGGCCAAAGCACCCGCTGAGCTTGTTGATTGAGTATCGTCAAGAGCTTGCTGACTCCAGTCATTCACACGAATCTCTCTGTCGGAGAGCTGTATGTAAACAAAGAACAGTCACTTGTCAGCCTTGCACTCTGACGCCCAGCACCAAAAATAGCGGCTAAGCGGCAGCTAGCGGAAGATTGACAACCGACCATGAGCACAGCCTTCCTCTCCAACTATACCCCACTCCATCACGACACCTATTTCTCAACACCACCTCCAGAAATGTATTGGAATGGCGTTTACTATCCAAACTGGCGCATCTATCGCGACCAGCCACCGTCGGTCCTGAACTTCAATGTTATCTCCCATGTATTCTATGCCTTTGCCTGGTTAGTTGCTCATTAAATCAGGTGTGGCTGTGCACCGGCTGACATTTCACAGGGTGAAGGAAGACGGCACAGTATACGTACGAAGATGATAGCTCGCCAAATACCGGTATCGACTGACCATCTTGCAGCTCAGCGACGAGTGGGCCGACGCTCAGATTGATGTTCCAGCCTTCGAAGATGTCCCTGCCACTAAGGGCGCCCTGAACTCTCTTGCCGAGCTGAAGAAGAAGTACAACCAACTGAAGGTAGTGCTCTCGGTCGGAGGCGGGGGCGAGGGTAGCAAACCCTTCGCTGGAGTTGCCTGTGATCCAGCCAAGCGTGATCAGTTCGCACGGTCATCGCTGGAACTGGTACAACGATTCGGGATCGACGGCATCGACAGTGAGTTCAATTTAGTGATTTACAACAACCTGATTATTCACACTGCTCCTAGTCGATTGGGAACACCCTGAGGACCGAAGCCAGGGTGAAGACTACATCCAGCTGCTGGCAGCACTACGACAGTACCTACCTGCACCCCAGTACACTCTTTCGTCAGCCCTCCCAGCTGGCGAGTGGGCTTTGCAACACATCAACTTACACCAGGCCTCCTATTATCTCGACATGATCAATCTCATGGCCTACGACTACTCTGGTCCTTGGGTGAAAAAGTGTGGTCACCAAGCCCAGCTCTTCACACCTCAGTCCCCACACAGTCCTGAAGCTGCGATCTCATGCCACTCTGCTGTATCATACATGCAGCGACAAGGAGTCCCTGCCAACAAGATCAACATGGGTGTTCCGGCTTACGGTCGATCTTTCACTGGAACTAATGGTGTCGGCCACTCTTTCTCGGGTCAAGCGGGCGAGGAAGGCACATTCGAGTACAAGGATCTGCCCCAACCCGGGTCTGAAGAGCATGTCGATGAGCATGTCGGCGCAGCCTATTGCATGGGCGGTGATGGTGGCTTCGTTACCTATGACAACCCGCACACAGTCAGGATGAAGGCCAACTACGTTCGACAGAACGGACTAGGAGGTCTCTTTTACTGGACTGGTACTGGTGATGCGAGCTCGATTGACAACAAGGATCGCAGTCTGGTATGGAATGGCTTCCTCGGTCTCTTCCCTCAATAGCTTCAATCCTTGTCAGCTCACGGTCCTTGAGCAGCTACAGTTTATCTTGAATATCGTGTACAAAAGTCATAGCGTAGCATAGCGACATCACCAAATCCATGACCATGTCCAGATTAGTTCTCAATTATCATCTCGCATGACGTCGGTTCTCACATGAGGCCTGGGGGCTAGCGTGACACGGACCCTTAAGGACACGCGAATGGTGGGCGACGCGACAGGAAGGAGCTCTCAATAACCCCACGCTCCTTCCTGAGTTCCCGTGCTACAGAGCAGATAATTATTCTTTCTCTGTGACCTGCTTCTCGTCATATCTCCGTCTTTTTATACCCTATATTCTGCAGCTGCAACGAAATTGGCTGCGAACCGCGAGTATACGCGGCTCAATGCAGGCCTAACTGCACTTCATGTCACTGGATTCTGGTACTGCGCATACGATTCCTTCATGCCGCTTTGCTTGATTGCTGATACCAACTATAGCTGACTACGACCCAATCGGCCACCTGAACGCGATCTTCTCCCACCCCGCAACCCTCTCCTCCGTCTCGAGCACCTCCGAGGCGCTCCGCAGCTACCAGGATGACCTGGATGAGGACATCGCCGTCTTTGTCGCCTCACAATCCGCCTCAGATGCAGACAGCGTACAACGGATACAGGCCGCCAAGGGCGAGCTGGCGGACCTGTTCAAGAAGATCGAAAGCGTACGCGAGCGGGCTATGCAAACCGAGCAGACCATTACGGACATGACAGCGGACATAAAGCGCCTCGATAGCACGAAGCGCAATCTTACATTATCTATGACGGCTCTGAAACGCCTGCAGATGCTGACAACGGCGTATGAGCAGCTGCGGAGCCTGAGCAAGTCGCGCCAATATCGTGAATGCGCCCAGCTCCTGCAGGCTGTCATACAGTTGGTGGCGCATTTCAAGAGCTACAGGTCAATCGACCAGATTGCTACGTTAAGTCGCAATGTGGCAGATGTGCAGGGCGAGCTGCTAGAGCAGGTGTGCGAGGATTTCGAGGTCACCTTTGCGAAGGGCGACGTTGCGCAGAAGAAGGCGATGCTGGCCGAGGCGTGCCTGGTTATCGATGCCCTAGGTGACCATGCCCGTACTCGACTAATCAACTGGTACTGCAATACACAATTACGCGAGTACAGACAGGTCTTCCGTGGCAACGATGAGGTTCGTGTAGCACCCACACACTCTATGCAAATTCATGCTGACTGTGTGTAGGCTGGATCCTTGGACAACATCTCGAGACGCTACTCGTGGTTCAACCGCATGATGAAGACGTACGATGTCGAACACGCAGCGATCTTCCCAGCGTACTGGCGCGTCAACGAGATGCTCGCCAACTCCTACTGCGAGGGCACGAGAGAGGACTTCAAGGGCATACTACAGCGCTCTATGAGACGAGGTGATGGACAGACAATGGACGTCGATCTGCTGTTGTCATGCCTTCAAGAGACTCTCGACTTCGAGCACAGTCTGGAACGGCGATTCTCGAACGAATCGCGCTCTTCGATGGACACAATCGTCTCGAAAGATGAGCGGTCACACGGATTTAGCCAAGCTATTTCCAACGCATTCGAGCCGTACATGAGCTTATGGGTCGAGTCGCAAGACAAGCAGTTGGCTACGTTGATACCAAAGTATCGCCAGCAGCCTCTGCGGAACACGGAAGAGGAGTTTTCGCCACAAGCTGTCATACCCTCTTCGACAGAGCTCTTCCACTTTTACCGACTCACCCTGGGCCAATGTGCAAAGCTTTCTACGGGGAGCAGATTGGCAGAACTGTGTACAACTTTCGCAAAGTATCTCGACCAGTACGGACAACAAGTGCTATACTACTTCCTCAGCGAGAAGTCAGGCACGCAGGGACCTTCGATCGAAGACGCTGTCCTGATTCTCAACACCGCGGACTACTGTTATGCCACCTGTAATCAGCTCGAAGAGAAGATCAGAGGGCGCATAGATGAAGAGTTTAAGGAGAAGGTTGATTTGCAGAACCAAGCGGACGCGTTCATGGGCATCGCCAGCGCGACAGTGCGGGTGCTCGTGAGAAAGGTCGAGGTAGCATGCGAATCAACATGGAGAGAAATGCGCAATACGCCCTGGAGCAGACTCGAGAGCGTCGGCGATCAAAGTTCTTACGTTGCAGAGCTCTTGCGCCACGTCAAGGAGACGTCAGCTGAGGTACTCAGATTACTCCACAAGCAGCAATATTCACGAGCGTTCTGCGATAACCTCGTCGATCTAATGGCTACTACATACATCGCCAATATCGTACAGAGCAAGCCCATCTCCGAAGCTGGCGCTGAACAAATGCTGCTGGATTCATATGTCCTGAAAAAGGGCTTCATGGAGCTTCCCATACTCAACGAAGAAGCAGGGACGACTCCGCCAGCCAGGTAAGCTATCTGTACCCCTTGTTCTGCTTAGCGTTGACATCCTCAGCTTCGTCAAACGCGTCAATCAAGCCATGTCGCGCATCGACCCCCTGCTCAAAACGCTCCAAGTTCGCCCGGCTCCGCCTGAAGCCCTCGTTCAAGCCTACCTCATCCACATTGCCGATAAATCGGACACGAACTTCCGCAAGATCATGGATATGAAGGGCATCCGCAAAGCCGAACAAACACAACTCCTTGACCTCTTCTCCGCCTTCAAAGCATCCCCTCAACACGCGGCACTAGTTGACAACTCGCCCTTACTCACGCCCATCCAGCTCCAAGCGCCACCATCGACAGGTGGCATTGGAAGCAATGTAGGCAGCGTTATGGGTCAGATGGGTACACCGAGTCTGGCGGCAGGCCGTTTCGATCCAGCGGGACTTGGAAACATGCTAGTCAACGCTGCGAGGGATGGTGTGGATCGGTTTGGCAGTCCGGCACCGGGGCAAGCACTCGTTGAAGATGGAAAGGCGAATCTTAATGATAATTTGAAGAACATTGGGAAGTTCTTTAGGAGAGATGTCGGTGGTTTCAGGGGGTTTGGCAAAAGCGATGGGTAGCGAGCTTGCAGTGGGCAAGTAAAAGCACCTAGGCATCTTTACATCGTTGGTTTGAGAAGTCGCTGCGCAGGACGTCACTATCATGTGTCAACCGCGCTCGTCTTCTGAGGGCGTCACGACGCTGTTAGCAAACACTTCATTTCACTGCAACTTCAGTACTGTTCGCAACTTCCAGCAGTGCATTGTGAAGGACGCGTGGAAGTATCGGATATTGGTGGACCGAACGCTTCTTTTGCTGCGATACTAACACTTAATTGACTCAAGTACGTCTCACGCACAATGTCCTCATCATCGGTGGCAAGAACAACGGCAAAGACGACTGCAACACCACAGATGGGCAACGAGGCAAGCAGCCACACGCAACAGTCGCAACAGCCAACGTTCTGGCATCACAATCTGCCTGGTCTAGCTGAGACGCACGGTTTCCGGCTGGGAGCAGTGCTTTCTCGAACGATGTCAACAGGAGTTCGGACATACTGATGTTGCTCTTCTGATGCCTCATGGAAAGGAACAGATTCATGTGACTACAGTGCGTATCAGGTACAGTGGGATGCTATGCTCACGGCTTTGGTGAGGAGACTCAACGAAAGCTGCTTGTCTATACACAGCGTCTTGGGTTCGGCACGTCTGTCCTGTGATGTGCCAACTTTGCGCACCAGAGAAGAAGCATCCAGTCAACCAGTGCTTGAGACAGTATTCTCCTCTTTCAAGTCTCGCAGAAATCGTGGAGATGGTATGGTCCTCTCAAGAACACCTATCGCGTATTGTAGAGTACGAACTCCTGGGGGAAAACCAGAATATTCGAACCGGAATGCAAGGAATATCTCAATTTTCTTATCGATCAGGGGTCGCCTTGGCCGCTTGCCACACTTGTATGTTTTTTAGCGTGGGACTCTTCCAGGAACACATCGCTTCCAGAGATCCTGCTCTTTCTGTACTCTTGACCAGACTTCGGCTCATCGACAACCAAGCATGCCATCTTCCGAAGTGCAATGCTGCGCCGACGCAGATACTCCCTGTGTGTTCGAGATCATTTCTTTGGCTTTCGCGAATGATCATGAGTACATGGATGCCATCTTTCCAGCTCACAGCACACCAGAAGGCCGTAAGACAGGAAGCGAGCGGATGCTACAGATTTTTTGAGGCGGCCCGTACGGGAACTTCGTGAAAGTCATCGACATGGACAAAGAGACATGGTTACAGCAGCGAAGTGGAACATCTACAAGAGCGGCGAGGTTCCTCCTCAGCCTGCAATAGATGGTGACTACTCGGACAGTGAAGAGAACAAGGAATCGCGCAAACTCTGTTCCACAACCTCTTTGCACTGAGGCAGAAGATTATCGAGGAGACGGACGGGAGCTTGGTTGATACGTCGCATTTTGAAAAAAGTACTGTATTTATCAATCTAATAAATCAAATCCAGCGCTTGAGATAATGATGGTCGATCCCGCATATCAATGCAAGGGCGCTGGCAGGCTGTTGGTCAGATAGGGACTGGCGAGAGCCGATGAGCTGGGTGTGGAGGTAAGTCTCCTTACTAATTCAAAAAATATGACATTCTCACAGGCTGTTGTTGAAGGCTCAGAGCGAGGTCATAGACTCTATGCCTCGGAGGGCTTTGGCGGTCCTTACTACGTGGTGCCTGTTGCATGAGAAATTTGCTGCAAGACGCAAGCATGTGTACCACTGGATGAGAAGACCAGCGCAGAAGTAAGCTATAATACCATAGGTTGGACACGAGGAGTTCATACCATCTCTTCGTTCATGGCACGCTTCCTCGCAAGCTCTTCGCACAGCTTCGCCCGTCTTCGATGGTTCAAGCTCGCCAAGATGCGGTCTCCACGCTCACGCTCACCAGTTGACGGCCCGGTAGCATTCTCCAGACTCGCGTTCGTCGCTCTGCCGTCCATTCTGCTGGCCACGCAAATTTAGCTCCTCGCTACGCGCATCCACCTTATCCTTATCCCACATGCAGCTTGGATGGATTCGCAAATTTCCACCGGCCAACACATCCCCCAGACAATCATGGAGTCATAAAAATTGTGACTGAATGAATCCCTCGAATGCGGGCGCAGAATGGACACTGACAACTGGGGCGGTTTGACCGTGCCGCGAGCCTCGGTCACGGACCATGCAGGCACCCCGGCTTGTGATATGTGTAGCATGCAGGGACCATACTTTCCGCGGCCCCAGCTCCTCTTCCTCTCCACATATTTGACTCGTTGAAGTAGCCTTGGTGCCTTTCTTTGGGCCTGCTTTCCGCGCGGAAAAACGCACCGGATGGGCGTGCCGTGCCATGTGTCGCCCTCGACCGTTCACCAAGATAGTGGAAATGATACCAAGCTTTCGAGACGTTCTAGAAACCGCTCGTCGCTTCTTACTGTGACATTTGAGATGCAGGACATTGGAGGTGATGCCACACCCAGCTGCACAGCTTGGGGACTCATGCATGCGCCTCCAACCTCGCACACGCCCGCTTGTCGTGTCAAAAAGAGGAGCATATCCACTCACATCAAGCGCTCTGATGCGGCAGCACGGAGGAAGTCGACAATTATGCCCGTTCAAGTCTAGTCGCTCAATTGTCAGCACGGCAAACACCCCTGCAGGGCAACTCGAGACGGGAACATAGCAGACGGGAACACAGCATAAGGCCTTGCGTTAATTTCTACTGATCATAGCACTGCTCATTCGTGCGTAAGCTTTCGATGTGGGTTACGGATTGTAAGGGCTCCTGCCAAGAGCTGAACAGCCTGAACGCAAGATGCACGCCGATTGCAGCGGTACGTACCTGCATACGTAGCCCGCTGTCATCAGCTGACGTGCCCACAAATGACTTGGTGAGATGTCATGATTTGGTGCAGAAGTCAGTAAAGACACATTGAGGCGGGAGGGCAAGTGTTTTTGGTGAATTTGTGGTTTCGGTTGTCTAACACCTGCGTAGGATTTCTATAGACAGAGAGTAAAGCGAGCGCTGGCTCTTTTGATGCGATGTGCATGCAAGGACGTGAGTGAACGCCGGTAGGTTCGGTCGACAAAATGAAAAGACGCGACGAAAGAGGGGCCGAAGCCCTGAATAACAGGGTACAGAAGAAACCAAAACCATGACAGCTGCTAAGGTCAAACACTTTGGTCCTTTCTGCTAATGGCTTGGTTGTGCGCTTGCACGCCACCGCCCCTAGCGTGACTCAAGGGTCACGCGCTGCTCTGACACCTCCTTTGAGGTCGGGCGCTTGCGTCTGCAAGAGACTAGACAACAGGATGTCGATTTGCTCTGCACATCTGCGAGGTCGATGTGTGTCCGATCTGGGGAACATCTCTGCTGCTGATCGCTATGCGGTGGTAACGAGCGCAGTGGTATTCTCATTAAGAGATTGGTTTGTTGGGCGAGTCAATGTTGTCGCCTTCTCAGATCTTCGAATCGAAGTCCGGTGGGTGCAGACCCAGACCACCTCTTGCATGTGTACTCCTTGGGTCCCAGTCCACACGTGGATATGCTGCAATCGCCTCTTGCGAAAACGGTCTTGGTGTCGAATAGCTCTGTGTGGGGCTTCTGTACGGTCTATCTGTCTCCTGGAAATAATCGGGCGTGCCGTCGCGGTGACTTGCAAAGTCTGGGCTGGAGAAGGCGTGCGGCGGTGATTGCAGGTCTGTCTGTTCAAACTTCCTCAACTCGTAGTTCTTAGGATTCTCCTGATAGTGTTTGGCGTCAAGAGAAACAAATTCGCGGTTCTTGCTAAACTTGGATTGGAAAAACTCGACCCACCCAGTCAGCATGCTCCAGCGAAGAAGCAAGAGAAAGGCCTGCAGACCAGCAATGGACAACATCATCAGGATAGCGATGACGGTCGATTGGTTGATAGCTAGTTCCTGGCCATACGTCAAGCATGGATCCACGGCCGGGTAGGACAAAACCAGACACTTGAGATACGGCTCGAGTTGTTGAAGATCGTCCAGGGCGTGACTCTGAAGGGCGTTGAGCCATATGAACACAACTGAGAAGAAGATAACGTCGACCAGGATGAAGACGACGATAGTGATACCTCTCCACTGGAGCCACAGAACCTTTCGGACTCGACGATATACGGCTCGGGCAGACCTTGTTCGGACACTGCCAGTATACGAGGGTAGTCCAGCGCTGCTGTGAGTCTCGGTCTTCTCATCGCTCCACATATTTTGCAAGTATACTTTGATGCAGTACACAAACCTAGGAACTATGTCAACGATGTCCTATCGGGAACGTGCTTAAGATCTTACGTTGCGAGCTGAATAAGCATAGCACCACCTGAAATGGCGAGGAGAGGACCCCAAAAGTCCTTCATAGAATGCTCCGAATTGACGTGACAAACATCACCAAAACGGAAAGAGACACCCGTGATCGTGATCGTGATTGTGAAGAATGTTGCGGCGACGGTCCAGCCCAATCCTTGGGCCCAGTAAAAGAACTTCTTGCCAGGCGTGACGTCCCAGCAGATCTGAAGGTGCATGGATAAGGCGCGGATAAATATCCATACAGCGATTGACAGACCGCCTGAAATGAGGAAGGCACCAGAGAATGCACACGTCAGACTCGAGTACATGTCATTGGGCGTGATCTCGTCATAGCACTGTTCGGGCTCTGCGCCGAATGGGATAACAAATCCAAGAGCCATGAGCATCGCAGCAACGATCAAGCAGTAACTCAAATAGTGTCGGCGGGTCTTCTCGGCAGGAAGAACCAGGAATGTTGCCATCAAGAAGACAAGACAGATGAGGCCGGCGACATTCAGAGCCTCTGCTGCCCTGTACCATTTGTTGAATTCTGTAAGATTACTTAGCATTGTCAAGTAAAGGGGAGTTCTCCTCCAGCTTACCCTGAGGATATAGGTAGTCTGTTAGTGGACATGGCAGGCAGCAGACTAGTCCCTTCTGGAGGTAGTCGACTGGCGCACAAAAGCGTCCATCAACGACTATCGATGTCAGTGAGACCTCTGGTAAGAGGCCGGGCAATTATGACTTACATCCGTCTAACCCAAATTCAGTCACATCGTAGAAAGGCGGTGGGCAAGAACCTCTGAGTGGGTCTGCCAGTGCTGCCAAAGTTGTGTTGTTCATCTCGGCCTCCAGGAAAGCCGGGGGAATCTATCAGTAAGAGTGCGTCTACTGAATGATAGACATGCGCGACATGGAGTATCCTGAAGTTCTACTCCACTGAGCTCCAATTGACGAGCTTGTATTGCCAGATCTTCAGAGTCAGAGGAGTAGTCCGGCTGGTACCCTTCCTGGAATTGGTGGAGGTATAGCCGAGTGATGTATCGGTCGGTCTGGCGATTGCGGTGTTGCTTGTCTATGCGGAAGTTGAAACGCGTGACGGCAATTTTCCTTATGTTCAAAAGAGTGTCGCAGAGCAAAAATGGGACGCAAAAGTGGCTTCGTAGTCGTTAGTCCAGTCACAGAGCTTGTGTGAAACGGTTGAAAAAGGAATGATGAGGGCGTAGTCGGTAGTAGAAACCCACGAGAACTAGAGCAAAACGAAGGAGCGACGGGCTATTGGATAATAAAGTATAGGGAGCAGGAAAGGTGGCTGCAGATAGCCCAAGAACAAGAGGCCTCGAAGGCGGCTCCTGGTTGGGGCCGCCGGCTTCATGGTCGTTGATCCTTTACAATGAACAGGGGCAGGCCGATGACCCCCTGCAGATACGTACGACCCAAGCTAGCGTGCTGTGTCCCCGGCGAACCAAGAACGCCAAGCTCCCAAGATGCATAGACAGCAGGGTTCCGAGGGCGGGCCCGTGCAGGGGTCTCAAGATGGGGTCCAGGAACGGAGCTCGTACGGGAGATGGCACTGGCCAGATGAAATCCGACGGCAGCACACAGTCTGACGGCACCACTGCTGAGCTCGATCGTCCTGATTATTTGGGAAGATGGGGAAGGTCGCCGCGTTACATACCTACAGTGCGCCCAAAGCATTGGTCCCCCAAGCGCGCTTCGATGCGGCGTTTATAATGGCGGCACCACCACATCTCTGTCCAGCGTTGAACGTGATGCCAACAGGACGTATGGAAAATATGCAGTGATATTGGCGTTCTGTGACGAGTCCCAGGTGGAATCACGCCGCATGTAGTTGGTGAGACCGCTGCTCGCTTGTTGTAGGCACTTCAGGAGGCCAAGAGACATCCTTTGGGTCCTGGGCCTCTGCTTCGTAGCACGCAGCGTCAGGGTGCCGTAGTCGCCCCTCCGTCAACAGTGAGGTGTGTTCCAGCTTCTCGTTGCTGAGTGGTTGACGCATTCCGTCAAGCGAACGGCAACCCACAATTCAGCTCCGAATGACTATCGTGAGATTCGCATCCATGAAGGGAGCGCTGAGCTGATACCTGCACCGGCGTTCTCCGAACGTAGAAAGAGCCTTCAGCGCCGAGCTCTCTGTGGCGACACTGTTGAGCCAACTATCACTGCTGCGCATAGTGCGTGTGCGCCAGCCGTTGTGGCATGGTGCGTCATCGTTCATGCAACGCTCGCTGCGTCCAAGAGCTGCCTAGGCGGTCATGGTTTTAGCCAAATAATCGCGTGACAAACGCGAGAAAAAGTCTGGGTGTTAGTTATCGGGTAAGAGATGCTGGGTATGCCTACCTCGTGGAATTGTACGGGGGCGAGGACGTGCGAATTCAGCCTGTCCGAATTGAGACAGCTAGCGCTCTCACCTTCCAGCCTGGCCTGAAGTGCCTTCCTGATGTCGCCATCATCCTAAAGCATCAGCCATAGTACACAGCACTTAACATTACCCTTGACAATCCTTGATAACACTCCATCGATTTTGGTCCTCTAGCAAAGTTTTCGGTGGGCAAAATCCTTCCCAGCCGCGGACCTTCACTTTTCAGCTCTTAGCCCAGAGCGCGTTGCAAGGCACCCAGAATCTCAAGGATGCGTTCCTTCGCGAGACGCGTGGAATCAGGCTCCTGCTTCCTGGGCGTGCATACAGGGACGCCGTCAACCGCTTGGGGTACTCTAACCGCTTTGGGCTTTACATGCCCACAGTCAGTGTATGTACTCAATTTCACAGCTCGAGAACTACGTTGTCCCTCGTTTGGTGTCGAACCTATTAGATAACATGGAACTTTCATCAGTGAGTCGTATGATCTCCCATCAAGCATCGTCAGTATGTTAACGGGCATTTCCGCCGACCGGTGAACTTGTACGCAGCTCCGCTTGGGATTCAAGTGAAACACGAATGGAGTAAACAGCTGCTACCCACTTCTGATTCGCCTCTACAAATATCATTGTCAAACTAAGGCCTTATTGCGCTAAGCAACTTATCCATCCGTCCCAACAACGGATCTCTTGCATCTGAACGGAGTGTTCTCCGTTGCTCAGAATATGTGGCCGCCGGCCGTCATCTCAGATGCGGTTACACTCCAAACATCTAATATGCGCAGTTCGATGATGCTTCGCTTACGCTGCTGCAAAGCACTATTCTGTACAGCTCCGGCCGGATTCTCAACTGCCCCAGATCTAAGGTGGATTGCAGTGTCCAGGATCCAACGGCCACGCGGCGATCGTCTTTAAAGCGGCGATCGGTTGTCTAGAAACAGGGCTGGCACACTTGGACAAATGAACATCTCCAGGCGATACGGTCCTTTTCAGATGGCCATGTTGAGCGAACACAGTCCACGGGTGCCTGCGATGGCTGCCAATGCTTGTCAGCGCTCATTTCATCAAACTGGGTCTGCCCTCAGAACTTACTGTGAACATTCTTGCTGACACCTACCTATTGTATTGAGCCACCTTTCGCCTGAGACGGCTTTCTTCGACCGAGCCTCTGCTTGTGCAATTCCTTATTGCCGAACGGTATTATCCTGGTCTTCGGCCGGAGCACTGATTTGCACGAGCATCATTGCCGTATTCCTGGTTGGTGTCACCGAATGCTGTCGGCAACCATCAAAAGCAAGACTCTGGGATAGGTACGACCTCAGTTCTTAATCACTCCGCATCTACCGACCCTGCTCACTGGTTCTCCGAACTTCAAACACGAGTTTAAGTAACACAACATCTCTCATCAATGACATTCACTTGTCGTCACCTCCAGGCTGTGGACTCTGAGTGCACCCACACTTCAGAATTCGATGCTTGTCAGGGATCCTCTTAAATTCTTTGACTGTTCCCGCAGGTTGTTCAACTGCAAGACTAGCCTCGAGATACAACAGGCTATCAGGGCTTCACTTTCGCGCTGTAGGTCTATCGCTGCGACGGCAATCTCCACTTTGATGTTGCCAATGTTCCTTCAGACTTCCATCAGAGCGGCTGCGGTGCGTCAGTATCGTCCCGTCCGTTGTCATCTCCAATTATGAACGTCGCCGTTGTGAACTCGCTTCGCACGCAGCACCGTGCGCGATTCGCTTCCATCGCTCTAGTCGATCCAGTATATAGGGCTTTGTCCGACATCTCCAATGCAAGATTGCTAGCCACGTGTTGTCCTGCGGCCAGAAAGCTCACTGCATGAATATCACCTCTCGTAACAGTGATGATCCAGCACAGGGGCATCTTGTGCCGCAACGTTTTGACTGTCGTGGCATCAAGAACGCCAGGACGCAGGAACGTTATGCATTCAGGCAGCCACAGTACCACTGCATTCCATTTCAGGGCGCTTCCTCTTTCTGGCACTCACTCCGCGACCCGCGTCTGGTACGCCCGACCCGCGCCGGCACAGTTCGGGCCTTCATTGTTGTCATTACGCATCAGCCCTACCCCCACAGCGGTGCCGCCGCGAACGCGGTCTCCAGCCCATGGACTCTGGAGAATGACAGTTGTTGAGAAAGAGTCAGTGGCAGCCGCACGACACTGTCGATAAATCTAAACGTAAGTACCAAACGCGACGTATGTGTTTGGAGCTCTTGGAACATTGAGACATTCAGCTGCCTGAGCTACCGTACCGGTAGTCCCTGATTCCCGATGCACCCAAGTTTTGTCCACGCGCTTGCGCACGAGTTGTGCCCCACAGGCTGGGAATACCGCTGCACGATGCAGATACGACTCTGCAACAACACAAAAATCGACTGTCCAGTCTATCTAGGACTAGCCTGCCAATTCATCGGGCTCACGATGTTCGACACGGGAGCGACTGTGTCAGTGTCACCACCAAAGGGACGTTCCGTGTCAAAATCAAATTTTGGCGTTGTTTGGGGCGATCAGCAGGGCTGCGGCGTGGATGCGATTCAGTGGGGATGCTGTCACTGAATTTCCCGGAGAAGCGAACTTCGACGACTCATGGCGGCGCAGTCAGAGTTCACGTCCTCACGGCATCTGCCACTTTGAGAACAAACAATGGTCGTAGAGCAATAGGAGAATAGCATGGTCCGACCGAGAAAGAGCCAAATGGTGGGATGTGGAGAGGAGAAGAGAGCGACGGCAACGTCATTTTCGATGATACTGTAAGATCTTCAACTGCCAGCTGACCACAATCACCTTTCGGTACCTTTGGTGCGTTGACTCGACGTCAAGCGCGAGTGCCTCCAGCAAGTCGCCCGCCAACACTTCGATGTCATCTCAAGCAAGGATTGAAAGGGAAATTATCAGCCTTGCGATAGTGCGGATTCACACTCTCGACTTGATCGATTTTAGGAACACTAATGAGAGCGCTAGAATATCTATTGGCTGGGTGGCCACTGGGTTCAGTTTCCGACTGGTTTATCTGCTCATTTTGCAAATGCGCATCGAATCAATCGCGATTAGATAGGGATTTCGTGAGAAACCCTTGTAGTTCATAAGCAGACCACGGTTTCCAACAGTACCACCCGCACGAGATGCGCAGCTTGCACATTATCAGTCGCCGCATGTCACGAACCTCACACGTTGTTACAAGGACAACACTGCGACCTTGCTCTTTCGGCACGTGCGGTACTGTCATATGAATGAATCCTCCGGGGTCATGGAAGAATCACTCGAAGCCAACATTTAAGCACTTCGCACCTCTTCAAGATCGGTCGCGAGCACAAAGAGCCTTACGCCGATAGCCAGTACAGAAGAAGAGGGGGGATGGACCTAATTTGTACATAGTAGTCTGCATGGCCTTGGGCTGACCACGATCAAGACATGGTGTCGCCGGTGTCGCTATATTGGCTGAACGTCGAGCGTCGAAAGCTTCAACCAATAGATAGGTACCGGTAGTGCTCCTGCCAAGATGTCACTTAGCAGACTATCATTAGCACCGGCACGAACGGGCGGCCTCTCTCCACCACTAGACCAAAACGAGTCATGTAAAGTAACGATCTATAGATCCGGCAGCATCCGAGTCGGCTCCCATGTGATCTACGTCTTTGCTGTGCTCGTGGGCTTACGAGACCAGCTTGCAAATCATCAGACGGAGAGCCTCCCTGCGACTCCCATCTGATCGAGTTGATCAAGTCTAGAAGTAGCAATCGAGTCGAGGACCCTCGGAGGAAGTACTGTGAGTGGCCTTCAAAGATGCCATTTGACCTGGGTGCTGTTCTACAGATTTCCTACCCGGCTGATTGTCTGGCTGTTATTGAGGTATCAACATGACGAATGCCATGTGAAGCCATGCCCACACAATAACGGTGCGACAGGACATGTGGTCACATAACAATAGCAAGAGACCTTGCATGCTTGCAGTTTTACTCCAGCAATGTCTAATTATTTCTCACCATGGTCAGAGTTGCATCAAGGTCTTCAGCCTGCTCCACTTGGCAGTCTAGTCTTAGTCGAGGCTGTCACTGACACGTACGGAAAGTTGGAAGATACTATGTTTTCTCGTTGTCGTTCATTCATTCAATCTCAAGCAAGCTACCTAATGCGTCGTTCAAACGGAAATAAACATCAACAACCACTTCAAACATTGTTTCCACCTCTTCCTACATTCAATCTCTTTCACGTCACCTATCTCATAATCTCAGCATCAACATCCTTGTTCCAGCTCGGCTTGATGGACTTTTGGAACCACAGCATAACATTGCCCTGCTGCTTCGCCGCTGCCACCGCCTGCTGTGCAGCAGCCGATCCACCGGCTTGCGGTACCCACGAAAGGCTTGGCTTTCTTTCACTGAAACGGTTATTCTTTGCAGCCTGGAGCGTGGCATCAAGGCCCTCAAGTGGCTTGCCACTGCCGAAAGCAGGCTCCAGGGACTGACGAATGCCCTCGTAGGGATCGGTCTCCTCGACATCGTCGACAGGAGCACCGCCAACGGGGCTGCGCATGCCGTTGGGGTCCAGGCCGCCACTTACGAGGATATCAAGGAGTTCAGGGTCACCAAGGCTGATTGACGGGTCGCTCAGCTGTTCAAAAGAGCCAGGAGTGGGCGGTCGATCGGTGTCCACTGGGGTACCTCCTGCAGCCAAGCCGTTGAGCTGATTGTTTGGGTCGAGGTTGAACCCGCTCAAATCAATCTTCTGCGCATCGTCAAGGTTCGGACCAATGCTCTGCACTCCAGGAACACCAAAAAACTCCTGGCGTTTGGCGAGCCGCAAGCTCCGCTTGCCGAATGTGGTGGCAGCGAAACCCTCCAGCAAGGCTGACTTTGTGTACTCACTCAGGTCGCCAAAGTCAGACCTGAGAGTATCAGCCAGAGTGTCGAGATTATCGTTGTTGACGGCCTTCGCGGAGTCGTGGATGAGCCCAGCCAACTCTGGCTGTTTGGACTCATCCAGCTCACCTAAAAAAGACTCCCAGTCACTTGCAGGACCTTGCTGGAATTTTTCGATGGCGCGACGTGCGAGAGGGAGGTTGACAGGGATGGGGAGCGTCTTGGTGAGCCCACCAGTAAGCCCACCGAGTGCTCTAGTAACGCTGCCAAGAGGGTTTGTAAGTCCACCTGCTCCGCCCGCAAGGCCACCAACTGTGCCAGTGAGGCTGCCGACTGTGCCTGTAAGACCGCCGACTGTGCCGACTACTGGAGCGACCGCACCAGTAGCCACGCCAAGTATGGGTGCTGCAATACCAAGAGCAGGAGCGGCAAGAGGGGCGGCAACATTCAGAACGGGGCCAGCAGCAACAGTGGCAGCACCTAGCACAGGAGCGGCGGCGCCTGTGACGATGGATCCAGCGTTTACAGGCAAGTTCAGAGAACCAAGCAGACCTGACAAAAGGTTGAGCAGACCGGGAAGGATGCTCAGAGCCTGAGTAGCATCAGCAGACGCACCGCGAAGCTGTCTCTTGCCCAAGTTCCCAAGAGTGTTAACTAGGGGAATTTGCTGTACCGCTGGCAGAGGTAGGCCAGCGATAAGCTGGCCGAGAACACGGAGCAAAGGAGGCAGAATCTCTAATATAGCACTAGCGTCGCTGAGGGACTGCAGAGGCGCGACGGTCGCAGCAATGGCGGCAGGATCAATGCCCGTACCGAGAACCTGGCGCCTGATAGGAACAGGGAGCGAGGAAACGGCATCCGATACAGTAGGCACGAGGGTCTTGAGCAAGGAGGTGATCAGACTGAGAATGGGCTTCACGAGGCCGAGGATCTGATCTGGCTGGAGAGGAAGGCTGTCGAGGTCGCGTTTACCGAAACCACTCAGAGGAATTTTGGGTAGGACAGTAGCTGGGTTGACGGGTAAGGCGTTGAGAAGTCCGAGTATGGTCTGGACAAGTGATTGAACCAGACTCAGGGTACTTGCAGGATCGAGAGCGCCAGTAATGGTCTCAAGCTGACGCTTAGTCAAGCTTCCAACAATCGAGTCGAGGCCAACGTCAGGTACCGAGAGAGAGAGTGGTATCGGAGACTTTGCGAGGAGGGAATTGACAAGTGCCAACAATGGCTCGAGAATGGATGCCAGAATTTCAAGTCCAGGGATTGCAGCGGTATCACGCTTTCCTAAAGGAAGGCTTCCAAGAACATTGTTGAGTGGCGAAGTCGAAATGACACTGCTCACAGGAGCAGGAATTTTCGTGAGCAATCCAGTCGCAAGTTCGAGTAGGGGCCTGATGACGGCAAGGATGATGTTTATGTCCAGAGGAACCGGCAGTGAGGGGATATCTGTTGTGACACCGCGCTTCTGAAGGCCATTGATTATATTGGTAACAGCTGGGAGCTCAGGCTTATCAGCAGGGATGAGCTCGATCAGTTTGTTAACGACTTGCAAAAGAGGCGCGATGATCTTAAAGATGAGCTCAGGGTCGATGGGCAGAGCAGCAGCGTCGCGCTTTGCGTGAGGTACTCCTGCAGTCGGCAGCGAGGCTACGATTGACTCGATAATCGAGAGCACAGGCTTGATAGCACCAAGGAGAACCGAAGGGTCGAGAGGAAGACTTGCTGGAATCAAAGTCTTAGTCAGACCAGAATCGAACGCGAGAGGAACCTTGGGTACTGCCGTGGAAGCAACGTCGCCAAGTCCAGGGACGGCCTTGACAGCTTTGGTGGCAGTAGGTGTGAGTCCGCCCACATCGGGGATAGCACCACTACCAAGTGCAGGGGCAGCGCCTCCAACGAGCCCACCGACAAGAGGGACGGTCGACACAACACCAGTGACAGTGGATGCGAGTCCGTCGGCGTTTGGTAGACCGCCAGTGAGGCCGCCAGTGAGGCCTCCGACCAGTGGCAGATTCTGAGTAAGACCACCGACGTTTGGCAGACCGCTAGTGAGGCCGCCAGTGAGGCCTCCGACCAGTGGCAGATTCTGAGTAAGACCACCGACGTTTGGCAGACCGCTAGTGAGGCCGCCAGTGAGGCCTCCGACCAGTGGCAGATTCTGAGTAAGACCGCCGATGTTTGGCAAACCACCAGTGAGACCGCCAGTGAGGCCTCCGACCAGCGGCAGATTCTGAGTAAGACCACCTGCAAGACCGCCGACGTTTGGCAGACCGCCGGTAAATCCGCCCAGGAAAGGCAGACCACCGAAGAGGCCGAACTGACGCTTCTTCAGCTTGTCTTCAAGCCTTGGGAGAAGACTTGCAGGTAAAGCACCAGTGACAGTCGACGCAACTCCGCCAATCGCAGGCAGAGGTAGAGCTGGTACGAGAGTGCTCACATCCGGCAGCGTAGCACCAAGATCCGGCACAGTCTGCCCCACGCCGGGAAGCTTAGCAAGCAGTGAGCTGACCAAGCTGAGCAGCGGCTTGATCAAACTCATCGTGATAGCATTGACAGCGGCTGGAGAAGCGGCCTGAGCGCTGTCAACTGGCAGTGTGGTTTGAGCGAACAAGTCTGGTAGCTGGCGCCTGCCTAGGGAGCCTGTTGCGGCAGGCACTTGGAAGGGAAGCTTGACAGCAGGGACGAGAGACAGAGCTGGGTCAGCAACTGCAGGTGCCGCAATAGGAAGGGCCGGAGCAAGGACATCTGCGGGGGCGGGTAGTACAGGGAGATCTTCAGCCAGACCGGTGACCGCCGGAGCAACAGCCAGAGCGTCGGCGGGCACAGGAAGCACATCTGCGAGGATTGAAGTCGGCAGACCACTCAGCGCATCGGTCGGTACATCGGTGAATGCCTCTGTCAAAGCAGCAGGACCCTCGATGGGTAAGAGATTATCAACGGGCAGCTCGGATGCGACATCTGAGGCCGCGGGAAGAGCGAGCGGTACATCAGGTAGAGCTTGTATTGGGAAGCCAGCGCCGAAGGCCTCGATCGGGAGCGCAGGTGCGGGCAAGTCGAGTGGCAGACTGCTCTCGTCAAGGATCTCAGGGGCCAGGATATTGTCTGGTGTCACAGGAGCGGGGAGAATTGATGGAACGTCGTCCACGTCAACCCAATCATCAGGCACTGGAATATCCCACCAGTTCAGATTTGTGGGGGGTGCAGGAGCAATAAGGTCATTTCCAGAGTCGACGGGTAGGTCAATGGGGACACCGTTCTCGTCTAGCTCAGGCCAAGGGATGCTGAGAATGTCATCTGGGATGGAGGCGTCGGCAAGGTCGGCCAGCGAAGGGGCCGCAGGAAGAGCAGTAACGATCTCGGTGGGTACTGCAATGTCCTCAAAGCCCTCAGGAACAGGGATGTCGAACAAGTCAGTCGGCACTGGGACATCGAGCAAGTCGGTCGGGACCGGAACATCGAGCAAGTTAGTCGGGACCGGGACGTTGAGCAAGTCAGTCGGGACCGGGACGTTGAGCAAGTCAGTCGGGACGGGCACATCGAGAAGCTCAGTAGGAACTGCAGGCTCGAGGAAGTTGGTTGGAACTGGCAGGTTCGCAAGTGGGTCGGCGAGAAGACCACCAGCCGCATCCGTGGGCAAGTCGAGTGGGGCACCATCGAGTACTGGTACATTTAGCACGTCATCTGGGATGGGGAGGTCGTCAAGATCTGGAAGCTCGCCGTCCACAGCTGGTGCGATAGTCTCAGGGATGTCTGCGAAGGGCCAGTCGAGCAGATTGGTCGGAAGAACACCAGGTGCGTCAAGGCTCGTGGGCAGCACCAAAGGGGCAGCAGCTGTGGCGTCCGAGATAGTATCGAGCACATTGTCGATAGGGAGACCGTTCTCATCGAAGTCCGGCACAGGTACATTGAGAATGTCGTCCGGAATTGCAACGTCATCAAGGCTCGTCGCTGGGAGACCGGAAAACGGCGGCGACTCGAATGCAGCCCAGTCGATGCCCTCAATGTCATCCGGGAAGGGTGCATTCAACACCTCATCCGGGATGTCTGAGGTGAGGCCTGGAAGTGCAGGCGGGGTCGTGAGAGGCAATTCGGGTAGGGCTAGTGTTGGCACATCGACTGGGAAGTCATCCGTAGGCAAGGCATCGGGCACATTTACAGGGGGTAACTGCAGGATCGGCAGCGTGGTGTCAGGTACGGGCAGTGACGGAACATCAACAATTGGAAGGGTAGGGACGTCGACGGGCAATTCTGGGACACCAGCCTGGACGTTAGAGACGACATCGGACACTGCATGACCGACAGAGGGGATCTGCGCAAGGAGAGCGTTGATAGCCTCGAGAATGGGTGCGATGAGTGCGTAGATGCTGTTGGTGTCGATGTCTGTAGCCGCCTGCCTCTTAGCGAAGGGGAGGTCTGCCGCGATTGAGTTGGTTGGGATAGGATCGATGACAATGCTGATCAGAGGGTCAAACGTATCAGTAGCGGTCCCGTCGGCATCGTTGAAGGCCTCGGTAGGCAGTGGAGGATCGATGAAGATCTCCGGTGTCTCATTTGGCAGCAACGGGTGGGGGAAGATTCCAGGGAGAGGGGGTGCGAAGTTGCCGGGCAGAGAGTTGAGCAGAGTCTGGATGACTGACAGCAGAGGCTGGACCACGGCGTTGAATGTACTGATAGGTACATTGGCTTCGTCAGGGAGGTCAAGGAAGTCAGGGAAGAATGGCTCGGCAATGAGACCATCATCGCTGTAGGGGTCCTCGCTAGGCGCTGGGAGATCGATCACCTCGAGATCGTCGGTGTCAGTAAGGTCAGAAGACACGACATCCGGGGCACCGACAGGGGGTAGGTCAGTCTCTACGGGCAGGACACCTGGCAAGATCAAAGGAAGGATGTTTGAATCAAGGTCCAAGATAGAAGGAGCGTCTGTCGGAAGGCCACCTTCGACAGCATCTGTGGCGCTCTTCAGCGCGGAGGCAACGGTCTCGGTAGCATCTTCAATGGCATCAGCAATTTCTTCGACCGCAGACTCAACTGCAGGTTGGACAATAGTACCGACAACCGTAACAGTGGATGCGTCCAGAGTGGGAATGAGTGAAAGTGCGCCAGGTGTCACGTTCGGTGCGAGGTCGCTGACCAAAGGAATGACTTGGGGCAAGGCAAGGCCATAAGGTAAAGAAGCAAGTAGCAGCGCGGTCGCTGCAGTTCGGGGAGACATCTTGGCGAGGAAACCTGCCCACACCAGCGTGAAGACCCATCCGAGTGAGACCCCAAGTATGATATAGTCATGGCTGTGGCGTGGTGGTGCTCTGGCCAAGCATTCCTTGCGTCGCGCGGGGCGGCGGGGCGGTTGCTGGACATTCCAACTACGCGATGTTCAGCATACCAGCCCACCAGTGGGTCACAAGGACGATGCCATGAAGTAAGGAGAGTGGGAGAAGTGGCTTTCGTTATTGCTAGCAGTTGCAAAAGGCTTGGCCTGAGAAAATATTAGTAAAGGTAGAGAAAGCCGGCGAATGGCACTTACGTGAATTCCATAAAGGGAGTCCGCTGTACGAATCCCCCTCTTCTGCCAAGACAATACTGGCTCCAAGTCCATACTCTGGGATCGTACAGAAAGGGCATTCACGAGCCTGAATCGCGTGAGTGATAGGCGATTAGAAAGTTGCCTACGCAACGTGACGTCGACTTACACAATGCCGTTGTTCCAAGTCTGTCCAACGCAGCCGAGAAGTGCAGAGGGGCGGCATTCTTGCAATTGCATGTTCGTCCGATTCGTTCAAACTTGTGTAGGACCTACACGCCATGAGCCGCGGAGTCACAAGATGTGTACTGTGAAAGTGAAGGATTTCTCACCGAGCAAAAGATGTCGTGAAGTGATTGCGAATCCAGCGCCAGAACTCCAGTACTTTCCGTATCCAAAAACGTGCAAAAGTTGTAAAAGGTCGTAAATGTCGTGCGCATTGATTCACAACAGGCGACGTCATCCGGACGCGCGGAATTCAAGTTGTTGTTACACGGCGCGCTGCGCTTGCAAATAGTGTCTGCGTTGGGTCAAGATGCGTAAATTGTTGCACGGTGTGCTCTCAAAAGTGAACAGCGCGAGTCGGCCAAGAAGACGCGTCGAACGGCGCGTTACCCAATCACCGGTTTCCCAGGACGCGGTCCTTCTTGCTCTTCTGAGGGAGCTGCTGGCTGTTTTCAGAGTTCTGGGAAGACTCGGTAGAGGTCTGGGATGACTTCGCCTGCTGCTGTTCAAAGAGCTTGCGCTGGCGGTTGGCCTCGTAGGCCTCGATGTCGGCCTGCGTAAGCTGAATGGCGGTGGCCTGGCGTCTGAGCATCTTGACGGTCTTGATAGCTATGGCGACTTGGGTGGTAAAAAGGAGTGTGGGTTCACAAAAGGAACAAGATCAAGAATGAGTGACTGGAGTCTGTCGAAAAGTGCGGTGAGTTGGTGACGGCGTGTTGCGACGGAAGCTCTGTGGGGAGGCGAAATAGATCAGATAGAAGGGTCGCGGGAACAAGCGAGGACCTTGTTGGGCTTTGATCTGCTTACGAGACACGTGGCGCGGTGAAGTGAGCTCGAGTAAGATGGGATGGTGAAGGTGAGCGCACGTGGCGCGTTGGAGATGATCCCTGTCATGCCAAGACTCCACGACCTCGAAATCTTGACGACGGCATCGTCGCCTTTCCCATCCATTACGGCCATGTATCAGCGAAACATGGGCCCAACAGTGGGCGCGCTGCGGCGTACACTAGCTGCAGATGTTGCAACGACACCAAAACGCTCTTCGAGGGCCTTCAGCCTGTCTGCGCGCAGGGTCGAGGAGTCCACTGGTGCAGCGCCCTCCGCTCCTGGTATGCTTCGAACACAGCTGCAGTGACCGACGACCTTTTTTGACAATATCAGCAGCATCGGCGAATCCAGACTCCCGCAGAGCACGCACCGCCAACGCCCTCAGCCAGATTACCCGCCTCGGAGCAAACCGCCGCACCGCAGGTATCCAGCCTGGAGGCCTCGCAAAGGGCAACTTCCCCAGCGGCCAGACAGATGGACAGCCTGGACGAGGTCCTCCGCGCGTCAGGCCCGAAGGCAGTCTGAAGATCACCAGGGAAGCGACCGGTCCCGAGGGAGCCAGGAGAGGTGCACCACAGCCGGGCGCTATGGCTCGCGCCCCTGCCCAATTGAAGCTTTCGCGCAACAGCGGGTCACGAGCAGGAAGCAACGCGTCAGTCGGGGGCAGGCGCGGCCCCAACCTTCGTGGGCGTGATGAAAAACCGGGCGGCCCCGGCAATCGCTCGCGTGATGGACCGAATAAGCGCACCGGCAGCGGTGGGGACGAGGAGAGAGTCGATGCTCGCGATATCAAGTTCGAAAACACACTGTCTGACGGCATGGTCCAGCACCTCCTGCGACTACAGCGAGGCCAGTGGGACCGCAAGCCGTACGAGCCGAAGTATGCGCCCGGGAGCTTTGCGGCGAACCAGTTGATACACCAAGGGCGAGAGCTGTTCCGTGGCGAGGCGCCGCCAGTCAAGATCTGGGGAAGGCTGGAGAAGACGATTGGCGTAGTGGGCATGCACAATGCGGAGGCGCACTTGAAAGTTAGGCGGTTGACAGATCTGGACGACGAGTCTCTGGGTGACAGGAGACAACACTTCGAGAACGGAGACGTTGATATCCCGGTAATTGGGAAGGCGCCTCAGGCTAGTAAGGCAGCTGCAGAGACTCCTGCCATGAGCGCACCTGCAGCTGTAACGCAGGCGGCAGCAGCGAAGGTCTCTGCACCAGAGCAGGCATTGGTTGCACAGTAGATGAGCTTCGAAGCAGCGTGTACAAGGATTGTAGAACAAGCGTAGCAATTGTATCATCACCAATATCATCGTCATTACAACAACACCAGAGAGTCGTTCAGCGTCAGTCGAAGCAGGGCCCGCTGACGACCGGAAGTATTGTAGTCCTCGGAGACTCTAAGAGGTCACAACCACTGTCCAACTGTGATCTGACTGGCTTCTATATTCCTTGGAGTTTGCAACAATATGTCAACCTTTTCCGATTTTTCAATGGCTGTAGCTATTTGTGTTCGCTCGGTACATGAGCTTACTACGCATGAAGGAGGCCAGGCACTATGAGAGTGCAGCTACACCTTATCTCTCAGGATCAAAGCCACCCACACAATATCATTAGTGGTGAGATGTTTCTAGCGCGGTATCGGGGTCCTGCCAGACAACTCAGCATCGAGACCAGTGAAGCAGTCGACGGCATCTGCTGGAAAACTCTCGAGCCGGAGTTCTCTACCGCACACGAAGAGGTCACATCGTTCTTCTGGGCATCTCAAGATCGCGGATCGAACGCGTAAGTGGAGTGGTGGAATAGGAGTGTCGATTGGGCGAGAGTAAGATCAGGCCGCAACAATGTTGAACCATTTAAACTCACTCGGCTCAAGTTGGACCAGTTGATTCTGCCATGCTGAACACTCAAAACGCTGCAAATGCTGTGCTATGCTATTCATCCATCTTCATTCTCATTCTCATTCTTACACCGAGCTCTCCTGTAGTCTTTCACTGATACCGCGGTAGCCCCCTGTACCCCTTGTTCTGCAGCATCTTCTCCTCCTCCTGCCGTACCACCCACCTGATCTTTTTCCCCAGGATTTCCACCGCACGCTCATGCTCCCACGTCGGTGTATCCGCACCGCGCATCCCGATAAACCGCGCAAACATCCGCATCTTGATCTTCAACCGTTCGATTTCGCTGAACTTGCAATCCGAAGGCAGCGCCGGGTCATTTTGCAGGACCGGCTTATTCCAGTCCATGGTTGTCGGGTACTTGTAAGTCAGCACCGTCGGTGTGTGAGATTGACTGTAGTATTCTGCGAGGTTATCGAGTTGTACTTCTGTTAATGTAAAGAGCGAAAGAATTGTACGTGGGTAGTCTGGCGCAGGCACGCCGGTCACGACATGCACTATGGGTGCAATGGTGAGGCGCATTTGAGAGACTTTGAGTGCGAGATCGGGGTTGCGTTCTGCGAGGGAGCGCTTCTTCATCTGCAGTACAAGCTTGCATGGGCTCTTTGAATTCTGCATATTGGCCAGACGGCGGTCGTACAGCCGGGTCCGTGGGCGGTTTGCTTTGCTAATCTTGTTCTGCTCGTTTAAGCGGAAAGAAGGCATGATGCGTTTGCGTGAAGCTTCTGTAGTTATTGGCAGTTGTTGCGCGAAGAAGTTTGCTACGGTCCGGTGTCGTTGAGATGCTGGACGCGAGCAACCGGCAGGGGCATGGGCTGTTGGGCATATATAATGCAAGCACAAACGCACAAGACGAGTTTTTGGAAAGCCAGCTTTGTTGGTGCTTTGCTCTTTGTTATCTCCATAAGACAGCCTGTCTTCGCGAGAGTGAAGTGTGGAAGCTTTGTCTTGCTTCGTCACGTGTCCATTGTCTTCGAGTAGACAGAACACTGTTCTGCACAACGCTGTTGTGTGTACTTATGCAAGGCTCCAGAGGATTTAGCGGCCGTATGGATTGAATGTGTGGTGCGCATTGATGGCGTGCATTGTGACATGCTTCGAGATGTGATGGCCCAACCTTTCACGACCCGGATGCGGACCTGTATGGTCGTTTCATCGCCTTTACGAGGCGCCGGGGGATCGCCATTCGCTTCTTGAATCATCGATGTAGTAGTATATCGCTAATAGGTGGCAAATAGCAACCATGAATATTCGGTGAGCAAATGTAAGTCTCTCTAAGCATTAAGAATCTGTTCGAGAGTCACGTCGTTCTCTGCGCCACCGACGGGCTTGGTCTGAGCCCAGAACTTGCTGAGATGTCTAGCTCCGCTGTGAAGTTATTAGTCAATACTTCAATCTGCTGCGAACATGTCTTACCTGTCGCACAGCAAGGTCACAATGCGGTGACCAGGTCCAAGTTGCGTCGCAAGCTTCGTAGCTGCCACGCCTACAAGAGTCAATATCCATGAGCACTATGATGATAGCTTTTGACGTACAATTTACGGCACTGGAGCTGCCAACGAAGATGCCGTCGTGTTCAACTAGCCAACGTGCCATGGATGCCGCTTGGTCGTCGTTGACCCTGATCGCGTCATCAATAAGCTCTCGGCCGACATCAAAATTGTGGGTGATGCGATTGATGCCGATGCCCTCGACGATGGTGTCGACTTGATGACGTCGGCGTGTGCCTTCCTTCTCTTTGGGATCGAACATCACTCCATACTTGACGCGGTTGAACAGGCCGCTGCCCGGAGGGTCAGCAAGAATGATCTTGACAGCAGGAAGGCGAGACTTCAGGAAGAGCGCAACGCCAGAGATAGTTCCCCCGGTGCCAGCACCACTCACGAATGCATCGAGTGATCCGCCCGTTTGCTCGTAGATCTCAGGTCCGGTACCGGTGAAGTGGGCGCGCCAATTCGCTTCTGTCTCAAACTGGTCGGCGAACAGTCCACGACCTGGCTTATCAGCGGAGGCTGTATGTTCTGCTGCACGCGTCCGCGCGAGGTTGACGAACTGCTTTTGGTCCACGATGGGTGCCGGCTTGACCCTCTCAACTTCAGCGCCTAGTTTCAGGAGTATGTCGGACTTTTCAACGGCCATATCGTTTGGCATGCAGCTGGAAATAGTCAGCAATGGTCTGGCATTCACGATTGAGCTGCTTACATGTGCGCTTTGTAGCCACGTGCCCTGCAAATCGCAGCCAGCGAAATGCCAGTGCTGCCGACTGTGCCCTCATAGATGGTGTCGCCGGAATTTGGGATGAGTAGACCTTTCTCTTCGGCCTGCAAAAATGGTCAGCCAACTTCTGCAAGCGAGGGAACCGAACTCACCTTTTCGATGATGCTTAAAGCAACACGGTCCTTTGGGCTATTGCCAGCGCCATTGAGAAACTGTCTTACGCGTCAATATTTCCAACACTATGTCAGAACACTTGAGAGAACCCACTTCAGCTTTCACCAAGATGTCGCATCCTGTATATTCTGACAGGGACTTGATTCTGATGAGTGGAGTATTGCCGATGCAGCCTTCAATGCCCTCCTTGATGTCCCCAGCGCCTTCTCCTCTAACCAACGAGCTCTCCAGCTCCACCAATGTCTTTTTCAGCGTGTCCAGATCGTTAATCTTCGACAATATGGCGAGTATCTTATGCTGCTGTTTTGATGCGTCTGGGGAATTATTGCAGTCAGAAGAGTTCGTCAACCGTCGATTGTAGGCCGCAGTCAAAACCACTCCGCCGAGGAATGCTCCTGCAATGTAATACCTGGTGTAGTCAGGCATTTCCAAAATATCTGATCACAAATTGGTGTACAAATGCGGCAATGGTCGGAGCATAGATGGAGCTCTCTGAACGTTCCGCGGCTTGGCAGGGCAGGAGCGACCCGCAAACTCCACACGTGCAGTCGCGCAGTTCCCTGACTGTCGCAACCCAGTTTAGACGACCTGCACCGGCGTCAATGGATTCACCGCTCGCCACACAACTCTTTCGCCAGCTCTTCTCCCACCGAGCAGCGCAATGCCTGGCCCGTGGAGCTCGACCGGCGCTCACGGGCGTGCGTGCACCCCAGCTGCAGCGCCGAGGGAAGGCCACACGACTGGGTGAGGGGGAGACAAGCAGAGAGAGCAGATGGACGCCGAGGAAGAATGCGTTTCCGCAGGAGAGGACGGAGGAATTCGAGCGATACCCTATGGTCACATCAGATATGCTGCGCAGCAGGAGGGAGCGGCCACGGAGAGTGAGGATGCTGATGCGCGACTTCATCGAAGACAGCCTCTACAATCCGAGTTACGGCTACTTCTCTAAGCAAGTCGTCATCTTCTCGCCTGGTGATCCGTTTAACTTCAACGCTATGAAGTCAGAGCACGAGTTCTTTCAGCAGCTGCGGCACCGCTACACCGACTTCGAGGATGCGCTCGACCTGCAAGAGCCGAATGAACTGCGCCAGCTCTGGCACACACCGACCGAGCTCTTCTCGCCATACTACGGAGAAGCGCTGGCGCGGTACTTGGTGGAGGATTACAAGTACAATTTCTTCCCGTACCAAGATCTGATCATCTACGAAATGGGCGCAGGAAACGGAACAATGATGCTGAACATTCTGGACTACATAAGAGATGTACACCCGGACGTATACGAGCGGACGAAATATCGAATCATCGAAATCTCGAGCCAACTCGCAGACCTGCAGCAGAAAGGGCTGGGACATTCGGCCTACGCAAGAGGGCACTCAGACAAAGTCGAGATTGTGAACCGCTCCATCTTCGATTGGAACCAATACATCTCCTCGCCCTGCTACTTCCTTGCCCTTGAGGTGTTCGACAACTTCGCCCACGATGCCCTGAAGTACGATAACGAGACTGGCTCCCCGTACCAGTCGCACGTCGTCGTTGACCCGCGCGGCGAGATGTTCGAATACTACTCTCGCACCCTCGATCCTGTAGTTATGCAGTTCCTGGAACGGCGACACGCAGCGTGCGAATCCTATCCCCACCCGCTCCAAGGCTCACGTCTGATGCAGAGCATGAAGAGCCTGGTGCCCTTCCGGACAAACCTCAGTCAACCGGAGTACATACCAACACGACTCATGCAATTCTTCCACATCCTCGCGTCCAAATTCCCCAATCACAAGCTCATCAGCTCCGATTTCGACAAGCTAGGCGAAGCAGTCGAAGGCATCAACGCGCCGGTCGTGCAGACGAGGTACAAGAGGCAAATGATTCCCGTCTCTACGCCTTTGGTAAGTGCACATCCCAGCAATATCCCCTTGAAACCATGCACTGACTGGCTCCAGGTTCACCAAGGCTACTTCGATATCCTCTTCCCCACTGACTTTGAGGTCATGGAGCCCATGTACACAGCCATCACGGGCAAGTTCGCCCGCACATACACACACGAGGATTTCATGGCAGGCAGAGCGGACATCGCAGAGACAAGCACGAAGAATGGGGACAATCCGCTAGTGAGTTGGTACAAGAATGCGAGTGTCATGATTACTATGTAAGAGTTATGGCATGGTATGATCTAAGGGTAGGGGGTCCTGTAGGATTGCAATAACCGGACGTGCACTATTGCTGCTAAACACCTTATGCGCATATCTGGACCTTAAAGGTCGTGTGGCATCTCATGCGCTTGACGTCTTCTGCCGGTGCATGCATGCCGGCCGTGGGTTGCACGATTGATAGCAGGAGGGGCCGGTTGTAAGCTTCTTGGGCCCTGACGGAGGAAACGAGCATGCATGTGTACACTACCAACTAACTCACCTCTTTGGAAGACTACAATGCTTTTCACAGGTGTTGTGCATCTGTATTGCATTGCAACCCTTCGCCGAGTGTCAGAGCCAGGTGATCAAGCGTTAGAGCTGGTTCTGCTATTGCAATAGTTCGGTTGCAGTCTTACACGTACAGTGTTCCGCATGCACATGGCGATCCATGCTGAAGACCAAAGCCTGAAGACCATGCCTTTTCTTTCCTCACGCATTATACATATCACAAAGTCTGTCGCATTTACTGCATAGCAGGACTTACCAGGCGCCATGTAGGCAAAATTAAATCGCACTGTTCACTTGCTGACAGTTGCGACGCCGCAGCAAAAGCAAAAAGGTGGAAACATTGGTTCATGTATTCCTATACCATGTTAGTACAGGAAGCAGGAACTATCTCCTTTTTGAGAAGAACGTACCTGGTGGGGATCGAACCCACGGCATCCGCATAACCCAGATGAGTCATAAGAATCTGACGAGTCTTATAAGAACGGCGCGCTACCACTGCGCCACAGGAATGGCTTTCGCCAGTTTCGAACGCAAGACGCGTCCCTGTTTTAAGAGATTTGATGGAGTTTTCGACATTGGTCGAGTTATAAAGCCGAGTACGGCAAGAGCGAAGTGGGGCATAACAGCGAGGCACACAAGGGCGTGGTTTGCAAGTCGTCGGTGCTGCGTGAGGGTTGCGTGACCTGTGCGATGGTGACGTGTCGGAGGTGATGGAGTGGGGAAGGGACGAAGGGGCTGGGACGGAAAGGGACCGGCCAACCACCATGCGCTAGACTCCGCTTTCCGACGTTTAACATCACGGTGCTCGTCTGACTCTCATCGTGCATCGTGCAGTGCTTCTTTGTACTTGTGTTGCATTGCAAACCGGCTTGTGGTAAGTTGGACAACGCTTCAGGGAATCTGCCATGCCATTAATTCCCCCGCGTTCATGTTCGGCGGCTTCATGCTTGCGAGCTGCATGTCCCCGCTTGAGAGCTCTATTGTCCAGCTGCAATCATGTACGCGTCCATTGTCGCGCGCAAAGCACTCATCATGTCTCATGTGGTGGTGCTGCTGCGCACCTGCAGTATAGCAGGGATCTGACAGCTTTCCTTTGTCGATTGGTTCCTTCAATGCATCGTCGGCCTCGTTCCTTATTGCCCACTCAACGCCGTCTCTATTCTGCATCTACCTCTTCAGAACACGAGACTGACAACATGTAGGCACTCGACCCGTATTCTCCTGGTTTATGCGCTCAACATGACAATCAGGGCCACAAAATTTACACCCGAGGTCCTCCTCAGTGCGCCGCGCAGATCTGAGGGTATACCCAACTCAGATGCATCGAAAGTGCTGTACAGTGTCTCTACATACAGCTTCGAGGAACGTTCGAAAAAGTCGGAAATCCGGATTCTCGATGTCGCAACCCAGCAAACCAGCCTAGTCACGGACGACAAGACTGCGAGCGAGCCTGCCTGGATTGACGATGACAACATCCTCGTCCTGAAGTCTGGCGACGATGGTGTCACGACAGTGCTTGTCGGAAAGGCAGACAACTTCGGCAACGAGTAAGTGGATGTATACTCTATTGGTCTCAACATCGCTAACACACATCCAGCAATTACACCGCTGGTACTGTCGAAGGCCCTATCGGTGACCTCAAGACACTGAAGCTGAGTGACGACGAAGTTGCCATCGCAGCGTCTGGCAAGGCGAAGCCTGATGGTTCTCTCTACAATCCAGAGAAAGCGGAGAAGCCGCGCACATCCGGCAGACTGTACAAGTCTATGTTCGTACGCCATGTAAGTATCCAGATATCAGCTCCCTCGCCTTTGCTAACACATCACAGTGGGATCACTACGTGACTGAGAATAGGAATGCTATCTGGCTTGGCAAGCTCACCAAGAAGGATGGCAAGTTCGAGCTGTCCAAGCTGAAGAACGCACTGACAGGCTCCAAACTCGAAAGCCCAATTGATCCCTTTGGTGGCAAAGATCACTTCGACATCTCCCAAAACGGTCTTGTTTTCACGGCCAAAGATCCCGATCTCAACCCTGCTTTGCATACCAGGACTCGCATCTATGTCTCTGCACACGCAAGTCCAGGCTTCTGGAGTCATCCCGATTTCTGGTCTGGCGAGATACTGAAGCTGGATATCCAATCAGTAGACATTGCGAAGTCTCACGGCTTTGAGGGGGCATGCACCAGCCCCGTATGGTCTAACTCGGGGAAAATGATCGCTTTCTTGGCCATGAAGACCGACGGATATGAGTCCGACAAGAACCAGATTTTCATCACCCATGACTACAGCAAATTGACAACTCCACCAACGCTCCTCTACGCCACAAAGGACGGAAAGGGCAAGTGGGACCGAAGCCCGCAGTCCATCTCTTGGAGTCCAGATGACTGGCATCTGTATCTCACCGCGGAAGAACACGGACGCGGAAACCTCTTTCACGCTGGACCTCCCAAGCGCCCGGGCGAAGATTCGCCTCTGCCAACGGTACTCGTCAAGGGTGGAAACGTGGCAGATGTCAAGGTGCTGGCGTCTGGCGACATCTTCATCAGCTCGAACAGCTTGGTCGAAAATAGCCTGTACTCTTTCGTACCTGTTGGTGACCACAAGAACCACGAGAACGCCTACAGCCTTCCGGTGTCCGAGAACTCCACCGAATCTAATGGTCCAACAACACAATACATCTCTTCCAACACCCGCTCGGGCTCCAAGTTTGGTCTATCGCGCTCCCAGATCAGCGAGATCCATTGGGATGGCGCTGCTCATGGGACCTCAGTCCACGCCTGGGTCGTGAAGCCTAGCAACTTCTCCTCGGATAAGACTTACCCGCTCGCATACCTCATCCACGGCGGCCCTCAAGGCGCCTGGGAAGATTCATGGAGCACACGCTGGAACCCTGCAGTATTCGCCGAACAGGGTTACGTCGTCATCTGCCCCAACCCAACCGGCAGCACCAGCTATGGACAAGACTTCACCGATGCCATTCAAGGCCAATGGGGTGGTCTGCCCTACCAAGACCTTGCCCTAGGCTTCGACTGGATCAGGAAGAACCTCTCGTACGTCGACACCAAGCGTGCGGTTGCCCTTGGAGCAAGCTACGGCGGATACATGATGAACTGGATCCAAGGCCACCCGTTGGGTCGCCACTTCAAGGCGCTCGTCACTCACGACGGAGTCTTCAGCATGGCGAGCCAGATGTCGAGTGAGGAGCTCTACTTCCCCTTCCACGACATCAAGGGCGCTCCGTGGAAGAACCGCGAAGCTTGGGACAAGTGGGACCCGAGCCGTCACACGGAGCACTGGCAGACTCCACAGCTCATCATCCACAGCGAGCTGGACTACAGACTGCTGATTGGCGAGGGCTTGGCGGCGTTCCACACGCTGCAGACTCGCGGCGTCGAGAGCCAGTTCCTGACGTTCCCGGACGAGAACCATTGGGTCCTCAAGCCTGAGAACAGTCTGTTGTGGCATGAGACGGTCTTCGACTTCATCAACCCCAAGGTCGGGCTGAAGCCGCTTACCGGTGATAAGGCCTGCGAGTGAGGTTGGATTGGATCCAGCTCAAGGGACGTAGCTAGTGTTAGATGGCATGTAACCTTCAACAATAAATATCCCAAGGACTGCAAAACCACGCACTCAGCAGCACAGACGAACAGAACATAACCCAACCCAAACGCCCAGCTAGCTCCAGCTCAACGAGGTGACACTCGCCAACCAGCCTTGTATCAGGATAAAAGGAGTAACAGCTCATTACCTCATCATCAAATGTACCTGAAAGTATGATTTGCTTCGAGCATTGCAGGGCCAGCATCGCCCGGTCTGCCCGCATCTTTATCCTTACTCCCAAGCCAGCCCACGAGTCCATGCATCCATGATCGACCTTTGTGTCCGCCCATCCCATCCCATCCCATCCCAATACCAAAACACCCGATACCCCTCTCCTCACTCGCGCTCAACCCGCCTCACCTCATAGTCTCAGCCAGTTCCAAAACACCGCCTCGAAGCGACGCACGGCAACAAAGCAGACACAACTCAGCAAGTAAAAGCAAAAGCGCAGCACAGGCTCCGCCACGACATATCAGAGAAAGAAGGGGGCGTGCAAACGCAGGCGACCGAGAAGTAGAATTCGACGCTACAAAATCTCACGCGTACAAGTCGTCGTCATCCCCCGCGTCGCCGAACCCGCCTTGGGCCATGTCCACACTGCTCCTGCCTGCATGGCCGGCTGGTGCTTTGCCCTTCCCCTTTCCATTGCCATTGCTGTTGCCGCTGCCGCTGCCGCTGCCGGCAGGCGCTGTGTTGGTGTCGCCATTGAGGTCGACGTTCTCAGTGTGTATGACGAGCGCGTCCTCTTCGTGCGCGGGAGCGACAGCCTTGCCCTTGCCCTTGGCGCTTGAAGCGATCCCATTCGTCGTCGGCGGGGCCTCGATCTGTTTCTTGTCTTCCTGCTTGCCGGCGCCCTCGAAGGTGCGTCGCACGCGATCGTAGTGGCGGAGTTCGTCCGCGCTGACGGACGGCACGAGCTCCTTGTGCGCGTCCATGTAGTCCTGTTCCGTGACCATGACGGCTGTGTCCTCGTCTGTGGCGAGGTGGTCGAAGAAGTACGCGATGGAGATTTTTTGGTCGTGCGAGTCGTTGTGTGCTTTGACTTTTCTGTCCACGGCGCGCGCCTGCCGGGTGATGGCTTTGAGCATCGCGTCCGAGCAGAGCGCGTACATGTCTGCACCGGTGTATGTGAAGGGGAGACCTTGCGAGACGCGGGCGAGTGAGAGGTCAGGATGGAGTGTGAATCTGGATGGGTTAGCGACGTTGTTTCGTTACAAGAGTGCGATTTGACTTACTTCCTGCTCAACGCCTCCAGAATGGTCTGCTGCTTCTCGTGCGTGTCTGAGACGCCGAGGTACAGCATCTTGTCGAATCGTCCGGGACGGAGCAACGCTTGATCAAGCAGATCAGGACGGTTGGTTGCGCCAATAACGAACACGCCTTCGCCGCCATCGCTCATGCCGTCTAGTTCTGCGAGCAGCTGAGAGACAATGCGATCCATGACGCCACCGCTATCACCCTGGTTCCCGCGCTTAGGCGCCACAGAGTCCAGTTCGTCGAAGAAGACGACACAGGGCCTGGCGTCACGAGCACGCTGGAAGACACGCCGCACATTGGCTTCCGACTCGCCAATGTACATGTTGAGCAGCTCCGGACCCTTGACACTGAAGAAGTTGAGAGAAAACTCGGTAGCAATGGCTTTTGCGAGGAGCGTCTTTCCGGTTCCAGGCGGTCCGTAGAAGAGGATACCACTGCGCTTCTTCATGCCCTTGGCAAACAGCTCTGGTCGGGATAGTGGCAATTGGATCGTCTCCATGACTGCGTCCTTGATGTGGGACATACCCCCGACGTCTGACCAGCCGACCTTGGGGATCTTGGGGGCGCCAATCGCATCGGCAAAGTTCTTTCTTGCCGCGTCCACAGCGCCGTCAAGGTCAGCTTTGGTGAGGCTGTTGCTAGAGTGGCCGCCTGCAAGCTCAATGTCTCTGGCTGTGACAACTTCGCCCGATAACGAGGCTTTGCTCGCCGTTGCTGCAAGCTCCTCGATGCGGGTGCGCTTCGCAACGACCGCTCTGTCCACCACATCGACAAGATCGCCAGCGACCAACGCCGCAGTCTTCACGGCGATGTTGCCAAGGTCGACGTCGGGAGATAGCCGGATTCCAGCGTCGTCGATGATGCTGCGCAGAATGCCTTCTCGTTCGCCTTCATCGGGTGCTGTCATCTCTAGCTCGTGAGTGAACAGCCCGCGGATGCCCTCGGGCACCTTGTCAATCTCCGTCGTTGTGGCAATCAGCACCCTCGAGTCAGCCAGTATTTCTTTGAGGGCTGTGTTCATCCGGTCGGCCGTGAGTGCGTCGACGTGCTTGAGAAGCAAAGCGGTGAACTCGGCTCCACAGCTGAGACCTCGCTCAGCTCTGGCCTTTAAAAAGCCCTCAGTCTTGACGTCGCCACCTCCTGCACCACCCTCGGTGACGATGTCGAAAGCGTCGATAGCAAAGGTGTGCAAGCCCAGATCCTCGCAGGCCTTTGTTGATATGGCAGCCTTGCCAATGCCTCGCTGAGTGGAGGTGAGAAGAATAGCGACTGGGGGGAGTCCCAGGTGAATAGCCCTCGGGCTCGTCGCCACTGACATCAACTCTCTCAACCGCCTGCGAAGGGGTGAGATGAAAGGCTTGGGAAGTTCATCCATCGCCATCAGCTTCTGCGATGCGGCGGCTGGCGTTCGTTTCGCCCCAAGGTAGTATTGCCAGGCATTGCCAATGGGCGCTGGCGTCTTGCCTTGCTCGCTACCGTTCATTTCCATCTTTGTGCTAGCCGCATCCACGGTAGCTGCACCGCCCCACATGTCTGCTTCTTCACCTTCCTTGGGTTGCGCCGTCTTGGACGCAATGTTGCCAATCTTGAACCATGCTACGACCTTGGGGTTCGCGCTGTCGACGGCGTTGCTTTCCTCGGCGCTCTTTCTGGCAGTAGAGGACAACAGCTCATCGCTCCCGGTATCGTCTTCGGTAGAAGTCTGGAAGACAGCTCGCCCGAGTGATTCATCGATAGAAACACCAATCAAGTCGCCGCTCTTCACAACTCGTCGCTTTTGCTCAAAGTGTTCCTTTAGTGCAGCAAACAGACTTGGCTGCAGCAGGCGTTCGGATGAGAGGGGCGTCGAGACTTTCAGGAGAGTGACCTCTTTCGCGCATGGCGGTAGGGAGGAGCTGGTCAGACGCGGCTTCTGCAGCGCTGTTCGCGGCACACCCGGTACGTGTGGCGCGACCAAGGGTGTGATGCGCACATGTGACGGGCTTCCAAGATTGGCCAGCAGAATAGGAGAGAGGTATGCTGGAAGCGGGGTACTGGCTGGGCCGGAAAAGCTGGAGATGCTCATTCTTCGATGGCCGCTCTCAGGCTTGTTCACGGGGTACCTTGCCACCTTCTTCGACAGGTTCTCTGGGAGACCGTACACTCGGACTGGGCGCCAGTTGGAGCTCTCTTCCTCCTGCGGTCCTCCAAAAGAGCCGAGTCCCCAGAAGGCGTGGCCTGATGGCTCCTCCGAGGCCTCGATCTTCACCCAGTCACCAGAGAAGCACCCAACCTTGACCAGAGTGTTGGTGTCAACCAAGACACGGGCCTCCTCGTCATCGTCGCTGCCCGGCTTGGGATGCACCAACTCGTCCGAGATGCTCTGCAGCAATCCATGGGCCTTGAAGACCTTGCTCTTCGAGGACGCCGCTCCCCGGACGGTGCTGGTAGCTGTGAAGCTGGAGAAGACGGACCCCGGCGTCGCAATGCCGGTTGTGCGGAAGTTGCCAGGGCGCGGGGTAGCCGAGGTGAAAGCTGAGAGCACGCCAGAAGACTGCGGCGGCAGCATGGGCGCGCTCAGCGATATGATATCGTCCGACGAGTCGGACAAGTCCCCGGCATCGGAGCCCGAGAAGTCCGAGTCGAGGTTGTCTGCAGACTCGTCGTCTGGCGGGCTAGCGTCTCGCGAGTCGCCGCGCTCGTCCGCCGTGTAGAAGGCGTCGTTGGACGTGTCTTCGGCTTCGCTGTGGTCGAACGAGCTTGCGAGCGGTGCTGCTCTGACGGGCGGCGGGATGGCGGCTTTGGGGCTGCGATGCGAATGCAGGACGACAACGCGCGTGCTGGGCAGCAAGAGGCCCTGCGACACGGGCTCGCAGGCCGTGATCCGGGCCGCCGGCGGCGGGACGTGTGTGATGGGATGGGCCGGCAGCGGCAGGGCAAGCAGGTCGCCGGCACGCAGCACCGTCGGCGACTGCAATGCTTCTCGCACGGCCGTCCGCCAGGCGAGCTCCTGCGCCGCGTCGTCTGCCCGATGCGCTGTCCTGCCACTGCGGCTCTTGGGCCCCTTCGCCGCGCCGTTCGCCGCGCCGTTCGCCGCGGTCACGAAGCCGCCGCCGAACCTGGCGTGCACGTCGTCCAGCGCCCGCAGCGCCTCCGTGTCCAGGGTGACGTAGACCGTGTCCAAGCCCAGCGGGACGACGTGGTGGAGGCGCACCTCAATCGCCGCGTCTCGGCGCTGTGTCCTGTTCGGCGCCAGGCTGTGCAGACGCTGCGAGAACGACTGCAGCGCGAGGGCCGAGGCCGGCATCTGCAGCGACGAGTGCGGGCGCGCACCAGGCGAGTCGCTCTTCTCCGCGACTCTCACAGCCAGAATCGTCCAGGGCACGCTCGGGGACGCGGCGGCGGCGCTCGGCAGCCACGGGGTCATTGCGACGTGGCAGGCGGTCGTGTTCGCTCCTGCTGTTGTCAGCCTCGATGCAGTGTCTCGTTGCAAGGCGACATGTCTACCAGCGCCCTTCCCAAACAGGTCCTCGAACAGATCCTCGCTCAAGACGCCCACTTCACCCTTCAGCCGTCCGTCGAGCAGCAGACGCGCCGAGATGGACGGCCGGTCGAGCTGTCTTCTCCTTCTTCTTTTCCTGGGGTTCACTGCGTGAACCCCGTTCTGCGCTGCTTGCGCCTGCATCTCTTGCGTTCGTCAATCGACGACTGCCAGCGTTGTCGTGTCTTCGACTGCCAGCGTTGTAGTGTCTTGGACTGCCAGCGTTGTAGTGTCTTCGACTGCGGCTCTGCGGTAGCTGCTGGATAGTCAGTCGCATGCACTCGGTTGCTGCCAAGCTCCAAGTGTACCTCGGCAGGAGCCCGCTGCCTCGAATGCCGATCAGGGCGAGGGCCGACGGTTGCACAACTTCATCCTCGAATAGAGTCAAGCAAATCTCCCACAGACAGCTACCAGCCAACATGGAGCCGCTGTGAGTCTGTAGATTTAATATTAATATATATACATATACACACATACATATACACACACACATATATATATACATACATATACACACACACTTATATATACATATATACATCAATTCCAACAAGCATCCTGTGAATGACTGCTCAAGATATCCGTACAAGTGTGTGCATTTCGCTGTACAAGATCCAAACACGCCTCTTTTGCGAGGATATCAAACGCCTTCAACACCTGCCCATGCACCCTCACACCACCTTGCCATCCGTCCCTCGGCCGACACTCTACCTCCTGCTCTGCTTCGCCTTCTTGTGCTTCTTCTCGCTCTTCTCCTTGTGCTTTTCCGACTCCTTGTACGCCTCGGCCACCGCCTCGCCAGCCTTCCTCTTCTTCTCGCCCGTCTTGACCGACACGGTGAGATTGTCCATGCCGCCAGACGTCGACGCCTTGGCCACCGACCGCTCGGCTTCGGTCCAGTCGTCGGCTGCAGCCCCGATTTCGTACCTGCGCATCGTTAGCACGCCTTTCTACAATCGTCTAGCGGAATGATTGTGCGAGGGACTCACTTGTGCAGCGGCAAAGCGTCAATGAGCGCCTTCGCTCGCTCGCGCTCTTCCTGGTCAGCGAGGAACTCCTCGCCGCCCTCGTGCAACTCCTCCTGCAGATCCTTCTCCAGCGGCCTGAACCGCGAGTCCGCCACCACGTCGCCGTGGGCGGCGGTGTCGTCCTCGACTTCCATTGCCTCGGGCATCTCCTCTCGGACTGCGCCCTCGAGGATTCCGCCAAACGCCGTGGCGACCTTGCGGACCACCTTCACGAACATGGCCATGAGCTGCGACGACGAGAGCTTGAGTTCCTTCTCCACCTCGGAGAATTCTTTGCGCTGCAGCCCGACCGCGAGGAGCAGCGCCACTTGCACGCCGCTCAGTTTGATCTGTGTCTTGAGCCGCCCGGTGAAGTAGAGCGTCGCGATCGAGGGCAGCATGTCAAGGATGACGTGGTAGTCGAGCATGTTGTTGGCGTACGAGTCCAGCCGCTTCAGATCGAAGGGGCTGAAGAGCGCGTCGAGCTCTGCTTTGGTCATCGGTGCGGCTTGCAGCTCCGCGTCGAGGTTTGCGCCGTGCGAGGCCGATTCTTCAATGCTGAGCGAGGTAACGGAGGGAAAGCTGCGGAACTGGTACGAGAGGAGGGAGAGGAAGCGCTTCTGGAAGTCCTTTGCGAAGGCTGCGACCCAGGATCCATCTGACGATGTTGTCTCCAGCGAACGCAGCATGATGCATGTGTGTTCGCCAGTCAAGTCGTTGGGTGTTTGCCGCAGATAGACGGGCACGAATTGCTGGCGTTTCCAGAATTTGTGCAGCTGACTGGTCAGCCCGTAGCTGACACCAACGTAGTCGAGCTTGGGGGACGCGAGTTCAGACAGGCGTGCGAAGAGTGGCGGCATCTCAGATGCCTCTCGAACCTTGATCGTGTCTGTCTGAAGAGTCGCAGACTCGAGCTCGTCTTCTGTAACGCGCTTCATTGTCTCAATCTCACTAGGCGCAGACTCGGACAGGGACGCGAGCTTCCCATCGTAGAAGTCTACAAGCAGAGAAAGTGCTCGCGAACCGTAACCCATGTTCACATAGTCGGGGTTTGTGGCGATACGAACCACACGCGCCCCGGAAAGGGAGCCGAAGTTCTCGTCCTGGAACTGCTGTGAGACGATCCAAGGGATCAGATCGCCGCCTGCTCTCTGTCCGCGGCTTAGACTGCTGAGAACACTTTCTCTGCTGATTTGGCCTTCAAGCGCTACCTGAATGACACAGAGAGGTTCTGGAAGCTTGTTGTCCTCAGCCGGTGCGGTAAGGACAAAGAGCTGATGGGCGGGCGCATCGGACATCAGCTGGAGGTCGTTCGGTGTGTTCTTGTAGTGGCTGGCAACGTATAGGGCCATCATCTTCTGCAAGAACTTCTCAGCGGCCGGATTGTACGAGAAGAGGGTATCGCGGTTGACGTGGAGCAGCTGGCACTCGTTGGGATGCGGGCATCCTTGAGTTCCGAGCTTCGATCGCGGCAGAGTAGCATCCAGGCAGAGGAGGTCGTTCATCCACCGCTCGACAGAATCGCCTTGCGCGTATCGAATGGGTTCCGAAAGTGTGATTTCGCGCAGCGAGCGGCCAGCCATAGAAGGCTCTGTCCCATCCTTGCTCTCCTTTCCTGTCGCCCTGTCTACCACTGTTGACGAGCCATTAGTCTTCCGCCCTCTCGACTGCTCACGGAGCTGATTGATCAATTTGAGCGACAACGAACGCCCGGTACCCTCGTAACCGTTGATTGTGGAAGCCATAAAGACGAGGTAAGGACCCATTAGCTTGCGCACCAGCGGCAGGGGAATCGCTGCGGCCTCGTCAATGACCAACAATTCAGCCTGGCCGAGCTGGTTCGCGTCCTGCGGCTGGATGTACTGAATCGTTTGTCTGTGCTGTCGGTAAATGTTGACGCGAACAATCGCCTTGTTGAAGTCCGCATGTGTCGACTGCAGGATGTTGTAATCCTGATGTTCCATGTACCCGAGCGCATCGAATCCCTTGAACACGAACTCAAAAAGTGTCTTCAAGTTCTCGGGGCTCGGCGATGTGATGAAGATGTTACTGTATCCGTGTGCAATGGCAGCCGCAATCGCTACACCAAGTGCCGCAGACTTTCCGCGACCACGCGCCGCTGTCAGCGTCACGGTGCTCTGTAGTGTCTTCTCTGCGATCGCGTCCACAAATGTGAGGAGCGCCTTTGCCTGGTCCACCGTCTTAGCCAGCTTCACCAGGTCGCCGACTGGTGGTGTGTCTGCCAGCGACTCCTTTATCTCTTCCAACTCCTTGGCCTTCGGTGTCTTGCCCTCGAGCTCCGCGTCTGGAGGCGGGAGCTGCCTGACGTGTTTCCCACCAGAAATGGGAAGCACGTTCAACTCGTCGTCCACCACCAAGCAGCTGTCGCATTTCCCGAGAGAAAGAAGGAATCGTTCGTTGAATCGGGCGACGACATCGCTGTGCGCTTCGGTCCGGTATCGCGAGTGGATATCCATAGACATTGTGTAGAGCTGCTTCAAGCTGTTCATGCCCTTCAACAGCAGAATCACCAAACCGCCTCCCTCGACCGTCTCGATTGTGCGCGCAAGCAGGTTCGGCGTGAGCGCCTCGAAGTCCTGTAGAATACACATGCCGTATGTGTTACCCAGGATCTTCTCGGTCTCCTTGTAGTAGACATAGCGGATGTTCTGTGTCGAGACGAACAGTTCGAAGGGGTCTTCGGTATCGATGTCGCGGATGCCGCGCTTGATCTCGCTCTTGATCTTCTTCTCACGCTTCTTACGGTGACTCGAGAACCCGAGCAGCTTATTCTTGTATGCCCAGAGGACTGACTTGTTCAGCTTAACGTCAACGTTCAGCAGGATATGGTAGAGATTGACGATGACATCCTTCTGGCGGTCACCGACTACCACGAAGAAGCTTCGTTTCTTTTCCTGCGCATTGTGAGCGTGGCGTTCAAGCCATGGTAGCTTAGTGAATGCATACCTGAGCACCGTTTCGGATCAGAGCCGGAATTCGAGAGTCGCTGCATCTTTGTGAGCAATCTGGCGGCTTATAGGATGTTCATGTTCACGTACATAGCTTTCTTCGGCATCTTGACAGCTCCGCAGGCTTCCCCGCCTCGTCTCTGTTCTTCCTTGTATTGGACGGTCGCACTCCTTTACAGGACTTGAAATCGATCGCGGAGACAATCTAGAGCTCTTTCCGTGGTTTCAGCTATTCAGACCTATAGATGCGTGGGTAAGGCGCGTGGTGGCTGCAAGAGTTGCGGGCCGTGCAGCCATCGTTTTCGAAATTTCGAAGTTCGAGTCGGCAGAACTCGAGACCCCTGTCACCGCCTTGTACCCACCTCTTACCTACCTCAGCAGGCAAGTATGAAAGTCGTTGAACATAGACAGGATGCGCTCGAGGCATGCGCAAATCTGGCTGCCCGTTTAGATGAGATTGGCCCTGCAACACACTCATTGCTTGAGATCTGTGCCCAAGGAGAATGTTCAGCGACGGTGATAGTGTTACGCAAAGTCTGTGACAAGTCTATAGTCTGGGTGCCCGAACATAGGACCTAAGGGTATATAATGCATATGCTCAAGGAACGCTAATCTCAAATGCAACCTTACAAAGCCGACTCTTTCTCGGCCTCGCAGGCTTCGTAGCCCTTCCCATCTCTACCGCAAATCTGCTCTGAGCCTCTGATCTGCTCAGCGCCCTTCTCGCTCCACTCTCCCGCCGTCACGTCGACCTGTCTCGTCGCATCTTCCCTCAAATTGTCGCTGCGTTGGTAGAAGTCCTCGATGTCCTCGCAACCTCGAGGGATACGGCAGACGTTCCTGGCCTCTTCAGGCGCTGTCTTCCAGAGCACGTCCCTGACTTCTGTGCCAACCTTCTCGATGGCATCCAAAGCCCAGATCACATCCAGATGCTCGTATCCCTCAATGATCTTGGAATGGACAATGTCGACAAAAGGTTCGCGATTACGTTCGAAACGGCGCAGGAGGCGGCGACCGTCCACAAGATCATCTGCGCCACAGACCCAAAGAGCGAATGGCGGCGTGTGCGGGCCATACCAAGCGAAGCGAGCGCGTCTGCTGTCGCGTCTATATGAGCTGCGTTTCTGCTCATCGAGTGCATTATCACCCGGCCGTGCGTTGTCTGATTGTTCTTCAGAGTCGTCTCTTGAGCGAGATTGTGATCTATCCTCCTCTTCGTCCTCCCTTTCCTCAATCGTCTTCTCTTCGCGTGTCGACAAGATGCATTTGTGTTTCGCGAAACACTCGCGTCCCAGCCACCATCTCATACTCTCTGCGCTGACATAGACAGGTGAGAATTGGAAGAGGCGGTTTCGGAGGTCCCGATCCCAGCGTTCATCAGTCCAGTTGAAGAGAAAGGAAAATACGCGGTACCCCATTGCGCCATAGATTTTTCCCGGAAGCAAAGCGTGCATAGTCATCATGAAGGGAATGAACGCATGAATGCCGAAGACCACTCGAAACATGGCCGGCGAAATGACCTGCATGAACTTGAAGTAGGCTTTTTGGATCAGCGGACCTGCGTAAGCTGCTGGCGCAAGCGCGCAAAATACGGAGATCTTATCGCCAATTTCTGGGCGCTGCTCTTTGGCCATAGCCACAAGACTTTGAGTGGTGCCCTGGCTGTGTGCAATGAGGCCGAGCTTCTCGAAGCCAGTCTCGGAGAGCACTCGCGAGACTAGCGCTGGCAGATCCATGACACCCATCTGACGGATGTTCCAAGACCACATCCTTGGGTCGCTATAGTCGAGCAACTTGTGTCGTGGGTTAAACCCGCAGCGATTGTTGCCCAGCCAGACGTCGTAACCACTCTTGGCGAGATAGAACGCAAGGCTGTCGTCGTCATTTGTGCAGTACGCACCGGCTGATTGCAGTAGACCGTGAATCATGAGAACGGGATACTTTTTCCGTCCTACCGGGTATCGCGATCCGGGCACACCGGTGCAAGACGTCGTTCTCCCGAAAACGTCAGGTGCATGATGTACTCTATCGGATTCATGCGTTCGGTCGTAGTCGCGGGGGTTGTAGAGATGCCATAGATCGATCATAAAGCCATCCTCAGTCTGCACTTCGAAGATCTCACAATCAAGCCCTACTCGGCGCGCGTAGTAGCGAATGTCGCACTTGAGCTCATCAGGACCACCTTCCAAGGGCACAAATTCATCCCCCTCTCCACTTTCTTCTTTAGTTCCTGCGAGCTTCTCTGACTCCCCGGTGTGGTACTTTTTCCATGCAATTTCAGCGGCCCTCCTTGCCTTCTTTCGCCTATCCTCTTCTTGAAAAAATGGGCGATGCTTATCCGGGTTCTGGCCTTTGAGTTGAATCCAGATATGCTTCGCGGCGATGGGTATTGAAGTAAAGGCTGCTCCCAGTATGATGATGAGTAGGAAGCAAAAAGACAGAATCGCCGAAGAAAGGCGCAATTGTAGGCAGTGAAGCTTCCTCAGCATGCTTGGTGGTCCATATACAGGTACGGGCGGGAACAATGGGCTTGTGTTTGTTGGCGCTTTCGACTCACCAAGCGGGGCATCAGTCCGCTGTTTTTGATTTTCTTCGTCATCCTTGTTGGGTCGTACTCCATGAATGGTTCCATCTCTGGATTCGCGTAATTCGCCTGATGCGGGTTCACTTTCTGACGGGTCGTGGCCCTCGAGAATATACTTGAGTCTGTTGAGCTTTGTAGCTTCCTTGATAGGCACTGACGGTAATCGGCTGCCATCTGCCGTCTGGATCACGGGATCTTGCGCAGTAACAAATCGCGCCTCGACAACTTGCGTCGAGCCGGTGGCTTCATTCTCTTGATCTGGCGCATACTGGCCAAGGCGTTCGGCTTGCTTTGCGAACTCGACAGTTGCTTGTGCCTTGCTTATTGTCTTGTCTGTGGCTTCATGAAGCTTGTGCCTGACGGTTGTCGTAGTCGTCATCTTGTAGTGTGGTGTCAAATCTAGTAAGACGGGAGGTGGAGAAGCATCTGGAGATGGAGCTGTCGCGGGCCAAACAGTTCGAACAAAAAGTGGGCGCGCCACAGATTGACATCTGTTGGCTATGCGTGCAAACGCAGATGTAAATAAAGAGAAGATTCAGACATCCATCTGGATGTCTGAATCGCAGCACTGGCCCGCGTGGGTGATGGCCTAGAGGATCAGCGCGCCTTTCTTGGTCGCAAACCGTGAATGATGTCAGGGACCTTGCAGACTCCGCGGACTTTTGTCGCGCACGGCGTCAAATTACCATCGGATTTACCGCAATTGTGCGTCTCAACAATACATCCAAGGTTCGCTTCATAGGTGAGTGATGCAGAGATGGTGCGTTTTTGTAAGTGGCTTGCACAAGGAACGCTTCCAAGACTTGCATGTGATTTTCATGCTGACTCCTAGTCCATTCGCCCAGGTTGTGATGTGCGGGACAGCCATCGTAGATTGGCGTCTTGAACTCCAGTGAATTGAGCAACAGTCTTGAACACGGACAATGTTCTACGACACTGTTTCGGAGAGATGATTTGCGATACACCTCCCGCTGCAGGTGCTCAGTAATTGTTCATTTGTTCGAGTTCGAAAATGCGTTCGGTACGCGAACTGATTGAGCCGGCAGTGGACTCGCCTGTGCAAAGCTTTCTGGATGTACGCCGCAGCCATCGTCAACGATCTGTGTGAAATGTTGCGGCCGCCTTTGAAGTCGCTTTAGACACAAGAGACTGCAACGCTGATCGCAGCCATGGTTTCGTCGATGTGCGCCAAAGAGTGCTTCCTCATGTCGATTGATGTTGTAACAGTCGCTCACAGCGAGTGGATATATTGTTCGAAAAGTAACCGTGGCGCCAGCCCAATGCATAGATATCTTGATACACCAATGTACAACCCTCCTTAAACCATTCAGCCCTGTGCTTACTTCCGTGCAGCGACAGCTTGCTGAACAGCAGCTGTTGTGCCGGCAGGCTGCTGCGATCGTACGATGGGCTCGTCCGGTACAATAACGTCTTCGAACTCATCCTGGGAAATGGCGTTGAGGGTGTATGTGTCTAGTCACTGTAAGTGAATATCTTACACATCTTGTTCCGAAGATCTTACAGATTCCAATGACGAGCGAACAGATTGCGAACCCGGTGATGGTATTCTTCAGCAGGTACGGCGCACGAGCACGCAGCAACGCCGGCGAGGCGCGCATGCGGGCATCGTAGTAGGTCGACTGGAACGGTTTGCTGCGATTGTCAGCGCCGCAATGCGATCTCTCTTCGCTCCTACTCACTATCCCATGATGGCGTGGTGGAGTCTACGGCGGTCTTGCGGGGAATGTTGACGATTCGCCTCGGTGGTGAGAGGCCCCTTCCGCATCGTTTGCTTGGCACCTGCCTTTCGCCCTGCAGCGTCGATCTGCAGCCATCCATCATCACTCCTCAGACCAAGCCCAGTAGTCAACATCACCGACACACGCGCCTATTCGTTTCAACACGCTCCTTCCACGTCTTGACCACTAGCTTTGCAGGGAATGAGTGGACTGGATACAGCAGGCTCTAGGCTTTGTCGCGCAATAGTTTGACTGCGTCGCGCGCGTGAACAAGCGTCACCAGTGCACGACCTCACCTCACGAAACAAAGCCTGCTTCTTGTGCACTACGTCTTCACCAACACCATGAGTCCCATTCAGCAGCTTCAGTCAGCCCGGGCGCTCGCGTTAGGCGACGGTAGATACTACCCTACCATTATACCGGGTGTACTGCCCATTATAAGCTTCAGTGCAGAGCAAAGCCTCGAGGTGCAGCGATGGGGCGCCGATTTCCTGGCTGAGGCTTTCGCGTCGCCAGCATGGCCGTCAGACGTGAAGGAGAACAGTGCGCCCACAGTGCTGGCTACGCTGAAGGATTACCTCGAGAACGTGGGCGACTTGAGCGTCGTCAAGAGTTCCGTTCAAGCGGCTGCAAGCGTGTACCCGCTTGTCTACAGACATACGTGAGTGGACCCCCTCGAACCGCAAATAGCCTCAACCCTATTCATGAGTGCGTTGTGCGCTGTACGCGCAGCCTCCAATGCCCGTACACGCTTGCTTGCGCCCTTGTCGAACGCTCTCTTATACTTGCGTGCACCAGTGTCCACAACGCCAACGATGCCACAAACTGGCAACTCATGTCGGCTATCAAAGCAAACATCCTGCGACGAATGGACTCAGCTCCACCGGGTGTACGCATGTGCTGTATCAAGTTCCTACAACAGGTTGTCTTGGTACAGACACCAGGGGTGGTCGATCCAAGAGTAAGCAACTTCAATCACACAAGGCCAATACCACGTTCTCACACACCACAGCGGCCTGACCACAGTGATATCTCCCTCGCCCTCGTGCCCCGCGATCATCCCCTCATACCGTATGTAAGCCTCGAGGCAGAAGGACATGGGTTGCTCGATCGTTTGTTGGATATCATACACGGAGATCACAGTGATGGCTTGCTTGTCACGGCAACGCTCAACACGCTAGGCGTGCTGATGCACAGACGACCAATCGCTGGCAACAAGATACTGACAAGCATCTTTAACTTCAACCCGTTGAAGCTCGCCAACTCTTCTCTGACGCCCAAAAACAAGGTTATAATGAAGTCGATTGAGCGCACAACAAGATCGCTGCTCATGAATATCATGAAGAGGTATACTCCTTCACGCACTCCATGGAGATCCATTCAACTAACAGTTACCAGGGACCCTCAGAACCCCATCAACGGCAGGATACAGCAATTCCTTGAACGTATGCACCGCATGCGTGTTGAGATGGCTGATGAGGTCAACCGTAAGCGACCGGCTCCCAGTGAGCCTACCGATGGCCTCGATCAAGCCAAAAGGCAGCGGGTTACTACCAGTGCCCCTGCTGCTGTGACCCGAAATAATATGCCTGTTGCACCGCCGCTGCCGGCAGGCCCCATCAGCTGGCGGCAGTTGTTCACACTAAACCCTGAGGGTAGTACGGTCAACTTTGATGTGCAAGCTTTCCGAGACCCAGAGCAGTTGGTGAGGATATTGGTACCTGTGCTACAATCTGTCGACCAAGTCAAGCTGGGCCACGCTATGAACATTGTCCGCTCTCGATACTTGAGTCTGAGTCAAGCTGCCCGCAAGGCTCAGCCGGCAGCCTCTGCAGCGGAAGACGAGGAAGAGTACGAGCCTGACTTTGAGCCTGAAGACGCGGAACAAATCAACAACAAGCTTGATGGTCTTCCGCCCACCGACCTGGCGTTTCAGTCAGGTCCATCAACAGCACTTGCACCGTACAAACTTCCCGAAGCACCACTGTTGACGGAACAGGAAGTCCAAAAGTACGGCGCTATGACAGTCAACCGAGCATTCGGCATGCTTAGCAGCGTTGATGATACACAGAAGAGCAAAGTTGCCAAGGGTGGCTTCAACAGGCTAGCGGCAAGCGACTACGGTCGCGACGCCTGGGTGACAATCCTCTCGCGGTTAGCTACACGATCCAGCGCCGGTCTTGAAGATCCACGAGAAGGCATTAAGGACGAGCATGCCGTCAGTAACTCGAAGGGAAGCCTTAAAATCAGCGAAGCCGTTCGAGACGGCATGTACAACTACATTATCTCGGACTGGAAGAAGCGCATCGACGTTGCAACCTTATGGCTCAACGAAGAGTGGTACAACGACACTGTACTAGCACAGTCGAAAGATGTCGTCACCAACGGCACTGCCAACGGCGACACTTTCACATCTGTACTCAATGCGCCAAACGGTAACTACCAACGGTGCGCACTTCGCCTCATCGACGGCATCTTGCCATACGTCGAACACACCGACAAAATTATCATGCGTTTCTTGTCTGAGGTGCCCGCACTCAACTACGAGATCCTGGTTCGACTGAAGAAGATGGCCAAAGACCCAGAGCGTATCGACCTCGCATGCAGTGCGCTACACTACCTGTACATGTTCAGGCCGCCGGTCAGGGACATCGTAGTCAACGTCCTCACTGAAATCTATCAGTCGAACGATCGCGCAAGACCGAGTGCGAAGAAATTGCTTGCTAGGTGGAAACCGGAGATTCTGGCTGAGGAGGATGCACCGCCAGTCAAGACAGAGGAAGGGCAGATTGCGAAGGACAGTGGAAATGGCGCGTTGGAGGTCAAAGCTGCTTCATAAGGAAGGAGCTACGATGAAGCACGAAAGAGCGACGGCACAGAGCGGAGAAGCTTTGCTTCCAACATATGTATACCCAAAAGGATTGCTTTTTGCACAAGGATTGATCTGAAATAGATGGCATGGTGGATGCATGGGTGGCGAATATGTGTATCACATGAGAGATGACATTGGTTCAAGCGAACTCTGACTTCGAAACCTGGTTCCTCAAGTCCCGTATCACTCTTGGTAATGTGTAGCGACAACTTTTGACTCAGGCATTAGGGCAGTCATTCAGAAACAGGGAGCAGAAGGCCTTTCAGCTGACCTCGCATGTTGTACGTGCAGTGCCCATGCATCCAGTTGGCTGCTGGCTACAGCCGAGACAGGTGGCCTTGGTCCCGCATTGTGGAGTTGCACGCGATGAAAATCGGGGAAACTACACATCTTGATTCGGAATACCAGGCAGCAACTTTGGTCAAAGTAAACCACAGATCTTCTCCTTCATACGATCATCCCCTACTAATTTGCTGGCCCACTCCATCACCGAATCTTTACAACTGTACATTAGCATGTCCGACAGCAAGACACCAACCCAAACATACAAGGCGTCCTGCCATTGCGGCGCCTTCGCATACACCATCGAGACCCCTTCTCTCAATAATGAATCCACCGAAGTCGTGCACTGCAATTGCAGCATCTGCATGCGCAATGGCTACCTCCTGATCTACGTGCCAAACGACCAGATCACATTCACCAAGGGCAGCGTCGAAGATTTTAAGGTAGATTGACTCTCATCCCTACCAAACGCACACCGCAGCTAATATACTCAGTCTTACACATTCGCGACACACTCAGTTGCGCACTACTTCTGCCCTACGTGTGGCACCTCGTGCATGGCGCGAAGTATCCGGCCAGGTTTCTTTGACGGTACGAGTATCGTCAATGTGAGGCTGTTTGAGGATGTGGAGTTAGAGAAGTTAAAGATCAAGGAGATGGACGGGAGGAGTTATACCAAAGAGACAGCGGAGGCGAGGGTTGCGGGGATTGAGGCGGAGATGTAGGGGAAATAAAAGGGTGCACGATGTCGGATTTCGAAGAGAATGAGGAAAAACTCTGAGCTCCCTTTGAGAAGAACTTTTGTTGGGAGTTTTACGCAAAAAGTTTTGAGGTTCTCATTCACAGAGAGCATGATCTAAGCTGATCAAATGTTCAATCGACTCAATTCCTCCAGCAGCTCAGGAGAGGCAGCGTCACGAGTCAGTACTTCCACTTCCTCGAGATGCTCCTGGCGCTCTGTGTATGCGTGTATGTCGTACATCATCTTGACGAATTGTCTGTGTTGGGGCAAATATTGTGCTGAAGTGGTGCTGTATTTGTCAGGGCTATCATCGGTAACATGACTGCCTGGAAGATGTCAGTCATGCGTTATGATAGACAAGCATTTATAGCTTACACCAGCCAGTCATTTGGAAAGCCTGCATAGTGAAAGTATCATTCCGGAACCGACGCTCGAGGGAAAGAAGAGTCGCCATGATCATAACTCGCATATCACTTGATGAGACCCATTGCATGGCTATTGACTGAGCAATTTTTAGTTCTTTGGTGCTTGGAACCGTAGGTGAGCCAAGTCTGAAATCCTGGCTAAGTTCATTAACGCGACGATAAATCTTCTGATCGTCGTCTCGATGGCAAAAGTAGGGTAGATGTCGTGTAAGTCGCTGTTAATCAATGATTGATACGTGATCTCTGACACGGCGCCTTCATTTACAGCAATGGTACCTTGGGAAAAATATTCTCCATGGCGGTACCGGTGGGAGATTGTTGGATTCGTGTGATGTTCAAGGCTTGAAGTAGAGGCACCGCTGGAAAAAATGTTCCAGAAGGCAGTGTGCGAGTATCCAGGATGTAGATGCTGATTGACAATGGCTCTGGTCGGTCATTATCTTTCATACTTCAGTAAATAGCGAACTGAATGACGAACACAAAGTAGGTCATCTACGTAGTTAGATTGTCGCCTTTCTCGTTGTTCCACAGACAGTGCCCTTCTAGCATCTTCCTAGCACACCCGTTTTTGAGACGAAGGATGTCCGGGAGGTCATAGCCGTATGTAACTGCAGACGATTGTACGCGACTGCACGACGTAGTACCGCAAGTCGAGGGTGCTGCGATGCGAAATAGGTAGTGGGGAACGAGGTCTTGGTGCTGAGACAGATATACCTTCAACTCGCCGTAAGGCTTGAACAAAGTAGCCTGAGAATCGACGATCATCGTCGTGAATGTCTCGATCCAGGATTACAGAATGACAAACATGTTGAAAGCAGTCCTTAAGTAGAGATTGAATTGCTTCAGCCTGGCCAGGTCGCATGTAGGCCCACTGAGGCAGGGCATGCATGCGAGACAGTGCAGTACTAGGCTGTACCACTTTGTGCTTTGAACGATTGAATTGACTGACTTGAGTGAATGTTGCAGTGCTCCTACCGACGTGCGCAATTGTTGTTGGTCGCACATCACCGGTGAAGGCACGACTCAGCCTTGTTGTCTCTTCACTTCGTCCAGGGTAGCCCAAGCTTATGCATCTCAATAGCCAGCTGCAGGATATAGTCGATACTCTCGCACTGTGTCTTGGCCTTGTGCACGTTGTCTCCCCACACGTATCTGCTTTATGTTAGCCTCCCGCTCAATGCACCGTTCACATCCAGTAACACTCACATCCCATGTCTCCTAACAAGAATCGCATAAGAATCTGGGTATTTCTCCATCGCCTCCTCCAAGCTCTCCCTCAAATCCTCCTCATGCGCAGTGTTCTCAATAATCGGTATGCGCAGCCTGTCATAATACCCCAAATTGCCCTGCTTGCCGCGCCCCTTCGGTATGCCCTTGATCTGCTCAATCTCCTCAATCTCGAAACATGCGTCCTTGCCGAAATCGCGCTCCACCAGGAGTGTGACGAGGACGGCCCATTGCGAGTGCGTGTGGATGCAACAGCCGGCGCCGCGCTCGAATGCGGCCATGAAGAGAGGTGTGCAGGCCGAGGGTTTGAGGACCTATCCACACGTCTGTATGAGCATGCCCAGTTCGTGAAGAGGATAATGGGCATGTACCTGTGGGCGGCGCAGGTATTCTTTGCTAGCAAAGTCCATCACGAACATGTCTGTTGGCTTCATGAGCTCTTTCTGCACGCCGCTGGGGGCGATGTAGATCTTGTCTTCATGCCGGATGCTTGTGCCGCCTCCTGTGCCTGTAACCTGAGAGTATGGCCGGATTAGCATTCACGTCGAGCGCGCTGCAACTACTCCTCCCCGGTTGGTGGATCGTACCCATCCTAAGGTGTAGAAGTGCGCACAGAGCTTGCAGATGTGGTTTGCGGGGTGGTGTGGGTCGTCGGAGTGGATGAGCGCTTCCGCGTCTTGCGAGTTGGCTGCCATCTTGGGTTGTTGTGGACAGAACTTGTTTATTGAGGTTCAGAACTTTTTGGGAAGATGACGCGATGCTTCCTCAAGCCCCACGCGGTGGGGCCCCGCCGCGGGGTACCAGATGATATCTCTTGTTAGGCACTCATTCGCTTTCACTAGTGAAACTCTCAGAATGAACATGAATCGTTCGATTTCCTGGCTGTAGCAACCCATTTGTCTCAATAGAAGGTTTGGGTATCATAAGCTTCTCCCTCAATAACATTACGACCTCCCTGTCAAAATCATCGTAGCTTCAATTGAAGCGTGGGTATCAACGTGTGTCTCCTGCACCGCCAGCAATGGTATCGCCATGGACAACAGTAGTCTCCTGTCCCAGGGGCGAAGACTCGTGCTTCTTGTCCTTGTCGAGATGAAGCGCCTGCTTGATCTTGTCACCAAGGCCGTGGTGATCAGGAGACTTGGAATGTCCTCCGTGCTTCTCCTTGTAGACGTTACCAGCACCACCACGCTATGGATCAATTAGTGTTGGTCTATGCGGAACGCTTGGCCTGTACGTACACCTGTGTGGAACTCATCCTGGCTCTCACGTGTCGCAAGCTCGGGGACAATGTCGGTGGAGCGACGAGGAGAGTCAACCTGCGGTCCAAGACGAGGCGATTTGCCCATGTTTCCGGCACCTCCACGGCCGGTAGAGAATTCGTTGAGGGTAGCTGCCTCGCCTTGAGGACCTTCGCGCGTGATTGCTCCGTCCGCGTAGACAGTGTCATCACGACCGATGTTACCGGCGCCTAGGACGGATCAGTTGTTGAGCTCTGATAGATAGGCTGTAGTTCGGGTGCGCTCTCACCTCCACGGCCTGTAGAGTGGATTGGTGTAGTCGACATCTTATAGGTCTGTCGCAAGAAGAGAAAGTGTGCTTCTCAATATTCTAGATGCTGTTCTAGGACCAAACAAACAGCACCTGGGAATGACCACTGGATTTTATATTTGCTCTTTTATTGCGCCGCAACATTTGAACAGATGACGCAACCACATCTCGCGCAGCTCTAGGGCAGCAGCAGCCGCTCAGCGCGGGATAGGAGCAGCTTTCGAGTCGAAAAACGCCGTCATATTCGTTAGCGTGCGCAGTTGAACCAGGTGAGCAGTCGAGCCAAGATCAAAGCGAACATGTGGGAAGATATCTGGACAGTTTCCTGATTACGTCGCCACGGTTGTGTGATGGCGTGAGGTGATGCCTTCGTTCGCGAGATAAGACGGCCCTGATTGATAGGCTAAAGTTGTGACTAAGCAGTGGCCATCCCACTGTCTCGTTAAATCAAACCAGTCGCAATCCTGGGCCCCGGAGCTTGTGGTGCGGTCGATCTGCAGGTGATGTCAAGGATGAACACCAAGGTTTGGCGAAGTACGAGTTGATGTTGCCAGTTGCCATCCCTAAGGCAGGTACAACTCGTCAATCATACTATGCACAAGGCTGGTAAGTGAGAATCTAAACCGCAAAAGCGGGACGTATTGAACGCCGTAGCGACGGAAGATGAAGCTCGTAGTTCGTATTCAGCTGAGAATCTCGCGTGTGAATGCGTACATTGCGTCATTGCCGAACCAGATTAAGCATTACATACGAGGTAGGAGCAAAACGCACCCAGGGTATCAGATGACTACACAATTAGAAGAGAAGAAACCTTGATTCAAGATGACCTCAGTCCTTCCTCATCACTCGGCCTTCCAGCATGACCTTCCTCGGCATTCCTATCTCGCATCTTACTTTGATCTGCATGCTTCGCTGGGTCGAAGACGTAGATTGGAAACTCCAAGAAGATGGTTCGCTTCAAGAAGACTGGCATCTTCTCATATAGCTGAGGAGGAAACGGAATAAGTATGCTCGTTCTATTCAGCCATCGCGCGTATGCAGGCCAGTTATTTCCTTTCTCGTATCTCTTCTTTGCCCCCGGACGCTCCTGTAGGGTCAGGCCTGACACGAACATGAGGAGCAATGTCAAGAAGAACGGTCCCAGAATCGACGCGTAGAGAGCTGCATAAGCACTGCCCGACACGTAGTGGTAAGCGGCAGGGGACACTGCAATGGTGAACATTCCGAACTGGATCATCATCTCGCCGAAGTAGTTTGGATGCCTGGTCCATGCGAAGAAGCCAACATCGCAAACTGCGCCGTCGTATTGATGAGCGCTTCTGAACCGGTACTTTTGGATGTCGGACACACTCTCCATGATAAATCCGATGGAGTAGAGAACAATTCCAGCGATGTCCCTTCCAGTTCCAAAGGCAGGTTGAGGGAATTGAGTGACGTTTGGCGAGTTGAGGATTGTAACTGGTAGCGAGCAAGTCCAGACCCAGAACATTTGGCTGGATTTGTCAGTGTTGTTGCAGGATCGAGGTGTGTGTATACTCACAATACCCAGAAGCCCAAGAAAGACCAGAATTTGTCCCTCTTGTCATCGAAGCGGTCATCTTTCCCTGTCTTCAAAATTCTGAACAGCAGAAATCCACTGAGACGTGCTCCCCACATCATCATGAACACTGACACAATAATATTGCGCGCATCGCCTCTGTTCTCACTGAGACTGAGTGTGAGAATGGAGAGAACCACAAAGTTGGTGCCGCCAGCAAAATCGGTCAGCTTGGACTTGTTAGTAGGCATCGAATATTGCAGAGGGATGTGCTCACCTTGTCGAACTTCAAAGAAAAGGCTATGGCGAAGAAGAATAGTTGGTAGGCGACAGTGATGAGAAAAGTTATCGCAAGGTAATAGTTGTCTAGCACATGAATGGCCATGGTGTTGTTTGCTGCCGTGCAGTACGGATCTCCAGCTTGCGAGAAGGAAGGTTAAGTGCAAGTGTTTCAGGAAGCAGCGGGCATGGAAGCTGTTATACTGTAGAGCATTCAATGCGGTCACTACCGTTGCGCCCCAAGGCTAACAGTCGTGTTCTTCAGTCTTGCCGACTCTGACTGCGCACGTAGTCCGTTTCGAGACGAATTTGCGATGTTGTCGTGTACGGGAAAGGAAATCGGTGACGACATTAATATGTTCGAATCGCCAAGCGAGAGAGATCGACTTCGGGCCGCCCGCTTGCTGGTCTCTCATCATCGGCCAAACACTAACGGCGGTGCATCACGATCACCTGGCCCGAATTAGGTAGCCTTGGACGCTCTCGCTATGAGAATTATGCGACGGGATGCACGCACGAGATGGCAGTGGTGATCCCTCGAGCATAGCGACGATGATGTAAACGACCTCAGGCCGTCGTGAAACGCAACGAGTATTAGGCGCGTCGCCTCGTGCAAATCGCGTCTCAGACCTTACCACCATCGCCGCTGGCCAGACCACGATGAAGCTGGAAACCCTCCAGAAAAGTCTTTTCGAGGCCTGTCAATCCGAATCGCGAGCGTTGTGTCCTGCGACAAACCTTCTTGGCCACGCAATCCCGACAATGCGAACCCATTCAACATGCTCCTTTCATCCTAGGAAGCAGACCGCACCCCTGAGACATGCCGGCAGCCGTACGAGTAGCCGCGTGGAGTGACCTGGTCGAAACTCAGCACATTCTTGGAAACAAGTGAGTGGGGCGTGCGACGGATTCCCTAAGTACCATCGTTTCCACCTCAGGTATCGACCTTTGAAAGGTTTGGAATTGCCATACCGGAACCACACGCTCGTTTTGATCCGAGAAACCTGTCTTCTTTCGTCTCCCGCTTTCCTGCTGCTCTTCACTCTTCAACCATCTGCTGCGCAGGGTCCGAACGAGACTGCACGTCTGGGACAGCATTTACGATTCTATAGCAGCTGTGCTGTTGATGTCTTAATCTTAATACTTACTTCTCGGTTTTCAGCCTTATTTCCTGGAGTCATCCAACTATCAAAACATCAACATGAAGACATCCAAGTCTTCTCTTGGCTTGGCCTTTTTTCTGATCAATGCAGTACGTCGGCTTTGACTGACCTCAACACAGCAAGGCTAACAATCCGTAGATCGTCGCCGAAGCTGGAGTTGATCTCCACAACACTAACGTCGGACGGGAAGTGAGCGGAAAGAAGATCGAAAACCTCATCTCTGGAGTCGACAGGTCAACAAACATCGTGGAAGAACTCGACCTATCTGCCATCAACGATGTCCGACGTAGCGCCAATGCAAACACATTGGAGGCCGATCTTGTCCGCAAGATCGCCCAATTGGATGTCGGTGCACTCCTGAATGCCGGCGCACAGGGACCGGGAGCTGGTGCAGGGCAGAGTCAAGGACAACAACAGCAGCAGGGTCAAGGACAAGCGCAGCCTCAGCCTCAGAGTCAAGGAATAAGGCCTGCCGGTCAGAGCGACATCAACACGAGCAACGTCGGCGCAGATCTTGCCAACCAAGTCGCTGCAGGAAACAAACCAAACGTTGGCACGGGAGACATCAACACAGGTAATGTTGGTGCGGATCTCGCCAACCAAGTCGCCGGCCTCGGTACATCCGCTGGCGTACAAAACCAGACACTTGGTCAGTCGTCAGCTACCGGCCAGGCACGACCGGCCCCACAAGCTCAAGCTGCTGAAGCGCCTCGTCCAGTAGGGGCTCAGCCGGCAGCGGAGGCCCGCCCTTCGACCGGAGCACAAGCGGCTGCAGCAGCTCCACCAAGCGGACAAGGACAGAGTCAGGGACTGAGACCCGCAGGACCAAGCGACATCAACGCTAGCAACACCGTCGGTGATCTTGCAAACCAACTTGCACCTGGAACTGGTGTGAACGGTCAACGTCCAGCATCCAACGACGTTGCTGGAGACCTTGCGAACCAACTCGCCGGAGGCGCTCCGCCGAATGCTCAAGGTCAATCGAGCCCTCAGGGCCAAGGTCAATCGAGCCCTCAGGGCCAGGGCCAGCCACCCGCTGCGCAGAGCGGCGGCGCTGGCGCAGCGATTGTCCAGATCAGGTCAACCATCCTCCAAGAGGCCAACGGTCAGCAGATTGCGACGCAGGTCATTGAACAACAGGGACAGGGACAGCAGCCTGCCGCAGCAGCAGCAGCACCCACCCAAGCACCTGCAGCAACAGCTGCACAGGCTCCCGCGCCTCCTCCGGAGGCCCAACCTACGGGAGCACCAGCAGCAATGCCTGTCCCGCCTGAAGCCCTCAGCAGATCGACTGCTGCTGAGGCAGCGCCCAAGCTGGAGACCCAACCAACTCAACGTCCTGCGGAGGAAATGAGCGTCAATGTAAGTGAATAAAGACTCAAACACAATCCGTGCTTATACAATACACAGGCTGCCGCTTCGGCTACTCCTGGCACAATCACTGAAATCGCCGAAGGTGGCAAGCCCACTACACCAGCAGGAGAGGCTTCGAAGCAAGTGGAGGGTGCCTCAAACTCAACTAGAACCACATCCAAGCCCGCCGAGGGGGCCTCTGCACCAAGTGGCGCCAACGCTGCTGCTGCCGCAGCTCCCGTAACTGTCAGTGCAGGAGGCTCGCCAGCACCTGGCGTTGAAGCTGCAGCCAAGTCATCGTCCACCGCTCCTCCTGTGGACTCAGCAAAGCTGACTGCAGATGCTCTTGTAGCTTCGCCCACTGTGACTCCAGCGGGAAACGCGGTCACCGTACTGGCGGGATCAGGAGGCAACGCTACGGCCCAGGCAAATGGAGCTGCGCCAGCTGCGGTCACTGTCCTGGCAGGAAGTGGAAGCAACTCGACGCGCTCGACTAACGGTGCAGCCGCAGCTGCTGTGACAGTCGTCGCCGGATCAGGTTCTTCGGGGTCTAATGCGACTGCTGCTGGAGCAGCTGTAGGTGCCGTTACTGTCATTGCAGGAAATGGATCAGGCTCTTCGAGATCCAACGCGACCGCTGCTGGTGCGGCCGCAGCCGCTGTTACTGTCGTTGCAGGAGGTGGACCAGGGAACGGCTCCGCGAATGCAGCAGCGGCATCTCCTTCCAAAGGGCCTGGTTCAGTCAATTCTGGAACGCTGACCCCTGATGCACTGATCGCAGCATCCACCACGACCGCGGCTGCGGCCGCTGTCACCGTCGTCGCCGGGTCCGGCTCCGGTGGAAACGCTGCAGCGGCCGCAGCAAATGGCGGTTGCAACTGCGCGTGCATGTGCCCCGCCGGCTCGTTCCCCATGTCGGCTCCCAAAGCGCAGCCCTTCCAGCTCGGCTCCATGGGCAGCGGAGGCACCGCAAGCACAATGGCAACCATGGCATCCGCCATCACCGTCGTCGCTGGGCCCGCTCCACCAGGCGCCCAGCAAGCCGTCCAGAGCACCAGCAGCTCGACTGTGAGCGTCAACTCCGCGACGCTGACTACCGCGGGCCTGCTCATGGGATCCGCAGCTGCACCGGCTGGGCCAGGCGTAACTATGATTGCATCTGGCGGCGCTCCAACCTCGGCTTCCACATCTGCAGCGAGCTCGACATCGTCGGGCGCCCAGGCTGCCGCCCCAGCGCCACCTGCCGCGAGTGAAGCCAGCAACAGTGTAACGATGAGCGTGCCGGCGCAGAGTGCGATCGCGGGGACTACGAGTGCAGCCGCGCTGCCGGACAGCTCGGCAAGCTTGCAGCAGAACCAGGCGCTTCCGTTCGATATCTCGACAGTGGCGCTGCAGAGTCGGGTTACGGTGAATCTGGGGAGGAGATTGGCGAAGCCCACGGCAGCGGCGAGGCGACTATGGTGAGGGAGGAGTGTGCAATACCCTATGTCTCTTTCGTTTATGTTGTTTGTTGGTACGAGTGCTGTGCACGTTAATACAAGAAAATGGTATACATGGGTCGAAGATGCTGCGATTGCGTGTGAACAGTGACTTGTGTCGTGTCTATTGGGTATCTTTGCGTCTACTTCATGATAACAACTTCAGGTGGACGACGGTATTTGTGATCTGTCAGTTCTGCTAGATCTGTCGACAACCCTGTTCGCTGGATTCGTTGGCGCACAAGAGCAAACTCGAAGAGCTGAAGGCCAAGTCAGGCAGTCTCTTGAAGGCATTCGCATGCTTGAATCTTGGGTCCCTTCGAGGCATGAGGACCTCGTACTAGGGATCTAATCATCTCAACCGTCGTCTATGATGCGGCTTGCCAATGTCTCGGTAGTCCAAGTGGCTGCTGTGAGTACGCGACGCTCGTCGGTGGATGTAGGAGTCTTTCGTCCTTCTCCCTTGATCGCTCAGGCCGCTCCCTTTACCGCTGCATTAGCTTGCGCCTGCTTTTGGCGCTTCTGCTCGCGCTTGGAAACCGGCTTCTCTGCCTGAGGCGCAGATGTACTCTCCAAACTCTCATTCGGCCGCTTTCCGTTCTGGTTCTTCGCCTTGCCCTTCCCATCTTGCTTGTCTTTCGAGATAGGAACTGGCTTCTCCCCTCCATACTTGAAATCAATCACGCCCTTGAAGCTTTCCCGCTTCAGTCGCGCATGCTCAACGACACTGCGCGCTTCCTTTGTCAGACCATCTTTGCCTCTTTCTGATCCCAACCCCCACACGGATGCCAGGTTGATGACGTCGCTCGGCGCGCGGATACCCAGAACGCTCTTTGCTTCTGAGCTGAAAATCAGGCCTCGGCCGCGCGTGACACGAATAAGCTGCGTCGCATTGCTGATCAGGTTGCGCTTCGCTTGCGGGTCGCTTGAGAGTATGCCCTGGCTGTAGCACAGCTCAATCTTGATCCCGCGCGCAATCGCCGCGCCTAACATGGGGAACTTGAAGTGTCTCTCGAACCGGCGCGTCAGGTCCAGCGAGATGATGTCGACGTCGAGGCTGAGGCATGCTTGCTGGAGGGTGCGCTCGTCGGATGGGCGGGCAGCGACGAGGTCATAGTGCTGCTGCAGCTGTGCAATGCGGAAATTGGAGTTGTCGGTCAGGAAAATATTACATCGTCGCAGTATGCGCAGTCGCTGTGGGACGGGAAACGGCAGTGGACTTGGTATTGGCGAGCTCTGGTAGGCCTATTGTTAGCAGCGTGTCTTGGTCGCCATGGCTCTATGCATCTCCAAGGAAGGCGCAAGACATGCTCAGGGACTGCGCGAACGCTGATTGAGAACGGGATTCTGACTGGATGGAAATCAGGGTGAATAAGACGTACAAGTTCGCTCGGCAGTTTGCCAGTATATGTATGCGTAAGGGCAACTACGTCGTATCCTACTGCACAAGTCAGTCACATCTTCACGGCACGCAAGGGCGCTCGCTGTGTCTGCGTACATTCGTCCAAGAAAGCGACTGTGCGCTGCATTTGGCTCACAGATTCTGCGCCCAAGCCTGGCCACGGCACATTCAGATCGTGGAACATTGTCGCTATGGGCAATGTTGCGCCAGAAAATATTCACAGCGAGAATGGTGAGTGAGACAGACGCGGAAGCAGCACCTCGGTCTGCTTGCGCCTGAAAAGATTGCTGACTAAGACGGCCAGGGTCGCTTCATGGCAGCGTCGCGGCACCATTCACGACACCAGAAGGCTACCCCCGCACCCAGTCAAATCTCGATCTCTCCGCGCCGCCAGCCAAGTCCCAGCCGGCTGTTGCAGCACCACGACCGCGCCGCCACGACGCCTGCGCTGCGCACGTATCTTGGAACAAGGCAGCTGCGTTTGGCCTGCTGAGTGCCGGCCTTGCTTGCCTGTGTTTGCGCCTGTTTTCCCGCCAACCTCCGCTTCTTCACCCCACCACTTGACCGCGTCACCCTCACCAACACACTCGCTGCCCCGTAGACAGTCGCTGCCTCGTCGCCGACTGTCACCGCCAATCTGGCCGCCAACAAGATGACCACCAACAGCAACGGCGCGAGCATTGCTCGCGTCTATGCCGACGTCAACGCCAACATGCCCCGCTCATATTGGGACTACGACTCCGTCAATATCTCGTGGGGCGTGCTTGAGAACTACGAGGTTGTCCGCAAGATTGGCCGCGGAAAGTACTCGGAGGTGTTCGAGGGCATCAACGTGGTCAACTTCCAGAAGTGCGTCATCAAGGTCTTGAAGCCGGTGAAGAAGAAGAAGATAAAGCGCGAGATCAAGATCCTTCAAAATCTGTCTGGTGGACCCAACATCGTCTCGCTTCTGGATGTGGTGCGCGACAACCAGGTCAGTAGTGATTCTGAAGAAGACTGCATGAGCGATCGCACGGTTCGTGCCTCGCCCGCCGTCGTGTGTTTAATGGAGTGCTGACCTGCGGGATTTAGAGCAAAACACCATCTCTGATCTTCGAGTATGTTAACAACACCGACTTTAGGAGTCTGTACCCCAAATTCCAGGACTACGATGTACGATACTACATCCTCGAGCTCCTCAAGGCCCTGGACTTCTGCCACAGCAAAGGCATCATGCACCGTGATGTCAAGCCTCATAACGTTATGATCGATCATGAGAAGCGCAAGGTAAGTCGATCTGAGATGAGGATCATGGAAAAGGATAATTGCTGATCACATGCAGTTACGGTTGATCGATTGGGGTCTCGCTGAGTTCTACCACGCCGGGACCGAGTACAACGTCCGCGTTGCCTCACGATACTTTAAAGGACCCGAGCTGCTCGTGGACTTCCAGGAGTACGATTACTCGCTGGACATGTGGTCATTAGGAGCCATGTTTGCCTCCATGATCTTTAGGAGAGAGCCTTTCTTCCACGGCAACAGCAATTCCGACCAGCTTGTGAAGATTGCCAAGGTGCTTGGAACCGAGGATTTGTTCGACTACCTCGACAAGTACGATATTGAGCTCGATGCTCAGTACGACGATATACTCAGCCGCTACCCCAAGAAGCCATGGCACTCGTTCATCAATGCTGACAACCAGCGTTTCGTCAGCAACGATGCCATTGACTTCCTTGACAAGCTTCTGCGCTACGATCACCAGGTAGGAAACGTTCACATATAGACATGATGCATTGCTGACTTTTCTCAGGATCGTCTCACCGCCCAAGAGGCGATGGCCCATCCCTACTTTGCCCCTGTTCGACAAGCTGCTCAACAGAACAGCAGCAGTGCGGCTTGATTGATACCCATTTCAGTACCTAGATCTTGAGTAATGGCATAAGATTCACGAACGAACCGACGCTAGGCATGGCTTATCGATCCTCCCACGTTCCGGCCAGCAGCACATCTCCACTCATCATTCCGGTGTATATTCAGTCATACGGTTCGCGATAGCAGGGCGTAAAGGTTGGTGTGCGTCAGGGCTAGGATGGAATCTTATTGGAGTATGGAGCGCAAAGCTGCGGGAAGAACTCGTCAGACATGCATTGAATGGCGTCAACGTGAAATCGAACACACACAAAGACTCATGATTTCTGTTCTTCCTTGCTGTGCGGACTCTGTGATGCTTGGTAATCGCCCATTGGATCGGAGTAAAGACGCTTTGACGCATCAGCTAGGTTTCTGGTGTTCATGCAGCGGGCATGCCCGCGGGCACACTAATGACTGTACGTTGACTCTGCACCGCAAATGCTGCCCCGCTGATGCACCCCTCTATTTGGAGATTGCGCTCCCTTCGTTTCCCTCTGACAAATTTACGACACCGCTCCCTGCACTTTTCGCACTCGCCCGCGCTGCGCAGAGCTCAATTGCGACCGCAGTCTTGCACCCTCCATACCACCGAGCGCGTGCTCACGCACAACTACACTACCGCCACCATGGCGCTCAATGCTGCCTCACACAATGTCGCCGGCGAGAAGACTGGCCCCGTCACCGCTGCGCCGCCTGCCGTCAGTGACGAGACCAAGAAGGAGCTTCTCGAGGCTGCCAGCACAGACGGCACCGGCCAGTCTGCGCCCGGACGTGAGAACGAGAAGGGCGTAGAGAAGAAGGAGAAGACCGCGAAGGAGCTTGAGAAGGAGCGCAAAAAGGCCGAGAAAGACGCTAAGTTCAAGGCGAAGAAGGCTGCTCAAGGCGCCGCTCCTGCTAAAGAGGGTGGCGCTAAGAAAGAAAAGAAGAAGGGCAAGGAAGAGGAAGTCCTGCCAGAGTACAAGGAAGAGACACCCAAGGGCGAGAAGAAGCGTCTTAGGGGCCTGGAGGATCCGTTCACAAAGGCCTACATTCCCCAAGTCGTTGAGTCAGCATGGTGTAAGTATCGTCTTCACTGGTTGCGATAGTGTATGCTGACTTTGGCCAGACGACTGGTGGGAGAAGGAGGGCTTTTTCAAGCCTGAGCTCCAGGCCGATGGTACTGTCAAGAGCGCCGGCAACTTCGTCATCCCTATTCCTCCTCCCAACGTTACCGGCAAGCTCCACTGTGGGCACGCCCTGGCCACATCGCTGCAGGACGTTCTGATCAGATGGCACCGCATGCGCGGCTTCACCACACTCTACCTGCCTGGATGCGATCACGCAGGTATTGCTACACAGAGTGTTGTCGAGAAGATGCTCTGGAGGCGCGAGCAGAAGACAAGATATGACCTTGGTCGCCCGAAGTTCCTGGAGCGCACACACGAGTGGAAGGAGGAGTACCACACCCATCTCGTACACTGCCTGAAGCGCATGGGAGGGTCGTTTGATTGGACACGCGAGGCCTTCACCATGGACAGCAACCTGTCTGCGGCCGTGACAGACAGTTTCGTCAAGATGCACGAGGACGGTCTCATCTACAGGTCGAATAGGCTTGTCAACTGGTGCACAAAGCTCAACACCGCGCTGTCAGCACTTGAGGTTGACAACAAGGATCTTGCCGGCAGGACGTTGCTCACCGTTCCCGGCTATGAGCGCAAGGTCGAGTTTGGTGTCTTGACTCACTTCAAATACCAGATCGAGGGCAGTGATCAGACCGTCGAGGTCGCTACAACCCGTGTCGAGACTATGCTCGGTGACTCTGGTATCGCCGTCCACCCCAATGATGAGCGCTACAAGGACCTGGTGGGCAAGAAGGCCAAGCACCCCTTCCTCGACCGTCTCCTGCCCATCGTTGCCGATGAATACGTCGACCCCGAGTTCGGTACTGGTGCCGTCAAGCTGACACCGGCACACGACCCCAACGATTTCAACCTCGGAAAGAAGCACAACCTTGAGTTCATCAACATCTTGAACGACGACGGTACGCTCAACGGTAACTGCGGCGACTTTGTAGGCCAGAAACGGTTCGACGCGCGTTACACTGTTGTAGAGGCGCTTGAGAAGGCTGGACTGTTCGTCAAGAAGACCGACAACCCGATGAAGGTCCCCATCTGCTCGAGATCCGGAGACGTCATCGAGCCAATCATGAAGCCTCAGTGGTGGATGAAGATGGCCGAATTGGCCAAGCCTGCCATCGAGGCTGTCGAGAACGGCGACATCAAGATTCGTCCCGAGAGTTCCAAGAAGACCTACATGCACTGGATGAACAACATCCAGGACTGGTGTTTGTCGCGTCAGCTCTGGTGGGGCCACCAGATCCCCGCTTACTACGTCAAGATTGAGGGCGGCAGCGGTGACCGCACCGACAACGAGCTCTGGGTGACTGGTCGCACAGAAGAGGAGGCCAACAAGAAGGCCGCGGAGAAGTTCCAGGGCAAGAAGTTCACACTCGAGCGCGACGAGGACGTTCTTGACACATGGTATTCTTCCGGTCTCTGGCCCTTCAGCACGCTCGGCTGGCCCAATGAAGACTCTGTCGATCTCAAGAACCTCTTCCCCACATCCGTTCTCGAGACTGGTTGGGATATCCTGTTCTTCTGGGTTGCTCGCATGATCATGCTTTCCCTCCGCCTGACAGGGAAGGTTCCCTTTAAAGAAGTCTACTGCCACTCGCTTATCCGTGACTCTGAGGGCAGGAAGATGTCTAAGTCCCTGGGTAACGTCATCGACCCTGTCGACATCATGGATGGTATCACCCTCGACAAGCTGCACGAGCAGCTGAAGGTTGGTAACTTGGATCCTAAGGAGCTCAAGACCGCCGAGAAGTACCAGAAGACTTCGTTTCCTCAGGGAATTCCCGAGTGCGGCGCCGATGCTCTGCGCATGGCCCTTGTCGGCTACACAACGGGTGGTGGTGATATTTCCTTCGATGTCTCCGTCATCCACGGTTACAGGAGGTTTTGTAACAAGATCTACCAGGCCACCAAGTATGTCCTTGGTCGTCTTGGTGACTTCCAGCCTCGTGCACGGATCGAGAAGGGCGGCAACGAGTCGCTTCCCGAGCGCTGGATCTTACACAAGCTCACCACCTCCTCGAAAAAGATTAACGCACATCTCGAGGCTCGCGAGTTCTCGCTTTCCACACAGGTTGCCTACAGGTACTTCTACGAGGTAAGATCATTATGCGTTGAACATGCAGGATCAACATGCTAAAGAAAGTCAGTTCCTGTGCGACACTTACATCGAGAACAGCAAGGCTATCTTCGACAATGGTACCGAGGCGGAGAAGGAGAGCGCCAAACAGACTCTTTACACAGCCATCGAGGGCGGTCTGACCATGATTCACCCCTTCATGCCCTTCTTGACAGAAGAGCTATGGCAGCGTCTGCCCCGCAGGCAAGATGACAAGACACCATCGATCACCGTCGCCTCGTTCCCGCAATACAATGAGTCCTTCAAAGATGAGGCTGCCGAGGCCGAATACGAGCTTCTCGTCGATGTCTCGGGTGCTCTGCGCTCCCTCACCGCCGAGTACGGCTTCAAGGACAACGGCAAGACATTCATCCAGCCTCTCGACGACGCCACACACAAGTCGCTCCAGGCCTCCACATCGCTGCCCTCCATCCGCTCGCTTGCTGGCAAGACCGTCTCCGAGATCACTATTCTCTCTCCCTCCGATGCTACGCCTTCCGGCTGCGCCGTTTACACCATCGGTAGTTCCGCAACCGCATTCTTGGACGTCAAGGGCCGCATTGAGGTCGACAAGGAGATCACCAAGGCACAGGACAGGCTCAAGAAGGCGAATGAGACAATTGAGAAGCAGAAGAAGATCATGGATGCTGACTGGGAGGAGAAGGTCTCTGATGTTGTCAAGGAGCAGGAGAAGGAGAAGCTTAGGGCAGCGGAGATCGAGGGTAATAACTGGCAGGCTAGCATTGAGCAGTTTGAGAAGCTCAAGTTTTCTGATTAAGAAGCTAGAGATACGAGATACAGAAATGATATACTAGAATATCGTTTGCAGAAGCAGCTTACCTTTTCAAGGTTCACGTCCATCTGGGCTGTCTACACTATTTGTTTACATGCTACCCGCCTCGAGTTTCTCATTCTAAAAGATACTCTGCCATCCTCAACCTCACTTGCGGCGCACGTCAAAGAGACAGTTGTAGTTCTGACCACCCTTTCCTGCTGCTTGTGTACACGAAGCAAACACACTGTAGGCAACTGCGCACCAGATCTATCACTACTCCTCAACCATTTCCTTAGTTATCTGCTCAAGCCCCGCAATGCCGTCGACTACCTAGAGATCTCTGATTATTTCCTCTTAACTAACTAACAATAAAGGAAGCTCCTGTGTTTAAGGCGCTTCCTATCTTCTATTCTATGCTCTGCAAGTAGCTCTGTTCCTTACTAAAATCCGGTTACTTAGACTTCCCCACCTCTCCTATAAATAACGCTTTGCATCATCAATACTTTCTGGAAAACGACCCCTTGAGCTCTTTCAAATGAGTTTCAACCACGTTCGAGAGAGATTTGACAAATCCTTGTAAACGGGCGATTCTTTGAATCGCAGAGTCGGCTGACGCGTTACTGCTGACCTCCCCAGCATTTGGAATGCTTCCAAGCCGGTGGTATTGGAGACATGGCTGCAGCAGCATAATTTCGGCATCGTCCAATGGGCGTTGAGGTAATCAGGTCGTGATCATGTCGATCTGCTCACATTCCAAGTCGAAGTGCGCAACAAGGGCTAGCAGGAATATCGTTGTGGTGATGCGCACGAGTACAGGTGCTCCTTTTCCTACAAGAGAGATTCCCTTTGCCAATTGCCGTAGGCTATCACGCGAGCCTTATCCTTGGCATGGACACCCTGGACGTTGCCTTAAATCATCGCGGCTGGGGTGTAGAAAGGTTCAAACTTCAGGGGGAAGATCTCAGAGCTTTGATCCAACAGTCGGCTTAATAAGTGCCGTAGCAAAGCACCAATTAAATGTAATTGTAGAGAAGTAGTTGTGTGCTATATGTTAGCATTGACATAGGTCGTCAATAACGTGGCGTGCGTCAAGGTCCGCGTTGATATCAAGGCGATGTACAGCGTAGTTATTCCTGCGAGTAGGTGCGACACCTATAGCTTCACCGTCATCAATGCCGTCAAATTGTTCAGCAGGGCGGGTGACTTGGGGTAGTAGTACGGGGTCGAGGTCGTGGGCAATGAGCGACGGCTGGCTTAACAGCAGGGCGGTCAGTGAGTGGGAGCAGGCTGAGGATAGTAGTGGAAGTTTTATTAGCCACATCACCAAATACTCATGTAGTCTCGAGCAGGCAACAAGCGCCTTCGGAACCTTTACAGTCTACTTGGCCCGATGAATAAAGAATGCGAAGGTAACCCCAGCCAAATGAGTGCAGATCGTGCTATCCGCGGAAGCAGTCACTAGGCAACAGCCGATTCAAAATGCATGAATGTGGAAGGCCCAGGAACTAGAGCCAGCTTAAGGGTAAGCTATCTATCATCTCCAACTAAACACAAGACCTACAGGCTTCCGCTTGCTTATTCTGGAAACTTTGATAAGATGGACGAAAACGAGACGTACTACTACGACTTTCATATCCTGCATTGCTGACTTGTGCTGAAGCACCCAGAGCAATCGGCACAGATCCCCTCTTCTTCGCCTTCCGGCAGAGATACGAAACCAGTTTTACATCTATACCTTCACCGGTCATGAGATCAGCGTGTGCATTACAAACCTCGGACGCAGCATCCTGTACTTTCACAATTGACCACTGCACGGTAAAGCTGCCCGGAGCTCAGGCCCTTTTTGTTCTCGTTATTCCACTGCTTGCCGTCAACTATCACGAGACCGCGCAACTCAAAACACTGTTCTACACACAGAACGCTTTCCGAGGCAACGGGCATGATCTGAGGTTACTCAACATACGTAGGAATACCTTGAGACGTACCAAAGAGCACGTCCGGACGCTGCATCCTTACACTCTGTGGGATGATCGGGTACCTATGGACATGAACTCACACTTCTCCTCTACGCTCAACAATCCGGCACGCCTGCCTGGGCACAAAGAGCTTGTCATTATCGGGCCGAAAAGATTACATGGCCACTCGCTGGAGTTTGTCCTGAGAACTATTGAGACAGCATTCATGATTGCAAGAAGTCGGAACCACAAGGTTGAGATTGTACTAGGACTGTTGCCAACAAGCTTGATCAACCCTTCGGACGACTGCGAGAATGACGACGAATCACCCCTTCTACATTCGGCGAGCTCTCACTGAGGGCACTAGACATAGGCCGGGATTGGCTCTCAAGATGGAGTGAAATAATAGTCTCCATTGCTTCTCCTTATTTCGCACACTTCTGAGACTTAGCAGCGGCCAGGTTCTTCTGGTTCTGTTTGGTGCCGCCCTGAACTTCCGTGACCAGCATTTGTAGTGTGCATGCGCTCTCAGCTGTCCCGTTGAGTGACTTGACCTGGCTTATCTCAAGGACTTGTGCACTGGCAACGGTGGCTAGGCCATCGGAAGCGGGGCTTTTGATCTGCGCGGCAAGCTTTTGGTTGTTCTCGCGGATTGTAACACCCTGTAGCTGGATATCCAAGACTGATTTCTTCATCGCTTGGAATTGTCTTGCCTGCACAGAGCCCCCTTGAACCATGCTTTGAAGTGATTGAACACTGTGATGAATTGCGTCAGCGATTTATCAACTTTCAATGTTTGGTGTGGAGCATGAATCATTCACAACGCCTGTGTGATATACCACTGTTCCCCTGAGAAGCGGCACAGGATGATATCGCGAATTGTAGATGAATAGCTGAGGCTTGCTTACCCTTTGAGTTCCTGAGCCTGGATATCGAGGTTCTGCTGAATACCTTTCTCAAGTTTGGTCTGGACCTGACTGCAGTCGCCTGCAGCGGTACCATTGGTAGCCGCGGTACCATTGGTAGCCGCGGGTGCAGATACCTGGGCGGCCGGAGCGGCCACAACAGCAGCAACCAGACACAGAATGGTGAAGCTCTTCATTTTTGCGAATGTGTTTAGATAGTGATTAAAAGCCTGGAAGCTAAATGAACCAGATCGGATAGATAAATAGATAGACAGATAGAAGAATAGAAATAAACAAAGCCCAGCCCAGCCGAGTGGAGATAAGTTGAGTGAGAGAAGTGAGTAGAAATGAGACGTGTTGATGTGGAGAAAATGACAGACCTTTATCGGAATACTTATACTGAAAATGCTCCTTCGGTGTGTTTCGACCTCCAAGATGAAGTAGATCCACCTTTCGGGTACAGCAGATGAAACTCCCGGGTGCAACAGACTAGACTTTCGGTTGTGACATATCGAGGCCCTTGGCTGTCAAGCCGTCAAGTCACTGGGTGCAATCGATCAAACTTCCGGCTGTGCCAAATGACGGTCCGAGGTGCGGCAAATCAAGCCGTCCGGTACAACACATCCAACTGTAAGCTATCAAATTCCTAGGCGAAGTTTCGGATCCATATTGAAGTGATGGATGCCAGGCTTCACTCGGCGTGATGCTTGTTCAATGCTTAGTGAGCTTAAATTCAATAGTGCCTTACATGCTCGCGCGCGTGTACCCAAACATGATTGGCATGAAGTGGGCCCATAAAGCTACGATGCGTAGAAACGAGAAGCTAGTAATGGTTCCCTTCTGTTTTGGGCGTGCACGGCAAGATCGCCAGGTGACAGCGGTGTAGTTGCATAAGACTAACGGTCCGAGTTTCATGTTTTCGGACCGAACGGTCTACCCAGCCTAGTGGTGACGGTACTTCTAGAATAAGAGTGTAAAGTTAAAATCTCCGTGTTGCGTTTGAGATTGCTGAGACCCGCATGAGCGACTTGACTGGTTGATGTCCAAGTATTTGGAGTCGAGCCGACTCGAGCGAGCGATTTCTCGACCCCAATTACACGAGAAGGGACACGCCGGGTCTCCTGCGCCCATATTCTTGTTTGAGCCTTCACTGTAGCCAACTTTGTGATGTTCAAAACTCATGAGATGTCTTGAAGTGCGTTAAGACTGTCCGTCGCTACCACTTTGGTATGTCGAATTGTCTAAGTGATCCAAATCCAAATATCTGGTATGATATATAACCTCACAGCGAAGAGTATGCAAGAGGTATTTAATCATGCAAACAATCATATACACGCTAGTTAGAAGTTTGAGAAAACGTCTTGTGCATTATGGTTCTCAGAGTGAAGTGGGCCGGGATGAGAAGGGACACAGTGCTGTCAGTGCACACCCAGTAAATCCGCCAAGCGCTGTTCCGACATCAAACGTCAGGAAGAGGCTTCTGATGTTACCGAAAAGGCGGCCGGAGGTTCCGCTGGGCGTGGTGTTACCGATCTCGATCCTTTGTGGAAACGCAGAGAGAGAGGTGTGATGGAAGTTCCGAGGTGTGGCGGAAGCTCCGCGGGGTGCTCATTGGACGGTGATAAGCTGGCTCCTTGAAACCTAGTGTAATTACGGCAGATTCCTTTGTAGCCTCTAGAAGGTTTCTTGGGCTGCGAGACACCTGCAGATAACCACCGACTACCTCACACATTTGCAAAGCCTTTGACCAGCGTCCGACTTTTTCTGAGAGACGGCGAACATCTATAGCTTTGACGGAACAACCCTGTAATGAAGATGAGTTTGCGAAGTTATCTGGCATCAGGAGATCAGCCGTGAAGTGCGGCAAAAAATCACCAGAAATATACAACAGCAGGAATTTGCTGGTGGTTGACCACTTCACTAATTCGCCAGAACGCTGCTCAAATAGGACTGAGCGAACAAAATTCCCTGTTGCCTCCTAGCCACTCATCAAATATGCCCTCAAGATTGATGTGTATGGTCAAATCCTATTGGCGCTTGTCAACGACATTATAAATCTCAGCAGGCTTTGTGCGGGCTAGCTGTGTTGAGTGTATTCCATTCTCACTCTGTGAGACCGTTGGAGATACAAATACCCCGCTGCGCTTGCGGGAAAAAGAAGGGGCTAGATCTATGATGGACATGCGACATCAGCATTAGCAAAGCTGCGCTTCTAGGAGATGCACGTCGACTACGACAGATTTTGACGAGTCTGATTGGCAATAGTATCAAATTGACGCCAGCGGGCACCATGCACCTCTCCGTCAGAGCTATACAGAGGGAACATAGCGACACATCCACCATAAAATTCGCGGTACAGGACAGTGGAATTGGTACCGCTGAGGAGAGTAGAGATCTACTCTTCAAACCTTTCAGCCAAGCGGATAGTTCTACAACCAGGATATATGGAGGCACATGACTGGGGCTTTCCATCTGCCAGGAGCTTATCGGATCGATGGGCGGAGTCATGACTCTTCAGTCTACTGCCAGCAGGAGGTACCGGAGCTTATTGTTGCGGGTCTGACCAACTAGACAGGAGCCAGTACAGACGTAGCCCCCCAGACGTACTGATTCACGAGCGTCCAGCTCCAAGCTATTGGTCCTCATTGTGGACGATAATGCCATTAACCGCAAGATCAACACCCAACACCTCCTGAGGTCTGGCCATAAATTAGCCATTACCTCTAAAGGGTAAGAAGCATTGGCATATCTCTGCAGAAGTTCAGGCCAGCCGTAGCCAGACATGATGTTCATGGATTGCATGATGCCAGTCATCGACGGTTATGAAGCTACTCGCAGGATACGCAATGATATGGGCATGTTCAATGAACGAACAAGCAGAATAAGTATTATTGCACTTACTGCAAATGTATTGCAGACTGATAGAGACAAGTGCTGGGAGGTTGGCATGGATCATTACATCAGCAGGCCTTTCTCTCAAACAGCATTGAGAACTACGGTGATGAAGTGGACCTCCTGAGAAAATCATTGAGCAGTGAAGCCATAATTAGAATGACTGTGGACAAAAGGAGAACGCGTTTGGGATTCTGCGTACAAGCATGCTACTGTGGCGACACTACCACCGAATGGGGTTTTCAAAGACTTGGGCGCCGAAGAGCGGTTGTATATGAAAGTTACACGGCTGAAAGGAGCATATGACTCTAACATCGTTGTTTTGTAGCTGGTGGCTAGACAAAGCCCACTCACAGTGTCACTCATTAAGTCCAAACACCGTCTATCCGGCTAGCGCCCTGACCAAATGCTCGAAATCAACCGGGAACGCCAGTCCAGCGCCGATAGAGATATGAAGCAATGTACGCTAAAAGTCAGGAAAGTGGACGCCGTAAATGGGTGCCGAAAGCAAACAAAGACAAGTACCACCCATGCGTGCTTACTCCGGAGATCATGCAAATCAAGCACTTGCTTCGTGTTCGTGACGTTTGTGTCTCGTCGACCGTGACGGTGGCAAAGTTTTGTTCAGACGCGAACGACAGCACCGCCAGTCCAGCGGAGTCTGCGGAGTCCCAAGCCAGTACCGCGAACGGCCTCCTTACCGCAGCTTCCCGCTTCAGAACCAACAGCGCCCATCTGGCCCATGGCTTCGGCGTAGCCAGCCTCGTTGCCGACAACGTAGCCTGCAGAGAAGCTGAGAGCGCTTACTAGGACGACAACGCCGGCGCTGACGACCCATGTGAAGAGTGTAGGGCTGATCTCCTCAACCACAGCGCTCTGCTTGCGTGCCTTCTTCGCTGCATGTCGGTCTCTGCTACTGCTTCGTACGCTTGCGACAGCTGGACTGGCTTTGCGTTTGGACTTGTCCGAGGGACTGCTGCTCGTGGCGCGGGAAGACGAGCCGTTGCTCACTTCCTCGGTGATCTCGCCCAATGCCACTGACTCGGGTACCATGCGAAGAGACGAGGGGTCGACACGACTAGATGTTGCGGCCGGTGAGGCACGAGGTTGACCGGGTTTGGGAAGCCCTCTGACTGCAGCAGCGGCAGAGAGAAGTGTGGAGAGGCTGGCTCGAAGCGCCTCATCATGGTCGGCTTGGTGATTGGGCGATATGACATTGTAGGGCGTGTGTTGCGGGTAGGAGTGCTGTCGTTGAGAGCCCAGCCTCGCGGATGGTCTCCGTGGTGTGTAGATGGTTCCTGATTGTGAGCGTACAACTTGTTCAGCACTTGGATGCGAGAATGCGTTCGGTCGAGGTTGGAACTGTCGTGAGGTCGGTCTTGGGGTCGATCTTGGATAGTTGACGGCTGTCGCGTTTTCGTCATCGTCTTCCTCTTCTTCTCGTTCGGACATGGTGTCAGAAGAAGCAACCGAGTAAGGCCCGCGAGGGACTTCATGCCTCAAAGGCGAAAGTCCAATATGCTCGTTGGAGGACGTCATGACCCTGTCCGACTCGCTCTCGCTCTCATCGTACTCCTCTTGGCTACTGTTCCCTCCGCCAGCGCTCGCCACACGATGACCAGTGCCGATCTGAAATCCACCTCGTGCACGCCTATGTCTTCTATGTAGGTTCGAGTCATGCTGGACTGTAAGGCCCGTCGTAATGATTTCGTCGGCAGCGGAGGATAGTGAGGATGAGGACGGCCTGGAGCTGATGTCTATCCAGGATTCTGAGGATCATTTGTCAGCTTGAGAACAGCTAGAGACTGCTGAGCAGCACAAAAGATGCTTGGCATGGAGCACGACGAACGGGACCATTACACAAAGGATGTAACGCACCTTCTGAATGCTGTCTAGAGGGTAACGATCGCGAGTAGGAGGGAGCCATGGCCGGACTGCGTGGGCATGCCTCTTCAGAACGTGCGGTCTGTCGAGCAGGTCGTGGCGGGTGATGATCGTGCATTATACCCATACGAAATGGTCCGATGCCCAACTACGAACAACAAGACTTGCGAGATCGGTACTCTAAGCTGCCTTACTGTTCTGCACCTTACGCAGGGCTCGTGGTGGAGAGATATGCGCACAGGTGGATCTGCCCAAGACCAGTTCCGATCTCGGTTCTTCGTCTCCAGGCGCGTTGTCTGCGAGGGTGGACTCGAAGGATAGGCGTGTCGCGGAAAGATAGCGAACTGCTAGCACGCCAAAACAACACACGACCCAGCGCCGTTTGCCTCAGTATGCGCGTGGCTGCCGCTGCACTGGAGGTACGAAGTACCAGGTCAAGACCACGGTCTGACGCTATGCCACAAGCTGGCCTGACGATCCGGAACGCGGTGACGTTTTAGGGCGGGGTTAGTGGGGCACCGGGGTTTTGACAGATCAGGGCTGAAGGAGGAAGGACAACAAGAAGAGGGAGGGATGAAGGTTGAAGTGGAAGTTCGAGGCAAATATTATGGCATCCGTTCCTGATCCCGTGTGCTGGCCAGCCTCTTTCGCAGGGTCACGTAGACAAATAGCGGTGGATGTTCTCATGAACGAATCACGTTACACTCCCGCACACCTTCTGCTTGAAGCCTAGCCGTTCCTGGCGCCTCACCTGGCCTGGGTACAAGACAGCTGCGCAACGTCCAATCTTCTGCCTTGCATGAGATGGTCTTGAGATAATGCTGCGCACCCTTCGCGCTCCTCACTACTGTAGCTTTGGGGACAAACTACCCACCCCAGCATCGTGTGCGCCCTTATGGTGTGTGCCTGCGTAATGCGCTCAGTACGTCATCGCAGTGTGCATGAAGGTTGGGTGTTGGGCTGGCATGTATCTCGATATATTGATAGCTGTTTCATCGTGGCGCAGCCCTCCATCCTCGGACTGTATTGATCGCCAAACCTATCCTCAACGCACGAAGCGATCCACAAAACGAAGTAAACGCCACTATTATGCGCATATGGTTGCGACTCATCGACAAATGCCCTCAACTGATAGCATACAACAGAGATCGAACGTAAGATCAGCAGTCCTCGTCCAAGACGAGATACGGTGGATAGACACAGCTCTAATGCCAGTACAATTTCGTAGGCGTTCGTAAGAGTAAAGGTGTGAGGATGGAAGTGAAGAGAATCCAGATAAGAATAGTAGGCTCAGCTGGATTGCAGCGAGTCCGACATATGGTACAAGGTGAGGCGACTGGCGTATGAAAAGGGTGCAGGGAGGTTTGGGAGGTTCCCGGCGCGGTGAGCTGATCGGATTGAGAGCAGACATGGGTGGAATGATCCTGGTGACATATCGGCGCCTAGTTCTTCTTCTTCTCTTCTTTCTTCGCTGGCTTCTTGAAGAGGTCGCTGATGCCATCCTTGAACTTTTCCCAGGGGTTTCGGTTCAAACGATTGCTGAGCTGGCGATAGTTGTACATCTCAGCCCAACAATCGCGGCCCCATTCGCAGCCAGCCATGTTGACCAAGAAGTCGCGACTCTTCTCCTGGTAGTGAAAGTTGACGTCGTCGCCGCCATCGCCGCATGCGCCGGGCGGGAAGCTGTTGATCTTGCGTTGCTGGAGGAAAGCGACATGCGGTCGGATCCATGGCTGATTCTGGTACATGTACTCAAAGGCGTCTTGTTCCTTGTGCTCCCACTCCATGTGTTTCTGCTCGTAGCCGACGGGATCCCACCATATGTCCAGTAGTCGATCTGTCCAGACACTCCTGCGCAGCATGAAAGAGCCTAGGTTGAAGCCACCGCAGTCCTGGGGCACCAGCATGTTGATCGACTCCACACGACCGTCACCGACAGGCGATCGGGTCTCAGCGTCCAGGTATTCGTCGGTCAGGGGATGGGAGATGTTGAGAGGGTTGTATACGTTGATATCGCGGTACGTGACATCTTGTAGGTTTTTGAAGATGTGGTTCTGGAGGGAGTAGGACGGTTCCATGATGAAGGTGTTGGTGTCGAGCCACCAGAACCTGTTTTGATCAGCTTTGTAGCTGCAGAAGGTGTGGTCGAACATACCATTCAGCTTGAGGGTACTTTCGCATAGCGTTGCGAATGGTGTCCACCTTCTCCCAGCTCTCTCTCCATTCGTGAGCGTAGCGCTTCTTCGTGCTCATATCCACAATCTCAAGATCGTAGCCCCACTTCTTGGTGTACTTCTTCTTGTTCTTAACACTGTCGCGCTCGATTGCCCATTCGCGAGGGCCCTTCCACTCCATGACGCCTCCGCCTTGATTCGCAGCGAGGATGATAACGTATTTGTTGCCGCCGCCAAAGAGTGCAGATCGTCTGTACATTCGATGCAGAGCTGCTCTCGTTAGCCATGGACCTTCCTCCATAAGGGTCTGTTGTACTTACGCGTCGCATAAAACATAATGATGCTAAAGATGATGAGCAGCACTACACCGAGCGACCTTCTCAAGCGCCAAAGATTCCAGCCAACGCGGTTCAACATCTGTGTGAACTTGTTGCCCTGAGACCGTCCGCGACCAAGCTTCTCCTTGTCGCCGTAGCTGATGGGCAGGCTTGTGGATATCTTGCGGAAGTGCTTCGAGAAGAATCCCTGATTTCTGGGGGTGAAGCCTGGGTACCCCTTCACTTCAGCACTCCTCGCCTGAGCAGAAGCCCAAGTAACGTTATGTGATGAGCCATTCGCCCCGCCCGAATCGTAGGGGGTGTTCAAGCCAGGACTTGACCAGCCTCCAGGTCTGGGTGAAGGTGATCTTGACATGTCGACAGCTGGCGTGCCGGGGATTGTGGGCAGGGCGTCCCCGAACGAGCCGCCCGAGATACCGCTTGTCGTCCCTAACCTGTTGGGCAGGCCCAAATTAAGATCTGGTGGTTGTGTTTTAGCAGCGGAGGAGCGCCGTCGGCGTTGGCCAGCGTTACTGGAGAAGGAGGATTGAGAAGCCAGCGTGAGTGTTTCGGGATTGTAGAGTGCGCGGAATGCAGCAGGGTCCGATCGCGCGTGGCTCCTAGCAGCAGGGCTGTCAGAACGTAATTAATGCTCAACGATAAGCAATGCGCCGTCAAAAGCAAGGTGCGTTAGTCGCGATGAGGCCAGCTGGCTGCGAACTGAAGCTTTTCGGACGGCAAGGCGAGGCGGTCGCACTTTCCACGGGAAGGGGTGCAAATGCGAAGGGCAAATCTGCAGTGCGACGTCAAAAGACAGCTTTTCCTCGCGGACAATTGGCAGTCAAATGCACGGAGAGCACAATGCAGGTGCATACAAAGAGCGGCCGCCTGTAGTCGAAAAGGAGCTCCTTGCGATGATAAAATTACTGTCCAATGTCAACCGCTTGGCGAGCTTCTAATCATTAGGAGGCCCTGACTAGCAATCTAGCACTTCCCCACCCGCGCGTACCTGCCCCTTGGAGGAGTCTTGGAGGAACATCATCAGCGTGGCCAAGGTGCGATTTCGAAATAGATGGACCGATCAGCCATGTGAAGCCGAGAAATTGGGCTTGCAGTCATGTGGGCAAGGCGGCGCTCAGTAGCTGCACGTATTGCTGACCTGCAGCCGCTCTCCATGGCCTCACATGCGAACGAGTCGATAGGGTATCAGACAGGGAGTCGTCTATTTTTCTGCAGAAGTCACTGTACGTCCATCCCTTGGAAAATACTCAATAAGCTCTAGGTCACCAGACTATACCTCGCTCGACTCTTGTGCGTCCGAGATGTCAATGCACAACATAGCCGGGTGGGCATCAAGATACAGACTTGTCTCCTATCATATATGGTCACATCTACACGTTCGCAGCAACTATGAGGGACACAATTCTCATGTGCTAATTATTCCTTCGCTGATAGTATGAGCAAAGCACCTATGCTTTATGCAGTCAGCCAACAAGTGTCTGGAATATTTCCTTGACTCCGCAAGTCTTGGCGTGAACGTGTACTGTCTCAGGCACACATTGTTAGCCAACTCACACATACTCAGACGCAGTCACGATGGCGTCTTTGCCATGTTGTAGCAGGCACATGACCTGGAAGCATCGGAAGTGCACAGAAAGTCGATGGCTCAAACGAGTTACACACTCGAGCGGGCGCCACGACGATGGGCGCTTACGCTACTTCGCTCTTGCACCTCACTGGCTGGCCCCTCATATTACCTGCCACAACGCCCAGCTCCGTCTCTAGAGGCGTCTCAGTTCTCGCCTCGTGTGGGACAATTCCAGGTTCAGCGAATCTTCGGCGGTTATTGAGCCTCATGCCCTGAAGATGGCGCCCGCTGCACAACCGATTTGGAAGGCCGCATCCAATCACCTTCATTCCCCAAGCAATGTCGACTGTTGCTGGGATGAACTGAGCTCGTCCAAGCCAGCGTACCTGGAAGGCCAACGAATTAAAAGACGAGGTGGGAAGCTGTGCAAGGCCGCTACCGAATTGCAAGCACGCTTGAGGTTATTCAAGAAGATCCGGGGCCTGGAGGTCGTGTGTCTGCATGCGAGCTTCCTTTTCGTTCTTCAGTCTTTTCGCTCTCATCGCTCTCATACCGCTGCTACTTGTCTTCGCATTCACCTGAGAATTATTGTAATTGACGCTACCTATTGTCTCCATTCATTCTTCTAGAAACTTTACAGCAGACTTATTTCAAACGCACCTGCAGGACCACTTGACGCCTTACACCTATAGCATACACTTGCCTCAGTTCAACCGCCCACAGTTGTCGACTTCCATCGACATGAGTACAACGCATTTTGGCGCACAGCCACCCGCACAATACGATTTCGACTCCTCACAGCGTAATGACCGCGACGAGCAGATTGTGATCCACTTGAACGGGCACTTCGACGGGACGATCGCTCTGCCAAGGGCGACACAAGAGAGAGAAGCATGGGAAAACGATGTTCAGGCTCCTACACGAAGGGCTGCCAGCAAGCGGAGTTCAAGATCGTTTACATCACGTGTATCTCGACAAAAGAGCCGGAGACGGGAACTTCTGGGACGACAAGCAAAGCTAGACACGAGTTTCACAAGACACAATGGCGAAACACCGCACCAACTATTCCCTGAAAAAGAAGGCTACAGCCAGGGAAACGCACGGAAGAGTTGGTTCAGCGTCGGGCGATCGTCAACCAAGTTCAAAGGACTAGGAATCACGAAAGGAACTCCTCAGCCAGGTTTCTCGCATCGCAGAATACCAAGCATCGAACACGAGCCTAACACTGCGGATTCACTAGCACCAGCTCCTGGCACTGCTACATGGAATGAGATTTCCCCTTGGGACCGGCCTATACCCATTGGCATCACCGTTCCCACCGACAGCGTCTCCGATTTTAGTCCGTACCACAGTAATCGACAGCGGTCAGGAAGTGACACAACTCTCGTCACGCCCAGCATTGTCATCACGCCTGCCATGCCAATGCAATCAGTATGGTCGCCGGACACACCGTACACGGATTCGGACTACACACCTAGTATCTACTCCCGCAACACATTTGGAGGCCAGCCCATGAATCAAAATGTGCCTCCCGTCCCTGCTCTCCCTCTGGGTCTAGTCGGCTCATCAGCCATCGTAGCAAAGGCCAAGGCCGCACCGGATTCACCAACGCACAACAGGAACGACACGCTTGACTCCAACGAAACAGCATTCGAAGAGGACGATCTTGATGCGCAACGGAGGAACCGCATTATGTCAAGTGATACCTTTTTCGAGGAGGATGATACACCTTTGCGCGAAAGAACCGTTGAGACGTCTCTCGTAGTCGATACATCGCTCTTGCCAACACCACGGCGTTCACAAGGCTGGTGGAACGTTATCACAACACCTTTTGTCACAACACCGTTGACTGGGATGTGGCCCAAGGATGACCAGCACATCCCAAGGACACCTGACGTACCCACCCTACCACTTCAGTACAGCCAGAGCAAGAAGGTCCTTTCTGTTTTGCCGGCAGATAAGTGGGCAGCAGAGCAGAGACCATCTCTTGCGGACCGTACTATGCCTTCAAAAGAGAGAGTGCCCATTGTGGTTCCTGCACCATCCAGCGAGGATACGGCATCACTACATGCTTCTCCAATGATGGTGGCAAGTGAGATTCCAGCAGATGCAAAGCGCGGCATCGTGCTGCATACGCAACAGACAGCAGCAATGCCTGATCGTAGTATAACCTCGCCCCTACCTGCAATGTCTGCCACTCCTGTCGTTGGCACAGCAGCTATGGCTACAGTTCTAATGCCACGTCAAGTTGAGGAAGTACAGCGACCAATCAACATTAATATCGAACTGCAAGATCGGCGACCAGACATTAACGTCCAATTGTTGAACGCCAACTTGCAGCCAGCATCGCACCAAAGCCACACGTCCTGGCCAGCGCCACGCCTGCAGGGTGTTGGGTCGTACAGCTCCAGGACTAATAGCCCCTCGCCAAATCTTCCGACGTTCGCACCGCCTCCAACGTACGCACAAAAGGGTTCACATTTCAGCTATGACGATAGAAGCAGAGCGAGTTCGACAAACTCTACACCAGACCTCAAACGACAAAAGAAGCACCGCAAGGTTTTCGCTATGAAGACTCTTCTGCCATGTTTGAAGCGAAAGCAACAGGACAAGTCTAACGAGAAGAAAAAGAAGAAGCGTGGTTGCTTCCTCTGGTGCTGCGGATGCTGTCTGATTTTGGTCATTTTGCTTGCAATTCTTGTTCCCATCGTTGTGGTATTCTCGAGAAAGAAGGATGACACGACCCAGATCACACCCGTCTCAACTCAACCAGGTGGTGAGGCAACGTCTGAGTGGTTGAGTTTGACAAATCTTCCTCCCATACCTACTGGTGTCCTTACGATTGCGCAGCCCGAAGCAGTCGAGGAGGAGAGTGGCTGTGTCGCGCCAACCACTTTATGGAGCTGCGCGCTCCCCAAAGAGCTTCAAGACTCAGTGAAGCCCAACAAGCCAGATCAGCCAAACATGAAGATTGAGATAACGTACGACAACAGCAGCGCGACGAAGACTGCAAAGCGCGCTGCGAATGCCGTCTCTGTGGGTACATTCATTCGCGAGCGCTTCTTGAGGGCTCGCGCGGCGCCATCATCATCGCCTGCACCCCCGAGCAGCGACGACATGGTGTTCCTCGGAAAAACGACCGATGGGAACGGCGCTCCGTTTGATGGCGAAGATACACCCTTGTTCGTCAGCTTCTCAGACCCACAGACCACTGCATCTCGTCTTGCCAAGCGAGCAAGCGGTGATCCCACGAATATCACCGCATCAATCCCTGCCCCTATGCTGAACTCAGATGGAACTGCCGCGCCGGCAAATTTGCTTCCGATCCCTTCTGCGCAACCACTCCGGCTGTACAACCGCGGCAACGATGACGAGCACTACGGCTTCTACTCGTACTACGACCGGTCCATTTTCCTGAAGCAGATCAACGGAACCAATCGCGGTGGCAACCCTGCGGATACAGATGGGGGCAGCACGAAGGAGGCTGCTACGCTCCGATGCACGTTCGCCGAGACGCGTTTCCTGGTCCAGATCTGGACGCGCAGTGAGAAGAGCAAGGCACTCCTACAAAGCTCCACACAGAGCGGCTCAACCGATCTCAACCGACCAGGGACCTTCCCGTATCCAGTCACCGTTACCATCGACCGACATGGCGGCAATGCGGCGAAAAAGAACCTCTACTGCTACCAGATGGAGAGCGACGGAACCATCAAGAACGATGCTTCGAAGCGCGCTTTCCAATTCGAAGACCGTGCTTTTGGAGGTAATCTGGTGAACGGCACACAGGGTCGTTTCAATGTGTCGGGACCCATCGACGGCGGATCTGGAGGATGCTCATGTAAGTATCAAAACTGGCTAGATTGAAGCGTCCGGCGTCAAAGTTTCCTTGTCTGTACATCGTACCTTACATTCGGGTGGAGTTCTGCATAGCGTTTGACCCAAGGCTGCCAATTGGCGGCCCGCAGGCTGTCACCGTGTGGCACTGCGTGGCATTGCTTGTCGTAGCTTAATTGTGTCTGAACGCCTATGGCTTGATCCTACTCGCGTAGCTCATTCAGGACCGCTGGTAGGACCCTTGTAAACTAGCATTGCCTAGAGCACATACCTAAAATCAACATGAAATGTATCATAGCATAATTGAGCTGTCCGTGACATGATCAGGGGGCGAGAAAGGGGGCATGACGCAGGTATTGCCCAATTCGCCCTCCATCAAGTCCGTGGACATGACTTCTAACGTACTTTTACAACCACAAGAATTTGCAAAGCTCTGGCCGCTGCCGTGACCGTCACTGCATGAGTCTCACCGGCTGCTCGCCGTCACGGCCTGTTCTGACTCCTAACTGCTCAATATCAGAACCTCCGGCGGCCCAGTTGGGCGAAATACTGAATACAAGCCGCCACCTACTTAGTTCCGCCTCAGCTACGAGCGCCTGCACTCGTACAGAGCGCCAGAATGATGTGGGGTTCCCTGGTCAATCAATTTAAAGAGGTCGAAGTGCTTCAGTGAGCTTCTGCAAGACTGGTCACGTTTGTGCTCACATGTCGACGATCTCGATATGCAGCAATGTTCATGCAACAATCACTACCTACCATGGAGTGTGAATAATGCACGGGACACATGCCACGCGATGTCACTCCGCGGCATTTTGAGGTGAACGTTGAGTGCAACGACGATGTGGTCCGCAATCCATAGAATCAGCGAGGATCGACGCACAGGCTAGGATGGGGCTCCTTGCCCAGACTTAGCCGGACGCTCAGAGCGAGAGAACTCACCACGTTCTTGCTATACGCCTTCTCATTGGTTGGTCGTAACATCGTGTAGAAACTTCGTGAGGCAAGCGCGCCCACGCCAAAGACGTCAACTGCAGCGGAGGCGCCCGGGTGGCTTTTTGGGTGCCGAGCGGCGGCTGCACGCCATGCTTTGCGAAGCCTTTGGCTTGGGCGTGCTTGCCTCAGCTGGGCGTAGTCTTAGCCAGAAACTACTGATGTCGAAGTTTACTCGAAAAGCTTCGAAGAGCTTCGAGAAGGTATTTTTGGGGAAGCTGCCTTCAAGCAGGGCTGCAGAAGCACTGGCAGGTGGGGAACGGCTGAGACAGGTGCGTTGGATGCACAATGGTGGATGGTAGGACGCAGGCTATTGCCCAAAACAGTCAGTCTAACGCTGTGTTGGCCGCGCCGGGATCACCGGTACTTGAACTTTCGACTCCAATGCGCCCGCCGGACGCGACTACTGTGGGAACGCTAGAAATTTTCAGAGATCTGGTAGGTACTCGTATATAAGCTATAGAGGCATCTTTCTGCCGCCCTTCAGCCTCTTCGCATTGAGCGTTCGCACTTGTTGTGCAACTGCACCTTCCGCATTCCTCCCGGGCCCTCCCTCGTGGTCCTCCAACGACTCTTGATTGCTTGAGTCCAGTAACCAGGAGCAATTTGATATCAACACCCCGGTTGGTGGTCCGCACTACTATACGCAGTGACCTGTTACCGTATCGACAAACCGCGGAATTTCCGGCTTTATTTTTGCGAGACAGCAGCCAGTAATACTTAGTTGCGAACAACGTGCAGCATCGAAATATTGTGTTCGGAAAGTTTTCCAAGCTACCGTGTGCCACAGACCTCATCTTGATCCTTGAACTTTCTGCTTCAAAATCAACGTCATCGGCGACACTCGGCTCGATCCACACCAAGGGCAACTAGCTAGCTCGAAGCTTCGACATCTGCATCAGTAGCAGACTTGAGCATATAAGAGCATTACAAGACGCTGATACCAAACTATCAGCCTTGGCCTGCATCTTGGCTAGTCAATCCTACAGTATCTGCACAGCAGCTACTGAAAGCCACAATGGCCCAAACACACAGCGAGGAAAACTCGATCCGCGACTATGGTGTCGCTGCCCCTCACGGGCCGAACGTGACCGGCCACCACACTGCCACACAGGACGTCGACATTCGTGCAGACATGACCTCCAACGAGCTCGACATCTTCCACGCTCTTTTGCACCCCGACGATCTCTACGATGCGAATGGCACATACTGGGCGGACTTGCCTCTTGGTCCGCGTATCAAGTTCGTGACCAACGTCGACAAGCAAGAAGCCAAGAAGGAGTTTGGCGAGTTCTGGACGACCTTCAAGAGCGACCCGCTCGAGCCTGTCAGACAGTACTTCAGAAACTATGTGATCCCCGGTGCCGGTCTAGGTCTCGAAGGTTACGTCCTATTCTCCATCGGCAATGTCAGGCCCCTCCTCCAAGCCTCATTTCCCGAGTGCTGGTCGACATTCAAGATCTGTAATGAGATTTGGACGCAGGCTGTTGACTACCTAGAAATTTGCGGTATTATTGTCGGTCAAATCCTCGTCGGTGTCATTGGTGACTGGCTGGGCCGTCGCCATGGTCTGATCCAGGACGCTGTCATTATGTTCCTTGGTCTTCTCATGCTTACGGCCGCCTGGGGCGTCACCCAAAACGGCTGGGTCATCTGCTACGTCTGGTCTCTGTTCTTCTATGGTATCGGTGTCGGCGGCGAATACCCCATGACTGCGACCGCAGGTATGGAGAACGCTGTTGGCTCTGGCAAGGTCTCGACGAAGGACGATCGTCTGCATCGTGGTCGCAAGGTCACTGGTGCTTTCCTGATGCAGGGTTGGGGCCAATTCTTCAACCAGGTCATCTTGATTGTCCTGCTTCTGATCTTCCACTCTGGATCAGCACCACCGTACTCGAAGACTGTTACCCAGTGGACATACCGCGTCTCTTTCGCCATACCCGCTGTTGGTACGCTCTGGCTCGTTTACTTCCGTTACTACAAGATGAAGTCTGCGTCAAAGCAGCTCCAGCTTGCGAAGAAGAAGGCGCACGTTACCGGTTACGACGTTGCCTCCCTGAAACTTACCTTCAGCTACTTCGGACCCCGTCTCATCGCTACCGCTGGTACCTGGTTCGCCAACGACGTCTTTTTCTATGGCAACAAGCTGTTCCAGCACGAGTTCATCAAGGTCATCACTCCCGGCAACAACTCTGTCATGACCGGCTGGCTCTACAACTTGATCAACGTTGGTGTCTCTCTTTGTGGATATTACCTCGCCTCGTTTATGATTGACAACAAGCTGTACGGACGCAAGTGGATGATGATCGTCGGTTTCATGGCTGACTTTGTCCTCTTCATCGTGCCCGCTTTCCATTTCGAATTCTTCACACAGCCCGAGCACGTCCACGCGTTCCAGGCCATGTACTTCCTGTCGTCGTTCTTCAACCAGTTCGGTCCTAACTCCGTCTCCTTCCTAGTCGCTGCCGAGGTATTCCCTACACCCGTCCGTGCCACCGCCCACGGTTTCTCGGCTGCTGCTGGTAAGGCTGGTGCTCTGCTTGCGTCGATTTTGTACAACTACATCGATACCCAGACCAAGTTCTACTTCGTACCCTGGTTCGGTCTCGTCGGCGCTCTGCTGACCTGGGTCTTCCTGCCTGACACAACCGGTCTCGATCTCAAGGAGCAGGAGCGCCGATGGACATGCATTCGTGCTGGCCGCGAGCACGACTACCACGGCATCGCCATCCACTGGAAGCACCTTTCCTGGTGGGAGCGCATGCGCGGCCAGCACAAGGGCTACGACGCCAAGGCGGACTACCAGCAGAAGATACAGGAGATGCGCGCAGAATGGGTTGAGCGCCAGCAGCACAACTTCTCTGAGAAGAAGGGCTGGGAGGAGGCTGAGCACGACGACCACTTTGACGCCGAAGTCCACAACTACTTCAAGCGCACGACTGATGGCAACGGCCAGACATCGTCTGGTATCCTGCAGCCTGAGGTCGCCGAAAAGACGGCTGACGGCAGCGAGTCTGGTACTAGTGGCGAGATCACGAGGGAGAAGTAGGATGTTGCGATTGCGATTGCGAAGCGTGTGCATAGGTCGGCGTATTAGGAAAAGATACCACATCACTCAATTTAATGACAATCGTTTCAAACTCACACACCTCCCATACTCGTGGCCTGCGTGGTTTGCTCTTTTGCGGCAAGAACACCTGCCGTCGATGTTGGTGGTGAAAGCACGGTCTTGGGAGGTCGGGGACCATCAATACCATCCAACATTCGGCGGTGCTGCAACCCACCCTATCGGCAACCAGCAGGCGCAAACACTGTCCCCCAACGGTTCACAGCAGCGTCCAGGCTGGGACACAGCATGTTTCAGGCCGCGCCAGACACGCTGCACGCCGGCCAAAGACAATACCTACGTAGTCATGACAACAGGGAACAGGCACGCACAGCTGGAAAGTCAGGGTCGTCTATCTGACGCTTGACATCGGCTCGGTACGGCGGGGCGATTCGCGCTGGGGTACGGTGGTGCGATTGATGGGGGTGTTTGCGGTTTTGTGTAATGGTTCCACGGCGCAGAGGCAAAGGCTAACAAGGCCAGATGCTGAGGAGGCTGGGGGCTATCGGTGCGTAGGCGGCCGCCGAAAAGATTTGCAGCGCACATGCTGTCCGTTGCCGCTCTGCATTCCAGCGAGGGAGTGATCTGCGATGGCGGTGGAGAGAGATAGCTGGAAACGAGGCTGCCGAGTGGTGACGCATGTGCGCCATGCAACAGCAGCGGATGGATTCTGCTGGCGATGATCGGGTTGAGCTGACTATGAATAATAGCAGTCCCGAGGACTCTGCATGTGCACCGCATTTGTTATTGGGGCGCCGCATCGAGATGTTCCAGTGAGCTGTCGATCGCGCCCAGCTGCCTTGACGCGTCTTATCGTGCAAGTGGCGCCGATTGGCTCGTACCTGGCTGGGCCGCTCCCGTCTTTCAACCGTTCGACGGACGTTTTGGCGTGAAGCGAAACCGCCCCAAACGCGTTGTTCACGCCTCCAGACTCGCTGTACTACGGTAAGCTTTTTATGTGCGGCGCACACAGAAAGCACAATGAGCCAGGCTGCGAGTCATTGTGACAGTGTGACACGACGAGTGCGCAGCAGGAGCCGGCGCGGTGCTTCACCGTGGTTGGGAGCTGGCAGCAGGGCTGTTGATAGGTCTGCAAGGCTTTTGCTGTGTTGATCAAGGGCTTTGCAGGGATGTGACAAGCATCTGGCCAAGTTCGCTCCCTGTCTTTACAAGTTGGTCGGTGCTCGCATGCAGTGCGACAAGCTGAGCAGCCGCGCTGCTGTTGATAAATAGACTGGAATGCTCCCTCCTACTCTGCTCCCCTTCCTCTTCACCCAGTCCATCAACATCAACTCATCCCCAGCGTTAACCAGCCCAACCGCTTCGTTCGTTCAAGTCGACCGGTGTCATCTCTATCACACTCCAACCAACTACCCCACACGCCTCAACCGCCAACATGCGTTTCGCCATCTTCGCCCTCGCCGCTGGTGTCGCCGTACAGGGTCAGGTGATCACTCAGATCTCTGACGGTCAGATCCAGGCTCCTCCTGCCACTGCTTCCGTTCCTGCGGTCTCCTCCGAGGTCGTCACATCGGTCCCTGTCGTCACATCGGTCCCTGCCGTGTCCCTGCCTTCTCGTAAGTCGAGCTTCACCGTCGCCCAGGGTGGAACTTTCACTGACAATGCAGCAGCCATTCCTTCTTCGGCAGTCGTCAGCTCTGCTCCCGCTGTCAGCTCTGTTCCCGCTGTCAGCTCCGCCGTCGCTTCCACGGTCTCCTCTGCTGCTTCGGCCGCCTCCAGCGCCCCCGTTGCCAGCTCCGCCGCGGCCTCTGGCTCTGCTTCCGGCACCGGCTCCAGCCCTGCGTCGACAGCCTCGTCCGGCGGTGCGAGCGGCAGCTCCTCGGCCAGCGTCCCCGAGTCCAGCGGCGGCGCTGCTCAGGCCGGTGTCGGCATGCTCGCCGTTGCCGGCGCCCTCGCTGCTTTCCTGTAAGCGAGCGGTCTCGACGCGAATCTGCCGATGGGTGAAACCATCAGCAGCCTCTTCCATTCTCACGATACAGCGGCATGATTGGCAAGCGCAGCGTACAGCTACACGTTTGCATGTCTGCCCTTTGACGACCACACTCTTCGATACACGTTCCTCTTGCATAGTCGGTTATGTTCGAAAAGCTGGAGTACTGATTGCATGACGGATGGTAATGGGTTTGGTGCGCAGATGGGCGCATTGGATGGAATAATGACGGCATGGATCGCCACGCTAATCGCATGGACGTCGTGTATACATGGTCTTGAAAAAATACAGACTTGGCACCGCTGGTGCTCAACATGACTCCCAATCCGACGTGCCATGGATGGGGCAACCCTCGCTGACTATGTCTACTCTGATACTTGAACCATGACTTGAACCATGACTTGAACCCCTTGGCACCACATTCCAAGACATTCTCGTCCAAACCCCCCGTGCGCCCTGCGCCGTTTGTGAAGTCCTTTGTGAAGTCAATTGTGAAGTCATTCGTGAAGTCATTTGTGAGGTCATTGCGTAGCTCCGTCATCTCGGCGAGGACGGGAAGTCAGGATTCCAGGGATCCATGCATGCATGTGTGTATTGGACCACGTATGTGATGGAGTGTTGCGTGCGGACTGTGGCGTGCGATGGACTGTGGCGTGCGATGGACTGGGACCTTGTCCTTGTTTGCCAGAGACTGTCGAGGTCATGTCTGTCTTGGTGCTATTGCGTTCAAGATGGAGTTGTGGCGCGTAATAGACTAGGATCTCGTCCTCTGTTGCTTTCGACTACGGAGGTCATCATGTCTATCTTGCTGCTATTACCTGCTGGAGGAGCTGGCCGACGGGGCTGAGACCCTCTTCGGCGGTGAGGATGCGTTTGGGTATCTCGAATTCGACTTCTGGGTCTTTCTTGAGGTCGCGGTCTAGCTCGGTGTCGAGCAGCTGGGTGCGTCAGCGGGGGTTCTCGACGGGTGCAGATGCAGACTTACAGCCGTGTATGAGTGGTCGAGGAAGTCCTCCAGGTTGTAGGAGCGTTTTGTGAATTGCTCGGAAACAATCTTGGCTAGTGTTGCGACGTTGGGGTGGTAGTGCGACTGCAGTGCTTCCAGCTCCCAGACGCTGCTTTCAATGGCGTTGGTCTCCATTGGATCCAGCTCGCTCATGTCAAAGGGATCGTCCATGCCCTCCTGCTCAAGCTTCTCCCGGAGGGCCGGACCGCGGACCTCGCGGTGCATCATAAAGGTACAGGCGGGGTGGCGCTTGAACAGGTTGTAGACCCACGGAACGACGACAACAACACCCGCAGGTGGGCCGTGCAGCGCCAAGCGCGAGAGGCGTTTTACGAAGCTAGCCACAAGCGCTGCCGGCAGATGGGTCGAGGACATGAAGGTGTCCAGCAACCTGAAGAAGCGCGATCGGTGTTTGGAGTGGAGGAGACCCTCGTCGAGGAGGGAGTAGAGCTTGAGGTAGAATGACGGGTAGTCGAGGTTCTTCTCCGAGATTAGGTAGTACAGTCCAGACAGGGCGAGCAGCGACGTCGCACCGCCAACGTCGTACGAGTCGGTCAAGAAGTCCATGAGCATCTCGGGCTGCTGGAACCAAGGCGCAATCTGGTACGAAAAGGTGGTCAGGATAGCCTTGCGCTGGTCCTTGTCGAGGCCGGCGCGCATTGTGGCCAACCACGCTTCCTGTGCCTGGACCTTGTATGCCTGCAGCGTGGGCCGCGAGCTCTTCGACTGCGACTCGGTGTGGTAGTTGTTGATGTCGTCTTTCGAGTGCGGCACGGTGTCGAGGGACAGCAGCAGCGACAGGCTGTTCGCAGCGACGACCTTCTTCTCGCCGTCGTCGAGGTCGGTGCCAAGGAGCGTCTTGATCGTCTTGAAGGCGTGGAAGCGCACGTCGTCGAAGCGCTTGAAGTACTTGTCCGCGAACTCGCCCCGGCTGGCGTCGTCTTTGGGGAGCAACAGCAGCGCTTCAATCACCCGGGAGAGGGGGCCGTTCTTGAGGCTATAGTCTCTGGTCGCCTTGGACTCCTCCTTGACCAGACGCATGAGCAGGGTGAGCGCCACCGACTGCTTCGCGGGGCTGTCGCTGCGCAGGAACTCGTGCAGGAGCGTGTCCAGCAGCTCACGGTACCGCTCCTTCAGCCACGCCACGACCGTCGCCTCGGCCTCGCCCATGCCCTTGCTCTTGCTCATGTCGCCCGCGGCCAGCAGCCGCGCAAAGACGCGGCACAGGCCGACGGCCGCGAGCACGGGCGCGTCATCGCGCGACTGCTTCGACAGCTGCAGCAGCGTCGCGATGTTGTTGTAGTGTCGGCGCGACTCGAGGATCTGGGCTTCGAGCTGCAGGATGTGGACCTGAACGTCATCGCCGTCATCGCCGCCATCGCCGCCATCGCCGTCGTCGCCCGGGTCGCTGGCGGGAGACTTTTGGCGCTTCTTCGCCTTGGCTTCGCGGCGCTCGGCGCGGACGGGGTCCCGCTTCCGCTTGAGGCCAGCGGCAGCAACGGTCGTGGTCGCGGGCATACTGGCGGCGTCTGCGAGTGTCTCGTCGTGGTTGTCGCGGCTGTCGCGGTTGTCGTCGACGTCGTCGTCGTCGTCGTCGTCGTCGGCGTCGTGCCCAGAAAAAGTTCGCGGCTACCAAAAGGGTCGCTAGCGTCTGCGCGGTGAGAACGTCAAGCTGCTCCGAAGAAGCTTGCAGTCGACCCGACCCTCACCAACTCGACCCTCCCCGCCCACTCTTCATCCGCAGCAATGGCTTCTCGTCTCGCAAGGAGCGCGGTCGGTACGTGGCAGCCCGCCGATGCGACAGTGATGCCATTGGCCTCTGGACGCCCGCATGAGCAAGAGGTCGCTTCCTAACACTCGACAGGCGCCGCCCGTCTCCGCCCTGCCCTCCCCCTCCGCGCCGTCCCCTCACTCGCCGCCCAGGCCCGCTTCCAGTCCTCGCAGGAGGACCCCAAGAAGAAGGCCCAGAGCATCATGGAGGCCATCCCCGTGCCCGGCAACAGCCCGCTGACCAAGGCGGCCGTGCTGTCCGCCGGCGCCGGTCTGTCGGTCGCGGCCATCAGCAACGAGCTCTACGTTGTCAACGAGGAGTCGATCGTCGCGCTGTCGCTGCTGACCATCTTCTGGGCCGTCGGCAAGTACGCCGGCCCCGCCTGGTCGGACTACGCCGCCCAGCAGGTCGACAAGATCTCGGGCATCCTGAACAGCGCCCGGGCCGACCACACCAAGGCGGTCCAGCAGCGCATCGAGAGCGTGCAGGACCTCGGCGGCGTCATCGACATCACCAAGACCCTGTTCGAGGTCTCCAAGGTACGGCCGCCACGCACGGGACACAACGGCTGTGTCCTGCGAGGATAGCGACGACACGCCGCAGCCCACCGCTAACACGGCACAGGAGACGGCCAAGCTCGAGGCCCAGGCCTACGAGCTCGAGCAGAAGACGGCCATTGCCCACGAGGCCAAGGCCGTCCTCGACTCGTGGGTCCGCTACGAGGGCCAGGTCAAGCAGAGGCAGCAGAAGGAGCTCGCCGAGTCCATCATTGCCAAGATTGAGAAGGAGCTCGAGAGCCCCAAGACGCTCAAGTCGATTCTCGACCAGTCCATCGCCGACGTTGAGCGTGCGTACTGCGCCTCCTGGACACGGGCTAGTGCTAACGAGCTGCAGGCATCGTCTCCCAGAAGGCATAGGCGTCCTACGCTAGACAATTTCATGTTACATACTCTGTGCAATAGTCAACCGGTCCAATGCCATGACCCTGGGCTTGGAGAGCAGCCGAATCCATTTGTTTGTCCATTGATGCTCTCAGTCTGTCGTTTGCTGCGCGTGATGTGTACTGGGCCAGGCTACAGCTTCGCCTTTGGCTCCAACAGCCCCGCAATCGTCCGCGCCCACGTCTCCGCCGCCTCGGGCTCAATGGCGTTTGCATCGTAGCTGACGCCAAACCCAACCCGTCCCTCGGCATCCGTCGAGCTGCCCACCAGAAACTCGCGCTCGCGCGCCCTAACGCCCATTCTCAGTCCTCTGTAATCCACCGCAAAGTCTTTTCCCGCGTTCAAGTCATACTCCCCAGCCCGGAAATACCCCTTCAGGCTCCCCACACTGCTGACCCCACACGTCGCGTCCGCCCCGGCAGCGGCCGTCAGCGCGCCCTGCGGATCCCCGAACCCGAATGGCCGCTCCGCAGGCAGTTTGGACGCCACGCGCTCCATCTGCGCCAGGTAGCCGGCCGCGAGCAGCCGCGCGGGACTGTGGCTATCGAGCCCCGCGCTCACCTCCCCCCGGCGCGAGGTGCGGAGCCGCTTCTGGTACACTCTCAGCCCGCGGTTCGCGATGCGCGCTGTGAGCAGGAACCGCTTCTCAACGGCAAGGGAGAGCGGCAGGAAGGGCATCACGATGCCGTCGCTGAAGGACAGCATGCAGCTCTCAGCCGGCGGCGGGCTGGCGAAGAAGGCGCGCGGGTTCAGCGGGAACGAGGCGCTTATGGCCGCGCCCTGCTCTGCGCCGAGTCCCGGGTACCGCTGCGCGTGCACATGCATCATGGCCAGCCCCGCGAGCGCGAAACAGCCTGCTCCTATGCTGAGCTGCGCGTCTCGACACAGCGCGATGAGCCGCGCTGACGCTGCCGCCGAGAGCGTCGCGGAGACGTGTCCGCTGGACAGCGGCGCCGCGTTGGGTCCGTCGTACGCGAAGACCCGGTCGTACGTGCGCTCAAGCGGGAGCGGCGACGCGCGGCGCTGCGCGCGGTACAAAGGGTTCGCGAGCGTCGGCGGGAGCGTGCGCTTGACATGCCGCACGACGCGGATGATGGCCCACACCCAGCGCTGGCGGGCCCTGTTGCCTGCGATGCGGGGATAGAGGTCTTCCTGCGCGGGCGGCAGGATGGCCGCGACCGCGTCCCGCGCCAGGGAGGCGCTGATTTCGGCCTCGATGGCAAGCACGGGCTGGTTCAGCAGCCGGATTAGGTCCTTGAACCAGCCGTATGCGCTCAGGCCGTCGGAGATCTGGTGCGCCATGACGATCAGGAAGGAGAGCTGGTGCGTCCCCGTTGCGAGCTGGACGAGCGGGAGGACGTGCAGCTTGGACATGCATTTCCGGGGCTCCACGATGCGGCGTACGTTCAGAGCGTGGTCGTGGAGATGGTGCGCGTCGACGGAGGCGTAGCTGTCTTCTATCCAGACCGTGCTTGCTTCGACGTCTCGCACGGCTGTCTGCACATCTCGGGGGACGTCGATGGCGAAGCACCGCAGGCCAGAGGACGGGTCGTCCAAGTGTCGACTCATGAGCAGAACGTGACGCAGGCGGAGTGCTGTCCAGGCCAGTGCGATTCTGCGACGGAGGTCCTCTTTGCAGAGCGAGTGGTGAAGTTCCAAGGTCAGCGTGCCGGTCATATCTGCCCGGCCGCCGTAGTATGCGCCATCCGAGTCGAATGAGGTCTCGACCAGTCCCAGAGGGCGCGTGAAGCTCGTCTGGCCGTGCTCGTTTGTCGTTGAACGCCAGGCATGGAATCCTGTTGCGTAGCGGTCGAGCCAATGCGCGTTCTCCTTCTGCGGCGAGGCCATTTTTCTTTTACAAAAGTTGCGCGACGCTGCCACTTTGTAACCAGCCAGGGTCTCGCCAGCTGACACTCAACAGGATCCAGATTGAAGTCGAGAGACGCAGCATTTTGGTGTTGGAGCGATGACGGGGTGGAGTTGGAGACACTAGGCTCGTCAAGGAATGTTGCTCGTGTCGTGCATCTGGACGGGCACTAGCGGCACGTCGTCCGAGGAGTCCCATCTTGAAGCATCATCAGAGCATCGTCGTGCAACCTGAGCAGAGAATTTGTTTTTTCGAGTTGCTGTTTTTGAGCAGAGAATCTGTTTTTTCGAGTTGCTGTTTTGATCGAATAGAAATTGAAATGTCTTCAGTATCAATCGTCTGTGTATTGATGGGTATATGAAGAGCAATCCAAACGCCCTGTCTAGGGATCACACATGATATGTCGCCGCCCTGATCGAACCTTGAGATTGTTCCCGTCATGCGCTGTAATTCTGCGTGTCGAACAAGAAATGCGTTCTTGAAGCTCCTCTCGTACATGGTGGCGTTCTGAGCCCCCTCTACCCACTCCTCGTCTTCGTCTTTCCCATCAGTCGGCACCAGGCCCGGACGGGTGCGGGCAGCTAGACTAACACATCTTCCATCTCCTCGTCCTCGGAGTCGTCTCCTCCAATGTCTGGCGCCAGGGCTGACTGCTGGTTGTTCAGGTTCCTGTCGACGCTGAACTGCTGCTGTCGCTGCCAGTGGCTGGCAAAAGAGCCAGACTTGACAAGATGGGCCAGCTCGGGCAACACCTCCTTGAGGAACTGCTCTGGCTGCTTCGTGCGTGTCTTGAGTGCCTTCATCGACCAGTACTCGTACTCGTCGAACAGACTGTGCAGAAGATCCAGCAACTCGCGGTGCGAGATACGGGCGGCCTTGTTCTGCTGCGGCTTGGACTTTGTCGTGGGCTTGATGAACGAGCTGAACTTGCTCTGGACGTTGTTGTAGTTGGCGACGCCGGGATCCTTGATGATGACGGTCTCCATGTGCGAGCCTTGGATCGCATGGTGGAGTCGCTGCGCCTCGAATTCCTTGTACTCTTTCGTTGGCAACGGGTTCATCTGGTACTGGCGGGTCGCGTGCCCAATGAGAGTCGTCTGTTTTGGAATAGCTTTCCTGTATTTTCCGCGCTTCTGGATGCGCGCTTTTGGGTCTTGTGTACCGTAGTACCCTGGCCCGCCGCGGTAGCCCTGGCCGTATCCGGTAGGTTTGTAGCCTGGAAGGTCCTTCTCTGTGAAGACATATGTGTTTCCGAGCACCGTGTCCGTTGTTTGCGCTGGCTGCAGCTCGAACGCTGTAGGCAACTTCGACTTGGCGCGCCAGCGCTCGCTGAAGAAGAGCCGCATGGGCCTGCTCTTGTCGATGCCAGATGTTGTGTTGAATGCGAGCACCTCTCCAATCTGGATCTGGTCGTTGTCGTTGCCTTCTGCCAGGTCATCCCACTTGGACACCGCATCGTACAGCCACTTCTCGATGCGCGTTACCCACACGTCACTCTTGGTGTCTGGCTGCGGCATCGTCATCTCCCCGGTGTCCTCGAAGAACTCGTCGTCCATGTACTGGACCGGCGGACCCGCTTCGGGGTCCTGCTTGATCCCGTTCATCTCTGCAACAAACGAGTGTGCGGTCGTCGACCTGCTGGCGCCTGCTGCGCGGTGTTGTGATGCGTTGTTTGCCAAGTTCTCGGCGGCGCTTTTGGTGTGACGCAGTCTTCCAGGGCGGTTTCCCTAGCGAGCTGAGTAGCTGAGGCAGCTTGGGCGAGGTACGGTTGGGTGCGTAAGAATGCAAGTGAAACAATGGTCAAAGATAGGCCCAAGAGCCTCAATCGCGGATCGCCGCACTAGCGCGATTGCTTGCCAAGTCGTCATAGCTCCCGCCGCCCCTCCCCCACACGAATGTTGCCTTGCACTCATTCGCCATTGTTTGTTGTGAAGCGTTCCTTTCTCATATCCAACTCGTAGAGTTATTGCGCTACAAGTCTGTTCGGCACACGCATCTGATCCCTGACACAGCATCGCCACAACTGCAGCACCCGAGCTGTTTGCTCACTCCCGCGGACATGGCTTCACCAGCAGTTGCCTCTGCGCTCCAGGACGTGCAGTCCGCCGCGACTGGCGACAAGCCCTCGCAGTACACATCGACCCTCCAACAGATTACTGCCTCGACCGAGAACCTGTCCGAAAACCTCAGCGCATACGCCCGAACCCTGCTCGACGACTCGATAGGGATAGTCCAGCTGCGGCCGCTGCTCGCCGCATTCGCAGATTCCTTCAGCAAAGTGCGCGACGCCGAGGTCAAGATCGAGGTCGGCGAGCAGGTGGTGTCGCTGCTGCAATCAAAGGGCGCTGGACAGTATGAAGAGCAGGATACGACGATCAAGGAGGCGCTGGCAGATGCATACGAGGTGATTGACGACTTCAGGAAGTCAGCACAGGTGCTGGCGTCGATCAACTTGGAGTCGACGCAGAAGAACATCACAGCGGACGACAAGGCACGGGTATGGATCCGGATCGTGCGGTGCTACCTGGAGGAGGACGACCCGACGAGTGCTTTCTCGCACTTGAACAAGGTCAAGAACATCATCTTCAGTGTGACGGACCCGGCGACGCGGGTGCAGTTTTCAGCCGCACAAGCACGCATCTACGACGCCCAGCGGTCTTTCCTCGACGCAGCGGCAGCATACTACGGCATGAGCCAGGAGGCGTTGGTGGCGGACGACGATCGCGTGTCGGCACTGGGAGCTGCCATTGTCTGCACGGTGCTGGCACCTGCAGGTCCACAGCGCGGGAAGATGCTGGCCAAGCTGTACAAGGACGAGCGGGCCAGCTCACTCGACGACTATCCCATCCTCGAGAAGATCTTCCTCGACCGTCTCCTCACGCCTGCAGAGATCAAGGCGTTTGCCGCGAGGTTGCAGCCACACCATCTCGCCAAGACGGCTGACGGCTCGACTGTTCTCGACAAGGCCATCCTCGAGCACAACCTGCTTGGGGCGTCGAAGCTCTACAACAACATCGGGTTCGACCAGCTGGGGGAGTTGCTGGGGATCGATGCCGAGAAGGCGGAAGAGTACGCTGCGAAGATGTTGGAGCAGGGCCGTCTCTCTGGGCACATTGATCAGATAGAGCGGCTGATCTTCTTCGAGGGCGAGGCGAGTGGCGAGCGGAAAACAGGGCATGCGGAGCGGGTGGTGGGCAAGGAGCTGAGGAAGTGGGACGCGAACGTGATGGGTGTTGCCGAGGAGGTGGAGAAGGTGACGACGATGATTCAGAACCAGTACCCTGACTTTTACGCCTCGCAGGTGGTTTAGTGGGAGATGGAGTGCCCTGACTTTTACGCCTCGCAGGTGGCTTAGTGGAAGATGGAATGCCCTGACTTTTACGCCTCGCAGGTGGCTTAGTGGGAGATGGAGCACCCTCGCTTCCACGCCCCGCACTGGAGTGCGAGATGGGCAGTACAAGGCGGACAATGACAAGACAGGAGACGACGAAAATCAATCCAAACGCCGCATATATGAAGGCTGACGTCAAACGCTGTTGTACACGGATGGTATGCTCCAAGCAGGTATGCCCACGATATCAGTACATATGATACACCCACGCCCTGTCTTCCCAGAAGATGCTCAGCTGCCTATATGTCGCTCTCTTCCGCAAGCACCCTCTCGTAGGCCTCCAGGCTCTTCAGCTCCATGTCGCTAATCTTCAGCACGGTGAAGCGCATCTTGCTGTACACGTGCTTGGTGTGCCGCTGCCTCCGCTTCGTCTTCTCCTCGACACGCATGGGCTCCGTCTCGATGCCGACGACGCGGGCGCGCACTGTGAAAAGCCGCTCGTCGAGATAGAACAGCTTCTTGGGCGCGTCGGCGGTGCCCTTGACGGCGGCGGCGGCCTTGAGGGTGTAGTCCCGCGAGCCGATGTGGGTGGCGCGGTTCAGGCGCAGCACGTCTCCGGGCTTGACGTCTGGCATCAGGAACGGCAGGCGCAGCGTGTCGCCGCGCGTCAGCAGGTACGGGCGGCCGTGGATGTGCAGGGTCATGTAGTGTGCGGGCTGCGAGTGCAGCAGCGGGAGCAGCGTGCGGATCGAGGGCGTGACGTGGGCCGAGACGATTTCGCTGCGCCCGTGGGGGGCTACGGGCGTCGAGGGGGGCGGCGCCGAGGGCGAGAGCGAGTGCGACTGCGTCTTCTCCTGCAGCGCTGGGGACACTCGTTGCCCGGACTGGAGGAGCGGGTCTGGCGTGTTGCCCGTCGCGAGCGCGTGCGATTGCGTGGTCATGTGTGCGGCGCGTGGGGGCAGTGAGGCGGCTGGCAGACGCCGTGTCTCCCTGAGGGCGCTCCGCGCTGTGCGGGCGAGGGAGGCCATGGCGTTTTTGTATGTGTGTATATGTGTGTGTATATATTTATGTGTGTGTGTGCGTGCTGCGGCGGCGGGATCCCGTCAGAGGTCGGCCTTGCGGTGGTGATGGGTCTCTGGCCGTCTTTCTGCCAAGTCCGCGGCCTAGCGCGGCCCTGACTTTCTTTTCGCCGCACCAGCCCTTCTACGCCGCGAAGGCTTCCTCGCCCGCACCAACCCTCACACCCGCCGCCATGCCTCAGAATGAGTACATCGAGCGCTGGACGAAGCAGTACGTCATCCCACCCGCCCAGGCTGCATTTGTCGTGCCCAGGCACCCGCTGACCCCAACACCAGGCATGGCAAACGTCTGGACCACGACGAGCGCAAGCGCAAGAAGCTCGCGCGTGAGGGCCACGATGGCAGCAAAAAGGCACAGAACTACCGCGGCCTGCGCGCGAAGCTGTACGCCGAGAAGCGCCGCAAGGAGAAGATCCAGATGAAGAAGACGATCCGCGCGCACGAGGAGCGCAACGTCAAGACGTCGGAGCCCGCCGAGCCCAGCACCGAGGCCCTGCCGCAGTATCTGCTGGACCGCTCGAGCGAGAAGAACGCAAAGGCCCTGTCGAGCGCCATCAAGCAGAAGCGCAACGAAAAGGCCGCCCGCTTCAGCGTCCCGCTGCCCAAGGTCAAGGGCATCTCCGAGGAGGAGATGTTCAGCGTCGTCAAGACGGGCAAGAAGACGGCCAAGAAGAGCTGGAAGCGCATGATCACAAAGCCCACCTTTGTCGGCCCCGGCTTCACCCGTCGCCCCGTCAAGTACGAGCGCTTCATCCGGCCCATGGGTCTGCGCTACAAGAAGGCCAACGTCACCCACCCGGAGCTGAGCGTCACCGTCCAGCTGCCCATCATCAGCGTCAAGAAGAACCCGCAGAACCCCCTGTACACCCAGCTCGGCGTCCTGACCAAGGGCACCATCATCGAAGTCAACGTCTCGGAGCTGGGTCTGGTCACAGCCGGAGGAAAGGTCGTGTGGGGTCGTTATGCTCGTAAGTCGCGTCCCGTCGCCATTCACAGGAGAGACACTAACAGGCCCCTGCAGAGGTCACCAACAACCCCGAGAACGACGGCTGTCTGAACGCCGTTCTGCTCGTCTAGAGCATTCAGAGAGTTGACGTGTAGTGAACGCCGTTTGCTGATGTGTAGTGAACGCCGTTTGTTGACGTGTAGTGAACGCCGTTTGTTGACGTGTAGCATTTGACGGCGTTATCTGTTGGGCTTGAATTCAGACAAGGCGTTACGAACCCGTCTAGGCAGATTTGCAAGGCACAAAAGTTGGCCGAAGAAGCAAATTACATCTCGCTGGCTCCAAAAGAAGGGCCAGGAGACCATCCATGATACCACAATAAAGACTGTTTCGTTGAGAGAAGCACGGCCTTTGAGCCACAAGATTTCATACGTACCCATCTTTGCTACCACGCCACCTTCTCAGTGTCAGACCTCGTCGCCTTGGCCCCGTCGTCCCACCCCGTCGCCTTTGCCCCGTCGTCCCACCCCGCAACCTTCTCCGCACTCTTCTCCGTCCCTGCCTTTATCCCCTTCACCCCCTTCTCCGACGCCTGCCTCGACTGCTGCTGTACCCACTCCTGCGTCAACCCCATCGCCACGCTCTCCGAGCACCGACTCGCCCCACCCCGGCAATCCCTCTCAGCGAGCCTACGCTGCAGCGCCAGCATCTTGCTGACCAGCTGCTCCTGCGGCAACGCCTCGAGCTCCTCCTTGCCCGCCGCCCCCGGCGCCGAGCCCGTCCCGCGCAGACAGTCGCGGCCGAACATGCCCTTCAGCGCACTGCGGCTGCGGTACTTGAACCGGAACACGGCGTACGGCTTGTCGAGCCCGTCCACGTACTCTGGCCGGCTGACCGCGTGGCCGTACGCCGTTCCCGGGCCCGCGAGCACTTGGTGCTCGACCCCCTTTGCGGCCGCCGCGGCCTGGGGAATCTTGTGCAGAGGTTCGGAAGGTACGCTGCGCATGCGTCTTGCACGACCTGAGTGCTCGCTGCCGTCTTCCTCGGTCGGTAGGAGAGTCTTGCTGGGAGGTGTGGGGGGGAAGCGCCAGTGCGGCTTTACGAGGGACGCGGGTGAGAGACGGCGATACTTGGAGAGCGATTTGGTGGTGTGTCGCTTGCCTGCGGAGCGTGGTTTGACCTTCTCGCTGGGCTTCTCCTCGACTGCTACCGGTGTTGCCCATGCATCTCCAGCATTGGCATCGAAGGGTGCTTCGTTGGTGTCGTCCTGCGGCTGGTCCCACGCCGTGGTTGTGTCTTGCGCGGCACCCCATCCATTATTGTTGTTGTCCGCATTCCAATCGACACGCTTTGGCTCCGCATCGTTGGAGACGCCCCGTCCGCCGTCGCCCGGCGCGGCTGTGTTCCATTCATCGTTCTTCTGTCCCGCAGCAGCATCATCTCCCCAGCCTTTGGCTTGCTCGTCATTCCAACCAGTTGCCGCATTGTCCCCTCCCCAATTCGCCTGTTTGAGTGAGCTTTTCTTCCCACTGCCATGCTTCGAAGCCTTTTTGTTCTCAACTCCCCAGGATGACGAGCCGCTAGAGTGACGGCTTCGCTGATGATCCTCACCAACTGCACTGAATGGCGCAGGAGGCAGGTACGTTGTACCGGCACTCTTCCTGCGCGCCTTCTCAGAAGCACAGCCCCACGTTGGTGGTGGTGCTACGACTGGCGCAGCAATCTGAGTGTGAATACCGGGGTTTCGTGATTGGACGTCTGCGAGATTCTGCCAGATTGGAGCAGACACCACAGTGGGTGCGTTCGTCACCAGCATCGAAGGTGGGCCTGCGTGCACCTTCTCAGGATAGAACCGCGGATTCTCGACAGGCTGTGACAGCCTTCGACGATGGCGAGACTGACTTTGCCCCCTTCTAGAGCTCTTTCGACCAGAAGTGCTCCTCTCTTGCTGTATCTGGCTGCGCGAATGCGAGGGCCTGAGCGTGGAGTCAGACCGGCCCAAGGAGGTACTTGTGTCTGAGGGAGCCTCGTTCTGCGTCCATGAATCCTTGTCGTCCGTTGAGGTTTTCATATCGTCTACCCAATAAGATCGAGACTTGGATCGAGACTTCTGTGATCCATGCTTCGAATGTTGGCGCTGAGGGGGACGCTCGGACACGTGAGGCACTCGGCGAGGAGGCGAGGGTCCGCGAGCAGTACGAGCTCTAGACTTCGATCTTTTGCGAACTTCCCCCCAGCTTTCAGGTCTTTTCTCCGGCCATGTCTCGTCCGTGTTCCAAGATGCCTCATCCGCTGAACCCCAGCCGTCGGCTTTCGTTTGCGTGTCCCATTTGGGCTCCTTGTCCCAACCGACGCAAGCTGTCCTGCTCTTCGCCGAACGGTGTTTCCGGCCGGTTGTATTCTCCTCCCAAAGCCCATCGTTGTCATCGTGGTAATAGTCGTATTCTGACCTGCTCGAACAGTACGTTGATGCTTGTGTCGGAGTTGTCGGCCACGCCCCAGGTACTTGACTGGAGCCATCCAAGTCTTCCCAGTATCTTCCGCTGCCGATCTGACTTTCTGCGACAGGCCTTTGACTCTTCCTCGACTCTTCTACCCCTCGTTTGACAGCATCTACCACGATTTTCTCAAGCATGCCAGGATCGACTGCGGGAGTAGGTTGTGACGCGCGCCTGTCGCCCACGAGCTCCTTGTAGGTTTCTGCTGTTGATCGAGCTGGGAGAGGTCCGGAACCGTACTGAAAACCTGGAGCTGGGATGTCCCTTTGAAGATGTGTACTCGGACTGACAGGCTCAGAGTACCGAGATCGGGCTTTGTTCGAGTGTTCGCGGCTGCGCACCGTCTCGGCATAAGGCGAGCGATACTGAGATGCTGGCGGCGGTGGAGGGCGTTTGTTACTTGTAGCACCGACAAACGGGTCGCGATCATCGTAGGCTGTTGTTCGAGAACGGCTATCGCGGTCGGAACGATAGTCAGGATAGTCGACTGCACCGTCCATGTTCATGTTCGGAGCTGTTTTAGCATCGCGAGGACCAGCACAGCGCAAGACTACGACTTCGATGCAGCCAAGGCTCTCGAGGATGTTGGACGAACAAGAGTCGGGCGCATCATCTGCTGAGGCTATAAATGGTCAGTATGCGCGTAATGGTGCAGCGGATCCGGATCTCACCATGGTCCAGCTTCTCAAACGTCCACTCTCGCGCGATCATCGAACCGTCCTTTTGTCGTTCTTCTTTCTGTCTGACTTTGAAGTCGACGAGCGAGCGGCGATCCAAGGGCCTTCGAAGCTTCATATTCTGCCGGTTCCGGTTACACTGGTAGACGCCGTCAATGAAGACGTACATTGCGATACCCGGCGCGATGAAGTTTCGGCCGGAGAGGTGCACTGTGAAGGTTTGCTGTTTCTTGGGGACAGGAACGAACGTCTCGACGAACGCGTCTCCATACACTGTTCCAAGCTCTTGCAACACCTCCTGGTCATCCGAGAGCTCAATTGAGCAGCTTAGATCTTTAAGCAGAGGCATACTGAAACCACGCTGATGTGCGTGTCGGCTAACGTTCGGTATTAGGATGTGTTGGTGTGTTGTAGTGCGAGGCGGCGGCGGTGGCGAAGGTGAGTGGTCCGTTGGCCAGGTGATCCAGGGCCAAGTTGAGAAGAGGTGAAGGCAATGGTGACTAGGGTAACGACACACTCAGGCGAGGTGACTCAAGTGTACTTGATCAGTTGAGCATTGCTCTAAAACTAGGATGTTGCTTGCAATATTGCGAGTAGGTGAAGACGCGCCAAGTTATACAGCATTGCTCCAGATACTGCTGCCGGCATCGCTTTTGCAGTCGATCGACTGGCATTCACACCAGTAATCTTATGCGGAATACTGTATGCAGTGTCTTGGAGTGGGCCGAAACGCACACGCGGAACCGCTAGCGTGGCATTTTTCTGAGTACACGTGGCTACTGGTATGATGCTGGTATGCTTTGCGTGAAGAAGGATGAGGACCATGTTTGTAAGGCCTGGCTGACCGAATCTAGTTTTTGACAGTACATCGCGTGATTTGCGGAGGGTAAAGAGCGCGTTTGACCGGAAGAACGCAATTGAAAAGGAGTCTAAGAGTGTTTGCAGGAAGCTGCTCCTATAAGAGCGTGACTTCTAGGAGGGCGCAAATCGAGCATGTACGAAGCCGTAGTGTATCCAAGTCGATATGTTCCTCTTTGACAGCATGCGATAGTCAACAACAACATACCCCTTGCGCAATACGTGCACTTTTGTCAGTGTGGCCAAAATGGACGCAACTAGAACAGGAAGTATATGTTTGAGCTGGTATGCGCCCGTCGCAACGTAGCCCTACCTAGGTAATGGGAAGGCGACCACGGCCTCGTATCAGTGTAACCACCAAACGTTGTCTGGAGTTGCACCCTGCTCATGAATTTAGCTTCATGGTACCGCAGAGAGAGCATGTCCACCACTGATTCTCCATGAACGTGCCACACTGCAGACAATTCCACCCAATCCTGCCTTTCGCTGGTTCAAAAGGGGTTGCACCGGGCCCTCTGAGCCCTGACTGCGGCGGTGGTGCTGGCAGACTGGGAGCTGTGTGCGAAGGACCGAAGCGTTTGTGTTGTGGAATCGGCTGTGGGGGCTGTTCAAGGCCACACACGCCGCACTGCAAGAAGTCGAGCGGATTGTGAAGTGTGCACTGCGGACACGCCCACTCGTTTGACTTGGTCGGGACCTGTGGCGAAGCTGGTGGCGGCGTTGGGGGAAGTTGTTTGTTGCGATGATCCTCTTCCTCTTGGGTGATGAGGCGCGACTGCGGCCGGTTTGTGTGAGAGGAGGAGGGTGCTCGAGGTGATTCTGTGGCGAGGCGAGAGACAGGGCGCCCTTGTGTAGGATGAGATGTTGTTCGTGGAGGCGTTAAGCGCCGTGTTGTACCCGGTGCTGGGATTGACGACAGCCCATGCTCTTTGCTCCAGCTTAAGCCTGAGGATCCATTTGGTGCCGGTGACGCTGTCCGCGATGATGGATTGCTGTCGAACTGTAGCCCATTCTGGCGATCCCATGCAAGTCCACCACCGCCTGTTGGCGCGCCGAGTTCCTCCAGCCTCTGAATCTCCTCTTCATACAGCAGATCTTGTAGCGCACGTGCGATGGCTTCATCGTTGCCGTCATGCTGTTCTGCCACAGTCCTGAATCCGTCCTGTTCCTGTTGATGCAGCAAGTTGCCGGCTTGAGCACTGCCACTGGCACATCCCTCGGTAATACTTGTTCGTCGTGTAGCTGCGTCTGAAATGACCTTGCGCATGTCAATATCTCTTGCAACTGGCGCACCCCCCAATCGATGACCACCAGCATTCTTGTTGGTTGTAGCTTTGCGCTTCTCAGCAGCTGATTTAGCCGCACGCCGCATCTCATCGACAGGTATGCGCCGACCACCAAGTTTCTGGCCCTGCGAGAGAAACCCTTCGCCTGTGTAGCCTTTCATGAGTAGCGATTGATGCTCGTCGCGGAGCTCATTCCAGAGATTGTTGAAATCGGCATTGTGGGGGCCAAAGACAATATGAGAGAGTTCATGTAGCAAAGTATCTGCGATCTGCTCCATAGACAGGAATTGCCTGGAATCATGGTGATATCTCAGCCGAATGAGAATTCTTTCTGTGCGATTGATGTTCAGACCTGTAGCACGTTTAGCCGCGGTTCTACATGTTTGCACAAGGCGTCTCACCTAGTAGTTGCGGCTCATCTGGTAGGAACTCAGCCAGCGTGCCAACCTTCCAGCCGCGCTTTCGCATCATAGGCTTAACCATGGATGCAGCCTTGCGGAGCATGTGGAGCGCCTCTCCATCTCTTGGTAGATGCTTCAGATGCTCGTACGCATCGAAATGGGCGTCGATCTCCCTCATGTTGTCTTCTTCCAGGTGACGGTATTGACGGAGTGATTAGACAAGTGTTGTTGTGGTGACTTTGCGCGCAAGGCTGGTGAGTTATGCGGCCCCTTCAGGTAAAGGTGCAGATTGAAAGGCGCAGCCGACGTGAAGAAGACATAGGCGCGGAAGATATGAGAAGCATGCGGAAGCAAAGTGAACGAGTTATTGAAGAGGGCAATACTGCAGAGCTCGGCCACGTAAGCTATCACGTAGATATTCACGTGTCGCTGGCGAGCGATAGTGGAGGCGAAAGGTGACTATGATGGAGTTCTTATGTTCAACAAAGGACTCTTGCAGCTCCATATATAGGTCGCAGCGCGGGATGGGAGCTTGGGGATCTGCTGCAGTCAGCAGCCTCCTGCTTCGCGATGGGGCGACAGTGGCGAGTGGCTTCAGGCAGCCCAACGCAGCGACGGTGTCGAGAAGGTGGCGTCGCAAAGCGGCTCACGTGCCTGCGCGAGCGAGCTTGACGTAAATAGCCAGTGGGGAGTGCCTCCAAAGCTCAGATCACTGCGATGATCGATAACAAACTTCAAGGCTGATTTTGCTTCTAACTTCACAGTGTGTTGCTATACCAGAATCTAATAATATGTCCTCCGACGATTCGTATATCCTGGATGTGGTGAGTGCTAGTGGTCTCTCCCCGCCGCAAACTACGCTGACACGGATATTGCGCACAGCTCGCGGACTACTCCAAAGATGTTCGAAGCCTCACAGGGTCGATATGGGATGCATCAGACCGACACTTTGCAAGCGTGGCCGGCTACGTCAAGCGACACGTCCCCGAGAAATGGCTACCTGAATATGCGCGGCCTCTTCCGCCACCTCCTCCTGCGACCGCCTCCGCCACTGTTACCTATATCGAGCGCCTGCAAGATTGGGTATCGAGAAATCGCGCGCTCACAGCGGCGATCGTTGCATTCTTTGGAACAGGGAGCTATATGCTATGGAGGCAGAACAGATCACACAGCCGCAAGAGGAGGGCGAGGCGCGCAAGCAACGGAGCCAGGCGGGAGGTCATCGTGATTGCTGGGCCACCAAACTCGCCCATCACACGGTCACTGTCGCTGGACCTCGAACGCCGCGGCTTCATAGTCTACATTGTGTGCTCGAGCATGGACGAGGAACAGCAGGTCTTGAGTGAGTCGCGAGCAGATGTCAAGCCGCTCCACCTCGATGTTGCAGATACCATGGGCACGCAGGAAGCTATGGATGGCTTCAACACCATGCTCACAAGGCCGCATGTCGCCTTTCAGGGCGCAAGTGCACACAACCTCAACCTGAGAGGCGTTGTGCTTGTACCAGACCTAATCTTCCCTTCAGGGCCGATAGAGACGATTCATCCAGAATTGTGGTCGGACGCACTGAACGCCAAAGTTCTGAACACAATAGCGGTGACGCAGGCCTTACTGCCGACCATCTGTCAGTTCAAGTCAAGGGTACTCATGCTTACACCGAGCATCGTTGCGTCATTGCGGCCGCCGTTCCACAGCGTCGAGACTACGATCGTGTCTGCGCTCGAGGGCTTCCTTGCAACATTGAGAGGGGAGCTCGGCACTTTGGGTATCGATGTCATACAGTTTTATCTCGGCACGTTTGATTACTCCAACGTGGGCCCAAAGCACCACCTCCAAACAAAGGCAGCACCAAACCCGCGCGCCTGGCCCGCAACAACTCGGGAGCTGTATGCTAACAATTTTGTAAACCATACACGGATAGGGCAAACCAGAGGGCTCTTCAGCCAGAAAAGCCACGGCACTTCCTTACGCGAACTGCACAACGCTGTCTTCGACGCAGTGACCCAGAAGCGTCCACGCAAGGTCTGGCGCGTTGGTCGAGGTAGTGTGACTTATGGGCTCATCGCCGACTGGGTCCCCTCAGGTTTGGTAGGCTGGATGATGGGCCTGAGGCGTGTGTCGCTCGACACGGCAGCCAAGCCGAAGTTGGAGGACAGTGTACAGTCGTGGGAGCGCGTCGAGGCTGTTGCGTGAGGCAGGATTCAATAGCTTTGCTCAAGCCGCTCAAGCAATTCAACTCTAATACCCCGATGCTGGCAATACAACGATACTTTGGACGACATGACTCGTTCTTGCTTCGAAGACTGTCGAACTCGGGAGGTGTTCGAGCAACTTCTGGAATGCTATTATAATACACCAGGGTAATCTCAAACTTTGGCCTTACTGAAGCATGATGCCGACAAGCGCTCGAAGCAGCGCATCCGTCTTGGCAGCGCTCCGAGTATCGACAGAATGCAGATCAGCGTCAAGAAGTCTGGAGCATGACGCGACTACCCACGACTAGTGATTGGTCACGTTACATTTGGGTGGTGAAGCTTATTTCGGGCGTCTGCAAGCGAAAAGGAAAGGTGTCAAAAGAATACGAAGTTTATTGAAAACAAGAAGCTAGCAATCAATTCATCAGAGAATCCAAACAGTCTGATGGCCGCGTACGCAAATAATAATAGAAACCTCCAGCTCCTAGGGCGCTGGCCAGAGTGAACAGTCGTTCGTGTGTTTGATGAGGTGCAGCTGTCGCAAACGCAACAATGGGGACCCGCTATGTCTCCACTCTCGCAGAGCGCCAAAATGAAGGTTGACGCGCAGTGGGCGCCACCAGACAACGGGTATCGTCCAAAATTGGCAGGCGCCGCTGTGCGTATTAAACTTGGTGAAACGCCATAGCGTGCGCTGGTGCCCGAAGGCGTCTGGCTGTCGCAGGTGAATGCTGAACAAGTCGACTGCAGAAGCAAACAGTGTGCCACAGCAGCTCTCGAACGAGTGATCGCTACGTCCTGCCCTTTGTCGTTATGCGCAATCTGGAGACGCTGATCCCGCGCCAATTGCCGCTATTCGTGGCACTGCATTAGCGGTCGCAGAGTGACGGCGCAACGGGCTTCGACGCAGGGCCTGGTCTTGTTGCTTCCCGATTCGTTCGTGCCTAGTGCGCAAGGAGGGCTCCCCAGACAAAGCTGGTTTGATGCACATGTGTTCGTCCTTGCCAAGCGATTTCAGGAGGTCAAAAGTTTGGCCCACGCGACAGACAAGTGACTCGCATCCTCAGGCAGACTGAGGCCTCGAGTGTCTCTCCTCGCCGTCACCCTCGTGCGTCGACTCCACGCTCCTTCGCTGCTGCCCCCACCAGAAACACACATTATTGCACCCCGGGCCCCTTCCATGTCGATTGATCGACGCTTTCTCAAGCCAACGACACCACCCCTCTGCACCGCCTCCGGCACGGCTCTCCCTGTTCCACCTCCAGGCAGCGCAGCGACCGCGTTAGCTCCGCCACCCTAAAACCCACCTGTGCTCGACTTCGGCCTCGACAGTCGCACGTTTCACTGCGCGCATGACGACCCAGCGTCATCGCCCGGTCAACTTAATGAGATATCCTTGCACCCACTGAACACATCACTGCCGTCTTCTTGCCCCCGCCATGGTGGATCGACTGGAGCGCCCCAATGCCCTCGGGCTGCGTTCCTACTCTCACGAGCCTCCCAGCGCCAATGCGAGCGTCGCCAGTCTCGCCAGCGCCAGCATGAGCAACCTCTCTCTCGCCGACCTCCCCAGCCCGCGCGCCGGCGACGCCCCGCCCGCACTTTCCCCTCTGGACGCCCTCGCGCTGCAAGGACGGCTGTTGGCCAAGCGCTTCGAGCAGGCCGACAAGAGCGGCCGCCGTCTCAGCAGACTGGCGCCGCTCACCATCCAGAATGAGTTCGGCAACCGCTCGGGCTTCTTCTCCTCGCTGTCGTCGACCGTCAACTCTCCAAGCGACGACCTTGGTCCTATCTCAGCGGGCGGCAAGGTCGCACCGCCTGCCGACACGTCTCCTCGCCAGCACGTGTCAGACAGGCACAAGTCGTTCTACCCGCAGATCAGCAACGAAGACTCCCAGTATGCGCAGTCGCTACCTGCACACAGCCCTCGTCCTCTAGCCCCAATCGGAGAGGCCAGTCCCGCCGGTTCGCCGCATGGCTACTTCGACATCCCGCGATCGCACTCGCCTGACTCGGTGGAGCCTCACATCGGTATCCGAGAGGCTACGCCTGTCAGCCCTACCGGCCCTACGCCGAACTCTCAATTCTTCTTGAGCCCACAGAAGAAGCCATCATCTGACTCGATGCCTCGATCCTTCCCTCGTTCCAACTTGCTTCCCCCAAGGAAAGCCAGCAATCACTCTCAACGCTCCCCGAGATTGTCACCAAGCATCAGGTCTGTTCAGGACAGCTCGGACGAGGTTGACGATATGCCACTGAGTGGCTCCTATGATTCTTTGCTTCGCAACAGAGCTTTGTCGCCCAGCTCTAGCCTGTCGCGCGCTCAATCTCCTTTCACACCAACTACAACCATGCCTCGCTCTCCTTCTGCCGCTTCAGAGCACTCCTTCAGTGGGCACCTCCCTCGCCCAGCCTTCAACTTCTCTAGGCCCATCAGCCGACAGAGTACCCGTCCTTCCATCGACTGTGTCAGGCCTTCCCTTGACATGCCGTTGGGACAGCCTTCTGATGAGGGCATCTTCATGAGACCCTCCTGTGACGGCAATCTTAAGCGTCAGGATTCTAACACCGATGGGCTTACTTATGCCAACGAGACAATCCACACCCCTGTTAGCATGGTCAGTGAGGACTTCCGTCGCTCAGGCGACTACTCGAATAACCCCGCGCCATCTTACATTCACTCCACGTTCGACCTCCCCCGGGGCAGGAAGCTTGATCGTCGATCCATCGGCATCGATGAGTTCTTCAAGAAGGAGATCACCTGGGATGGATCAAAGAGACAACAAAGGCCCCCTTCGCCAGAGTCACCACCCCATTCCTTCGACAAGGAGCGGTCACCACAGGCTCCGTCACTCACTTCGAGTAACAGCACCATCCGCGCTGCGACCGCCGGTACTGGTGCAGAGGTCACCGCTCAGCAGCATTGCGACATAGGTATCGAGCTGCACGAGAAGGGTGAACTTCTGAAGTCTACCTACCACCTTCGTTTGGCAGCCCGTGGAGGGCTTCCCGAAGCTATGCTCTGGTACGGTCTCGCGTGCCGCCACGGTTGGGGCATGCGCGAAAACAAAGCAGAGGCCCTGCAGTGGCTGCGCCGCGCTGTCGACTCTGGACACCTTGAGATCGCAGATGATGAACAAGGACAGTCAACTGACATCACCAAGAAGAAGCAACACCGTGCGCAATACGCCGCCGCCATTTACGAGCTTGGCAAGTGCTACATGAATGGCTGGGGCGCTGCACAGGACAAGACCCTTGCTCTTCGCTGCTACGAAATCGCGGGTAACTGGGGTGACCCTGATGCTTTGGTCGAAGCCGGCTACTGCTACGCGGAAGGCGTTGGCTGCAAGAAAGACATGAAGAAGGGGGCGAGGTTTTACCGCGCAGCTGAAGCTAAGGGAGTGAGCATGGTCGGTAACAGCTGGTCAGTAATACCATTCGTCTCACTCGTAAAGCAACATCACTGACGTCTCACAGGATCTACAAAGACAAATACAACGACGATACCACCAGCACCTCAGACTCTCGTTCTGTTCGTTCAGGACGATCGACAAAGAAGGACAACTCTGAGAAGAAGTCCCGCGACAAGAGCCGCACACGTACCATCTTCGGCCGTAAGAAGAGCCATACAGCATCTTCCACCTGAGCTTTGCTCACCTTTGTATATGAGACCCACGACTTGGCTTTTACATATCCTGCGACGGCGTCCTCGGATTCTCGGCTGCCTGATCGTTTTGCATATACCGCCAGGGACATGCACGGGTTCGCAGAACCTTTGTCGCCTGTCTTAACCCCTTGTTTTGCTTGCTTGTTTGTAAAACCTCTTTTCTTCCGTTTGTACCTGTTTATTTTGATACCTGCCCGGTGCATCGCACCCTTCGTTTCTTGGGCCCAAAATTTGTTTTCACTTCTGGACACATTGACACCATCTCCTTACACCTTTGGCTATACTTTACCACGTTTCCTTTGTCCAGAACCATTTGCCCATAGCCGCATGTTTCTACATCTGAGCGATGATGACGAGCTGGTTTTCCTTTCACCTGTAATCTAATTCCAGCATTTGATGTGTTGGCTGGAGCGCGTGGACCGCACAAGGCGTCCGCTGCTGCTTGTCCGTTGTAATTCTGCTGTATAGGCGGATTTGGAGGACGTTTCGATTCATTGGATCGCTGCGATGCTGGAACGCTCACGGCGCTTTTGTGTACAGAAGATGGCGAAAGCCAGTATTGAATGACACTCGAGTACCTCCACCCTTTGTTCAAGTCGACCAATCGCAGAATTTGGCTAATGTCCATGTCCAACACAAGGCGGGCTCAAGGTGGATTCTCACAAGAACGCGCGTGAGGGAATTGCTGCACCTCGCCACACTGGGCTTTTCTACGCATCAGCTGCATCTGCACCCTGATCGAGCGTCCGTCGGTCCGCCTCGTCGATTCCCGCCTCTCACATACAAGCTCCCCTCTTGAGTGGAGCATAATCATGTGTACAGCACGATGGAGCTCCTGGACATCAAGTTCATCGCCAGATTCATCAACGGCGGCACGCCGCCGGACTACAAGGCGCATGCGTCGCAACGCAGGATTGATAATGATGGGTTGCAGAAGACGTAAATTTACCTGGATTTGCCGACGTGGAGAGAGAGGGGGCAGTTGGGGAGGGAGCGGAGGGCATGAGTCTCGCGTTTACTGCGATTTTGAGCTTGTTATGCCTTGGTATGTGGACTGACGAAAGTAGGAAGAATCCGTCGTTTAGAGCAAAGGGGAAGGAAGAGAGAAGGATGGGTTTTGCTGGGAGGGCGGGGATGTTTGGGGGGATTGGTGGGTGAGGGAGGTGCGCACTGTTGCAATCTCGGACTATGGTGGCCTTTGACGATTGTTATATAACACTGACCCGGTACTCATACTTCTTCATTCAATACACTCATCTGCAACGACTTCCTCAAGAAATGACCTAGCACCAGCGTGTGCTCATGTATAGTTCTTTATTCAGTCGAAAATTGAAAATTGTTCGTCGAACTGCCACATGTTTAGCATGGTCAGTCGTTTGCTCTTACAAGCCTGATCGTACGGAGCTTGGAGACACATCAAATGAAACATCTCTAGACTTCTGGATGAACATAAGTCTTCCTTCGTTTCTTGACCATTCTGGTTCGTACCACCCATACAATCGCAACAATCAGCATTCGGGACCGTGGGATGAGAGCTGCAGACGAAAATGGAAAGAAGACTTCATGCTTTGTCTTGCACTCGGCTCTTGAGAGATTCCCATGATCGAACGCATAACCCTTTTCCGCACCGTCCATGTAAAGACTCGGCTGGGACCAAAGCTTACTCTGCATGTATAATTGCTTCGATCTTGGTCTCTCAGAAAACCGATCACGTTGACACTTGTCCGGATTCGCAGTCTCTGCTCTGTCCAAGGAGGGGCGCATGTTAAGCATGCCCTGTATTCCTGTCTGGTCTGGAGACTCGAGAAGAAAAGCCACGTCACCAAAATTATTGCAAACATGCTGAGTGTTTCCTTCTGGGTCTGTCCCTTCTGTTCGCCAAACATACCCAGCCTTGCAGTGGCTGTCAGGTCAGACTGAAATGCATTTCCTTCGGCTCATCAACGGACCTGCCACGTCTTCGGAAGGCTTAGGGGCCGCCAAGCTGCAGGCGTCAGACCACGTACATGTTGCGAGAGTTATTGGGAGAACACATGTGAGCAGCTCTCTCAAGAGCTGCAAACTGACGGCAAGGCTGGAAGGTAACGATGCGTTCATGCTGCGTTGGCTGAGCACTTCTCCGTTTCTAAGGACCTCCAGAGTCGTGCAGCGTTTAGAGACAGACTCATTTGTTGTGCCATACCAATGTCCGCAAAGAGTCCCAATGATCCGACTGCACGTAACTGCTTTTCGTTAGCAAAATCGTCCGAACATAGGATCAAGGACACCCACATGTAGCTCATGCTGCTCCTCAGACTGCCCTGCACAGTTTCCGGATGCCACCTGAACAAATACATGACCATCGCCCAACTCAAACTCGCAAAAGCAGGCCATCCATTCCGAATCATACTCCTCCTCAGCTCCCCATCACCGAACAGCTCCAAACCCCCTACACCGCCTGGTGTCCCGGCAACATGCCTCGGTTGTACCGCGAGCTTCGCCAGCGACAATACCACACGCGCAAAGACGTATATGACGATCTGCTGGGAGACCGAGTTGTGAATGGTGCGTCCGAAGACTGTGTAGCCGCCGAGGAGACCGGCGAGGAAGGCGTCGTAGTGACGCTCCTTCCCTAGGGGTGAGGTGTGCCGGAGGAAGAGCATGGCGCTTTTGTAGACGAGGGCAAAAAGGCCGAGGTTACGGGCGTGTTGCCGTGTGGCTTTGTAGACGAGCCAGCATTTTGATCGTATTCTGTGGTCGTCAGTTGCTGGGTCTGAGACAGCAAGTCGGTGGAGGGTGGGTGACATACGTTCCTGAGCGGAAGAGAAACATCATCCTGCGGCTTATTTAGCATTTACTACTTCAATGGGGGTTTGTAGAAGCGTACACAAGTGCGTGCGGGAAGCGCACTTTGGCGCCATAGACGATGCCATTCCGTACACCTTTTACCAGTGTAAGGATGTCATGGTACTTCGGGTCGAGGACGATCTTCTCCAGCGCTGACTACAGTATCTCAATATATGCCTCTTGCAATGTGCTGTGCGCCTCCATACCTCGAGCGCTTGTAATCTGTCCATGTCTCGTTCTCAGAGTCGAGCTCAGTTGTGCCTCGGTACGCGCAAATGACGCGCAGCTTCCTCAACAGCAGGTTACTCCTCGTGGGGAAGACGACGTCGGGATCAAAAGAAGCAGAGATTATAGGAGCGGTAGGAATGGTAGGAGCGTGAAGTGTGGTACATTGGTCTAGTCGCAAGCTGAAGCGAAACAGCCGGCTATCGACCTGGGTGCGGTCGACTGGCATTCGGCCTCGGCATAGCGTCACATTATCGGCGAAGAGATTCCCCACATTGGTCGCGGCCCCAGATCGCACTAACGGGCAGGGGTCGGTGGCATGTGAGACTGTACATAGTGCACGTTCACATGCTCGTGCTTGCAGTTTGATGAGGACAACAATATATGAGATATGCAATGGTGATCATGGTCGTCTATCTACTTTTCAACACCGAGCAAGACTTTACTTCATGAACTTGCTGGCCATGCTCAGCAGACCACCGAGACCTCCGCCAGAGCTACCGCCAGAGGCACCGCCTCCGCCCATTTCGCTCTTCATATAGAACTTGAGGGCCATCTGTGCAGCCTGAGCGACAGCATCCTGCTTAGTAGCACTGGGATCCTACAACGCGTCAGTTGATGAAGAATTAAAGCGGATCACAGCGTGCTTACTGTCTTGCCCTGGCTCTGCTGCTTGTCAAACAGCTGCGCGGCTTGGGACATGGCCAGGCCAATGAATTTGTTCTGGCCTCCTGAAGCCTGCTCGCTGCTGGCACCACTGAACATCTTCATGGCCTGCATGGCAGCAGCAGCGCCAACATTGTTCGAAGTGGCCTGGTGGTTGCCGTCCTGCTGATTGCCGTAGAACTTCTGGTGCTGCTGGACCGCATCATCTTCATCGATGCCCTCATTCTGGAGTTTCTGCTTGTTACCAGAGAGCTGGCCAAGGACAGCACCGAAGAGGCTCGAGTCTCCTGAAGAGCCGGCATCTTGCTGAGCGTGGTGAGCCGCCTCGCCAAACTCGTCTGAGCCGCCTCCGTAGCCACCACCGCCGCCGTATGAAGTGCCAGACGAGTGCTGGCCACCGTGGTTGCTAGAGCTGCCACCATAGCCTCCTGATGAGCTCTGGCTCTGGCCGTAGCCTCCGTTGCCTCCGCCGGAGCTACCTGAAGGCTTGTCGTTGTCGCCATAGCCTTGTCCTCCGCTAGGACGTCCGCCGTATGAATCGTCCTGGCCACCTCCACCGTAGCCACCTCCCTCGTGACGGCGCTCGTCTTGGCCGTAGCCACCATTGCCGCCACTGGGACGTTCACTGCCATGGCTACTACCTCCACTGTATCCGCCCTCCTGTTCATCGCGTCGATAGCCTCCGTTGCCACCGGAGGGGCGGTCGTTGCCATAGCCTCCGCCCTGACGGCCTTCTTGGCCGTATCCACCGTTGTCACCGCCACCGTATCCTCCTTCTTGACGACCGCCACCTTCCTGGCGGCCTCCATAGCTGCTCTCTTGACGTCTGTCGTCACGGCCACCGCCGTGGCCTTCCTGGCGGCCATCGTCATCGCGCCCGTAGCCTTCGTTGCGGCGCTCACTGCCTCCGCCGCCGTAGGAATCGTTGTAAGACATTGTGTGTGATGTGTATACTAAGGACTGGTCAGCAGAGAGTGAAGACTTGACCGTGGCGAGCTTCTGAGTGGAGGAGTGAGGCTTGCTGCGGATAACGAAGTATAGTCAAGGTACTCGCCGATCGATAGCCCTCATTGTGATGCAGCATTGCTTCTTAGACGTGTGGCAATAGTAACGGTACACTTACTGTGAGTTTTGAAGTTGGTGGACAAGATGAGAGTTCAAGGAATTTGTTGCTTGAGTTGTAGAAGCTACGAAAGCTTGTATCGGCCTTGAGGTGTCGACCCCACATTGAGCTTCGAATCAGCCGCTTTACGTCACCACACCCCATAACGATTGGTCTGAGGGTGATCAAACGTCACAGTGCCTTGTTAGAATCTTGAACATGCCTGGTCTCAAGTTACACATCAAAATCATTGCCGAATTCGGTGTTTGATCATACGATGTGAGGTTGAACTACACCATGGGATTGTATCCGGATGTTCTGCCTCGCACGAACATCGACGTGTTCGGACCGAATTGGCAAGACCCGGTGAATTTTCCTGCAGTATACACATGAATAACATTCACAAAAGTACAAAGGTTCAGTGTTGCAAGATATAAAGCTCTTATTCGTTTGAACACTCGATGCAGCCATGATGGACGCGTTCACTACATAAGCACATAATATCATTCCACATCGGCGTGTCTAAGCGTATTCCTTCTCGTCGTTGTGAGAGTGCATACCAACGGTGCGGTCATCGTGGACACTGCTCCTGCGGAGAGTAGGATCCTTGTCGTAATCCTGGTCAAGAGCATTCATCTCATCCTCAGTCTCATTGAGGTGGTGGAAGAGGATCCAGATCAAACTACCAGCGACGAAGGATGCAACGGCTAGACCGCAGAACATCCACATGATCGCAGGGTCGTACAGGAGAGGGTTGAGGGCCTCAGAGATGGCAGATCCGAAGGCATTGGTGAGCAGGAACATGGACTGGACAAAGGACTTCATGCTGGGCGGCGCCTTGGTGTAGGCATACTCGAGACCAGTGACGGAGGCGAAGATCTCGGAAATACCAATCAGCACGTAGGCACCGGTCTGAGTCGCAATGTGGATGTTGTTGCCCTGAGCAACACCGTTGATTTCACTGGCCGCGCAACCCGGGTGACCGTAGCAGGGACCGGCCTTATAGATATAATGCTGAATGACAGCAGCGTAGATCATGGCCGTAGAAGCGATCCAGAAACCGGCGGTAATACGGTTGATAGGAGGGAAGGCAATCTTGTGCTTGCGGAGGAAGGGGAAGAAATACCGATCCATGAGCGGCAGGACGACGATAATAGCAATGGGATCGAAGTTCTGCATCAGATCATTGGGGATGCCGTGACCGGCCATCTGACCGGCCTGGGTGACGAAGTTGTTGGAGAAATTGCCGTACACGACCCAGTAGATTGGGTAGAAACAGAAGACCTGGCAAGCAACAAGAGCACGCTTGACCTCATCGACGAAGTGGTCGTCCCAGGTACCGGCGGGTGTCTTTCCAAGAGCAACTTGATAAGATGGCTTTGCAGCGTCCATCTTGCGACCCTTGATCATCTGGCCGATGACGCGGAAAGCGTTGGTGATAACGGAGCCCTCTGGGGGGCGGACGATGTAAACCTTGCGACCAAGAACGAGAACGAGGGTACCAACGAAGAACATGCACAGACACAACAGGTACGCGGACCAGAAGTCAGTGTCACGCTCCATGTACGGTGTCGCGAGGCCGGAAAGGGAACCGATGTTGATGCACCAGTAGAAGACCATGTAGATGCGGGAGATGGTGATCGCGGGGTCGATGATGACGCGCTCTCCAGTCTTCTTGTCGGTGCCAATAACCATCTGACGACGCGTGTACTGATCGGCAATCAGAGGAGCGACGTTGGACTTGATACCACCAGTTCCGAGACCAATGACGATGACAGCGGCGACGAAACCGCCGAGACCAGCACCACCCTGAAGAGCAACAGGGATGGAGGTCAAGGTAAGGATAAGGAGACCGACAATGTAGACGCCACAGAAGATGACGATGGTGTTGTACTTTCCGAGGTACTGGTCAGCGACGATAGCACCAAGGATGGGCGTGACGTAGCACCAGAACTGGAAGAAGGTGGAGAGACCAGTAGCTCCCTGGTGTCCCATGCCAAGAGCACCACGGCCCTGGCTGCCATCGAGCGGGCGCTGGATGTAGTTCTGGAAGATACCGGAGGCACCGTAGAAGGTGAAACGCTCGCAAAGTTCGACGATGGCGACCAAGAAAGCGGCCTTCGGCAGAGGCTCGCCGACCTTGCGCAGAGTGCGAAGCTCTTCCTCGGTGGGCTTTACACCACCAAGGCCATCGTCAATGTCGATATTACGGACCGAGAGAGAGGAGCTGGCAGCCAAGGGCTTCTCGTTCTCGACGAAGTCCTTCTCCTGGACGACATTGTCGTTGTTAAGAGACAAGCCATTCAGGTGGGCTCTGAGGCGATGTCAGTGTGTAACCCGCAAAACACCAATTCGAACGTACGGTGTCTCCTGTGCGTGGGCCATGCTGGGCAGGTACACAGGCTGAGGTACAACCACAGATCAGATCGATCAGTGGATGAACAGAATGAAGTTCGAAGAGACCGGACACCTGGGCTCCAGAGAGCGGCTGCTCTCCTCAATTTATCTCAGCTGCCCTCTGGCATCAAGAACCTAGCAGCCAGCAGCCAACCACGCCGTAGAAGTTCGCTTCAGACTGAGGCCAAGGTCCTAAACCGGACAAGCAACGATGTAACGTCTTGATAGTGTCGGCACTAACGCAATGCACGCATATATCCGGGTGGGGAAAATCGAAGCCTTTGCGGAAGGCTTAAACGCGCTACGATCCGTACCACGCCAGCTCGATTTGTCACGCCTGTGACGACCTGCCTGAAGCAGGCTGCACACCTGCCGATCTTACGTTCATGATATCGTTGGTCTGGTGTTGATTCCGGGGTGTTGGATCGATAGTGAAACCAAAAATGAGTGGCTTAATGACCTGCGCGAAACCCCAGAATTCGTGTCGGCGTATGCGCGCGTGTAGTTGATGCCAGTCTATCATCATGACCAGGCAAGCGAGTAGGCAAATCGACGTCGCAACGACAGATATAACTGCCCGGATACCCTACGCCATCAACATTATTGTTGCCTTCAAAATTCGTGTCGAACCTCTGGCTCTGTAGGAATCCAGAGCATCGTGCCATGAAGAGATTTCCTCTGCCGAATCCACATCGAGGGATCTGTCAGTACCAACAAATCTCCCAGCCCGAGAGTTTCCATGCTGAAGAGGACTCGAATCTCGGACATGCCCGAAGCCAGTTCCCATGTCATCACGGACCTACACACAGTCGTCAGCGAGAATCCACCGGCCTTTGAGCATTCTCCGTTGCCACGTGCTTTGTAATATCACCCTACGAAGTACATTCGCCTTTACACTTTGCACCCTGCCTCTGCTCAGGTTTGACTACCAGACAAGATTCCGTATGCTCTGTAGACTACGTAGCGATGTCGGCGCATAGTATGTCCATTTTACGTGATAAAATCCGGAGACATCCAGGCGCAAAGTCGATATCAAAGTGCACAAACCTCTACAAAATTTTATCGTGCCCGAGTCATGTCCACGACTGATTCGTGTTCAGGTACGTCGCTTCGTCGCCCCTCTCAGCCGTTGTTCGCACTCGGCTGCAATACCTACTGAATACTCGAGTCGGCAGCCCACGGCTAAAAGACGTGTGGTAATGCCAAGCTCCTTCCCGTTCGCGGAAGGCGTACTCAAGCTTTCTGGGCCCACATCATATTGTGGGCTTTAGCAGGTGGTTAGCGCATCGCCTATCCCCGGTCTATTCCCGGCACGCCCCCAGCCTTCTAGATTGGCCCGAGATTCAGTTGCGTGAGCGAACACTCAAAGATTGCGACTCGATCTCACACCCACTATTGGTAAGTAGAGTCTGATGCGTCAGAGACACCCTGCATATCGAGAGTAGAGGGTCATGGGGCTTCTGGAAGTAGAGACGGCCACTCAGTGAGAGACGATATGCATCAGTCTACGGCGTGACCGTCAGCATAATATTCTGACCTGCATCTCGAAGGCTTGTAGGCCAATCAGAAAGTATTGACCGATAACAAGCCTTCGCTTGCGCCGCCATGCCGTGTCGGCGCATAAGCTTAATGTATGTGGCGGGTGGCAGGTGGTCACTGGTGATTGTCTATGGAGGTTTGAGATTGCCAACTGATTTGAACTGTGGGGAGCAGAGATAAGGATACGAGGAGGAAGTGGCTCACAAGGCGTCTAATCCAGCATGATCCTGCGAGCTTCGCGGTGACGCAGCAGAGTGTGCAGGTATAACGAGCTCGATCTGTTGGCCGACGATGCTCTCTGGTGGTCACTGCGGCAGGTAAGCCACTCTGCACCGGCGTCTCCAATCAAAGCACACATGAGCAGCGCAATAATTACATGAAATAATATTACGCTTCGTATGGCCATTCCATCTACACTTTTCATATCCCACAGCCTCTTGCATCCCAAACAGAAAGAGTGCAAAACTCCGCCCCACGCAGAGCCCGTGTCGCCATATCCTCCTCTAGACTCAGTGTGCCACACAAAGGTTGCAATGTCTACATAACGATAGGAAAACACGATGAAACGTGTGTGGGTAATCTTTTGTGAGCCGAAAAGCAAGTATCGTACACATATCGACGAGTGTTCAGAGAGAAAAGAAATGATCAGGCTGATGAGCCGTTACTACCCTTGCAGCCTTTCTGTCCAGGCTCACAGCACTGCTTCGCGTTACCGCAGCTGTCTGGGCACTCAAGCAGGCAAGTCTCTGGCTCACCCTTGACACTGGGTGCCTTAGGCTGTGTGGCTTCGTCATCTGAGCCAGCGGCCGAGTGGTCATGTGTTTCGTCAAGACAGAACTCGGGCTGGATGGTAGATGAGTGGATGCCATATTCATGCAGGCATTCACGAATCTGGCGGGCAAGTGTCATGTAACGTGCTGAACCCTCGCCCTTGAAGTCGAAATCGACCTGTACGTGGAGGGAGGCAATCAGCTTGGTGTCAGAAAGCTGCCAGACGTGAAGGTGGTGGCATGAGATTATGCCGTCCAGATCGGTGATGTCTTCCTTTATCTCGTCGATGGAGAGGTTCTCGGGGACCGCCTGTAACAGAATGCGGGACGCAGCCTTGCAAAGTGGGATCGCGGAAAGTAGGATAATGACGGTAATGATGAGAGAAACAAAGGGATCGGCGTAAAACCTCCAGGAGAAGTCTGTGAGCCAGATGAACAAAGCTGTCGCCATGACACCAACGTTACCCAGCGCGTCACCCAAGACATGCAGGAAAACACCACGCATGTTCAGATCGTGAGAGTGTCCGCCGCCAGCCTTCTGATCCTTCGGCTTGGCGTGGTTGTGACTCCTGTGGTGATCCTTCTTGGGTGTGTGCGAGTGCGAGTGACCGTTGGTCTTGCCCAAAAGCGCAGTCTGCTCAGTAGGCTGGTCATCGCCGCTCTCGCTCACATCAGCATCATCGATCTCACCATGGCGAGAAGACTCAATGATGCTGTTTCGGAAAGACGAAGGGTGTACGTAGATCTCATCAAGTGTGGAGTATCCCTGGGATCCGGATCGTGCATGGCGGTGGCCGCGCTTGCCAGATGCCGACTTGCGGCGGGCCCGTGGGGTTTGCGCGGAGCTGCTCTCTTCGTGTCCATGTTCATGGTCGTGTGCATGGTCGTGCGCCTCGATGCCGTGCGAGTGTCCTTCCTCGGCGTGCGAATGCTCGTCGCCGTGTGCGTGCGAGTGTCCTCCCGGTCCGTGGCTGTGGCCTACGTCGTGGAAGAGAACGAGACCGACAATGTTTGAAGCAAGACCGAGAGAGCCGACGAGGAGGACGAGCTTGGGTTGGGAAACTTCCTGAGGTTCGACAAATCGCTGAATGGCTTCGAGGAAGATGGATAGACACAATGCGACAAGAAAGACGCCGTTTACGAGAGCACCAAGCGTCTCTGCGCGTTGCCACTATAACTTGTTAACACTTTCCTAGTCCAGCGGAGACGGTATGCTTACTCCGTATGTGTACCTCTTCGAATTAGTTTTTTCGTTTGCGACCTTCACTGCCCAGAGTCCAACGAGAAGCGAAATGACATCGTTTAGCTGCACCAGGGTTAATTACAGCCCTTCGAGTACGAAGCTGAGTTGTCTCACCATGTGGAAGGAGTCGGCAACCAGGGCCAGCGAATGTACTGCATATCCAACCACCAGCTCGAGCAGGAAGAAGACCGAGTCGATACCCAGCAGGATCATAATGCGCGTCGATTTAGAGAGCCCCATGTTTGCGATAGCGGAGCGCGCGCGTGCGACGATGGATGTGCGAAGGGTGTGAAGGGCCGGCGCAGCCAGAGGTCCTTATGGAGGACTCGGCAGTGTCGAGTTAAGGCTTCTCTGAGACGTGGGCGAAGTGTGGCGGTGGGACGTTGAACAGTTTCACGGCCACGAGTCGCGATGCACAGATGGAGGAGCGTTGGCTGAGCGATCATCTAAATCCGCGCACAGAGCACGCCACCTTCCTTTGCCCATGCCCGTTTGCGTTAAGGCTCGCCCCTTCTCCCATTCGCAAACAACCCAAGCTTTATCCATCCTCACGCACGTCAGCATCTGGAATGCACAATGGTCCAGCCGGGACAAATCGTTTGGTATTCCTCCCAATTTCTTCCAGTTTGACAATTGATTGTTGCCATCCTCCCCGAATCTGCCAAAGCGCTCGTGTGCACGGCTTGGTCATCCGCGGCGAGAGAAACGTCCCAGCCCGCCGTATTAAAATTCGCATCCCGCGTTCTAGCAGAAAGGAGTGGGTCGTGCGAGGGTCGTGCGAGGGGCTTTTTCGATCTATCAATCCAAGCACCGGGAGCCGCATCCGTACGCGTCCGCCAACTTGTCCACATGTTGCGCTCTGCCTCTCGTGCCTTTACCGTGCCACCATTGCCAAACGTACATACGTTCAACGTCGTACAAATTATGTTCTGCGGTAGAAGAGCTTGCTGCGACATGTCGAATGTCTCTTTAGAAGGCACGACTCTGTTTTGGCGGTGCTTTCCCGGAGGTCTGACATACGGACTGAGCATGAACCCACCACTTGGAAAAAATGAACGTTGAAGCCAACCCGGGAAGCATTCAGCACGCTACTACGCTTCAGCCTCCCAAAGCGTGACGACTTCCGAATAACTGTATGAGGCCCCTGAACTCCAGCCGTGTGTCCAAGCCAGCTAGACTTATGGTGTCAGATGCAGTAAGAGCACGATCTGAACCGAGGATCTCTAGGTTTCAAACTCAAAACATGCGCTGACGTCGCCGATCAAGAACGTCATATTCTTTGAGCAACGAGTTTAGAGCACAAGTCAAACTTGAAGCTTTAAACACAATTCAGCTTCTAGGAGTCGACATACGGAATGCAGCCTTCTGCCCTTCTTAGTGATGCCGCTCGATATTGGCTGTCCTATTGCCGTTCCTCTTTGGGGAGAGAACATCGTTGCTGAAGTGGCAGGTGTGAGTGTGGTTCCGTACCTCCCCAAAAAGGCCCAGCTGTTGCGACTCCTTCTAGTTCCTCTGGGTGCTGTCTCACATCAATAAAGGTCGAACGCGAAATAGTCTTAACCGATGTGGTTCCAAAATCATCTGCGACGCTTACAGAGGAGGCGTTCGCATTCAGGTGTCCTGCCTTGATCGACTCTTTCTCGTTTTGAGTGGCTTCATTGTGCTTCTATTCGCACTGTTGTCCTTGCTTGTGTACCTCGCTCTGTCTTCACCTGACTACTTTTGGTCCGGCCAAGTCATCAATCCTCAAGAAAACAGTATCGCACGCGGCACGCGTTTGACTGTGATCTTCTACCCTTGTTCCTGAGCCATATCCATCACATCGCCCTCGATGTTTAAGATATCTTCATTGTGTAGAGTTTTTGCATGCAATACCACTTCGAAAGCGTCATGGCCGAAGTCCCCATTTTTTGTCAGTCAAAATCTCTTCATACCCTTCTATATCTACCGTTAAGACTTAAGGAGTATTCGCATGGATGCAGACGCCAACACAAAACTCGATACAATTTTGGAGCTATGTATCATGTCTTAGCCTCCAGAGCCTCGCACCTTTGCTCAAATTTCCGCCCAAGAACAGGCGTATCCACAAACGTGCTCAAAGGTCAATAGCCTGCCTTGCTCTTGCGCAAACTTCTATGCAGCCTCCTCGAGACTCTCGCTCCTTCTGTCCCAGTGTAGTTTGTGCTTGAGTATCACTTCTTTGATGCTGTTATTGGGCAAATCCCGAATCTCTTCGAGCTTGTGGCCCAGGCCTGCGGCATGGTATGTTTGCATCTGTATCTTTTGAATGGCCCGCTGATTCTCTGCACTTTAATCCTTGTACCACCATGCGAAGTTTCCGCTGTTATAGATAAATGTAGCAGTGGAATATGGCAACATTTTGGTTTCCGCATCGGCATCACGGCAAGTGCCACGAAGTCCAGTCCAAGGTAAAGGACCTGAATAGTCGTGGAAGGGATCAGAAATCCTCACCAGAGGAAAATCTTTGCGGGAATACGGGACGGTGACGTAATGGTCTCGAAAGACATGGTTGTAGATGCGATTTCGGATTTCTCCTGGCAGACGCCAGACCACTGGCGGTTGTCTTCGGCACTGGCTGAGTTCAGTTGACGCTCAAACGTACGGCAGACCCTACTTACATAGTGTTTGTACTGATGGATCTGGTCTGAGTAGTGGTGTCATTGGTACTGTTCGCCACAGTGGGCTGAGATGTGGAGCGGTTGGAAAGCTGTTGAGAGGAATGGAGCAAATTATTGTGAGACAGCGAGGTAAAAGATGTCTAGGACTTTGTAGAGTTCGTAAGTGAAGCTACAAGACAGAGCAAGAAGTGAAAGTAAGGTCTGATCTTGCTCTACTTTTGTCTCCAATCACAAAGGTTACGGCCATTACCTTGAGCATCCATAAGCTCGCTATAACCCTTGCAGAGTCAGCATACCGCGTCCCCCATTTATTCCGTACTTCCAGCTAAAAATCTGTTCATCGTGATCCTAGATGTCGACCGTTCTGAAGACCACCTGCCAGTTTCTTTCCAGGGCGTATTCCAGCACTACATCTCCTTATTCCTGTGTGAATGGTAGCCGAGACTCTTTTGCCTCGACTCGTATTCGAATCTTCTTGACGCTCGGAAAAGACTTGTGAATGTCGACCAGATCTTCGCGCAGTCTCAGCGACGAGTATTCTGCATCAATAGAAGGTTGGGCACACATTTCGACGTTCCAAACCGCATGACAGATGCTACGACCAACTGTCTCGATCCATGAATTGCGATGTCCACCCTGGTCAGGGCGGCTGAAGAACCAGACGTGACTGTAGACCCAGGGTAACAATTTCGGCTCGGTATATACATCGAAGCACACGCGGGTGAAGTGCAACTGTTGAGTCCAATTCTCCGGCGATAGCTTTGCGCATTGATAAAGAGGTGCAGAATGGACGCAGACTTCGTTCGGAAGTATACGTAGCAGGTTGCCGCTGAAAACATGTTTGTATGTACGATTGCGAATCTCTCCCGACAGGCGAAGCAGAGACGAGTGCTTGAGATTTCGTTCTGAGCTGTATGAAATAAATCACTGTACTTGGAGGGCCATACATTGCGTCATACTTATCCCGAGCAGCTTCCCTGCGCATTCTAGATGTGGCTGGCTTTTTTGGTGGAAACTTGGTCGCATGATGCATCGACTGCTTTGCGCTTGGATGTCGGCATGCTGATGTGTCTTCGAGCAAAGTAAAGCTGAGTTGTGAAGGTGTTGGAATCAAGGTATTGAGTGAAGTATTGGAATCAGGCAGCTGCGCACAGACTGTACCGGTAGCCTAACCACAACTCAGTATCAAATGTCAAAGTGAAGACAAGCCATACCATAAATATACCAGAGACGCAGTTTCTCTACTGAATGATAAGAATGCCAGCGCGCTTTTGTCTCTTTCATGTACTATGGCGGCGTGTACCTTTTCCAATCCTGCTCTTCGTGAAGTACTAACTGTGCCTTGCCTAGAATGGATGAATAGGACTACAAGCACCCCCCAATATGCAACTTGTTAGTTGAGTCGTCTAATGTTGCACAGCCTCAAGGAGTAGCTTGAGTATCTCATCCGGCTTACTCCACATTGGAATATGCCCCGCATCAATCTTCTTCACATCCACCTTGTTCCTACTGACTTCCTCGATCGTGTTAATGAATCTCTGCTGGATCTCCCAGAAAATCACCACGTCCTTCTCGCAGAGGATGTAAGTCATTGGGATCTCCTTGTAACTGCACTACGTGACTTCACTCTGGAAAGAGATAGTAGAGTGATGAGACAGCTGAATGGCATTCTCATAAGCCTGCGCATACGGCAGATCATTGCAAACGATGGGCGCCATGACGACAGCGTCCATGTGCATGTATCCGCCCTGGTACTGTCAACATATCTTCCATGCATTTCGGGGAAAGGGGCAACTCACCATCTCCTCCGGCAAAACCCCTCCTCCAACCTCATCGCACTAATCTGTGTTTCACCCACCTTTGGCGCAATCGTACTCAAAAATACCAACCTCCTGACTCCACCCTTCTTCTCCCCTTTCACACCCAGACCCGCAAGCGCTTCAGTAGCGACGGTTCCTCCATAGCTATGCACCAAGGCCACAACTTCTGTTCCATCTCCTTCGGCGATCAGGCGTTCAACGACACCGCGTACGTGGACGGCATCATCTTGCAGCGTGGCTGGCGGGAGGGGGTGACGCTACTGCGTGGAGGGCAGTTTGATGGCGAGAGCGGTGAATCCTTCACCACGGATCTGGGCAAGAAAGGGACTATACACGCCGTATTCTGAGAAGGAGCCAGAAACGATGACAATTGTTGGCTCGGTGGAGGACATGTTGGCGGGTTATGAAAAAATACTGGAGGTAATCAGTACTCGACACAGGATCTCGCGTCTTTTTACCGTTGTTGTTCTCGCTTACGTTGACGTTGACGCTGACGCTCGGCTTCTGCACGTTGAGGCAGATGTGCAAAACAGTTCGGCGACTTCCTGCCTCATTCGCTTGGCGGCAAGTGCGGAGTGGGATTGATACCTGACGGCTGACGTTCAGTCTCGGAAGGATCCTGACATCCACAATCTCGCTCGTTCGTAACTTAGGGCGCCAAAGGGCTGAAGGTACTAGTTACCATTTCGACTATGACTACACTACCAGACTCCTCACTATCTGTACCCCGCCAAATCCACTGCCGCGGTCTGTATGTACACCGCCTCGACTCAAGGTACGCATCAAGCGCACTGAAGTCGCGCAACGCTCAGATTTGCTTGCTCTTTCATGCTCACTAGGAGTATACATTACGATGGCGCAAAGTCTAAGTCGCTTAGAAATCCACCTAGACAATTACGCTCATTGAATACGGACACACACGAAAGAGAGATGAAAAGTAGGAAATGCTTTGGGCTGCTGTGAGCGCGCCAGTGGTATCAAACACACAAAGAGATATAATGCCTCAAAAGGCCGTAAAAGAAACGGAAAACTAACCCTATTATACTCGCTGATAGAGCCGACAGCGATCCCGTACATCCTGATTCCTCTTATAGTCCGATCCCGATTGCGGTGGCTGGGAAAGACATGGTTGCCATGCTAGATGTGTCCAGCGACGACGTTTACTTCTGCTTCGTCCGCCTGAGGCATCCCATGGTTTCGAATGTGGAGGTATTCAATGCTCTTATGCTTCGCTCTCTCTCTGGCTGTAGATCGTACTCTTTTCTTCGCATTATCCCTCAAATTGTGGGTGCCCGTGGACCGGAAAGGGTACCGAACAATTGCTCAGGCGGTAGCCTTCCTACGTTGCCTAGCCGATCAGGGTAAGATTGTGGGGCCGGGGAGTAGCCTTGTGCCTTCTTGCGATACCATTCGATAGCGATGCCGATCACGACGAGGAGGAAAGTGAGTGCCAATGCGATAGCGAGAGCGATGAGAACGATGAAGCCAAGAGCGAGATGCTTCTCTGTTGTAGCGTTAGCAAAGTGTGACTCGGTCATTTGTGACGGAGATGAAACTTACTGGACTCTCTGAAGAACATGTTCGGGTTCTCGACAAAGATTGACGAGAGGCTTCCAGGGGTGTTGTCGGCTGTTGTTGCAAGGAGGAAGGGGGTCAAGGTGGTGCCGTTGAAGAAGGCGCCGGAAGCAGTACCAAAGTTGGTGATGTTGATCTGACCCATAAGTAACAGGTCCTGGTCGCGGGAGATGAGGGCTGCAGCATCATGATCCTCAGTTAGACTGAGAACTTGGATGCCACGAATATCTGTGCCGGCACCGAACAATGCGGGGTCAACGGCAGTCCACTTTTTGGAATCGAAGCGTTGAAGGTATGCAGTACCATCCGTGCTGTTGCCGGTAGCCCAGAGCTCGTCACCCTCCTTGGTGGCAACGGTAACCGCAGTGACGGGCCCTGGTAGGGCATTGGCACCCGCGATTTCTGTGAACTGGTTCTTCGACTGGTCAAACGAAAGGATCGTGGTGCTGTTGTCGCCGAATGTCAAGTTACCGGCAACGAGCAGTGTGGTGTCTGAGGTCCAGACCAAAGCGTTGACTACACCCGCAACGTTGTTGTTTGGCCGATTCCACTGGCTGGTTTGGCTGTTCCACATACAAAGACCAGGGCAGGTGAATTCTCCTCCAGACTGGAAGCGTCCTCCGACATAGATCTCGCCGGACTTTGGCCGAGGTGCAATAGCGTTGACGATGACATTGTTGCCTTGAAGCGCTGGTGGCTGAACATTTGGGAAGCTGTTCGATGCGAGGTCGTAAGCAATAATCCCGACAACAGACTTGTCGTTCACTGTCCCAGTAACCACACCTCCGGCGTAGAGCGTGTCGTTGTTCACAGCGACGGCGGCGAATGTAGAGTTGGCGTCGACCTGTTCGACGAACCCAGTGATTTTGTCGGAGTCGTTGCCATCGATGATCAGGACATTCGTGACGTTCTGTCCATCAGTGCCATCGGCAGCGAAGTGTCCAGCCAAGATAGTCTTGTTGTTGCCATTCTCCTTGTAGAAGAAACCAGTACGAACTCCGGTAGTGTGAAGGTCATCGCTGTCCATGATGGCTCGCTTGCGAAGTGTGGTCGGTGGCTGCTGGTTGGTGATATCGATGGGGAAGGTGCGGAGAGACAGCGCGGCATTGTCGCTGCTCAGCTCAGCAGCACCATTCGCACCAAGGAACCCTGATGTGATGGAGCCACCGAACCAACGGTTACCGTCTGCATCAGCGTACGCCATCAGCCTACCTGAAGCCGAAAACGTAGTTGTATTAAGGTTGTGCAGCCAGTTCTTCTGGGATGGGACCCAGACTGCGAGACCATCCACAACCGTTGCAGGGTTGTTGTCGAAGGCATTGACAGTCCCGAAGAAACCGCTGACTGCAAGGACTTGCTCCGAGGAACCGGCGGTAAGGTTGAGGTCGAACGGAACGAGGAATAGTACAACACCCTCGACACCAGCGCCGAGCGGTGTCCACTGGTTGTTGGCATAGGCGGCCACGCCATTGAGTCCTTGCGACTTGCCGTCATCAGTGTTGGTGAAGTTACCACCAACATAAAGCGTGCTGTCATTGTGGAACATGGTCATGACTTGATCGTTGAGTCCGTTGCCTGCCAGTGCTGTAGGGCCTTGGGCGTTGTTGGCAACACGGAAGATGTTGTTGCGGCCATCATCTGTGGAGAAACTGCCAGCAACGTAGAGGTTGTCATTGCCAGTGGTGACGCTCACGACAACGGCCTTCTCGCGTGGTGTCAGGCTAGCTCCAGCCTGGTTGATGACGGAATCGGAGAGCTCGATGTCAGCGAGTGCTTGGCCAGCAGTGTACTCAAACAGTCCGTTGAGATTACCAGATGTAGCCCTCAACAAGGTGAAGCGAACCCTTTGTGCAACGATTGTCACTGCAGAAGGTCCCTGTCCAGACGCAGGCCTCAAAGTGACTGAAGGCCTGAACCCGTCCCGGATGTTGATGGGTCCATTGTAGATCTCGTCGTATTTGTCATAGTTATTCGTCTGCCAAAGGACTGAACCTGCATCCTGTCCGCCTTGGGACATTTGCGTCGTGACATTGACACGACCACGACTTCCGCAGGTGCCGTCTCCTATGCACCCAGGCGTGTAGATGGTCACAGAATAGTTGCCTGACTGCTTGAGATCCGGGCTGAAAGTGACGGTTGCTGCGTCAGTGGAGATATCTGGCCCTTGCAAGACGGTGGTGAGGTACTGCGAGAAGCTATCGTGCGAGGGTGTCACCTGCCATGAGCCAGTGGATGTGGACTCGGATAAGGAGGAGGTCGCTGTGCTACAGTTTGCTGGCTCATTGAAGTCGTTGATAGCGTAGGAGTACATTTCATCCTGAAAGAGCTGAACGCCATTCAGACCAGCTCCGTTGCCGTACCAGTCCGAGATGTCGATCTTGAACGCATCCATTCCAATGCTGTTGACGAAAGTGAAGTCTTGTGCCGTGGTATTGCCCTCCGGGAGGGGGCATCTGGCATCGCAGTATGCTGGTCGGCCAGTCGAGAGGTCGGTGTACGTCAGGTTCATGATGCCGCCGTCTGGAAGCGCGGTGAAACGGAACGTCTTGGTGCCACGGCCCTCGTAATTGGTGTTGAAGAGACGCAGCTTTGTAGGGCGGAAGCCAAACCCGAACTCAGCCTTCCAAAAGCCAGATGCGCGGTCGGAAAGAAGCCAGGTCGAACCTGAGCCCTGAGTCGAGAAGTCGCTCTTGCAGATGATGTCTGCCGGTTCGGTGAATCCGGGTAGTCCGGAGCTCGTCTGGGCTGAGATTTGCGCATTGGCGATAGGAATGATTTGAGTGTTGTTCTCCGTCACTACTGTCGCATTGCCGCCCAGACCGTTAAATTCTCCTCCAAAGATAATATTGTTATTCGATGCTTTCGTGATCGAGTTCACAACCCCGCTGAAGCCCTGGAACGAAAGATCCTGCCAGCCATCTTTCCAAATGATTGCATTTGTCGAGTTGCCCCCATTGAACTGACCACCGAGATAGACCTGATTGCCGTCGCAGTAAAGGGTGTTGACAGCTCCACCCAGGCCTTCTATCGCTGTCACGTTGCCGGTGTTGGGGTCGAGCAGCGCAACACCACCGGGGGTGGCAAGGTCTCCAACACTAGTGAAGTTTCCTGCAAACATTATGCGGTCCTGGCCATTCGATTGGTATGTGCACATGGCCTTGATGTCGGCATCTGTCTCATTAATGGGGGCAAAGATGCCATTAGGGTACCGTGAGAGGAGGGCTCCGGTGCGCCCAGTGTTTGCCTGGTTCTGGCCCTCATACTGGTATATTGATATCGAGTCGAAGTCGCCGGCGAATGCCACTCGGCCGAGCTGCTCGAGATTGAGTTTGGGTGATGGAACGGGTGTGAAGCTCAGTGCGTGGGCGGACGATGTGAAGAGCAGCGAAAGGGCAAGCTTGCCGGCGCGCGAGGCCAGCAAGGAAGCGAACGAGTCCCTCATCGCGACGCAGCAGCGCTGTGCGGAAAGAATAAAGTGTTGTATGCGTCGACGTCGCGGTGCCCGTGGGCTTGGTGGTGCTGGCGTGTTCACAAGCTCAGGGCGCAGACATTATCAAGGGGATCGGCGTTCGTGTTTGCTGACAGTCGCGCTCGTGAGCGATGCGGAATTCGCGATGGCGTGGTTCGACTCGGATTCAGGAGCGGCCGGGGTGGGTGACGCGGGAAGGTGCTAGGCTTGGCAGGTGTACGAAGTATAGTGGGATGGCGGGCGTATTAGGTGCAGTTTGCTGCTGCGGGCGGTGGGCGTCGTGGAAACGATTGACTACGGTGAGATGGGCGCTGGGGGGGAGAGGCAGCCTGCACGGCGGCGTGAGGAACTGACAGAGCAGCGCCCGTGTGCTTCGTACAGACGTGGGTCGCGACTCGCGAGGAGAAAGGAGGCTAGCTGGTCGTTAGGCGTTGTTGGCGAGACTACCTATTGGCACGAGGAAATGAGCTTGGGGCACTGACTACTTTAGTTTCGGCGATAGCGCGCTGCCTGGCAACGGTGAATGACGATTGATTGGCCTATCAATGGCGTTCGCAGGGACCTCTGTGGTGCAGCAATTCGATAGCTTCAGGGACGATCGTGGTTCACGGTGAACAGCAGCTGCGGTGCTGAAGGTACTTGCAACTCTGGACAGCCGACAATGCCGGACAATGGCGCGCTCAAAGGCTGGAGGTGCACAATCCCGCCCCTTGTTCGCCGGGCTCTCCTCCAGCCCAGAGGCCAGACGTTCCCGGCGCCCTGCGTCCACAGTTCACGTTGCATTTCCCACCCGCCGTCGTGGCTGGCGTAGCACCAAGGCGAGGAACCTTCGCCGCCGCTGTGCGACCTTTCCAAGACGCCGCAGATGCATCTTGTCGTCAAAGGCTCACGCACCCCTCAATGCTTTCTCCTCGCCTTGCTGATCAGGGTCTTCCTCGCTGCAAATGTGGACTTCTCGAGTGCACACGCTGCCAGCACGCGTTGACATCGTGGCAGTGAAAATCTGTCTCCACAGCAGGCCCGCACCTCTCCGTCGGCGCAGAATGTCAATGTCAACTTTCGCCCGCTGCCAATCTTGGGTACGCTCCTGGGCCCTGGCAGATGCGAGACCCTCACCGTCTGGTCCCGCGAGCCTGAGGCACTCTGGAACAGGATCCTGGAATGACATGAAAACCTGTGATCAGCTCACGGCAACGCGGATCCTCGGAGTTTCTCCAGCGTGGTAACTTTCAACACAATGCACCTCAGCGAACCGCCTGTCTTCCGGCGACGGTAACGCCAAAGTCAATCTGTTGAATCCCGTCCCGTCCTGACGAGAGGATGATGCAAGGATGGGCCAAGCAACCCGTCACCACGCGCTTCCGACCCCTGCCTGAAAAGCCAACGGTTCGTTTCACGATGCACCCTGGTCGTTTTCGCACGCATCGATCGACCAAACGAGGCCGTCTACGCAAACAGCTTCGTCGGCCAGTCATTGATGAGCAGGCTACTGTTTATCGAACGCCTCCATCGATATTCTAGCTCACCGGCTTCTGTAACTTGGAGAGAGCGGTGTCAGTATTCATTCTGCTGCTTTTGAGACATGTCTTGGAACTATGCAGGTGAGCGATCGATATTCTCCATATGCATCAGTCACCGGTTGGAATGCTGCAGTTCCCGAAGGTATCAACACAAACACGTACAATTCACCATTTCTTTGTCCAGCAAACAACACTTGGTTTCCCGACGATAAACGAGGTTCTAGTTCGCGGCAAACTATACGGCAATCAAACGTCCAGCACCGTCCGTGCAACACCAACCCCACGATGGGGACTGTGCTTGGCTGCCGGAGAGGCTGCTTGTGCAACCATGAGGCTGGAGTGACACAAGACATTGTTGATCTCGGAATACCTCCTCGAGACACCGAGGCCTGGAATTCGGAGCCGTTCACCGCTGTGCGCCATATCTTGCATGGACGATTCGTAGTTGTTTGGCGTTTCGACAGTGCATGTGCGGTGCCCTCTGAGCTTACCTTTCTCCTAGTAGATTCTACCATGCCGCCTCACCCTACTCAGAGTCAGTTTAATTTCTTGCTCGGATTATCTAATGTAGTCTAGTTTGTGAAGTTGCACCTTGAGAGAACATGCATGTTGATATAGGGTTCCGTGTGAGCATTACAATCAACGTCTTTACAGCTTTAAGTCTTGTCCTCGCCTTCTTCGAGCAGCTCAAAAACGGCCTGCAAGTCCTCTCTCAGGATGGTGACGTTCTGGGTTGCAATGAGGAGTAATGCATCCAGCTCTTTCTTGCCCAGAGATCCATTACTACTCATTCTTCCCCCAGACTCGGATGAGCTTGCAGTACTGCCGAGAAGGGGACAGTCCGTGCCGTTTTCCCGTGAATATGGCCTTCCACCGTCGTGTGTGCCAGTCCTCTGTGTCAACAATCTCAATAAAACATTCCTCCACCTATCCTTCCGCTCCTTCACACCAAGCAGCGTATTCAACAACGTGCACTCCCGTCCCCAAAACCCCTCCAGCACAAGATCCATAAGATCAAACGCCCTGACCAACTTACCCGCATCACTGATGTACAAATTCTCATACCCGTCGACTTCCTGCTTGATCTTGCGGCTCTGTTCGCATCCTTCAAGTTCAGCAAGCCTTTCTATCAGATCCTCAATTACCGAACACAGCTTCGCGACCAGGAGAACTTGCCTGTTCTCAGCCCTTTTCTCGGTACGATCAAGGGAGGCTGTAAATCGAGGGTTGTGGCTCATGATCTCTCGGTACATCTCCAGTTCCTCGGGATCCAGGATGTCTCGAAGCATCGAGCCTGGATCTGACATCCTATTTTCTGCCGGTGTCGTTGTAGGCGCGCGATACAGCGAGTCTTCGTCGATGTTAATTAATTGTGTGAGATCCAGAAAGCTTACGTCGTCATTAGTGCCCGTCCTAGAGGTACCACAGCCGTTCAGAAGACGGCCCTGACTTTTTGCGTCTTCGACGTTGTTGTCGCACTCCTCACCACCGGAATAAGGCCAGTCTGAGGCCTGACATGCATCGTACCAGCGTACATTTGCAACAGGGTAACTGAAGTTCGGGACCATGCTGACTTCACGCATGTCTACTTCATCAGTGCCCCCATGCTTAGTTCCAGATGTACTACGCGCTCGCGCTCTGATCGCTGAAGATATTGAAGGATCAACACCGGGGCTGGCTAGGATCTGGGTGAGCGCTGAGTTCCACGTTAGTCGAGAGCTGTCTGCTTGATATGCATTGAGGTTGGCAACACTTGTTCTTTCGGTGAGAGTAATAAAGCGGTCCTCGTCAGCGTCATGTTGAGACTGGCTAACAGGGTGGGAGCATCCGTCGGGTCGCGCTGGTATTGAGGGAGCATTGTCGAGGGACCTTGCAGGTTCTGGTACTGCTCTGAATTGTCTTGCCTCATTGTTTCGTGGACGATTGTTGTACGCCTGGTAGAGCTGCTCAGTGTTGTCGAAAACGCGACCGTGTCTCTTCTCTCGCCTCTTGCCTTCCTTGGCTACGCGTCTCCTTTCCTGTTCGTCAGGACTTGCTTCCACCATGACGCTGTTCCAATACACGTCCACGTTACCGTACCGTTGTTCAGTATACTCGCCTTGGTCTTCGACCTCGATCAGTTCGTATGGCAACCCTTCGAGCCACTCATCTGCGACCCTCGGGTGTCGCTGAACAGACTCGGCGCGTACCGAGCCAGAGTTGGAGGGAAGCAGAGAAGGCTGGCGAACACACTGCATGCGCAAAGGATGCCGAAGTCGGTGGATGAGGGTAGCTGTAGTTGACAGGTTCTTGGGGCGCGGCTTCAAGGTGTATGCTCTCGACGTGGTCATTAGAGCAAGGGTGCTGAGATCGGCCATGAGAAGTGTGTTGAAGCGTGCGGCCCTTAGAGGTGGATGCGTATGTTTCGTATCACATAGTGTGTTAACAACCTGCGTTTGCTGGTGAGTTGGCCGTAACACAATATTGCGAACCAACAGATAGTGACCGGGCGTGAAGTGTGTTGCAGCATGATCAAGTAGTTCTAAGGAGGTTATGTTGGTTCTCAAATTGCAGTGAAGCTCAACCACAGCACAGAAATGACTGTAGCCTCCAGCTCCAGAGCTTTTATCTGATCGCAGGTGACGCACAGATGAACTCTGACTGCCTCCCATATCTCTGGAGGTTCTACTCTTGCGACCAACATTCCCTGCGACACGCGAGTTCGGAAAGTAATGTGGGGTGATTGCAATATGCACAATCGTTCGTGATCGTATTTGTGACCGAGGTCTGTCACCGACAGTCTTGTGAACTATACACTAAGTGTGGTCTCATCTATCTGGACTCACTTTAATAACACAATCGTGAATGAACAAGCTCGAGCGTACTTTGCATGCGCCAGTATCCAAAATATGCAGTCCGCTCCGTAGCTATGCAATCGCCGAAATGCAGAAAACGCCCCGTATCCTGGTATGGTATGGTATGCCGTATAATCGTAGAAACGCCGGGGGTAGGAAAGGAAATCAGTACTTCTTCTTGGCTGCTGCCGCCTTCGATAGAGCCACAAGCTTGCGCTTCTTCTCTTCTTTCTCGCGCTTGAGTCTCATCTCTTCCGCCAATGCCTCCGCATCCTCCTTCTTAGCAAACTTTAGGGCCTCTCTTTCTTCCTTCTCGACATCCCAGATGCCACCCTCCATGTCAGAAGAAGCATCGGAGGCATAATCATCCTCATCTTCCTCCAGACCGTCTAGGTCGGACCAGTCAGCGTAGCCATCGTAACGGCCCTTTTCTTGCTTCGGTTTCGGCTTGGCTGCAGGTGTTCCACCTCTGCTAGAGGATGCGGCAGCGGTCTGAGGGCGAGCGGTTCCTTTGTAGGCGATGGGCGCAGCCGTCTTAGCCGGACGGGCAGTACCTTGGTAGCCAATGTCTGCTGCCCTGCGCTGGACCTTTGATGCGTCAATCTTGACGTCTGCACCCTTTGCTGTTGGTATTATGCCTGGCTTCTTTCCCTTGGCTGCAGTTGCCTCTGCCTTGAGTGCCAAGCGCTCCTTCTTTGTTGGAATGAGGCCTTTTGCAACGGTGACGGGAGGCGCAGCAGGCTTGGTGAGATCCTTCTCCTTGGCTTTCTGGAGTAGGGCTAGGTATCCTTTGGGCTTCGATGCGGGTGCGGCCGGAGCGGAGGTCAAGGTTGCAGGGGCGGGTTTCGGGGCAGGCGGGGTCGCTTTCCGTGGAAGAGCTACTGTGCTTGCAGACACTGTTGGTTTCTTTGCGAGGGCGTTTATGGGTTTGGCTGACGATGGTGCGGCTGTTCCACGATATGGTACGGTCGTTGTGGCAGGCTGACCCGGCCTCGCCGCTCCAGGGGGTGCGTTTGAACGAGCTGTGCCGGTGTACTGCACAGGTTGAGCAGGGCTGTCCTTGCGCTGGACTTTGACTTGACCGTTGTCTGTTGGTCCTGATGCCTTACGCTTGAGCTGTGGTGCTGGTGTCACCCCATTTATCTCGGCAGCTAGTCGTGGGGTAGGTCTCGAGGCTCCAGTAGGCTGCGATTGCGCCTGCTTGGGTGCGGCTGTTGTCTTCGTGCCCCCAGGTCCGACTATAGACATGATATCTCTGAAAGCCTAAGAAGGAGGATTAGCAAAACCTCAGGCGTGGGTCGTGAGGTTAAACTCACGCTCATGGTGGGCGACTGGCAAGCGTTTGACTCAGTGTTACCGGTCGTATCGCTTGGGCAAGTCGTACATGCTTTCCAGGCAAATGTACAGTTTATGAGTTGCCGCAGTGGAACCGGTCGCAGTCGCGCGAAGGGTGGGGAGGCGCAGGCGGAAGGATAGAGGGCGCGCAGACAATCAAAGAACAGAATAAAGAGCAGGTGGCGCACGCCGAACGCAGTTTATAAAGCGAAGGACAAGCATCACGTGGTCCAGCTCACGTCCGTGCTCGGCTGACTTGCTCCTTCCCCCGGGCGATCGTTTAGCCGATGCCGGGTCGCACTTTCCAAAGGAATTTTGTCTACCGAACTTTCGATCGCTACCCTCGACGAGAACTTGAAGCTCCAGTCTCCGTTAGAACGGTACGTGATTATTATGCGACTAGGCCACTGTCGCTTAATTTCTAATTCTTCTAGGTTAAATCGATTGCGCTCCTGTTCCTACCCAGAAACACACTTCGACAACCACATTCAAAATGAAGCACCTTGCGGCCTACCTCCTCCTCGGACTCGGTGGTAACACCTCTCCCTCCGCTGCCGACGTCAAGGCTGTCCTTGAGTCCGTCGGTATTGAGGCCGATGAGTCCCGTCTCGACCAGCTCATCTCCGAGCTCGAGGGCAAGGACATCAACGAGGTATGCGCCCAATCACAGCCAGGCTGATGGCCGACGAGTTTCGAACGAACAGACACTGACACCTCGCAGCTGATCGCTTCCGGCTCTGAGAAGCTTGCTTCCGTTCCCTCCGGCGGTGCTGGTGGTGCTGCCCCCGCTGCTGGTGGTGCCGCTGCCGCTGGTGGTGCTGCTGACGCGCCTGCTGAGGAGGCCAAGGAGGAGGAGAAGGAGGAGTCCGATGACGACATGGGCTTCGGTCTCTTCGACTAAGCGCATCACCCACCGGATACCCCACCAACATGAACGAAGTATGATCACGCCAATCTCCCGACAAACAAGGGAATCATGCGGTACGAACAAGAGCCTTTGGGCGGTGTCGAGCGTGCTGCGGGAAGGATACGAATGACAGTCATGCGGCTTTACTCCGACACTTGTCTGCTAGGATACCCTGAATGAAGCCATGCACGCCCATTTAAATCTACTGATTATCTGAGTGAACTTGCATCTCTATGTGACCGCTGCAAATGCCCTCACATGCGATCTTGAACAGTGTACGTGTCAGTAAAGTAGGAACGAATCTTCATGGGCAAGCCAAACAATCCCGAGATTCAGAATCGTGCATGCATGGTAGACGGACATTCCATACTTTGATGTCCGTAGACAGGCAAGTCGCGCTTGAGTAGCTGCATTTCCCTTGCGTTTCTGTGCATACGAGTACGCCTGCATCAGAACGCGGTAACGACAGACATTCCTCCGAATACTGACGCATCAATTCGGCTCCCTCCTGAATGTTGCAAGTCATGTTGCGCTGATTGTGATGTTTGTGGGGTGCGGTGCTCCATACCCGTCGCCGCAGAGCCCCAGGCTCCTGGTATAAAAAATGTGCTTGGGCATGGAGACGAGTCGATCGGGTCACCTACCTCAGCCTCGCCTCCTCTCTTCCATCCTGCAGGCTAGTACAGACGACGGTGCAGGCTCCACGCCCCTCCCAAACACCCCCAAATCAGGCAACCATTTCATGGAACGAACAGCGTTCAGGGGCGAGAACTCATAGAGCCGCACCTTGTACGAGGTCAAAAGAGTCTCTAGTAAAGAATTTGAACTCACTTTCGAGCTCTTGAATAACCTTGGAAATCCCGACCAAAGATAGACGGACAGAACAAGCCGAGACGACGGCGAACAGCGAGTGCCAGGAGCAGGTGATCGCGACAGAGCCAACCTCCAAGGCACCTGACGGCAGGTCAGAGACAGGAGTATTTGATTGTAACAAAAGCAAAGCCACAGGCACTCGAATCGGTCGACGAGAGCCAGGAGCACTTGATCGTGGCAGAATCAAGCCCCAACGTGTCAGAAGCGGCATGCGAGAGGCAGGATGTTCCAAATCAATCCTCCGCTCCAGTCAACGGTCTAGTCCACGGTCGAGCTTGTTGATGAAGAAGTGGTAGATATGCTACAAGCACAGCTTGCGAGCTCGCATTTGGTAGAGATCGCAGCCGCAGCTCTTTCATTCAGGTGCGCAGAAGAACATGCCAGAAGCACCACTCCGGAGCTTGACGTGTCGGACGGCATGCGGGATACTGAACAAACGCAATTGCCTGACAGCAGTACTATTCTCGAGCCCGTTGTGGGCGACAACTTTGACGGCTAGGTAGGATTACCGACTGAGTAGATGTTACCGATTCTAAGGCCAGGACCAATGCGAGGCGTGTTCACCCGCTCTCAGCACTCACAGTCGGAGGATGCGTTCAGTCAGCCTGCGGAAGAGTCTAGCCACCTGGGCTCGTCAAAGAATATTACAGAGTCCGATCCAGAGGCAGGGTAGAGAAGATTGTAGTGCTAGGCTATGCAGGTAGGAGGTCGTTTCGAGCTACAGCGTTTGAGGGTGTGTTGGTCAACGGCAGGGAGTCTAGAAGAGGTGGAGGCAGTGATCCAACGTCAGAGGCAAAGCGTGCACATAGTTGAGCTGTCAAACGCTCAAATCGGACTCACTACAACTGGAAATGTATGGCAACCGACGACTCAATAATTCCATGATCTTTAGCAGTTATATCTGCATTACTACGAGGTTGATAGTGACGGTCACGTGCTTGCCGGTGGAAGCTCGGGGTCTCTCGTTAAGCGAGACTGCACTTTCCATTTCGCAACCTGCACGTTAGCGGCACCTGGGAAATCCGAACGACTTGACAACGACATTGCGCATCCATCGAGTCAACTTTCTAGCTTCTCGACCACCGCAACCATGGCTGATTCCGAATACGTGAGTGCTTCCTGCCAGCATCTAGATACGATGTGCGCCTGCTAACAACGACATAGAACGCCGAGGAGGCTGCCGGTACGCTCCCACTCTCACCCCCCTTCGCAATCCCCGCCATCCCGCCGCGATCCTCTTCCCCCTGAGTGCGAGACTGCGGAGGATGTAGACTGCAGACGCAGTAACGGATAGACGGGGACGCACTACACAGACGCACACGAAGCATTGTATGGAAGGACATTGGCTGACAGGACACCACAGCCCTCAAGGCCAAGCGCTCGTTCCGCAAGTTCTCCTACCGTGGAGTCGACCTCGACCAGCTCCTCGACCTCGGCTCTGAGGAGCTCCGCGACCTTGTCCACGCCCGTGCCCGCAGAAGGTTCAACCGCGGTCTCAAGCGCAAGCCCATGGGTCTGATCAAGAAGCTCCGTAAGGCCAAGCAGGAGGCCAAGCCCAACGAGAAGCCCGACCTTGTCAAGACCCACCTCCGTGACATGATCGTTGTCCCCGAGATGATCGGCTCTGTCGTCGGTGTCTACTCTGGCAAGGAGTTCAACCAGGTCGAGATCAAGCCCGAGATGGTTGGCCACTACCTCGCCGAATTCTCCATCTCATAGTGCGTAGCCTCGTACAGAGATCGAAACACGGAACACGGCTAACAAACTTGCAGCAAGCCCGTCAAGCACGGTAGGCCCGGTATCGGAGCCACTCACTCTTCCCGTTTCATTCCTCTCAAGTAAATGGTTTGGGCTACTGGTTGCATGGGTTTGTGGTGTGGATAGTGTGTACTTGACGACCTTACAACGAATACAGGTGTTAGGTGCATTACACTTTCTATGACTTGGTGACGCACGAAAAGCGGTCACGATGGACATGAAGACACGATGTAGATAGCCTCTACATCAAAAGATACCTCCACACTTATGCGCGACGCATTCGTGATGTCCTCCATCACACATCAGATGCCCGCGTAAGGAAGATGATACTTCACACCCAGTGCCACCTGAAACAAGATTGTCTCACTTCGACACGAATAACAACATTACAAAATCATGGTCTCAGATCACATGTATTTACACTCATACAATCTGCAATATTTGTAGATAGCTGAGTGTCGATTCACAGGCTACTAAGGCCGGGTATTATAACTGTAGGAAAGCACTCCTCGGACAATGTCGACTACCTTCCGAGACGCATCTCAACCTTTGCAAAGTTGTAGAGCGCTCGCAGGAAGACCTGGTAGTTGACGCCCTTGTTGTCAGGCAAATGGCTATCATGCATGTTAGCTTGACCCAGGCCAAGTGGACATTGTCGAACTTACAACATCTCAGTCAACCTCAACTGCCACGGCGGGTATCCCTTGAGCTGCACAGTCGGGCTGAACAAGATCAACAGATCCGGCTCGCTGCTGACGTGATCACTCAACTGCGCATCGATCAGGTCCATGTTGATCTGTTCTTGTCTGACATCACCCTTTTGCGCCATTTCCGCCAGGGTTCTTGTCAAATCAACAATTGTGTCGCGACCATCGTGTTCGGAGAGAAGCAGGACCGTAAGGTGCTGGCGTTCTTCCTTAGGATCTTCGCCTGAGTCTGCGGTGTGCGGAGGAGTGTTGGGCGGGGAGTAGGAGCTGAGGTGCGGTGCGCGGAGGGAGAGGGTAGGCTTTCTGCGGGGGCCAAAGTAGGCTTCGAGGGTGTTCCATATGCTTGCGTGGGTTTGGGGCAGGTAGTTCTTAAGCGCACCTGTATCCGCATTAGTACATATTGCTCCAGTCCTTCACGTCCACTGGGTGTGCCTACCAGTCCTCTCATACACGCTTAAGAACGGGATTCCAGCAGACGCAGTCCAAGCTGCAATCTCGCATACATCGTTGACCAGTCCTTCCAACCCTGCATTGCCCTGATGTTCATCGTCTTCTTGGTAGTCCACGATTACGCTCAGATGCTTTGGCAGCTTTTGGAGTGTCTTGACATCGTGCGCAATGAACTCCGGCGTACGGTGGTGGTACTTGAGCAGTTCGACGACCTTGCCCCTAACAAGCCTGTACGCACGGCGGAAGCGAAAGAAGACCGAGAACAGTAGTGCGATAACGTGGTATACGAGAAAGTATACAAGCGCCTTAATAGGCCCCGTGCGCTTCTTGGATGATGGTTTGCGCCGGCGACTGGCTGCAGCTTTCTGGATTTCGCGATCGGACGATGAGGTAGGCTCGGATGGCAGGAAGGGTTTCATCAGTTCCTCGCGCTGCTTCGGGGTCAATTGTTTCCCTTGGTAGGTGCCCCGGCGAAAGGCCGACTCTTGCGTGGGCGTGATGCCCGTTGCTGACGCCATTGCGGGAGGTTCTGTTGAGTGTGGAGTTACAAAAGGAGTAGTCTATGAGCAGTGAAAGAAGAAGAATTAAAGGAAAGAGCGCTGAGTGCGGAAGAAGCAGTTGTTAGATTGGGGGAGGTGATCATATTCCAGTATCCGCAAAGTTCAGGTTGAGCAGCCACGTTTTGTGGCGCTTCGCTGCTGCCGAATAGGCGGCCAAGCGCATCATCTTGGAAGCCCAGCCTCTTCGAGGCGGTGTCATTGCGCGTTCATCGTCGCAAGTGCCAAGGATAGCGAGGATCATACCTGGCATGCCTTCGTGCTTATGTCTTGAGAAAGAGTGCTGCAACAAGGCTGACTTGATATGCATGAGGTCGTGCATGAGGTCACTTCTGTGGCAGCCACAACCCAGACGCGGGACGCGGGGGCGCAAGCCACATTTGCGACCTCGAGCTCGAAAGCTAGCAGTCGGGCTGTTGATCATAACACTAAACAACACTGTATGCAGACGACGGGTGGGAATAGTGAATCGTATGTTGTAGGATTTCACTCGAACGCTTATGAGACTCCATGATTCTCAACTGCCCTGAGGCACCAGCTTGAGGAAGGCACCACCTGGCCAGACAGCCGCGGAGGCTTGCGCGTGGTTCGCAATTGCCTGACAACCCATTGCTCACGCCACCGAGCAATCTCTCGAGTGGTCAGCATGTCGAATCTCAATCCGGAGACAGCGTCGATCCTCACGCAACAGACATCGAGGACAGCATCTGGTGGACGCGCACCACAGTTCACGTTGGAGACCTTTTCGGTTGGCTGCCCCAGAAGCTGGTCTCACAACGTCGCACTGACTTTACTAGAGCAAAGATTTCATAGTCAAGGACTTTATCGAAGAACTCTCTGACAGTGCCGTACCAGCCTCTCGAAAGTCAGCGCCCGCCTCGAGTCAGCAAGCATTCGATCCAAAGCCCCTAATTCGTACCTTCGAACACGCTTTAAACCGCCTGAACAGCCAGTCAGAAGACCTCGAAGAGAGAGAAAATGAGCTCTCAGGCGCAGTCAGGCGTGCTGAGGCGCAACACAACCAGAACGTCGAGTCGTTAGGGAGAAGGCTCGAGCAGGCCATCGATCGCTTCCAAAGGCTGGACAGTTCGCTCAACGGCGGCGACGACGGAGGGCCAGATTCTGGAGGCAACATTGCTATGCGCATCGGAGAGAGGCTGGAAGAGCTGGATCGACAACGCAAGAGAGCAATGGACGCCAAATTCTTGATCGAATGTTGGCAAGAGGTCAGTGAGCGAGGCGAACTGAACATCTTGGAGGATCATCGCAGGAGCGGTGGCATTGTGCGTTGCGCAGAGATCGCACGCCAGCTTCTGAGAATCAGCGCGCGTCTCGATCCTGAAAACAACCCACGTACCAACGGCGCAGAGCTGAATGGTAATAAGAGAAAGACTTTGGCTCAGCAAAAACACAACACAAGGGAGGTTATCGAGAAGTTTCTGGAGAACTTGGAGCAAGACCTGCTCAGTAAGTTCGACGAATGCTACAGGAGGCCAAATTACGATGGCATGCGCGACTGCGCAGTTGCATTGAGGGGCTTCAGTGATGGCTCCAGCGTCATTGCAACTTACATCAGTCAACATTCATTCTTCATCGACCGCCACCAGCTTGTTTCAGAGGAGCTTGCGTTAAATGATGAAGCTTGGGACGCTCTGCAAGATCCTGATATGGAGCCACCATCTGTCGAACCAACCTTGCAGTCCTTGATCGATGAGGTCAGGATTGTCGTGCAAGAAGAATCTGCGATCATCAAGCGCGCGTTTCCCTACTACGAAGAGGTGCTCATCAGGTTTGTTGAGCGCATCTTCCAACAGTCGATACAGCAACGTCTCGAGATGGTGCTAGACAAGGCGAACGACCTCTCGAGTCTCGCATTCTTGCGCGCTCTAGCAGCATCGCGAGCCTACATCACACAACTCGTCGAAGATTTGAAGGCACACGGGCTGACAGAGCATCCTGAACCTGTCACGTCGCAGGTCGCGGCCACTTTGGACCAACAACTTGAGGAACTATTTTCCCGATATTTCATTGGATCGTCCTACATTGAGCGAGAGAAGAAGAATCTGGAAGAACTCTATTCGTCCCTTCTCCTCAAATTCACTATCTACCACTCTCGCCGAAGAAAGATGCCCACATCGTATTTTGGCTCATTGGCGCAGCGAGGTAAGGAGCTTGCATCATCTGCACGAGACGCCTATATGGACCGTCTGGAAAGCACCGACTTGCCTGCTAGTCAGAAAGCGACTCTGCTTCGAATTGCTGGCGTAAAGGATGACCAACAGGCAAAACAAGATATTGAGGTCACAGATGAGGACGGAAAGCTGTCTTTGGTCACTGCGAAGCGTATGCTGAAATGGCTGGCTGAAGGCGTTGGGCGTGGATTGGAGTTGTCACCCGGCAATGAAACGCCCAAGGACGTTCAGAATCTGCTGAACTTACTATTGCAACAGATGGGTGACATTTACCTGGAGACTGCTCTCGATTCGTAAGTCGTACAGCTTTCATGATTTGATCTCACGCTGACTGCAAGAAGTGCCTCCGATCACGCTGCTTCACAAGAGAATTCGAAAACCCCACCTGATCTCACCCATCTTTCCTCACTTCACGCTATAACCACAATCCTACACCTCCTTCAGCAAACCATCACCACGATTCTGCTTCCACTATGTACGCCGAATCTGACTATCCGACGAGAAATCGAAAAGTCGACCAATGGTACAATGACAACGCTGGAGGCAAAGTTATCCAATATCCTAAATCTCACATTGACAGCATCCCTCAACTGGGTGAGCCGATGTTTGGCTCAGCAGAAGAAGACAGACTTTCGGCCGAGAGACGATGCAGACCTCATGGTTACAAGCGAAACTGCAGCTTGTCGCGAAGTGGCAGCGTTCCTCGCTCGTGTCGCCCAACAAGCCAGTGGTGCGCTCTCGGGCCGCAACTTGTCGCTATTTCTGGCAGAGCTTGCTCGAGGCCTGCGTGCGCTGGTCTTGTCGAACTTGCTTAAGTTCACTGTCTCTCAGGTCGGTGGTCTTAGTGTGTCTAAGGATATGAATCGCTACGCAGAGCTTGTGCGCAGTTGGCCTACTGGCGATGAGCTCGAGCCAGGAGCGATGGATGTGCTCAGTGATGTGAGTACATTGTTCATCATTGGCCCGGAGGCACTTCGAGACAGATTGAGGGGCGCTGGCCAGGATGCGCAAGAGTTGAAGCTTTTCATTGCAAGACGAGAGGACGTGAGCAGCGTTGGTGTGCAGAGCGTGCTCAACGGTTTGTGAGTTTTCCCGGCATACGCAACGACGCATTTATCGTGCTCTACCCAAGCGTACTGCATAATTTCAATCTTTTGGGGCGCTTCCGATCTTCATGCTTGTGCACCTCCGTCAATGTGATGTCAGGAGCAACCCGACGGGCCAGCCGACGGCCCGTTACGGTATCGCGAGCCCGGCCTTTCCCCGCAAACAATTCCCGTGCCATATGATCTCTCACTTCGCATTCACTTCGTATACAGATTCGTAATGTCTTCAGAACCAAGCACAGAGTCTTCGTTGCACCATTCGGACCACGTGCGAACAAACAATGACCACTCCCAACCATGAGCGACACGCTGCGGTGCTGCATGATTGCACGCGTCGCATATCCCATCCTGACTCTGAAGAAGCTGTGCAGATCGAGCGCCAACGCGTTGCGCAAGAGCTAGAACCATTTTCATATCAAAAAAAATCGAGAGCGACCTCATATGCAGCCAGACAACCCCATGATGGCCCCTCACGTACGCGCCAAACATTGCATACAAGCTCAACCGCATCCAATGCGCCACTCCGAGACCGTGTCTCTTTAGAGAGCCGTGTCACTACGCAGTCCAATGCGACACGCTCTCAGAGCAACTCGATCCGAGCAATCTATTGGTATAGTAAAGTCGTAAGGTTCTGGACAACACATGTTAGGCACGTCTCCGAGAGTATCCTGCTCGACAAACCTTCTAACGCGCCATAGCCTCACTATCGACGATGGGGCTCATAGGGACCACCTAGGTATAGATCCAGCGTCTCCCTTCCTACGAAACACATCATGGTAACATCCTTCAGCCCTTGAACGCACCTTTCTGGGCTATCTACGAACATCTCTCATCCTTGTCATGGCAGGCGTCATAATCGCACAGCTCTTTCGGATACAGCGTGCTGTGCATCCAAATCCTCATATTGGCTTCTACGTCTTTGGGAGGCCCCTCAGCGTAGCATTCATTGGTATGGCAATCTTCGTGCTTCTTGTCGGAACTTTACGGTTCTTTCGTTTGCAACATGCCTTGGTCAGGGGAAAGGCCCTTGCGGGAGGGTGGGAAATAATTGCAATCATGGCGTTGAGCGCTCTCGTGAGTGGTCCAGTGAAGCAGTGACTGGGTTGATTGGACGATGCTAATAGTTTCCAGCTTGTGCTCACTACGTTCGCGCTGGTATTAGCTGTGAATATTGACAAGGCTATTGTATCGTAGTAGTCGTTCGTATCTGACAGGCGATGTGCTGACTCAAGGGGGCTCGTATCAGTGCAAGCGGTTAGTAAAATTCGATGAGTACGTCAAGGCTACCCCAAAAAATTGGAGCAGCTTGTCAGCGGGCTGCACAATGTCGCAGCACAGATAAGGTGTGTCAAGCATCTACCGCGACGTTGCGCCACTCTTATCTGCACCTTCGGGATGCGTGCATTGGGTACCTTGCTCGATCTGCGCTTCTTAGTACATATCCGGCAAGCCGATCCTAGGTACAACCCCGGACGTTCGTCGCGGAGACATACACTTGCACCTAACACACCTTATCACGCTCGTCGAGTCGATTGGAGTAAGCGGTTGACTTATCCCGGTATCGCATGTTACCCTAACTCTACTCCAACTACTTCCTCGAAACCTTGTTCGCCGGTCACAATGCCGTACCGACCAGATGGGACATGGGGCCAGGGATCTAGTCTCGATATAAAGAATCATGAACACCCTCTCTAAATTCACTTGGCTCGCTTGAAGATCTTCGGCACGCAATGTCAGACTCTGCAGCTGCCATATTACCTGTCGGCGCCGGTTATGGTAAGCTCACATGCCACCTTCAACCATGGATTGATCTGACACTTCTAGGCGTCGTTATTGGCATTGGCTTCTTCTTCGCCTTCCTAATGATGGGCATCTCGTGGATGCAGAACCGGTACACAGCATACTCGACAAAGCAATCGGAGGAGTTCAACACCGCATCTCGGTCTGTAAAGCCAGGTCTCATTGCCTCCGGCATCGTATCAGCTTGGACTTGGGCTGCTACATTACTGCAGTCAAGTACTGTTAGTCAATCAGTCATGCGATCTAGGTATTTAACTGATTAATCCAAGGTCGCATACACATATGGAGTTGCAGGTCCTTTCTGGTACGCAGCAGGAGCCACCGTACAGATTCTTGTGTTCTCCATTTTGGCCTGTAAAGTCAAACAGAACGCACCACGATGCCACACCTATCTTGAGATCATCAACGCTAGATACGGTCGCGTTGCCCATCTGGTCTTTATGGTCTTCGCCTTCATCACGAACATCCTTGTCAGTAGTCAACTTCTGCTTGGTGGCAGTGCTGTCGTCACGGCTTTGACTGGCATGAACGTATATGCGGCCATCTTCCTTATTCCTGTTGGTGAGTGTTCGACGGTACTTCTAGTCATCTGTGAAGCTAACATATCAAGGTGTATGCGCGTACGTAATTCTCGGAGGTCTGAGAGCAACATTCCTTTGTGACTACTCGCACACTCTGATCCTCATGATCATCATCTTGTACTTTATGTTCCATGCCTACGCTACAAGCGAACTCATTGGGTCACCCAGCGCTATGTACGATCTACTGAAGAACGCTGCGATATCACGGCCCATCGCCGGCAACCACGAGGGCTCCTACGTCACTCTGAAGTCCAACTTCGCGCTCATCTTTGGTGTTATTCAACTTTGTTCCGGATCTGGGACGGTCTTCCTTGACCAAGCATACTGGCAGCGAGCGATTGCATCTCAGCCCTCGACAGCTGTCAAGGCGTACATTCTTGGTGGCATTGCATGGTTCGCAATTCCCTTCGGATTCTCGACCACGTTAGGCCTGGCTGCCGCAGCACTCACCGATCACCCAAGCTTCCCCACGTATCCGAACGTACCAAGTGCACACGAGATATCTTCTGGTCTCGCTGCTCCTTATGTGGCTATTGCTCTACTCGGCAAGAACGGTGCTGTTGCGTTGCTTATTGTGTTATTCATGGCAGTCACATCAAGTGCTTCAGCAGAGCTCATCGCGACGTCAAGTCTTCTAACATTCGACGTTTACAAAGCGTACATTCAGCCAAAGGCCACACCGAAGCAACTCATCTTTGTGTCGCATATCATGATCTGTTTCTTTGGAGTGATCATGGCGGTCTTTGCATGCATTTGGAATGTTGCGACTATCGATCTCGGATGGCTCTTCTTGTAAGTTTTGCTACATTATTTCGCATATCTCAGTACTGACGGTACGCAGGGTGATGGGTCTCCTGATTGGTGGTGCTGTGTTCCCAGCCGCCTTCTCGATTATCTGGAAGAAGCAGACCCGCATTGGAGCCATCTCAGGCTGCCTTTGCGGCCTTGCAGCCGGTCTCATCGCCTGGTTGACAACAGCGTTCCGCTATTACGGAGAAATCACTGTCGCTACTACTGGAACCGAATACGCTACCTTGGCAGGCAACTTGGCCGCAATCATGACGGGTCTTATCGTGACAACTGTCATCTCGCTCATCAAGCCGGACGACTTTGACTGGGAAATCACCCGCGCTATCAACGCTATACCAGTAAACCAAGGGGTCAGACCGGATGGCACCGAGATACCGGAGGTAAATGCGCCATCTTCCTTCGATGACAAGGAGGACAACAAGACCTCACCATCTTCTCCAATTGCCACGCCGTCGGAAACCGATGCTGAAGCTCTACATGTTTCTTCCACCGGCATGGAAGACTCTCCTTCGTCTCTGCACAGCGCTTTCAAGCTCGCATGCATATCCTCTTTAGTCTTGACTTTGGTCCTGGACTTCTTGCTCCCCATGCCTATGTTTTTCAGCCACTACATCTTCAGCAAGGGATTCTTTACAGCATGGGTGGTGATCAGCTTCATATGGGTGTTTGTGAGTAGCGCAATTAGCTGCTTCCTACCGATTTGGGAGACGAGGACATTCTGGGGAGAGCTATGGGGGAAGATCCGGACAGGTGGCGTGATCGAGAAGTGAGCGCACTCAGGTGAAGGCAGATGAGGATAGCGTCTTGATTGTCACCTCCATCTCCGCTGTTTGTAGCTGCAGCCTCGATCAGCCTCAAGCAATATATAATCAGACATTTCCAGGCTTCTTCTTTTTCTTTTCATTCTCATCACCAACAAATACCAGGCAGGCTCAGGCAATCTACTCCCAACCACCATTGCGCCCCCCCCAAAGCTCGGCACTGGTCTCGCGACAATGGCACTCGGAGACGCGACTGCTCATCTACTCGCACGCGACATACTTGTTCCTATGTGCGCCTTCGAACTATCCCTGGTTCGCGCGCGTCCGGCCGGAAATCCATCACTCAACGAGATGCTTCGGATTCGGGATCGATGGCTGTGAATCAGATCGCGATTACACGGTCAAGTTCCAGTTCCCACGGCTGCGGAACATGCCGACTGTCAAGAGTCTCCTCGTTCGTTACTGCCTTCGTCCTCCTGGTTGCGATTTGCTACCGCGGATAAACAAGGAGGCGATCGAGAAGTATGCGCGGACGCGAAATTTGCAGCTCGTTTTCGAGGAGGTTGTGGTGTCGGAATCGAGAGTGGCTTGAGCTGGAGGAACGAGAAGGCGCGACCAAGCCGAATGGGAGTGGCCTTGGGAAAAGCTGTCATGAGAACGTAGCTTCTTGCATCTGCATTGCTGCACTGTGCGTCTAATGCTATCCACAAAAGAAAATCCTGACAAAGTTCTACGACATTCGATGCCCACACGCGCTATGCACCCCCAACACCAAACAATGCAACTCTCAAGCTCAACTCCTACTCTCCCTTGACAGCATACCGCACCGTCCCCTCAGCATTCCAGTTCCCCTCATACCTCTCCTGAAGGACCCTGAGTTTACTGAAGAAAACATCATCATCCACATACGCGCCCTTCAACCACCTCTCGCCCTTGGTCGCATCAAACGCGCGCCTCGCATGCAGTACTCTCCTATTATCGAAGATGACACACTCGCCCTCATTCAGTCTATACTCGTACAAGTTCTCCTCGGCGCTGAGGAGCTTCTCGTACGCCTTGCTCGCGGCGATGAATGAGCGGAAGGAGGTCTGGCTATTACTTCCGATGCGGGCTTCGAAGGGTGCCTGAAAAGGCGGGCTCCAGTTCACGCGGCGGATGGCTAGGTTGGTGGGCTCGCTGTACTTTGGATACGGAAAGAGTTCTATGACGGGGCGGGTGAAGTGGTAGTGGTGCGTGGGATGGTGGTAGTGGTACGTGACGGGGAAGGTGCAGAGGGTGCGGAAGTGGAACGCCGAGAAGCGCTGCAGTTGGTGGACGGCGTTGAAGGCGTCGCTGAAGAAGGATTCGCCGCCGGGTGTGCGGGCGCGCAGCGAGTGCAGCAGCTGCAGGTGCGGCGGGTTCGACGTGTATAGCAGATCCATGTGCAGCCCTAGGAACTGGGGCGTGTAGGCGATGTTCTCAGCTTTGGCTTTGGATCGCACGTCCCATGTGCGGCCGTAGAAGGTGTCTTTGAGGTTGCCGATGCGCTCGGAGAGCTTGACGACTGATTCTTCGGACTCGGGCACGTTCTTGATGAAGAGGAGGCCATATTTGTGCAAGTGCGTCAGAGCGTCGTAGAGCACCTCGTCTTGGGCCATGTAGTCGTTGTAGTCTAGCCACTTGTTGTCCCGTGTGATTCTCTGCTTGTCCCATAGCACTCGGTCATCGTTTCGTACACCGCCTCTTAGTTCGACTTCTTGGTGGATCGCTCGTCGTAGCCAGTCAATCGAATGTCGTGTGCGGTGATCTGCTCCATATCCCTTGACGTCGTTTTTCCACTCGAGCTCAATTGAAGACCCTATTTCTTCATCCTCGACGAGCTTGTAGCTCCCTTCTAGATCATCTGGAATGTCTGATGTCTGGAAGACTTTCTGCTTGCTATGCGGGTCTTTGCACTGCAAGCACGAGCAGCTGTCCCGCAAGAACGCAGTATCGAAGACTCGAGCATTTCCGTCGATTTCCACTGCAACGTGTCTGGCAGGAGCACCGTCGACCTGTCCAACATCCGACTCTTCTGGAACTGGGAATTCCTGGGCTGCCTTTTCTGCGAGTTCCTTCTCTTGCTGCTCCCTGACCTGCAGCTTGCTCTGCCGATGGGGGCCGTCAATCGCGGGGCTCCATTCCGCCTGCTCCGCCGAGCTCGCGGACTTGCTCCAGAACGCGCCGAACGAAAAGTGTCTTCTCTGCACCGAAGTGGCAGAGCGGTATCTCGGTGCAATTCTCCGCGCAGTTCGCAGGGCGGGCAATTTGGTGGTGACGTTCAATGACATGATGCGCGAGGGAGCTCGAGTGCAGCCAGAAATCCGGGGGACCTCACTGGGGATATTTCATACGCCGAACGCAACAATTCCGTCCGACGACCGAGGCGCGCGTTTCCTTCTCGACCGCGCACGCCCAGAATCGAGCCTTTTCTCCGGAATCTCCCACTGCCTGTCCCACGCGTGACGCCGGCAGATAGCATCGCGCGGGAGCGCCACGTGTGCGCCACTGTGGTACTTCGGCCATTGAGCTGCTGGGCGCATGTCTGAGGGTGTCGCTCAGCTCAAGCATGAGGTACGCGCCGGTGTCGTTGTGGTGTAGTCGCTCGCATGTCGTGAGCTAACAACCGCCCCAGGGCTCGCAGCGACAGGTAGTGGTGGCCGGCGCTGTCGCAGGCCTTGTGTCGCGGTACGTCCACACTGCCATGGCGCAGACGTCCGGCATACCCGCAGTATTCTAACGACCACAGCTTCGTCATAGCCCCCCTCGATGTTGTCAAGATCCGGCTCCAGCTTCAGATCCACTCGCTCTCCGACCCGCTGAGTGTGCAGGGCATCAATGGCCCCGTCTACAAGGGAACGCTGGGCACGCTCCGGCAGATCCTGCAGCATGAAGGCGTGACCGGGCTGTGGAAGGGCAACATCCCCGCCGAGCTGATGTACCTGGCCTACGGCAGCATCCAGTTCTCCGCGTACACGTATGCGTCGTCGCTGCTGGAGCATCCCGATGTGCCCGTCCGCCTCCCCGGGTCGGCCGTCAGCTTCCTCAGCGGCGCTGCGGCCGGCGCTGCGGCAACCACGGTCACGTACCCGCTGGATCTGCTGCGCACGCGCTTCGCTGCGCAGGGCACCGAGCGCGTGTACAGCTCAATCGCAGCGTCTGTGAGGCAGATTGCACAGCAAGAAGGTCCTGCGGGCTTCTTCCGCGGACTTGGTGCTGGCGTGAGCCAGATCGTGCCATACATGGGTCTCTTCTTTGCCAGCTACGAAGCGCTGAAGCCGCTTGTAGCAGAGTCGCCGGTTTCCTTGCCGTTTGGCACGTCCGACGCCGCTGCAGGCGTGATTGCCAGCATCCTTTCCAAGACCGCCGTGTATCCGCTCGATACAACGCGCAAGCGTCTCCAGGTGCAGGGGCCGATGTTGACGCGCTACGTTCACGGCAATATACCCGAGTACAAGGGCGTTATCAGCACTGTGTTGAGGATATGGAGGCAGGAGGGGAGACGAGGCATGTACCGTGGGCTGACGGTCAGCCTGATCAAGGCTGCGCCTGCGAGCGCCGTTACTATGTGGACATATGAACGAGCCATGGCAGCCATGCTGGCTTGGGAAGACGCGCGAACATAGGTCGCCGAGAGCCCATCACATGCACAGGTCAGGGTTCAATGGATCAGTTGATCGAGCGTAATACGTACCACTGCAATTCATTGCACGAATCAATCTTGAGGCCATAGAATCGATCACGGAAGCTCGAAATATGCTATATGTACAACATGTCAACACTCCACCGTAACGCCGATGCTCTAATACACATACAGACCGACACTCACCCGTGCCAGATCAACCAAAAGTACCAACCCAAACCACAGACCATGACTGTGCCCAAGCTACTCTTCAGCTCCTGTCTGAAAAGCGCGAACCCCTTCTTTCTGGGCTTGCTCTTCGTGCTCACGCTCCCGTAGGTCTTGACGTCCTTCTTCTCCTCGTCGCCGTAGAAGCCGGCATGCTGCACAAGTGGAAGCGAATACGTTGTGCCCTGCTGGTGCGGCATGGGATTCGGCAGCCCATAGCCGTTCAACGGAGAAGCGGTGCGCGGGCGCGCCGACGCGTTGCGGACTTGTAGACTGCCGTTTGCGTTTGATGATGTGGACGAGTTGGAGGAGTGCAAAGCCTCGTCTGCAAAGCGATGTGCTGCTTTATCCGTCTCAGGGGTGCGTGTCGTCGGTAGAATGGGGTCGTCCGCCGTCAGAGGCGCGCTGAGGAGGAGATTGAATGCGACAAGTGCGGCACGTAAGCTTAGCAAGAGTAGTGTGAGTCCGAACAGCGCGGCGTAGCGGAAAAATATTCCCAGCTGGTCGGGCAAGAGACACAGATGCGTCTGCAGCGTCTTGCTCATGTCACCTTTCAGCGGCTTCCCACTCTTGTCTACGGGGTTCCACATGCTCACCAGCACGAATCCTGGACGTCGAACGCCCATCGCCCAGCTGATGCTCTTGACTGTGATCTCCTTGATGCCCCCGCCGCCAGACGCATACCCGCGATGCGTCAGCTCGCAATAATCGTGGTCGTCGCCCGAGAAGGCGTATCTGATATCACCGATCTTGCTGGCGACATCGGCGCTGATCTCCTTGTTCATGACATTCTGGTACTGGTAGCCACCGCTGACGGAGATCGCATTGCGCTCGTCGTGCTCGAGAGGGTCGTTTTGGCCTGCGGGCGGAGGCGTCGGGGGCCAGTGTTCGCGCAGGGGGCCGCAGGGTGTGCCTGAGCTACGGTAGAGGGGCACGTGAGTGAGGAGGATGGTAGGAAATTCTGTGACTTCGTCGTTGGCGTGGGGCAAGGTCGCTTTCGCAAAGTCTTGCGACTCAATCTCGCGGTGTGGGAAGCCTGGATAGGGCCTGAGGCCTTGCTGGACTCGGAGCTCCCGCTGGATTTGCTTGCGCTTCTGCTCTTTCGCGCCGGCGAGAAAATCGACAGTCGGTTTCCACAGCTCTTCGACATCCTGAGAGGACGGCACCCCTAATGCGCTGAGCGAGACGCTGTCTATGGAGACAAAGGTGTGGTTTCCTATCACATCGATCCTATTGCCGTCCCCAAAGTATGCGTGGAACCTGTCGCGCACTCCAACCTGGACTCCTTTTGCGAAGCCAAGGTCATGGTTTCCTGGCAGGCTGCTGATGAGTTTCCTCCCCGGCTGTCCATGGCGTGGCTTCAGACCTCCGTCGCCCCAGTGCTCGAAGAATATGTTTCCAAAACGGCGGTACTCGTTCATCCAGTAATTGTCCCCATACTGCTGGTATTGCTTCTCGGGCGACTTCGTTGTTCGCGTGGACCATTCGCGGCCGCCGTCGAACAGATCACCGAGAAAAAAAACAGTGTCGGGGTAGAGCTCGGTCTGTATACGAGAGTAGGCGCGGCGCATGTACTGGTCGGTATACTTCATGGTGAGCGGGTTGAGAGGCCATGGCCGGCCGGGGTAGGTGTGCGGGTCAACGAGTTGCGGGTCGGCGACAAAGACGAGTCTGTGAGGATTGGCTCCTATTTCCTAGAGCGCGGTCAGTCCTGCCTGTAGATGCACTCAGTTGCTGACATACCCAGCTCTCCCACGCGTCCCAATTGCAGCTCCCTACTGCGCTGTCGAAGGCGCCCCTCTCGCCCCAGTATACCACAACCCACCATATCACCACCAGCGTGTTCGCCAAGCCGAACAGCCTCTTCCATCGTCCTTGGGTGACTGTGCTCTGCGCAAATGGCTTTGCTCTGTACAACAAGAAAGCGCGCGCGGTTCGGTATGTCTGGCCGGCGAAGCTGTCCGGCTCCTGGTATGCGCCCACGGGGACACCATAGTCGTCGTACTCGGTCATTGTCCAAGTGAAGAGTGGCGGCGATGCCAGCGCGGCATTTTTGCTGTCGTAAGAGTCGACGTAATGCGGTGGGCTGCGATGCGCGAGAAATTGTGAGCTTGCGTGGCCGCTGGAGCCCCGAGGTTTGGGATTCACTTTGGGGAAGCCGCCAGGGTCTCATGCATTCCGCAGATCGACGGCTAGCCACTCCTGCGAGCATATTCGCATGCACATGCATTCGGCATGCTCGTGTCGTGCTGCGGTCATTTTCACACTCGCAACATCGGGTATCGTAATTATTGATCATGCAAAGGATATCATTCAGGAACATGCTAGAAGTACACTACACACAACATCGTCGCCGTCTAGTACTCGAGTGTGACCTCCTGGCCCTTGACCTTGCCAATGACAATCTCCGGCGCGTACTTGGGGATCACCTCGTCGTCGTGGAGCATCTCAAACTCCTCTGACGCGTCCTTGCCCATGTGGCTGAAGAGCGCCTGAGGACCACCGGGGTGCTCATCAGTCCAGTTAGTGACATCCATGACGATGCCCTTGACTGCGATCCACAGATCGTCCTTCTTGTTGTGCTTGGCGATCTCCTCGAGTGTGAACTCCTTGTCAGGGATGGTGAATTTGGCCGGCTGGCTAGGCTTGGTGACCTTGCCAGGGTCCTTCGAATCGCCATCGCTCTTCATGACAGGTGCTGCTGAAATCTGTGACTGCTGTGCTACCTTGTCGCTACCAGAGATCTGCGCCTGAGCACCACTGCCCCACTCCACGGAGATCTTTCCAGGTGTGCTGGGGTCGATGTGGAGGGAGATCTGACCGAGACGGGAAACGGCTGACCCGCCAGCGTTGTTGAGTGCCTGCTGGAAGAGGAACTTGGATGCCGAGTCACCAGCAACGCGACCGTACACAACACAGCCAAGCAGCGAGGAGCCACCGAGGCGGTTGGCACCGTGTACACCACCAGCCAGCTCACCGCAGACAAACAGACCATCGAATGGCTTTCCCTGGTCGTTCAAGCACTGTGCCTGGTCGTTGATCTCGATACCACCCATGGTGAAGTGGAGAACGGGTTCCATCAACGCAACATGGAATGTGTCGTTGATGTCAAACGGCAAGTTGTGGAAGTACTTCTTGCCCCATGTGTCCTTCTTCTCCCCCTTAGCAATGGCGTTGTAGCTTGTGAACTCCTCCTGGAGCTGCTCAGGCTTGATGCCGATCTCCTTAGCAAGCTCCTTGCCGGACATCTTCTTCATCAGGCCACGGCCGGAGTAATGCCTTGTGTGGAAGTCAAGCACGTTGGAAGCCTTGGAGTTGAGGACAAGGCGGATGGGCCACTGGCCCTTCTCCTTCTCCTCCCACATCTTGCCCGAGACGTAGTCACGGTGACCAAGGTCGTCGCAGAAACGCTGACCCTTGCTGTTGAGAAGGATACCACCCTCACCACGAAGAGCCTCAGCAGCCAAGAACTTAGTCTTGGCGGTAGGGTCTTTGGGGTCAACGAGACCTGTAGGGTGAACCTGGACTTTGTCCATGTCGATGCCCTGGGCACCGACCTTCATCAACATCTTGTGTCCGTCACCGGTGGCATGGGCACCGTTGGTGGTCGAAAGATCGAATGTGTCGGGCCTCCACTTCTTGAGCAGAGAGTCCTCTGTGAAGTCGGCTGCGTAACCACCAGTTGCGAGGATGACGGGACCCTCAATTGTTGTCTCCTCGCCGCCAAACACGTACGTAACACCAGTAGTGCGGTTACCGTCCATGTTGACTTTGGTGACCTTGGCCTTCTTGACAAGCTGAACGCGCTCGGGCTCGGCCTCGGCCAACTCCTCGAATCGCTGCATCAGGGCGTAGGTGATGGCCATACCGGGGAACTTGGCATCGTGACCACGGTGGGTACGGGGGAAGGAGTGGCCACTGATTTCGTCAGTACATGTGAGATTTCGCTTCTCGGATGGAACGTACCCGAGACGAGATACGAGAGTCAGGTCAAGGTTGAAGACATCCTGCAGCCACTCGACGGCTGCGGCGGACTTGTAGGTCAAGACCTTGATCAGGTCGGGCCTGGCCTTGTCTCGCGCAGACTTCAATGTGTCCTCGTAGAACTGCTTGACGCTGTCACCGATCTGGTGGTCAACTTGTGTCCTTGTAAGGGCACCGTTGATACCGGATGTGGCCTTGGTGGAGTTGCCTCCCATGAAGTCTGATATCGAGTCAGCGCTTTCGGTCTTGCTCACATCCCGTTCAAAATTCACTGTTCTTGTCTAGCAGGACGACATTGCCGCCAGCCAGGTAGATGGTGTGAGCCGCGCTCAAGCCGGACACTGCGAGAAACGTTAGCTGTGCACATGACAGTGTCTAGTGCGGGAGAGATGCTTACGGCCAGCGCCAACAACGATAACCTTCGCAGCCATTTTGGTAGATGCAAATGCGAAGAAGGTAAGGGAAGAGAAAGTCTAGCGGACGCAAACGCGGATGGAAAAGTGCGGAGATCGTAGCCTTTGTATGAGCGGTGGCAGTTCCCTGCACACTCTCGGTGCCGAGGCTATGTGGAGAAGGTCTGGGAATGCGCCAGTGTCAGCGCAAGCGGGTCTCCCCAGTGCAGGCGGCGCCACCAGCCAGTGAAATGCGAGCTGTTTGTAGGCTGGGGTCCGGCAAGCCGAATATGCTCTCTGCCCCCGTGATGCGTCTTAGGGTTTCAGACACGCAGCGCTGTTGTCCTCGCATGTGAAGATGCAAGACTCGGTCGTCGACCACATGACGCCCGATTTGCGATGCTGTGGTTGGCTGGATGCACCTCAGATGGACGCTGACAACGGGGCGTCGAGAATCCGGGGTGCAGTCCTCTTCACATGTAGGCTCACATGTGAACCCGGATCTGGCAAAATGTATGATAGCATCAAAAGGTCTCGACAATCGCGACTGCAAGTGCCTCCCTGCCTGTCTCCTGGTTTGTTACACACTTACAGCATCTCGCAGTAATCGCCGGCTCTGGCAACTTCGCCCGCTTCATAACATCGCTGCCACTTCAACAGCCGGCCGGTGTTTGCTCTACCAAAACGCATCTTACGGGCTACATTGCCTTTTCCGCAGGTCGAGTTCCTCTCCACTAGAACCCTGTACACATTCTCAACACGGATATAGCGTGCAATCTTGCAGACAAATATTAGCCGCCTTTCGTTGAACCGATGGATCTCGAATTTCTGGGGAACCTCGGTGCAGTTCGTACCGAGCAAGCGAGTCAATGCTCATGCGGCTGCTCGGGTGTACTCATGGCGACCTGAAACGGCGACTCGAGCATCCGAGCTGATGCCTGCTGCAGATAAATCACTGCTCGTATGCTGACTTGGATATTGATTATTTAATTCGGCATATGTCCAAACGCCAAATCACTACGCTAAGCTGTCGATCGCGCGTTTCTCACACCACACGCCGGATACTGAAGGAAAGGGTAGCTCTCGGAGGGAACACCGCACGAGCGTAGACTGTTGATGCAAATGCCTGCACCCCGTCTATTCAAAGCGCTTCTGAAAATGTTCCAAATGTTCTTACTGCACGAAGCGCCGATTGCTGTGCATGCTAGTGGCAAGCAGCCGACCTCGTAGGGCTCGAGTTTGCAAAGAGCAAGTAACCGACAAATGCTCCAACAGCAACAGCCAGCATGATCCAGCCATTGTATGTCATGAACAACAACCTACACACATTAGTCGCCCGTGACAGGTCCGAGAACAGGAGCCAGAGCTTACATGATGAAGAATGAATAGAAGACTTGCACAGCATACAGCGCCGCCTTGACAAGCTTGGCCTGCCGCTCCGCGTTGCTCCCCGCATTTCTTCCTGAGTGAAGCAATGAGCTCGATTCATCGGTCGTGTGCACATCTTTCGCGCGTTGGACTCAGCTGTCGTTCCCACAGACGGTAGACATAGCAAGGAAAGCCCTCATCACCCGTGCGACAGCAGCACCCGTGCGCAGTGACGAGCCCACCAACGGAAGTATTGAGACTCACCTCGAAGATCGTCACCACCTCGCCGTCCCTCAAGCGCCTTGCTCGAGTGAGCTTCGTACCGCCGAGACGCCTCGCGCACTGCCTCGTAACCGGCAGTGAGCAGGATGATGCCGACGAGGGCAACGACGAGCGAGAAGGTGCCGCTGACGTGCCAGCTGCGGAAAACGATGCAGAGGTCGGTCGTGTCCCAAGTGAACAGCATCTGCTGGTGTCAGCACCGGATTATCCGATAGTCTGAAGCTCTGCAGCTCCAGCACAAGCAGTGCAGCGTACGTTCATGTTGCACTTGTGACCCTGGTCCATGCCGGGCATGTCGTGGTCCATGTGGCCGTGATCCATGTGGCCGTGATCCATGTGAGAGTGGTCCATTTTGTCGTTGGCCTATTCTGCTGCGAATGTGGGAGGAGTGATGTGGTGCGCTCTGGCTGCGAAGGGGTTACGATGTATCGTATCGCGCGTGTCGCACGATAGAGGCATCCCTGCACCCCGCGTTGTGAGCACATTTCGTGGGAGCTACAGCTAGCTATCGAAATCGATGACAATAGCAATCTGCTTACAAGCCCATGACACGCGCCACACAACAGAAAGATCCATGCAGCACTTCTGTAAGAGCCTGAAGTGTTGATACAAACATTGCAATGACAACGACCATGCGCTCTCTCCGCCCTGTTGTGCGCTGCTTCCAGTCTGCGACCCCACGCGCGCCCTTGCGGACCTCCGGGGCTATCACACCACAGCGTCACTTTTCCCGCACAACACCAGCCCGCCTTCTCGCGGCGCCTCTAAACGTGCCGAGATGGTACTGAACCCCTGCAATGTCCCAAACATTACTGACGAGCTTAGGATATCAGAGAACTCGCACATGCTGAAGCCCCCGATCAACAACTACTGCGTCTACAACGACAATGTAACCGTCATGATCGTCGGCGGTCCCAACGAGCGCACCGACTACCACATCAACGAGACCGCCGAATGGTTCTACCAACACAAAGGCTCCATGTTGCTTAAAGTCGTCGACGAGAACCAGTTCCGCGACATCCACATCCACGAAGGCGACATGTTTCTGCTGCCGCCGAACATACCCCACAACCCCGTCAGATTCAAGGACACTGTGGGCATAGTGCTGGAGCAGCACAGACCAGAAGGTAGTTTGGATCGGTTGAGGTGGTATTGCCAGAGCTGTGGTGAGAAGGTGCATGAGGCTGCTTTCCACTGCACGGATCTGGGGACGCAGATCAAAGATGCTGTGAATAAGTTCAAAGCGGATACCAAGGCGAGAACGTGCAGGAATTGCGGGACAATATGTGATACAGCGCCCTCGAAGGCAGGCGAGAAGCCTTTGAAGCCGGCCAAATCAGAGCAGACGGCAAAGGAGAAGCTGGAGGGAGATGCGAAGGATGACATAGCTGAGGAGAAGGGGAAGACCGCAGAGAAAGCGGAAGCAAGTGCGAAGACAAGTGATGGGGACAAAGTGCCTTTTCAGCCATCGTGAAGGTATCCACGGATAAGCTGAAGCAACAAGTCTGGTGTTTGTAATAGTAAATGTGCATATACACGACCTTATAGACCCTTCCACATGACCTTGGCGACGTGGTCGGTCTTCTTCTTAGTCGGTCTAAGAAGGCCCAGGTATTTGAGCTCCGCAAGAGCTCGCTGGAATAGTGCCCTGAAAGACTTATTAGAGCTTGATACCACCCGAGAATGAGTACATACATTGTTTTGGACTCATCATCATCGTCCTCGTCTCCGGCAATCGCCCTGAAGGCTGACCATAGATCGGTTACGTTGATCAGCGCTCCGGACTCAAGGTACATCTGGTACACAATTGCGGTGGCCGGCTGTGTAGCACCAAGAGCGGACTCCTTCCCGTCGACTCTGCCACAACAGTCGCAGCCCAGATAGTCGTGAGGAGATGCCATTGCACGCTCGACGGCAAATCGTGGCTTGGGCTGGAAGACTTCAATGTGCGGAGACTTGAGGTCATACATGAAGACTTCGGAGGAGGGAAGTGTTTGCGGGTCGATGAGGGCCATCTCGAAGAATGAAGTCAACTGGCCATGAACGCGTGTAACCAGATCAGAGTACGCTTGGTCCTGCTTAGACAGTGCCGCCTTGTGCTTCTCAAGCAGCACTTTCTGTGCGACGACTGTTGCGCGAACGCTGTCATTCTGGACATCGTGCTCTGTGCGCAATGGGGCAGAAGTGTCCTTTTGCGCGAGTATGCTGACAAACTCCTCCTGGATCGCGTTTACGTCCATGGTCGCAACCGCATCTTTGTGCCCGCGTTCATATGGTAGCGTTTTTTTACTCGAGAGCGTTCTCAACGTTGACAGAAGGTCCGCAAACTTGTTTGACGGTGTCTTCTTGAGGCTCAGCATTGTCTCGCGGAGAAGAGGTGAATCTGCAAGGTCTGCCGACGCTGCTCGTATCCAGATGGTAGATGCTTTGACATTTGGTGTCATCTGAAGAGCTTCTCGGACGCTAAAGAGTACGCTCACTGCGTGAGCCAGAAAGGAGAGCTTGTCTTGGGCTGAAGAGGTGTCGTGTATGACCTTGTCGAACAGTTCCTGATCCGATTCGAGCAAGGTGCGAACTCCGCGACAGGCAAAGTTTCCCTGCCCAAGTCTGGTCTCGATGTGCTGACGGAAAGATGGCAGGTTGCGCACTGCCTCGAGAGCATCCGCTTGAGTATCTTTGTACTTCAGTCCGTCGGTCAAGAAGACACTGGGAACACTAGCGTAGAAATGAGACATGTAAGCATATCTGAGGCCATCGCAGAAGTCTTGCACGTTCTGCACATAGTCTTTTTGTCGATCCAGCATGCGACGGCACAGTTGCGGGCCGATGAACAGGCTGTTGTTAAGGCTTGCAACAGTGGCACTGAACAACTTTTCGATGATGTCGTCAGACTGGGTAACGTCGAATCTTTCACCTTCAAGGTACCGAAGAGACTGCCCTGACAAGCGGTCTTCGAAGCTATCTGCTGACGTAGCAATACCAAACAGAAGCACGAATGGAATGCGATCAAGCCATGAGCTAGGTATGTTAGCTTCGTCGTGAGCTAATTCGCTGCGACTTACTGGAGCAGATCGATCAGATCAATCAATAACCCAGCGTCGAACGCTTCGCTGTCCTGGATGGTGACAACGACGCTTGACACCGGATTTTTCTTTCGCCATTCTTGGATGTGCCCAAGATCGTAGTTCAGGAGCCTTGGACCATATCTTGAAGGTCTAATTAATTGATCTAGGTCATCTTCGTCTTCATCCTCAACCCGCGATGTTGCTTTCTTCACTAGGTGCTTGAGCAATGTCTTCAGGTTCGGGCATTCGCCAGCGGTCAGTACAATATAAGCGCTGTTCGTGTCTGCTCGAATCTTGCGCCCCAGTCGCTCAAAGTAAGGTCTATGGGAGGCGATACTAGGTCCTGCGACGACTAGGCCTGTAGGTACGGCGAACTTTGGCTCGTCTGTTGATGACTCTGCTGTAGCGACGAAGTCAACAATGCTTCCTTGCGTGGCACTGTCCGCTTCTTCGAGAGCACCCTGTCAGAGGTTAGTCGTATAAAGTCCCTAAGCTCAACTTGGTATTACTTGAATGCGCTGTTCTTGCTTGGCCCACAGATCGCGATAAGTTTGTAGTCGCTCCTTTAGATGCGTTCGAAAACCGGCCTTCTCGATGCGTTGTCGCTTTGACGGTCTTTCTTCATCCTCGTTGTGTCGATATATGTAGCATCGCTGATGCTCAAGATCCATCGTTGGTTCCGTCGATGTTTGCAAACTTCAGGGTGTTGTTGGAGACGGATTGCCAGGGTCAACAAGGCAGCAGGCGCGATGGCGCTAGACGCGTGAGCACGGGAGCACGTGAAGCATCATGGCTTTGATTTATTGTCCTTCATTGTCATCTGATAAGACTCGTACGGCAAAAGCCCATTGGGAAGGTTTACAAAATCTTGTCAAGTTCTACTGGGTATCTTCACATCTAAAGCGCACCCCGCAAGCCTCGCCCTTACAAGTACCATGGCGAAATGCGTTTCCACTTGGCGACCCTCCGCGTTTGAACGAGCGCACATTAGCACCAACGTCCTTTGAACCGCGAAGTCTACGACACTTACTGGACAATCATTTAGCCTTGAACGCATTGGAACATGCAAGGAGTTCATAGCTCATCTTTTGCGAGCTCAATCGTGATCTTCCTCCGTGACACCTGGACAGCCTTCCAACTCCGCGTCAGGGTACTGGTAGCCGCAATACAGGCAATAGCGGAACTCTTCGCGCAGGTAGAGTAACACTTTCTGAAGTCGCTCGGTCACAGGGAGTGCCTCGAACTCGGCCAGCTCAGGATCCTCTGCTTCAAGATCGTTCTCCAATGTGGTGTAAAATGGCCTCAGATCCTCGCCCAATGCGACTTTTGTGTCGTTGTCTGTGTCGCCTTCGTCCGCTAACGTAGGCAAACGCGAGGCAAGACTGTTGTTCAGCTCCCGCCGCTGTTGTTTGTCTTGCTGTACCTCTACCCTCCTTCTTGCACGGGTGCGCCAGAGTACATTGATGTCCTCGAGGGGCTTGTTGCCAGGCTCTGAGGTACCTTTGTCTTCGGCGGCCTTCTCAGACAGTCGCTCAGCTGTACGTTGGGCATTGTCGAGGTCTCTCTCAGCCTTCTTCTCCTTCTGCTCTTGTCGCCGCACCTCGAGATAGTCGCCCTCTTCCTCTTTGGAGCGCTTTGCCAGTCGTTCTGCCTCTGCCCACTGCTCTCTAAATTTGCGCTTCTTCTCCGACTCCAGCCCAACGCCTCCCTTGTCCGCCTTGATATCGACCGCGATCGGTACTTTGCGCGCGTCTTCGGATTTGCCGAGTGTGTCGCCCTGCTTGAAGCCGAATTTAGCCATCATCTTGAATCCTTTATTGGTCTCTGGCAGTGCAGTCGCGAGTGCTTCTTCTCGCGCGGCCTCAGCCTCAGCCTCCTTTTCAGCTTTGGTCTTCTGTCGCGCTCTTGCTTCACCCTACAAACATGTCAGTTTATGCGCCGTACGGCCTCGAACCTGTACGCACCTCTTTGCGCTTGCGCGCGGCGCGCTGTAGTGATGTTTCGAATTTGGGACCTTTCGGCGCATCTTCGAACACCATGTTCATGTAGTCATCCTCCTCGTCTGATTGCGACATCTCGAAATTGTGGTTTCGGTGGTGGGTGTTGTGCAAGTCACCTATTGCAGCCTCCAAGAAATCTCACTGCGCGTCCCACTTGCCGGCGCGGTACCGTAGCGTCAACTGCTTGGCCCCGCGTTCCTGACAGCTTCCCCATACTCTTCTCTTGACGACATCTCTCCTGCTGCCTTGTTGAGATACGAACAATCAGGTGTCGCATACAAAATGCACTCGATCGGCACCTACTTGCCCTCCTTAGGCGGGTCACTACGCTCGACGCTGTCTTGGAAGCGAATCCTTGAAGGATTCAGTCAGCATCGAGGCCTTCTACCACGATAGTTGTTGTGTACGGCATCAGCCGGTCGGTTACGATGGAATCCTGCTTACACGACACGTGCCGAAACTTTGCATTGCCTTCTACTGTTGCGCCCTCGACTGTGACACCAATTCAAGCCCTATGTATACACGAGACAGCTCCCGAATCCCATCAGCAGGCTTTGCGCTCGGTTGGCATTATCCAAGGAGACTGGGTTGTCCGCTTTCTGGCTGTTTGTTGAGAATGAGGCCCTCCAATCCAACATTTGGCGCTCCTTCATGTGAAAAACTCTACCCGCGGCTTCAGCGTTCTTCGCTGCATCAACATTATTGAGTCCTAGCTCATGCTCCTTTCACGGCTTCTTATACAAGAAAAAGGCAATCTGGCTCAAAACAGGTGGGTCGCCGATCAGGAACGCTTCGGATTGGCCATGGACTAGGATCCCTCTCCACAGCGGGAACCTCTTGAACGCCTTCCATCCGCCAATTCCGGGGAGCGTTACAGGGGCTCTACATTTGGTGCCAATCCGGACCACACCTCCCCTGTCTCTTCATCAACCCTGCCACCAATTGTGCCAGACATGCCACGCCTCCCAATCAGGTCGGAAGTAACGAAAAAGAGGTGGATGCTGGCTTAGGATCTTAGCTTCCGAGGATTGAGCCACTCAGCGCGTCGTGGAACCATACGTTACACAAGACTGCTACAGTCTCAGTAGCAACAAGAAACATGTGTCAGTCGATCAAGCTGGCGCGTGCCTCGGCTTCGTACTGTTTGCGAGCATCGGTGGCAATCATCTCGGGGCCCTGCCACATTCAGCACTGGCGGCGGCATGTCATTCGTCTCACGCACCCTGTCAGTGACCGTGCCTCTATCGACATCCGTCTCTACCTTCGGCAGCGCGTCTGTATACGATTTGATCCGTAAGGATATCATGTGCTTCGATCTTCTACTCTGGAATCTCATAAGGGTCTCTTCCCCGCAGGTCTCCACTTCGTCTTCGGCTCTGGGGTAATTTGTATTTCAGTGTGAGCTGTTTCTCCCTCGTGTAACGATCTGTGGGTGGAACATCGCCTCGAGCATTCGGTCAAGACCTTTGTCAGCAAGGAACAGTTCACCCAGAGCCAACGTTGTCAAAGACACCACATCGACATCATGGACAAGACGCAGCGGCCGGTCACGGAGGAGGAAGTGTACACTTCGCCGCGAAAAGGAGGCGTCATGAACAAGCTGTACCCTCCTGGACCCAAGCCCGGCGCTGGAGGACGAGTAAAGAACCACTGCAGGAAGTTCTGGTGGTGCGGTAAGTCATGATGAGTACTCTATTCATGCAGATCCTGACATAAAGCAGACTGCCTCGTTTTGATTATCATCGTACTGGTCGTTGTACTACCGCTGATCTTTGTCGGCCTGCCGAAGAAGGCGCAGAAGGAGATCAATGCGTCCACTCTGGAGGTCACCAACATGGAAGTCACGAACCCTCAACCCGACTCTGTACATCTCAAGATCGACAACACCATCCGCAGCGACAGCAGTTACCACCCCAGGATCGAGACTTTCCGTGCTGGTCTGTCCCTCGAGGGCCAAGAGCCATTCATCTACATCGACATCCCCGAAGCAAAGTCTGAAGGCGTGACATACATCACCGTAGACCAGGTTGCGACCTTCGAAAGCGCCGACCGCTTCACCGCGTAAGCTTCTCATATATCGAGATAGCCCGAAAAACCTCCTAATACCCCACAGATACACCAAAGCCGTTCTCGCCAGCGAAGAGCTCACCATCGACCTCAGCGGCAAGACAACAATCCACATCTCAGGTCTGCCCTCAACAAAGGTCGACTACAACAAGAAGATCACCATGAAAGGTACCCCGGCCCCCTTCCGCATCGCGTCGCAGCACTAACGTGGCAGGTCTAAACCACCTCTCGGGCCTCACCATCAGCGACATCAAGATCCTGTCGGGCTCCAAGGAGATCCTTGCCGACGGCTCCAACATGGTGGGCACAGTGCACATCCCCAACCCGTCCGTCATGACGCTGGACCTGGGCAACGTCACGATGAACCTCGGCGTCGCGTCCAAGCCCATCGGGTATGCGCTGCTGCCGGACCTGGTGCTCCAGCCCGGCAACAACACGGTGCCGATGCAGGCCCGCGTCGACCAGGCCACGCTGATCACCATGATCATGGGCACGTACACGGACGGCATCCTGCCGCTGGAGATTGTCGGCAACAGCAGCGTCAAGGGAGCCCAGCATCTGGCGTACTACGAGGAGGCGATCAAGGCGAATACGATCAAGCTGGATCTGGATGCGGGGCCGGCGCTGAAGGCGCTGGGTATTAATGTCACGAGCTCTGCGTAGACGGGGGTGCATGTTGATTGACGGCGTGCTGAGAGTTGGCGAGTCATGGTGGAGAGTTGATGTGATACCTGAGCTATGATGAAAGCGTAATTAATAGTCTGTCTGCTTTAGACGCCTGTCTTCTGACGGCACTGGCGCGAGCGAGCGTAGAACTTGCTGTCATGGCCGTTGCTCCCCATGTGCCGTTGCTCCCCATGTGCCGTCTTGCTGATTGCAGCGTGAAGGACTCTGACCATGTTGGTGCGGGCCTGCTCTGGCAGCATTCTGAAGAGCGCCCATAGCGGCTCCCGTCTGGGTTCGTTTCGCCCGACACCTCGGTGCAAGGACCACCCGCGTTTGCGCTGGCTGGAGCCGATCGTCTCGTGTAGTGAGGCCGTGTCTGACGGTTACCGATCGGACAGGGCTTGATGCTGCATGTCGCTCGTTCTCTGCTCCATGCAGGCGCACCCCACCTCCCTACGAGCGGAACAGAGTCACTCCATCTCCAGCTCATCCCGCAGCAGCCACCCTATTCTTCTTCCCATCCCCGCCCTTGACAAACTCCACGGCTCTGTGTCTACGCTCCTCAAACCCCGCGCTCTCCCCCGTATGCCCTTCGACCCAGCAGGTCCTGCAGTACAGGTCGCCGTCGCAGCCCAGACACTTCAGCGTGGCGTCATCCTGGCAGATGATGCACCACGTGTCAATCTCCTCGTCCAGCTTGCTCTGCAGGTTGGACTGGACCTTGAGCGGCTTCTGGGAGGGCGCGAAGGAGGGTGCCGAGGGCAGGCCGAGGGCGTCGGTGTGCGGGCGTGCGAGCGCGGCGAGCCGGGCGGTGAAGGCGTCTTCGAGCGCTTGGGTCTCGTCGAGGGAGTCTGTGGGCTTGAGGGTTGTGGGCGCGGAGGGAAGGGTGAGGGAGGCGTCGTCTGCGGTGTCTCGGCCTGGGTTCTCGGGAGTCGATGGCGCTGGTTCGTGGTCAGAGTATGGGGGTGGTGGGGATGGCGGGTCGTATTTCTTGCTGATCTCGAGCTCGGCCATGATGCGTGCTATTACGTCGTCTGCTTCTTCGTCCTCGGTGAGCTTCTTGTTCGCGTCCTCGGTGGGCTTCTTGTTTGCGTCCTCGGTGGGCTTCTTGTTTGCGTCCTCGGTGGGCTTCTTGTTCGCGTCCTCGTCACTGTCGTCGCCTGCTTCGTCGCGCCTCGGTCCTACCGAGCCACTGCCGACATCGAACTCGACGCTCTCCCAGTCCGTTAGACCCGCGCCACTGCCTTCTCGACCGACTTTCTTGCGCGGCTGACCATCTTGCGGCCGATTGTTCTGCAGCTCCGGCAGCATCGACCTCATATCCTTGAGCAGCCTCCCAACATCCGCTTGCTCTTTCCGATCCATGTCCCATTCCTTCCTCTCACCAACAGCGCCATTAAGCTCCCCGAGCAGTTCTTCGAGACTCTTCTCGTCCTCGTCGTTGAACTCGACCGTGTTGCCGGCCACACCCTGCGCCACACCTTCCAAGTAGCCCGGCGCTCCAGGAGCTATGACGTTGTTCGAGGACGCTGTTCGCGACGGCCGCGGCGAGCTCGCAGGCGACGCTGAGCCCAGGCGTGCGAACCGCTCGGCGAGATGGTCAGTAGGGCGTGGGGCGAGACGGTCGGTAGGGCGTGGGGCGAGATGGTCGGTAGGGCGTGGGGCGAGATGTTCGGTAAGGCGTGGAGCGATGGAGGCATTGTACGTCGTATCGAGACTGACGCTGGACTTCTTGAGCGCGTGCAAGCGAGCGAGGAGATCGGCGTCCGCCGAGTTTGGGTCTGGCATGGTGACACGGGTCTGCTAGGCCGGAGCCGCTGCAGTAGTAGAGAGATGCGGTGTTGCATGTTCGAGAGCTCGGGGGTGCGGGGAGACCGGAGACCATGTGGGGGCTCCAAGAGCTGTCAGCCTCGCGGCGATGCACCCACCTCGGACTGCTCGTAGACGGGTCCAAGTGCTCAGTGCCAGGAATCTGCGCATCTGCACATTGCTAGAGCTCTGGTGTGCGATTCGAAGAGCATGTATTGCGCAATCGACAGCAACATCACGTCATGAGAGAGAGAGAGAGAGAGAGAGAGAGAGAGCGCTTCCGAAGCTACCCCTCTTGCGTCATCTCGAGTGCTCTCTACACCCCCTCTCTCTCTTGCCTCTCACACAACCTGACATCTCCAATTGCCTTTGAACCCCCCCTCTTCCCGACCTACTCGCCCCAGCAACATGGCGCTCGCACCCAAATTCGCCGGGCAGAAGCTCGCCGGCGCCGCCACGCAGCCCAAAGCCGTGCACACAATCGAGATCTGTATGCCGCACCAACCCACCCGGCACATTGCATGCTGACACGCGCGAGACCTCGACTACGTGTGCCCCTTCAGCGCCAAGCTGTTCGCAACGCTGTACAGCACGGCGCTGCGACAGACGCTGCTGGGCAAGTACGCAGGCCGCGTGGAGACCATCTTCCGGCAGCAGATCCAGCCGTGGCACCCGTCGTCGACGCTGGCGCACGAGGCGGGCTTCGCGGTGCTGAAAGTGCAGCCGGCGGCCTTTTACGCTTTCAGCGCCGCGCTGTTCGCCCAGCAGCGGGATTTCTTCGATGCCAGCGTTGTGCATGAGACGCGCAACGATACGTACAAGCGCCTGGCGCAGATTGCGGGCGGCGTCGGCGTGGATGCAAAGCGCGTGTACGAATTGCTGGAGATTAGCGATCAGCCGGATAAAGAGGGCGGGCTGAATGCGGGGAATGGCGTGACGGACTTTGTGAAGCTGCAGACCAAGTTCAACCGCGCGCAGGGCGTGCACGTCACGCCGACGGTCGTGTTTGATGGGGTTGTGAATAATGATATCTCGAGCAGCTGGACGGAGGAGCAGTGGGAGGAGTGGCTGGAGAAGAATGTGGCGTGACTGGATGGTGATGAGAGGCCGCGGTTGTAGGAAATGCAGTGATGGCAAGGCTGTCAGAAATGCAGCAACAAGTGGCAGACGGGATAGGTGAT